AAAAAAAAAAAAAAAAAAAAAAAAAAAAAAAAAAAAAAAAGAACAAAAGGAGAAAAAAAGAAGAAACAAGAAACGGCAGAAAAAAGTGCCAAGGTATCAACAGAAGAACAGTTAAGGAAAGAGTAAGAAAGGGAAATTGGTTTGGTGCAGGATATGCAGGGTGCAAGTTTGTTGTTGGTGTGGGCAACGAGCGACAGCGCAGGGAAAAACAACACGAAAAACAGCAAAAGGGGAGGAACGACAACAAGCGAAAAAGCCACAAAAAAGCACGCGAAGAGCCAATCTGAGCTGCTACCGTGAAACCGGCGCAGGCAACGCCCCGCAAAACCCATGTGACCGTGGTGACAGCCTAAGCACCGGATATACCGCTATAAGGCTCCTCAAAAACACCCCCCAAAATGACACTGAATCATGCATGACAAGAAAGCGGAAAAGGATCAGAGCGTAGTGTACTACGCCGCCACAGACTTCTTCCGGCTGAAGATGGTACGAGTGCGCGACTTGTCGCGACCCTTTCTTCCGTCTTTTGATGCCGAACGACCGCGGGAGTTCTCGCCGTCGCTTTCCTTGTCCATGTACTTGTCCTTGTAGATCCTGTAGTCGACAACGTCAGCAAATGATCCTTCGTAATATCGGAAATATCCGCTCCTCCACTCACCAGCTATTGCCTGCCATGCTGATACCCTTCGCCTCGGCCGAGCGGTAAAACTTCGCTGCCTTCTTGAGATCCTTCTTGCAGCCGACACCCTGGGCCCAGCAGAAGCCAGCCTCGGCCAGCGCATCGCCGTCACCCCAGTTGCCAGCAATCTCAAAGCAGCGCAGGGCGAGACTGCGATCTTGTTGAATGCCCCATCCGTTCATGTACGAAACACCGAGCTCGTACACGCTGAGAGCGAACTGTGCCTTGTGCGTCTTGCGTTGCGTGACATCCGGGCCGGCCTTGCCCTTGGTGACAAGGTCCTCGTCGTCGGCAACTTCGAGCTGAGCGGAATCGACGGCTTTGCGCAGCCATTGGACACCTTCGGCTTGGTTTGGTCGCATGCCCCATCCGTGACGACAGGCAAGCGCGTACAGCAACATGGCAGTTGGCAGACCGGCCCTGGCAGCCAGACGAAGGTGGTAGGTCGACTTTTGGACCTCTCCCTTTTCGTGGAACTCGACGCCCTTGTCCAGGTGCTGCTGAGCCGTCATGTCGGCAATGCGTGTAACAGCGGTGCCACTTGAAGCACCCGACGACGTAGGCCGTGACATTTGAGCCCTAATCGTGGCATCGCTGGACGCGACCGAAGGAGCGTCACTGCGCGGGACGTCCATGGACCTCGATCCTGCGTTGTCGGAATTAGCCGTCTTGGGAGGCGACGGGGGCGACGGAGGGCGTTCCGAGGCGCTAGACCCAGCCCTGCTGCCATCCCAATGGAACTGCTGGCTGATGAAAGTGGCTGCGCCAACCGAATCCCGCTGCAGGGTTCTGCCGCGAGGCAAATCGTACTTTGTGTATATGTATGAAGGAGCTGTAGCAGCATTGTTGGGGTCATGCGCCGCCATATAATCCTCGCTCGTGATGCTCACAGGGGTGTGCACGGATTCGTTGTACGCAATGTACCGGCTGTCACCAGAACCCTGTCTCGAGGGCGCCCTGTCCCTGGAAGCCGTGCGGGACGGCGCGCGATCCCTCGCGTCGAGCGACGGTCTGCCACCCATCGGCCTAGAGAAGTTGTAAGCCGGTCTCGGCATAAGGGTGCCACCAGCAGAGCGGTCAGACGCCACCGACGGAGATCGCGGGAAGACAGGGCGAGCCGGAGAGGACGGCGAGTGGGACCTCGAATATTCTGTATTCGAACTGGAAATCTGCCTGTAGGGCAAGGAATCGAATGAACCGCCCATGGATGCATTCTCGGCATCGTCGGAGCTGTCGCATTGCACAGAACGAATGCTCGGCGAAGCTCTTGGCGACTTGGACTGGGCTGGGGACCTCGGCGGCATCAAACCCTTGACGGGCGTATGTTGTGCACTGGTGGGTACCTGCGACTGTTGAGGGGTCTTGGAGCCAGGCGTGTTTGGCGTCGCTTCCTCCACTCTCGTCTCAATCTGCTCTGGGGAGTGGGCCCGCGGGATGGTAAAGTAGTCCTGGGCTGGCTGGATTGGCTGCTCTTGGGGAGGTGTTGGTTCCTCGCCCAATGGTGATAGCGTGTTCTCGTAGTGCCCGGATGCGGTCCAGTCGTCGGACTCAATGGTCGGGTGATGCGACATGGGACGCTGGCCCTGAGGGTTGACCTGGTTGGCATGCTCTTCCTCTCTTTCCGGCGACTGACCATCGGTCTCGTCGCTGTCGGCGGATTGCGACCTGTAGTAAGGAGGCCTGCGCTTTCCGAACTCGTTTTCAATTGTGCGGGGTGGCAGTCTGCTAAGGCGCCTTCCGTCCTCTTTCTGCTCGAATCTCTTAGCGAGCAGCCTCGACTGCATGGCAAACGCGTCTAGAGGTGAGAGGGCGGGCGGGATTTCGCCCGTGCGAGGGGAAGGGAGGTCATTGAGGAAGCCATGGGGAGGGCGCGAGGGCGAGCCGCGCGAGCCAGGACGCAGGTCCAGGTTTCCGGGCTTATTTTGGACCATGTTGGCTGGGGGGTCAGATGTCCGGTGGAGGGGATGTGTTATTTCTTCTTGTGCAGCACCGGCAGAGTCGGGGGTGAGGTCGAGGGTGCGGGATGAAGAGCAATGGACATGCAGTGTGGAGAAGGGCCCACAACTCTGATGTGCTCTACGTGGGTGCGGGCTCCGGTACGGTAAGGGACGATCGAGCGAATGGCATAGGTGGGCGGGTGGTGGCGATAGGATTGCGTGGTTTGAGACGGACGACGGGGCGGGAGTTTCAGGGATGCACGCGTCGCTGGGGTTGCAAGGAGCGACGAAGAGTTGGGAGGCAACGGTGCAGGCGACTTTTTTGGCGCGTCTAGCCCATGGACGACGGCAGCGGTGGGATCGAGTGGGCAAGAGAGAGTTATGGGAACACGAGATGGCCGAGGGCAAAAGGGGAGAGATGGGGCTTGGCACGCGTCGCGTGGGAAGTGGGAAGCGTCCGAGGTTTCGGGGCGTGTGACTGACTCTGCAGGGGCAGGGCCTGGGGTGCAGCTGGATTCAGGATTGGCTTGATGAGGCTGGGGCCTGGATGCCCTGTCCTTCCCACACACTCCCTCTACAGCCTTACGAACCCCATCGGTAGGGGCAAGCCGAGATGAGCGGGTGCTGGAAATAGCTGCAGCTATGCTGAATTACACGCCAAGAGAGCGGAGCGCGCCAGCCCGCACCTCCCTCCCGAAATTACAGGCCACCAAGTGCTGCCCGCGTCAACCTTGGACCTTTTCCCACTGCACGCTATCTCCTAGCTGCGGCTCCGCTCCCGCCGCCGTCACGCGCCCGCCCGCTCGGATGCCCAGCATCCACCGAACCATGCCCGCCGGCACCCAACTCCCCACTATGTCGTACGCCACGCTGCCCCTGCCAACCCGCCACACCTTCTGCGCCTGCCGCCGTGTCAGTGCGTCAAAGACCGCGTTGTGCAGCTCGCGCAGGGAGCTGCCCTTGGCCGTGCTGCCGTTGTCCGCAAAGAGCCCTCTGCTGCCCGCGATGCGCGCCTGCGTAACATAGTTCTCCGCATACAGCGCTCGCGCCGCCGCCGGCCATTCGTCTGTCCGCCGATCCCGCAAGCTCTGCAGATATTGCTTGTTTCCCACGCCGCTGCAGTCAAACGTCCCGAGCTTGATGTGGCACACGTCGATACCGATCGTGCTGAGCTCCCCCTTTAGGGACGATGTGAATCCCTCCAGCGCCCCCACCACCGCACTCTCGACGCCGTGGAACGGCGGCCTGAGCGCCGACACTATGCTCGGCGTCAGGAGCAGGATGCGCGATTTGAACTCGCAGATCGTGGGCAGAAACGCCTGCGTCGTCGCAATTGTATTGAGCACTTTGGCGTTTAGCGCGTCTGACCAGTACTCAGGAGGAATAGTCTCCACCGGTCCCGAAGGGTAGATGAGGTCGGGCACTAGCACCAAGCCGGTAAAGTTGAGGTTATGCGCCGAAGCTCCTGCGAACGCTTGGTGAGGGCTCAAAAGGAGTTTGTGAAAGCGTTCCATAGCTTGTTGTGCATTAAACGACTACACGTGATTAGCACGCTGATACGCACTGTGCGGCAGCTCGACCTTACATCAGCGATGTCCAGGAGAAGGGGCCGGATGTCAACCCTTGACTCGCTCTGGACAATCTGCTCTTCTTCCGGCGTGTTGACCACCACATATACAATGAACCCGCGGCGTTCCAGGTCCAGGGATAGGGATTTGGTGATCGGCGAGCTCGGTGGTCCAGCGATGACTATTTCTGTCAGCCCTTTTTCTCACTCTCGGCACACTGCATCCGTACCGATCACCTCTCTCCGCGCGCCATTGCTGGCGCGCCTTGCCCGACGCTTCCGCATGTATTCCTTCTTTTGATTGTAAATGAGGAACGTCCCCGTTCCAAGGAACGCAATAATGGCGGCAGTGACGGCACGATTACGCGACACCCAGTCCTGGGCACGTTCGAGGTAACCCATCGGCGGTTTCGCGAGTGCTCGCGGCGGAGGAGGCGGTTTTATGGATCGTGGCAGCCATGAGGTCGTAGCTAGAGACTCTTTGATGGAACCTGCTACAGACTCAAAGTGCCTGTCGGTGGCGTCGGCAACGTCTGCAGAGAATTTTTTGATATCGTTGGAGATGCCTGCAAGCTAAGGCGGCCGTCAGTACAAACTCATGCACGGGTGGAGGCGGGGAAGGCAGTCTCACGACATCCAGGAAGTGCTGATCGTCGCTCGTCATTTTGAGGCCGAATACAATAGGCGGAGAGGTCTACCTATCGTACTGGTGAAGTCGTGAGGGGTATCGCGGAGAGAGAGAGGTTCTGTGACGCGCGATTCGGGACCCTTCCACCGATGACATCGGTCCTTCCAAGCTTCAACGCTCTCGCGCTAGCTATCCTTATCACTTATCGCCACGTGCGCAGATATATGGACCGTCGTCTTGCGCGGTCGATCATTCGGGAATCGCAGACAACCACATCTGCATCAAGGCACTCAAGTTTTAATTCGGCCTGATCCTGATTCATTATGCGTGGCAAACCCTTGCCAAGTTGCTGACGTGGACAAGCTTGAAAACTTCCACCACGTACGTAGTAGAAACTGCAACACCTTCGCTCAAACATCTGCACTGCCTGTCCTTTTGAAGTCAACAACCGTCGAGGCCAAAAAAAAAAAAAAAAAACTTCTCTTCAAGCTGCCCATCATGAGGGAGATCGATCCACTGTTCACAGAGTACGAGCAAATCAGAGGCCTGCCGAAAGAAAAGGAGGCGCTCGAAATATTGAGGAAGATAGCATCGCTCGTCAAACCCATCATGAGGAAGAGGAACTGGAGGGTCCATACTCTTTGCGAGTTCTTGCCAAATGACGCTGCACTTCTAGGCCTGAACATCAACCACACCCAGAGGATATGCGTGCGCCTCAGACATACCCACGATCCAAAGCAGTTTGTTCATGACGACATGATCATAGACACCTTACTACATGAGTAAGTGAGCTTGCTGTACGATTACTACTAGCTACTATCAGAACGAAAAGTTGGCTACGTTTCTCATAAAGTGGTTCACGCAATGCTGGCTTATGCTAAACCTACCAAACAGGCTCTCACACGTCATTTGGGGAGACCACGATGTCCGATTTAACGCTCTCTGGGACGAACTTCGTTCAGAATACCACGCACTCAAAGCACAGGGATACAGCGGCGAAGGCTTCCTCTCGGAAGGCCACCAGCTGGGTGGTAAACGCGTCCCACTCCAGGAAGCGCGCCGACAAGCCCGCGTAGCCGCCGAGAAGCGCCGCACTCTCCAGGCCGGGTCAGGCCAGCGACTCGGCGGAGCGGCTGCCCGACCCGACGCCGACATCCGCCAGGTGATTGCAGCTGCAGCCGAGAATAGGAACAAGATCACTAAAGGCTGCGCCTCGGGGACCCGTGGCGCGGAACGCATGGCCGAGGAAGCAAGGCGCCTGGGCTTTAGGACTAAGGCGGAGATGGACGATGCCGATCAGCTGGCAATTGCGATCGCGTTGATGGAAGACGAGAAAGAGGCCGAGGAGAAGGAAATGAGGGAACTGGGGGCAATGCAATCGGAGGGTCTGACCTGGTCGCCTGAACGAGGCTTAGAGGCCCAACCACCACCGCAACCACCGAGACCTAAGAAGCCATCACGCTCATCTACTGCTCCAGCAAGCCATATACCGGTAGCCCAGGGCAGCCAATCAAGACCTACTTCGACGCCTCGGCCAGGCAAACCCGTATCTCGACTGGTCGCCCAACGATCATCCACTACTCCTTCCAATCAAGCCGGCACAGAGTTGATTGACCTGACCCGGAGCTCACCGGAACCAGCACTGCCAGACACCGGGCACTGGACATGCGAGATCTGCACGCTGGTGAACGAGACGCAGCATCTCTGCTGCGATGCCTGTGGAATTGAACGGCCATCCCCACCCGCACCACGGGCGACACCACGCCCCGCCCCGCAGCATCCCAATCGGGGTTCAGCACCGCCTCCGCCGCCCAAGCCGGCTGCCAGGCCAGCTGTGAGGTCGTTAGGCTGGACCTGCTCCAGGTGCGGCGCATTTATGGAGCACAGCTGGTGGACATGCTCGGCTTGCGGTACGATGAAGGCAACTTCTTGAGCGGATCAGTGGATATGCCTCGTATATCACATTGTATCTGGCACTTGCCAGAACATACCAAGGTGTTCGAAAGGTTTCCATGGCGTTTTTGCCAGCACAGCTATTGATAGCATGCTGGGTTATCAATTGGTACACTTCTGCGGAGCCACAATGGTTCACTTGCTTTCTCGTCGATTGACAGCTTGTTATCCGGGGAGTTTTGATTAACAGCCGACTCACAACTTTGCTATGCTCTTGCACGCCATGTTCATTCTGCTTCACTTCACCGCAGGTCTCCAGGAAGCCATGCTCATGCTCATCTCTTTCCCTAAACCGTTCACTTTACACCAACAAGCCATGCAGAAACCCTCAAGAACCACCGGACTCACAACTGCACTAGGCTATTGCTCGACAGCATGGGGATACTCTCACAACCCCGTCCGCTTGACCACAGCAGTCACGTCTGGGAACATCCACCACAAACACAAGCTGGCCTTCCACTATACCTAATAATACCCGTTCACCTCCACGATCAAGTCAAGTTTCTTCGCTGCGCTTTTCAGGTTGATGGTTACATAGCACACACATCCCTTATGTAGTTTGCACAAATACCGAAATCTCAACTTCTCCCTTACCACCTATGTACATGTAAATCCAAGCAGTGGCAACGCCAAGTACCTAGCAACGTCCGTCCCATCGTCGAGGCCCCTCGACCCGATTTGCGTGCAGCAGCAGCAGCAGTAGCAGCAGCAGCACACAGCTTTACATACATACACATAGCCAGAAGGCCTGTTTATTGCACAGTGGAGTTAACGTTGATATATATATATATATTTTTTAATATGGCCTCGGCTGTGGTTATCACCCACCACCCACCATCTATTCCAATGCCATGTCCAGAGCTGTAAACCGTTGTTTAAAACCGTTGTTTAAAAAGAAAAAATAAAAATAAAAATAAAAATAAAAATAAAAATAAAATAAAAATGTCCGCGACAAAATCACCTCCTACCTACATAATTATCGAGCCAAACCCACTGTTGGTACTGTCTCCCCCACGCGAACCACGCAAACGCAGAGGAAGTACATAGATAGGTACATACGCAGGCGTGCCCGCACTGTTATTGGAAAAACGACACGGTAGGGGCTTGGAATATCAAATACCTAGGTATCTTGCATGCATGCACGCCGTAACTATTTAGGTAGCATCATCGTCATCATCATAGCTATCATATCTATTCGCCAAGTGACTGCACTGTATTGTACATACATACACACATGCACACGAACGACCACTGACCGACCACGGACCACTGACCATCGCACGCCGTATGCCATACCCAGCCAGACCTAGCCAGTGCAGTCCACTAACCTTGCCTTCTGCCATACCACCACCACCACACAACAATATCAACAAGCAAGCATGCCCTACTCTCAGCCCCAGCCCGCCGCACCACCCTTCCCCCTCGCCGCGCCCCTGATCCTAAACCCCATCCCTCCTTTGGGTCCCTAAGCAAACGTGTAAAATCAGTGCGGTCATAGACACGAAAAAACGGTCTCGGAGGAGGCATGACGAAATGGAAAAAACGTCACATGGCCAAGCAAAAAGGTAGGTAGGTGGGCAGTCAGGCACAAGGTTGATGATTGCATTTTAACTTAAGCAGCAGCAACAGCAGCAGCAGTAGCAATACCTCCGCCCGAGCACGGCATGCACCACCAGTGCCGCCGGCGCATATATGTGGGAGAGAAGAAAGCAGAAGAAGAGGAAGAAGAAGCAGAGGAACTGGGGAATCATTGTCCAAGTCATTGACCAACCTCTTCTTCCGATGCCTTGACATCGTCGTCTTCGCGCGGCTCGCTGCTGCGGCGACGATGCGGAGGAGCAGCAGCCGCATCGGCAGCGGCAGGAGCGGCAGGGGCTGCAGCAGCATCCTGCATCGATGTGTCCGAAGCAGCCACCGACGGCCGGCGTCGTCTCTCCGGCGACGCGCTGGGCTCGACTGACGACGTGTTCCTGCGTTTCTTGCGAGGCTCGTACCTGTCGACCGACGGACGTCTCTTGGTGTATCTGCGCGGGCTGCGGCTTCTGCTGTAGCTACGCCTGCGACGGCGTTCATCTCGGTGGCGGTCCTTGCGAACATCAGCGCGTGCATCTCTGTCCTCGTTGTCGGAGATGGAAGGAGATCTTTTGTCTTTGCGATTGCCACGGCGGGGGCTCGGCGAGCGGGCAGGAGACCTCGAGCGCGAGGGCGAGTTGCGTCGACGGGTGCGGCGGGGTGGAGAGCGACTGCGACTGGAAGATGCGCCGGATGAGCGTGACTGCTCCCTGTCACGTCGTCTTCTAGGTGATCGTGAGCGAGATCTGTCAGGCGATACGGAGGATCGAGCGCGATCGTCACCACGAGCAGGACTCTTGCGGTCCCGTCTCTTTCTGTACGCCGGGCTGCGAGAGCGCGATCGGTCGTCGGTGTAGCGCCGCTTGTAGCTGCGACGAGGAGGTGTGACTGAGCGTGACGCGGAGCGAGCGTAGGATCCGCGGCGACGGCGAGGCGGTTCCGCAGAGCGGGAACGGCTGCGCGAGACCGTGCGGCGAGGCGACGGCGATCGGGGCCTGCGCCTGTCGTCGCGTCTTCTTCCGCCAGGAACGTACGAGTCTCTCTCACGCCTAGGAGGACCACGGTAGTCGTCAGAGCCCCGACGGTAGGGAGGCGGTGAACGAGAACCACCACGCGGTGGACGACGGTCGAAGCCTCCACGGCCACCTCGGCCTCTTCCGCGACCGCGTTCACTCCGCTCGCCGCGCTCTCCCCGCTCCCGTTGACGGATAGTATCAATGTCTCTCTCACGCGTACGGTCCTGATCGCGCCGCTTGCGGGCTTCTTCGGCGGCCTTCTCAGCTTCAATCTGCGTTGGGCAAACGTTAGACGTGTCTTTTTTATGCGTGGCAGCAACCACTCACCGCTTCCTGCTTCAACTCCGCCTTCTTGGCTTCGAGTAGCTCTTTCGGCACTCCCTGAGGGCTTGACTGGGCGCTTAGGCATAGGTTCCACAGCTCTTTGCAGAATGACGGGGCAGACTTGTCGAGGAAACCAGTTAGCTGGATCTGGAGCTTCTTGATGTCGGGCTGTGAAAGATTGCGTTAGCGGATGTCGAATGGAACAGGAGGGGGGCAACCGTACGAAGCGATCTCCTTCCAGCAGGTTGTAGCACAGCTCAATGACAATGTCGTCATCTCCGAGGATTTCCTGAAGCTTGCTAGCTATCCACCTAAAGCAATGTTAGCATGGGCAAGCTCAGGACAAGCTCCGGAGAAGTGACGCACTTCTTCATGACCTCGACATTGACCTTTTTGATGTCGACTTTCTGATTGAACTCGGGCGGAAACTTGGTCTGCTTTAGCAGCTTCATGTCCACTGAGGACGCCATTTTGGGCGGCCGCGGGGTGCAGCGGCGATCACGGTGTGCAGCGTCGGTGGTTGGAGCGTGGAGCGTCAGGATAGACGGACGGGCAATCCATGGCCGATGCGCATCGCGGCCCGACAATCAGCCGGTGCGGCCATTGATAGGTTTATGAAATACCTTAGGTACTTCTATCTTATCTTTCTTTCTTCACAGATGAAGCATTCACTTGGTGCTTGCGTTGTCACGGCTCATGTACACGCGTGCAGCTGCTCAAACAATGAGACCGTTATCATCATCAATTTGCTGACTACGTACTCATATCCCATGTCATGTCAGCATTGCCGACCTTCTCAGAACATCAAGCAATGAGCGCCGAGAGTGATCAAGTAGCCGGCCTGCCGGCGCATCGAGAAGAACCCTTATTTCAAAAACTTGCTGGCCAGACCCATCAGGCCACCGCCGCTGCTGTTGCCGCCGGACGAGCCACCACTCATCTCCGACTTCATGTACATCTTGATGGCCATCTGTGCAGCTTGCTGAACAGCGCTCTCCTTGCTGGCGCCCTCATGCTACGAGAAACGGCATTAGCAGTGTCTCCACCAAAGCTTGTGATAAGACGTACCGTGTTGCCCTGAGCACTCTGCTGGTCGAACAGCTTGCTTGCCTGTGCCATGGCCATAGCAATGAACTGGCCTTGGCCACCACCGCTGCTGGAGCCTCCTCCGCTCTTGGAGTTCAGGAACATCTGGAGCGCCTGCATGGCTGCCGCGGCGCCCATGTTGTCCGAGGTGGCCTGCGGGGCGCTACTCTCGTGGCCGCCACCGTAGAAGCTCTTGTGCTGCTCCACGGCGTGTTCCTCATTGACCTGCTCGTTGGCAAGTTCCTGCTTCTTGCCCGACAGCATGCCCAGCACGTTGCTGAACAAGCTCGAGTCACCGCTGCCCTCGGCGTGGGCCGCGGCTTCCTCGGCCGCGCCGTGGAATTCGTGGTGCGGCTCACCGTAGCCCGGCGCGTTGGCGTACGGAGTTCCGCTCGAGTTGTAGTATTCGTTGGAGGACATTGTTCGAATCTGGACGGTGCGCGATGTCAGGAACAAAATTCAAGATGAGGAAAGTCTGGCGCGCCACAGGAGAGGGGTCGGCGGACTGATATAGAGATGGGTAGTGTGGCTATGGGGGGTGGGCTGTGGCCGCGGCGGGGTAGCTAAGTGGGGCAAGGGTTTCAGAAGCGACGATGGTTCATGCGGGCGGTGAGGATCGTGAACGCGGAGACGACTTACCAGATGGTCTGCGGATGAGGATTTGTTGTTGGAGATCAGAGGGTGGGTGGTGCGTTTGTTTTTGCTGGGGGGAGAAACAGAACACGGGCGATGTTAAGTTCTGTGTTGTCGTTCCTGATCGACGCGTGAGACTGGATGACGTGTTGCGGGGTCCTTCCTTGAGGTCGTCTCTGCCCGGCCGTACTTCCGTAACGTCATGGGCACGGGATCGGGACATGCAAGCACTTAACCTACGGTGTGTAGGTAAGCCGTCTTTATGCGAACATGTCTTCTTCCATTGTTTCCTTTCGTCTCATCCTACGAGAATGATCGCTATATTTAGGGCCGAGTATGGCTCAGGCTCACTCGGCTTCTCAAGAAACAAGGTCGCAAAGCCCAGTTCCAGTTCCTACTTGCTACTGTCTCCAATACGCATGCTCGTACTCGCTCTTCACATCTCTCCGCATTGCGAAATGGTAACATCCTGCACTGGCTTCTCCCGCTGCGTGCGCGTATTCTCAACCTTGCGCACTACGTCCATGCCGTCGACCACGCGGCCAAAAACAACGTGCTTGTTGTTCAGGAATGGCGTCGCAACCGTGGTGATGAAGAACTGACTGCCATTGCTGTCGGGACCTGAGTTCTGTTGTCCATGTGTCAGCCAACCCCGCAGATCTCAAACATGCGCCGTGTATCAGCGCCATGGCGCAGCGCAGACTCACAGCCATGCTCAACAAGCCGGGCGCATCGTGCTTGAGGTTGAAGTTCTCGTCGGCGAAGGAGCGCGTGCCGTAGATACTGGTCGAGCCGGTGCCGTCACCGTGCAGAAAATCGCCACCCTGGATCATAAAGTCTTTGATCTACAGGGCCTTGTCAGCCATTACAATTTCGGCTGTCGCACTGCGGTCGTTGACCTTACCACGCGGTGGAACTTGCAGCCCTTGTAGCCCTGGGGACGACCCTGGCCGTTCTTGGTCTCACCCGTGCAGAATTGGCGGAAGTTCTCGGCGGTGCGCGGCACGACGTCTGCAAATAATTCCATCTTTATGCGGCCGAGGGGCTCGCCTGAGGGGGATTTGGCCGTCAGCACGTTTTGCGCATGCCTTTAGCCGCCATGCGATGATCCATGCTGTTGCTTTTTCGACGACGAGTGCAAGGGAAAGCGAGATTGAAATGACAATGACGACGACTGGACCTACCACCAAGCGAAATGTCGAAGAAGACGACGGGGTTGGCGCCGGGGGCGCCAAGAGCAGCCATTGTGTGGAGGTGGCAGTGAGGGAGGATTTGGGAAGCGGGAAGAAGCACAGGCTTTCTCGGGCGCGGCGGGACGCTCGAGCGTAACGCGATGCGCGGAATGCGGTATCAGAAGAATTGGGCAGCAGAGTAGGCGGCGGGATTTGCTTGTTTCAGACAGCCCGTATTAATTCCCTGATTCCTGCGTTGCGGAGATGTTCACGTCGCCGTCGATCCTGCCGTGACCGTGACCGACCTCCACCTCCGCCCGTCATTCCCTTCCGTTACCCGCCCGCCGTCTCGTCCTTCTTTCTCTCTCGCTCTTCCTCCCGCCCTCCCGCCTCTCGATACGGCCTTTGTCCCCGTCATCGCCCGCTAGTTTCGCCTGCGATTCACCCGAATTGCTTGCGACTTTTGCGCCACTGCCGCCGACTCAGCAGCCCAGACTCCTCTCCGCACCGTGGCGCTCTTCTGGCCCTCGGCCTGTGACCTCGCTACCCGCCAACATCCTTACGTCGGCCTAAAGCAAGGACGCTCGTCAATCTCTTGCTGTCGCTGCCGCTACATGCTCGCGCAACCTCTCACCGTCTTTGATAGCAGGCCTATCCGCCGCAGTCGCTGATCCTCCACCATGAGCACCACTCCAGAAATGTCCTCCAGTACCCCCAGCCACAGCAGTGGCGGCGGCGGCGGCGGTCCTACCAACTCGCCGCTACTCTTCTTCGTCGCTCTGGGCTTTGGCGTCGTCTTCACCAACCTATGGTACGAAACAGTTTGCGCGCCTCGACTCCGAGGCGTTCCGAGGCTTTGTTTCAGGCCTCGTCGTCACTGAATGCTAACATCCTCCCAGGATCATTGTTGGTGTCAAGTACTGCTTCCGATACAATGCGCGCAATCGCCAGGCCAGACAGAATGCTGAGGGCGACCCTATCGACCTGCCGCCCATGCATGCGCAGCCGCGCCGCCGGAGGAGGGAAAAGAAGCTGATGACCATGGACGAGGTCAACGAGCGATTCCCTCTAATGAAGTACAAGATCTGGCGCTCGGGCAGAGAGAAAGACGGCCTCCCTTGTGCTGGCGGCATCAGTTCTCCTCCAAGCCGTGCTGGGAGCGTCAAGGAGGTCGAGGGAGCCATCGGACCTTCCAATGACAACCGTCAATCTATGGACAGCACACACTCGCACCCTACGGACTCGCACCCCAAGGATTCACAGCCTCACGCCGAACCGTCGTCGCCTTCTTCTCCTGCGCCGCTAAAATCGCCAGCTGTCGAGACAGCCGGTACGGCAGGCGCAGCGGGTGCAGCATCCGAAGCCGATCAAGAAAAATCGGCATTGAAGGCCGATGAGAAAACCGTGGAACTGGAAAAGGTCAACACTGTCGCAAGCACCATGGATGAGCACCCGAAGGAGCACCAGGCGACGGTTGAGGACGACGATGATGAAGACGACGACGACGACCCAATCCAGTCGGCCGCCTCTCCGGAGATGCTGGAAACGCCCGGTGACACCTGTGCCATCTGTCTGGACACCCTTGAAGACGACGATGACGTTCGCGGCTTGAAGTGTGGTCACGCCTTCCATGCTAGCTGCCTTGACCCGTGGCTTACTAGCCGCCGCGCTTGCTGCCCGTTGTGTAAGGCCGATTATTACATCCCCAAGCCTCGTCTAGAGGGCGAGACTACTGCCGAAGCTACGGGCCGCCGCACGCCGGGCCTTAGAGTGACCCTCCCGCAAGCGCCTCACTCAGTCTGGATCGGACCTCGCACCCCTCGCACCCCTCGCACCCCTCGCGGCTCTCGCGGCCCCCGCACGATCGTCCTCGCGGGAGGGTTGCCAAGCCACCAACACCTTAGAGGCAATCATACGCCTCGCAGCGGTGCGCCGCCCAGTGCCGGTCTCCAGTCTCCAGGAGCCGCGAGTTGGACCACTAGGCTCAGCCAATTTCGCACTTCCATTCCGAGCATCCGCAGTCCGTTCGGTCGTAGCGCTGGCACTCCCACCAGCAACGACACACCAGCCACCCCCACGCCCGCACAGCTGGAAGCTGGCACGCGCTGATTGTCCATTCGCAGCTTGGGCCATGCGGCTTGATATTTCCTAAAAGTTTCTCATGCGAGCCTAGCCGTTGGCTATGGCTCTTTACGACCACCTCATGACTCTCTTTCATCACATCCGCCTTGCATCGCGCCTGATCATCGCTCAGCGTAGCGAGGCAGCGCGCGCGCCTGCGTTCGGCGTTTGCGTGATCATCACATCAGCGATCCCCGAGGCGCTTCTTTTTCTTCAGCACGGTTCGTTCACCGTTTTGCGCTCCTGCGATGCATGTCGGGCTTCTCTTTTACGTTGAAGTTGCCTTTTCTTTCAGCACGGCATAATCGGTCTCAACGGCCCTCCAATCGATCATTTTGATCCGGGTTTAGCTGGGGGTTCAGGGAGGCTCTTTTCCTTTTAGTGGGTATCTCGATTTAAAGGACATGTCTTTTCGTTTTTTGCTTCTTTCTCTCGTTTCGCTTGCCCCCTCTGGTCTTTTGCGAAGGTTATGATATGGGATTTTCTCGCTCGCGTCTTGTCGCGGTGGCTCTATACCCCTATTCTCTTCCCACCCTTCCTATTCTCCCCAAATCTCTCCTGGCCCTCGGCTGCGTTCTCGCTCTTGCTTACTGCTTCCTTTTGCTGGTTTGCCAACTCGGCTCGCGCAGCGACAGGGAGTGAGGTAAAGAGCAAGAGCAGCGGTTCGGTCCGGCGGTAGGAAAGACGAAGGGACGGACGGACGAGGAGGAACAAGAACAGATAACGGAAGGACGGAAAGATGGAATGGACGGGCACAAAGACGGACGGGCGAGCGGGCGGACGCACAAACGGACAGGATAGATACACGGGCCCGAAAGGCCAGGATAGTCCAGGACAGGACAGGCAGGCCCATGCCAGGCAGGCCGGAATTACAGGACAGGATAGGAAAAGGACCAGGACAGGGATCAGGACAAGGACAAGGACACGGGGACACGGAGATACGGAGACAGGTACAGGTCCGGGGGGTTTTTATGAGGGCTATACGGGGTCCTTTTTTCGCTTTTCGCTTTCGCTTTCTCGCTCTCTCTTACACATCAGTCTCCGGGGTCAGGTGCAGGGGTGTTAAACGGATCAGGTTTTATTAGCGCAAGGTTATTACGGATTCTAGCTTTTTTAAGTTTTCATATCTGCTTTTTCTTCTTTTCTTTTTCTTTTGGGGGTTCTTTGTTTTTCGTGTTTTTCTTCTTTTTTTGCTTTCTGGGTCTCTCTTTTGCTGTTGCTTTTGCCTTGCTGTTGCTTTTTAAGGAAGGGTGGTGTAGCTCGTAGGAGTAGGAGTAGGAGTAGGAGTGGGGTTTTTAGCTGCCTGTCTACTTAGGTATGTCTTGTCGAGGCACTCTGGTGTCTGTCACTCTGGGTACTGTAGCGAATGAGCGAATGAGCGAGCGTGAATGATAGCCAGCGAGCGAGCGAGCGAGTGGTTGTGGACACGAAATGAAACGCAACGGATCAACAGAATGGGACGGGGCGTATTATGGTTTATTGCTCTGTCTGTCTCTCTCTCTCTCTCTCTCTCTCTCTCTCTCTCTCTCTCGCCGTGGTCTCTAGGTTCTGATTTTGCTGCGTGGCGTTTGGGTTGAGTGTACGTGCGTGCGTGCGTACGTGTATGTGAGCTTGGTACCTATAGTACTTAATGACTCTGGTTTTGGTTTGCCTTGAGGGGTTGTTTTACCTATGGCTATGGCTATTTACATACGCTGATGTGTTGCCTTGTTCTGACTTGTCCATGCGCCTGCTTGTCTGTCTGTCTGGGTGTCTGTTCACGAGAGCTAAGGGGGTGAATTTGAGTGAGGATGGACGCGACAATGCGGTACCTACCTGCCTATGATATGAGTGAGCACGATACGCTTGAACATAATATGGAGGTAAGAGGGATGGCTTGTTTTGTTTTGGGGCGTAACAGGAGTAAGGACAATGATTATTGGTGACATGGATGGATAAGACGCCGTTGCAAACTCTATTGACGTGCTCGCGCGCTCGCTCGCTCGCTCAATGCCTCTACTTATACATACATCTTACCTACCGCATACACGACACACACGCCCAACTGTTTAAACCCCCGCACCCCCCAACGCCCCCCGCTCAATCGCCGCGCCCACAACCCCATCCCCACGCACCACGCCCGTCGTCGCAACGACGATGCGCCGGCCCCGCCCCTCCTCGGCCAGCGCGCGGCTCACGAACCGCAGCGCCGCGATCTCGGCCCGCGTGATGCCGCCTAGGAAGAAGACGACGATTGTCTTGCTCGATCCGCCGTGATTGTTGTTGTTGCTTCCATTGCCGTTCAGCAGCGCGCGCGCCCGCGCCGCCTTCTCCTCGCCCGGCTGCGCCACGTCGACCGTCGCGCCGCGCACGTGGCGCAGCACGTCGTCAAAGGGCCGCCAGCCCTGGGCGTGGATGCTCGCTGCGGCAGCAGGCGGAGGCGTGGGTGCCGGGGCGGGCGAGCCTGTGCGCGAGCCCGTGGCCGAGGAGGCGGCGCCCGTGGCGGCGGCGGCCAGCGTCGACGTGAACGTCTCGGCGCGGCGGGCTGGGTTCGACGACGACAGCGCCGTCACGTACTCTTTCTGCAGGACGCACTGGACGAGGCGCACCGACAGCGGCGCGTAGCCCGAGAAGACGTAGGCGATGTCGTCGGGCTCGGCCTCGTTGACCTCGTCGATGATGAGGCCGAGTGCGCGTCGTGCCGCGCTGTAGTTTGTGCTTGGGGCGGGGCGGGCGGCGCTGCCTCCGGAGCCGACAACGCCAGGGAGGCCGACGCCCACGCCGCCCGAGCGGGGGACCAGCAGGCCCGCGCGCTCGAGGTTCGCCAGCGTCAGCAGGTGCTGGTGCCCGTAGGCGTGCAGGACGGCGCGCTTGAAGTTCTCGAGGTCGCGCGGGCGCAGGCCGCCGTGCAGGCAGCTCTCGAGGCACAGCAGCCGCAGCACCGTCTCGGCCTTGACGCCACGCGCCATCAGCTCCTCGATGTTGTCGTGCTGCGAGCTGGGGTCCGCGCCCGCCACCAGGTTCTGCTGCACCTCGAGCACGCGGCTGAAGATGTCGGACCGCGTGTGCTTGATGATTTCCTCCGCCAGCGAGGTGTGCAGCTTCAGCGACGCCTGCTCGGCTTGGTACCCCGGCAGCTTCGACACAAAGTCGCGCAGCTCTGACGTCGTCTTCTGCGCAATGTTGCGGTTCTCGTACGACTGCTGCAGCCGCCGAGCCACCTTGTTGAGCAGCGGGCCGACGGTGGCAAAGTTCGTGTCTCGCAGAGTGCTGTACAACGTGTCGCTAGCTTCGAGCGGGATCTTGCGCTTCAAGGCTTGCGTCGATGAAGAAGCGCCGGGTTGCGACGGGCCGCCTGGAGCAGAACCTACTACTGACGACTCGACCTCAATTTGGTTGGATTGGATGTAGAACTCCTCGTCAAGGAGCCCTTCATAGGTCAATTGCGTCATGAGCGCGGTGGGAAAGTCGACTTCGCGGTCAATGACGATCAAGCTGTCGAGAACGGAGCTTGGAGTAAGGCCTAGGGGCGAATCCATGCTTGAACTAGGGCTTGCTAGCACCTCTGTGCGCATGCGCACCAAAAGGTCTATAAGCCGGCGCGCGTTGTCTCCTTTGCCCACTATACGTGGGAAAAGACCATGTTTCTCCTGCAGTCGCATGAGTGCTCGCGCCGAGAGGAAGGTCGGCGTCGGGTCTTTGCGCTACAGCTTGTCAGACGATATATCACAACTTCAATGCTTGATACTCACCAGGTAGAGATCGCTAACAGCATCATCGAGTTCCAATGAAAGAAGGTCGTCGGTAAGCGGGACAAAGTCCAACGGCCATTCTGCCATGTTGACCTCGCCTAGGACGCCTGCTTCCTCGAGGACCTGGTCGGCTACGAGTGTCCGTCGCGGCACCCAGAAGATGGAGAATTCATGATCTGTCTGGCTGCTATGACGGAGCTTCTTGATTTGCTCTGGGAAAGAGACATGTTAGCATGCAATATTGACTCTCCGCTGGCACGGCAGACAGGAGGGTCTGTAGACCATGCATCTGTGAATATTGCCCTAAGGACACGATTAGCCAGGCAGAGTTGGCGACTACTGCGTGGCTAATTTTTGATTTGTGCCGTCCGAAATGAATAGAGCATGAAAACGCAGGAATTGATCTAGGGAAGTGACTGACCACGCAGAGATGGCACCTCTGCCCAGTCTCTTTTGATCCCAATTGACTAAAGGAGACGAGGAGATACAAAAGAAATCAAAATGCACATACCGGCTACGGCGAGAGCCGTCTTGGCCTTGTCGCCGCGGGCAATGAAGACGACGTTGCGCTGAGAGGAGTCGATGTTGCCATTTTCCAGGAAGAATGGACGGTCGACGCCGTATTCTTGCAATTGGGAGAACTTGACGAGCAGGTTCAGGGGCCCTGACAGCGAGCGCTCAAAGACAATGTTCTTCCTGCCGCGTACCTGTGGAGAGGGTCAGCGGGCAGGGCGGCGGCGGCGGCGGTGGGGAGTCTTACTTACGCCTTCAAGCAGCCCGAGCAAGCTTCGGCGGGCGGCATCGGAGATATCGGACGGGTTCAGGGGGGCGGCATGGGGTGCCATGATTATTCGGCCCTACATGAAGAAGAAGAAGAGGAGGAAAGATGGTGGTGTTGAGGGTGGTGGTGATGATGCCTGTGTCGATTGCTGGCGCCTCGGGCCGTGCGCCTGACGTGGAGCTACTTTTCTTCGCGCACGCACTTGACTCAACTTAACGGCCAAGGTAGTAAAGCACTTACCGTTGTTGACGTCGCGTTTGTTGTATGCAGAGCTTCTCCCTCGCCCTTCGGAGATCCCTTCGATCCGCACCACAAAGGCCCTCCGCTTCCATCGTCGTCCTCTCCCGCCGCACCTTTGCCCGCACCCCGCTTCGCCCCCACCAATACCCAATCGACCGCGTCATGGCTAAGGACAAGGGCGAGAAGTCCAACTTCCAGCTCAAGGTGCCCAAGGGCACCAAGGACTGGGAGGGCAAGGACATGGTCATCCGCGACAAGATCTTCAGCTCCATCACCGACGTCTTCAAGCGCCACGGCGCCGTCACCATCGACACGCCCGTCTTCGAGCTCAAGGAGATCCTGGCCGGCAAGTACGGCGAGGACAGCAAGCTGATCTATGACCTGGCCGACCAGGGCGGCGAGCTGTGCTCGCTGCGCTACGATCTGACCGTTCCCTTCGCGCGCTGGCTCGCCCAGAACAGCTCCGTCACCTCCATCAAGCGCTACCACATCGCCAAGGTCTACCGCCGCGACCAGCCCGCCATGACCAAGGGCCGCATGCGCGAGTTCTACCAGTGCGACTTCGACATTGCCGGCACCTACGACCCCATGCTGCCCGACGCCGAGATCCTGCGCATCACCAGCGAGATTTTCGAGGCGCTTGGCTGGAAGGGCCGCTACACTATTAAGATCAACCACCGCAAGATCCTCGACGGTATCTTTGAGGTCTGCGGCGTGCCCAAGGAGAAGATCAGGACCATCAGTAGCGCCGTGGACAAGTTGGACAAGGTAGGCATTGCGACACGGGCAATGGCAGGCGCATGAGAGGGCATGGGCTAACAGATTACATAGTCGCCATGGGAGGAGGTGCGCCGCGAAATGACGGAGGAGAAGGGCCTCGACGCCGCCGTGGCCGACAAGATTGGCGAATTTGTGAATCTTAAGGGCGGCGAGGACCTCCTCGAAAAGCTCAAGGGCACGGAAGCTCTTACGAGCAACGCGTCGGCGCAAAAGGGTCTCGAGGACATGAGCCTGCTGTTCAACTACCTCAACATCTTCGGCGTCATGGAAAAGATCTCGTTCGACATGTCGCTCGCGCGCGGCCTCGACTACTACACCGGCGTCATTTACGAGGTCATCACCGAGGGCTCCGCGCCCGCGACGGCGTCTGGCGCGCCCGAAGCGCAGAAGGCGCAGCGCTCAGGTAAGAAGGACAAGAAGGCGGCAGCCGACGGAGAGGAGGACCGGTCAAACGACCCGAGCGTCGGAGTCGGTAGTGTCGCCGCTGGCGGCCGCTACGATGAGCTGGTCGGCATGTTCAGCGGCAAGCAGCAGATTCCGTGTGTTGGTATCTCGTTTGGCGTGGACCGCATCTTCAGCATCACGAAGGCCCGCATGGAGGCCGAGAAGAAGGCCAACACCGTGCGCCTGAACGAGGTCGACGTCTTCGTCATGGCCTTCGGCGGCAAGGGCTTCACGGGCCTTCTGCCCGAGCGTATGGCTGTTGCCCGCACCCTCTGGGACGCAGGCATCAAGGCCGAGTTCAGCTGGAAGGTCAAGCCGAAGCTGCCCCAGCAGTTCAAGGCCGCGGAGACTGGCGGTGTTCCCTTTGCTGTTATCCTGGGAGAGGATGAGCTGCGCGAGGGCAAGGTCAAGATCAAGGAGATGGGTCTGCCCGAGGGCCACCCGGAGAAGGAGGGTCTTATGGTTGAGAAGGCGAACCTGGTTGCTGAGGTCCGCTCCCGTCTCACGGCTTACAACCAGAAGCAGGCTGGTGACAGTGATGTTGAGGCGGTGACGGAGAAGGTTGGAGAGGTCAAGGTCCAGGACAGGGACGATGTGCCCGGCTCGCCGCCTGTCATCCCGCAGGTTTCGTAGAGAGAGAGAAAGTAGAAGAAAGGCGAAAAAAAGACATGGATGGTATATACATATATACAAACGCAATGAATGAATAAATGGCGATACCCATATTGTTGTGTTGGTACAAATACATGGTGGAAATCTAGCTGGCGGGGAGCTTTTGGAAGGGCCGCGCGCTGGCTTCGTTCTGGACAGCTCCGACCCCGGGTTTCCCGCAAGCTGCATCCAACCATAACCCCACACACCTTCTCCTTTATCCCCCAAGTCATTCGCACCCTCGCACGAGCTCCAAATCTCCCCATAAGGTTACCGCGATTCTGTGTTGGGTCAATGCAGGCATAGACTGACTTCATGCCGGCAGCAACGTCAGCGTCGCTGGATTCGGGTAACATTCCCTCCTGCACCCTCTATAAAGTTGGATACCCCTCTGATGCCAGTCCAAAGCCGATTACAATCCCATCGACCATCTCAACTCCATCTTCTCCCACCCCACCACCCTCTCCTCCGTCTCGTCCACCTCCGCCGCCCTCCGCAACTACCAATATGACCTGGACGAGGACATCGCCGACGTCGTCGGAGCCCAGAGCACCTCCGACGCCGAGAGCGTGCGACACATCAAGAACGCAAAGGCTGAGCTCGATGTGCTCTTCAAGAAGATTGAGGACGTCCGGGACCGCGCCGTCCACACGGAGCAGTCCATCACGGAGATGACCGCCGACATCAAGCGATTGGACAACACCAAGCGCAACCTGACCCTATCAATGACGGCGCTCAAGAGGCTACAGATGTTGACGACGGCATACGAGCAGCTCCGGGGGCTGAGCAAGGCGCGCCAGTACAGGGACTGCGCGCAGCTGTTGCAGGCCGTCATCCAGCTCGTGGCGCATTTCAAGAGCTACAGGTCCATTGACCAGATTGCGACGCTGAGCCGAAATGTGGCGGATCTACAAACGGGGCTCTTGGAACAAGTGTGCGAGGACTTTGAGGTTACGTTTGCGAAGAGCGAGGTTGCTCAGAAGAGGGGGATGCTTGCGGAGGCCTGCCTGGTCATGGACGCTCTGGGAGAGCATGCGCGATCAAGACTCGTTACCTGGTACTGCAACACTCAGCTGCGAGAATACCGGCAGGTGTTCCGCGGAAACGATGAGGCTGGCTCCCTGGATAACATTTCCCGGCGATACTCCTGGTTCAACCGGATGCTCAAGACCTATGACAGCGAACATGCGGCCCTGTTTCCGTCTTCCTGGAGGGTCAACGAGGTGCTGGCAAACGCATTCTGCGAGGGCACTAGAGAGGACTTTAAGGGCATTTTGCAGCGCTCGACGAGGACACCAGGTCAGACCATTGACGTCAATCTTTTGCTTTCATGTCTCCAGGAAACGCTTGACTTTGAGCACAGCATTGAGCGGCGGTTCAACAACAACGAATCGCGGTCGTCGATGGATACTGTGGTTTCAAAAGACGAGAGGAGCACTACAACCTTCACACAGGCCATCTCCGAGGCATTCGAGCCGTACATGAGTCTTTGGATCGAATCGCAGGACAAGCAGCTAGCCGCTTTGATACCCAAGTATAGACAGCAACCACTCCGCAACCCCGACGAAGAATTCTCGCCGCAATCCGTAATACCTTCATCCACCGAGCTTTTCCACTTTTACCGCCAGACATTATCTCAGTGCGCCAAGTTGTCCACTGGCGTACGGTTGCTAGAGCTTTCGAAGACATTTTCTAGGTACCTGGAGCTATACGGGCAGCAAGTACTGTTTTACTTCCTTGGAGGCCGGACGGGAATGCAGGAGCCGCCTATCGAAGACATCATCCTTATTTTGAACACCGCCGATTATTGCTACGTAACCTGCGACCAGCTCGAGCAGAAGATCAAAAGTCGGATAGACGAGGAATACAAGCCGGCCGTGGATCTGCAGAGCCAGGCAGATGCGTTCATGGGCATCGCGAGCGCAAGCGTGCGCGCACTCGTGCGCAAAGTAGAGCTTGATTGCGAGCCCGGGTGGCGCGAGATGCGCAACACGCCGTGGAGCAAGCTGGAAAGCGTGGGCGACCAGTCGGGCTACGTGGGCGAGCTGCTGCGGCACGTCAAGGAGCGCGCGGCGGAGATTCTCAAGTACCTGCACAAGCAGCAGTACGCGCGGGCGTTCTGCGACCACCTTGTCGACGCCATGGTCAGCACGTACATCCTGAGCATTGTGCAGTGCAAGCCCGTGTCGGAGGTGGGCGCCGAGCAGATGCTTCTGGACTCGTACGTGCTGAAGAAGGGGTTCACGGAGCTGTCGACCATCAACGAAGAAACGCCGTCTCAGGCACCCGCCGCGTAAGTCTTCCCTCTATCAGCATTCCATACAAAAAACAAACACTAACCACGGCAAGCAGCTTCGTCAAGCGCGTCAACACGGCCATGTCCAAGCTCGACCCCCTCCTCAAGACGCTGCAAGTGCGGCCCTCGCCGCCCGAGGCCCTCGTCCAAGCCTACCTCATCCACATTTCAGACCGCTCCGACACAAACTTCCGCAAGATCCTCGACCTCAAGGGCATCCGCAAGGCGGAGCAGGCGGCGCTGGTGGACCTGTTCGCCGCGCACCGCGCCTCGGCCGCCAACGCCAACTTGCCGGCGAACTCGCCGCTGCTGACGCCGCTGCAGATCAGCAGCGGGGGGATTGGCGGCGGGGCGGGCGCGTTAGGCTCGAGTGCTGGTATGGGAATGGGCATGGGCATGGGCATGGGCATGGGCATGGGCATTGGTGCGGCAGGGGGAGGACGTTTCGACCCCTCGACGTTTGCGTCCGGCCTGATGAGCGCGGCCAAGGACGGCGTGGACCGCTTTGGCAGCGCGAGCCCCGCGTTAGGGGGTGGTGGTGCGGCGGGAGCGGGGGCGGGCCAGGGCCAGGGCGAGGGCGTCGGCGGCGTGGCGGTTACGACGGCGAATTTGAATGAGAATTTGAAGAGTATTGGCAAGTTTTTTAGGAGGGACGTTGGTGGGTTTGGGAGATTTGGGAGGGGTGGCGATGGGTAGTAGGGCAGTGGGGTTGGGAGGTGGGAGGTCGGTGAGAGAGGCGTGGGTGGGGGAGGAGAGGCGACAATTAATACCATTGGTACTTACAGTGTGGTTGTTTAGTTGATTGATTGGTTCTGATGATTGTGTGGTGCGAGTGTGAGTGTGAGTGTAGTTTGGATTGAGGTGGTGGTGAGTATGAGTATAAAGGACAGAGAGGTGGTTCACCGTGTCTATCCTACCTAGCTATGTTGATCACGCCTCTCAAACCTCCCTATACCTTCCGCCTCCCAGATACATCATAACCTTAGACTACTAACCTTATGCTACAATGGTGGTACCTCACCCACACCACACCTATACCCGGAACCCTCCTCACTAGGTGTATGTGCATGCGTGCCTGAGGCAACTACATAGGTATGACGCCGGCGGCTGCGAGCTTAACTCCGCGCGCGCCGGCCTTCGACGTCAACCTACGGACAAGCTTCCACATCTATACACACACACACACACACACACACACACCGCTGAGTACACACACGCATAGCTACCTACGCAGCCTCTCGCCCTCACTATCCACTACCTGCCTACCTACACGCACACGCACGCTTTCGCGCGCCTACAACTACCAACCAGCGCGCAAAACCACCACCACAAACCTAACAGCCACCACAATGCGCATAGCAGAAGTCCTCTCGGACCTGACCTCGCTGCGCGTCTGCGTAAGCTCTTCCCCCATCTATCCCCTCACCCCTCACTTCCCCAACCCCACACACACACACACACAAACTAACTAACCACGCAACACAGGACCCCGCCGCGGCCCTCGCCCTCGTCTCCGCATCCTCCTCCTCCTCCACCACTACAACTTCAGCAACTTCAACAGCCTCCGGCGCAGTCACGTTGGCGCATCCACAGCCCCCGCACCAACCACAAACTCTAGACGACACGTCCACCTCAACATCCGCTCCCGCAGCCACGGCAGCAGAACGCAAGGAAGGAGAAGAAGACGCAGACCTCCGCCGCGCAAAAGACCTGCTAGCGCTGCATGCGTGGTTCAAAGGCTCTGGCTCTGGCTCTAGTAGCGCAGGCGCAGGCGCAGAGCTAGGGCTCGCGGCCGAGATGCGCGCGGTGCGGGAGCGGGTGGGGCGAGCTGTTGGGGGGGTGGGTGTGTGAGGGTGTGTGAGGGTGTGTGGGTTGGATTGGGCTGGTAGTGACAACCTATGGTGATGACGATGACGTCGGCATGGAAATGATAATGAATGGTTCTAGGTATGGAATGAATGATTGTGCAGGCAGGACGTCTACCTATGTAGCTCCGCTTGCGGGCGGGTTGCGGCATCTCCAACTCCGTCTCCGTTGGCCGCCGCATCTAGACAGCCGGGGAAGCTTGTTCTTCTAATCCTCCACCAACACCAACAACAACAACAACAACAACAACAACAACAACAACACTATTTCTACAACATGCAAGCCCCTCCCCGTGTCCCAACACTCCGATGCCCGTACAATGCCTACCCACCCACCCACCCACCCATCCATCCATCCATTCACCAGCAAAACGCCATAACGAACGAATGCCCAAACAACCAAACAAGCAAGCCCAGACAGACCCCCGCCGCCACCTGCCGCCCAACCAATCAATCAATCAAAGCCTCTTCTTTTCCCCTTCTTTTCCCCTCCTCTATTTCCTCCCCTCATCATCCGTGCTCAGCCCATCCCCAGCATCAAAGACGTCGTCCTGCGCCCCATCCTCGCCCTCCTCATCATGGTACGACCCAATCTCCGCCGCATCAGCATAGTACGCCTCGGTATGCAAGCTGATATCGTCCTCCGCCTCGCGCAGCACCTCGGCCGCGGCGCCCGCCTCCGGATCATCCGCATAGTCGCGGCCGACCTCCTGCCTGCTGTGCCCCCTCACGGCATCGCGCTCCTCCTGCTCGAGCTCGGCCGCGCGCGCGCTCGTCTGGCGGTACATGAGCCAGCCGGTCAGCACGCCGGCCGCAAGGCCAATGACGATGCTCACGTAGCTGATGGCCTTTGTCTTTGCGTCCATTTCGCCGCCGTGCTCGGCCAGCTCGCCAATCTTGGCGCCCACAAACACGTGCAGCAGCAGCTTGGGGCTGACGAGCGCCGTCGCGAACATGAAGGCCGCCCAGTGCACGGTCGGGAACGTGGCGATGGCGCCGTTGGAGAGCGAGTATGGCAGCGGGCATAGCCGGATCATGATCAGCAGCTTTAGCCCGTCGTGCTTGAGCGTCAGCGCCAGCGCCGCAAACCGCGAGTCGTTGGCGATCAGCCGCGAAACGAAGCGGTGCAGCACCAGCCGCGTCGTCAAGAATGACGCCGTGCTGCCGAAGATGGTCGCGCTGGCTACGATGAACCAGCTGAGTGTGTAAAGTCAGCATACACGGCAAGAAAAGGAAAGGGAACAGATGCCCCAGGGAGCAAAACACAAAACAAACAGCACTCACCCATTCGGAAAGCCATACACGAACCCGGCCAGCGTCACGCAAGTCGAATACCCAATGAGCGGGGGAAAGCTCACAAAAAACGTCATGAACCAAAGCACCAACCAGCCGCCCTTGACCTCCCGCCAGCGCGCCGCCAACGGCGCCAAATAGCCAAAAATGCGCTCATTATAGACGAGGAACAGGACGCCGAAGACCATGGCGCCCAGCCCAGCCACGGCCAGCAGCGCGCGCTGCAGCGGCGTCAGCCGCGCATACAGCCGCGCCCCCTGCCGCTGCAGCTTCTCGGCCGTGGCCCGCAGACCCGTTGTCGCCGAGGCTCCTGCTACGGGCGACAGGAGCGCGGCGGATGAGGAGCGGTGCCGTCGTTGCCGCTGCCAGGTCGGGCTGAAGCTGCGGCGGTGTTCGGAGGGCGGCGAGTCGATGGGCAGTGCGAGCGCGCGCACGTCGTATTCGTCTGAGGCGGGCATGGTGTGTGGGGGCGGAGTCTCTCGGAGAGTGTGGGAGGGAGGAGCGGCGGTATGTATGTGGGTTGGTGGAGGTACGGCGTTGACCTAGGTGAGGTCGGCCGGATGAGTCGGCGGCGAGGGCACGGCCGAAGGGAGAGGATGAATGGTCGGTAGGTAGGCAGGTACGAGGACGTAGGAGATAGGTATGTCGATGAGGAGAAAGGTTGGGTCCAAGGGTGTCGTCGTAGGGACGTAGAGTAGAGTAGAGAGAGAGAAAGAGAGAGGTAGGAAGCTAGCTAGCTAGCGATACTGCGTTGGCGGCCACACCTATTCGTGCTAGGAAGTTACCGGCGACGGCGTCGTGCGTTGTTGCTTCATGGCGCTCCCGCTCCAGCTGCGAGGCCGATCACGTAATATACGTCACTAGGGTGAAATGGAATCCATCCATTGATGCCAAAAATGGCCCCCAGATGCGAGGCGGGAGATGAACGCCCGCGCCCGCCCGTCTGCCCTCCGATGCGTTTGTTTCAAACCCACCCGCTTTCTTCCCTCGAGATTGGCTGCGTTTCATCGCCCGTACTGCGCCGCCCTCGCGTATGATGTCACGTTCTGCATACTGCTCCGCCCCTCCAACTTCTTAGTCCAAAAATACCTTAGCTCTAGGTAACTTGCTATATTCCTACGCAAAACCTATCGTACTTTGCAAACGTAGAAGAGTATATGATTTGAGATTTATTCATTTCGTTTCCCGCCCGCTCTGTCACCTAACCCTCGGCCCCGTGGGCACGCCCTGAGATCCCGCCTGAGCTGCAGTGACAACCCTGACCTTTGTACTCTCGCCCGGCTTCTCTCCCAAGCCATCCGCTTCGCTGCCAACGCCGCTGTCTCTGTCCCGCTCTCGCCCCTCCAAACTCCGGTCCCAGGACGAAGGGTCGATGCCCAGGATGCCGCCGACGTTGCCGCGGTCTCCGGGCACGCTGAATTCCCGGAACACGTAGCGCCATTCGTTCAGGAAGCCGCGCACGGCTTTGCCGACCTTATCTTTGCCATTTTTGCTGTGATGGCCGGTGCCCGTGATGGCATATACCGGTCGAGATGAGCTTTGGTGCGCGAGCAGGATCTTGCTAAGGTAAGTGACAGACTCTTCCGGGTGAAGGCCTGGTAATGGTTAGCAAGCACTAACTGGAAATTTAAGAAAGAAAAAACTTACCATGCAAATCAACATAGAGCTCTTTGGCGTTCGGGCCGTTGTCCTTATTGCGCTCGTTATAAAGGTGCTCTGCTGCCTCCCGATGAGCGGCACGCATGAGGTTGTTTTCGCTCTGGCCGCGCAGACTAAGAGCTTTGGCAGCCCGGGAATCGTTGCGGTTCCATGCTTGAGCAGCGCTGTAACCGAGTCAGTGACAAACGGATTTTTCTACAGCTAGTGGATTACAAACCTCTGTAGAAATTTATTCCTCAAACCACCATGCTTAAAGGCTTCCTGCCTGGCCTTAAGGTAAGACTTGTTTACAGCATCGCCACTCTCAAGCCACGGAATATGCTCGGGAGCAGGGATAGACTGAGCAGCCGCGCTATTTTCACGGCTTCCATTGAAGCTCCTCGCCGGCCGCAGGCCTTTACGCAATTGGGCAGGCCCTGGTGAAGGAGACATTCTCACGACATCCGCAAGGGTGCTGGGGGTACCATTCTCTTTATTGCCGTGTCCATGGCCACCGCGCTTGCCGTGATGTTTCTTTCCGCTTTTTGCAGCAGCAGCTGAAGCCAGACTTGGGAATGCTTCAGGATCGTCAGCCGATGGCGCAGACGGTGTAGACGCACGAGAATGCGAGGCCTGGCGGCTGCTGGAAGGGCGTGAATGGCTACGGCTTCCACTTGGAGTAAAAGTGGGGAAAGGGCTGAGGCCAGGAGGAGGTGCTACGACTCCACCGGAGCCATAGAATTGTTCCAAAGCCGTAGGCTCTAGCGTGCTTTGGAATTGGTTCGCGAACTGGTGGGACCCGGTAGACTGGAGCGACGGGAACGCCTCATAGTCTTGAACTTGGAAGTTTGGCTGAGGGCTATGGGTGGGCGGGGTAGAGTTTCCCTCAAGCATCATCTTGGCCATGAGGTTGGTCGGATCATGTGAGAACAGACAAGTGTCTCCTGCAAGGCAGGTCCCAGACAACCAGTACCTTGACAGAATTAGCCACTCAATTCATGCAAATCGCAGTTGGGCTTGCTACTTACTTGCAGACAGTCTTGCTCGGATCGTGACTAAACCTACAGTCTGCCCTCGCGCATTGCCCAGTCGCAAGCCAATACTTGCAAAGAATATGGGTTTTGGCTTGGCCGGCAGGTGTCGCAGGCCTAAAAGCAGGGCTCATGGATTTACCGACCAAGACGGTCCTCTCTGGCTCACTGGTCGGTGTTGAGTGGGACAAAGTCATGCCTTGCGAATCCATCAGCGCCTGAACGGTGGCGGTAAAGTCGTAGCCGTTTGACTCCAAGGCCTTTTCGATATCTTCGTTCGAACGGTCGTCGCGTAGGATTGATCGCAGCATGTCGTAGGGGTCCATGTCCATGGTGTACGGCTGGACCCATTCGGCAGCTGCCCCGTTCAGTCCACCATCCCCCTGGACGGAGGATGAGGTGACGCTCGCCACATCGTCGTTCACCAGCCAGTCTACCGTGTCGCTGCCATAGTCGCCATAGATTTCAGGAGTGGGGCTTGAGTCGCTGAACTCGTAAGCGTTCAGGTTTGGGCTGTGAGGAATATGCGGGGTCGCGTAGGCGAGTCGGGGGGACGGTCGGGGCGAGGTAAAGGGCGACGCCGTGGAGGACTTTGCCCGAGAAAAGCCAGGGGGCGCGACTCCAAAGCCCGGCGGTGGGGGGATCCTTGGCGAGGAGTTGGACGGAGTCGGCGTTCGTGCGACTTGCCAAGGAGCTGGCGACGAGCGACGTATGATGGTATGGCGGACGGGAGGAGGAGAGGCGGACGTGTTGGTCGCGCCGCGAAAGCGCCATAGGCTGTCGAGAACGGCGTCTTCAAGCGCTTTGCCGTCAAGGGAGGTCTCTTTGCGGACGAGCTCCTCGAGCTTCTCCGTCTTGTCCTCGTCCTCCAGCGAGTCGTCCTGGAGGACGGGCAGACAAAGCTCGTAGACTTCGTCGGAAACCATTCTCGGGGCTTAGGTCGGGAGTGCGGCCAAGGGCATAGGCCGAGCGAGCAGGTACGTGTAGGTCGGTAGGTGGGTGGTGTGTTCCAGCTGGTGTGGGTTCGGGGCTCGGCGAGCGGGCGAGGCGCAATGAGTCGCTGAGGCGAGCGGCTCAAGGTGCGGCGGGGTTAAGTGACTGACGTGGAAGCAGAGACGGACAGGCACGCAGGAAACGACAGCAGCGGCGCTCAGCTGGCCAAACAGGGATCGAGGGTGGTCGGTGAAAGGTGTTCGGGGGTCCAGATGAGCCTAACGGACGCGCATCATCGCCTGGAAGTGTGGGGAGGGGCGGGAGCCTGTGCTTGTGCTTGCTTCTTCCTTCACATGTTCAGCTCGACACTCAGCTTCGACTCCCAGCTATGTAGCCGTCTTCTACTCTTGCTGCTGCCTCCCCCGCCCTTTCCGCCTGGCCACCCTTCTTTTCCAGACGCTTCCTCGACCTGCATCGTGCGCCGCTCGTACAGCATTGCAGATTGCGCATCACCAACCGATCCGTCAGCCCGGGCTCCCTTGCATGAGTTGGTTTCAATAGCGTCTTTTGTGCTGGCTTGCTTGCTTGGTTGTCGCCGCCCGCTACCGTGAGTCAGCGCTTTGTTTCACTTTCCGAGCCTCCCGAACCGGGGTAGCATTGCACAGGCTGAATTCGCAGTCATATCATCCATATGACTACACAACTGAGACGTGGCTACCCAAGACAAAATCGTCTTTTCATGCTCTAACTACATGTCTATGTTGCTTACATCGCTTTCTCTACAAAGCCAAAAAAACGCTGTATGCTAGCGTTACGTACGCCCAGATCCACGACTGAGAACATATCAAGGTATCTCCTCATCATCGTCTCCACCAAAACCAAACGTGAAACCACCCTGCTCCTCACCATCTGCGTCATCGTCACCCTTTACCAGCTTCTCCCATTTCCCTCTTCCCTTGGGTCTTCCCTTCTTTTCGAGCTCCTTCATCCCCTCCTCTAATAGCTCCGGGTACGCATCCCCTAGTCTCTCGACAAACAATCCAAATGGGTCCGTGATTTCGTCTTTGAACCCACTAACAGAACCGGCTTCATCTCTGAGAAAGCCCAAAACGTCCGCAAGCTTGGCTCTAGGGACGAAATTTTGCGTAAGCGCGATGCTCTCGTCGAGGTTCAAGACCAAGTGGAACCATCCAGACGGGACGTAGAGGACCTCGCCAGCATGACAAATCCCTTCGCAGCATCCGGGGGTGGCGCGTGCGAGAGCGTGGAAAGACAGCAGATATTCTGCTATGCTGAGTGGTGAGGTAATTTCGGAATGATCCTCGGAAACTATCACGCCTGGCGGTGGCGGTAAGTTTGAAGATGAGGGAAACATGATCCAATATTTCGAGCCTGTCAGAACGGCGTTCCACGCACTGGATAGGAAATGAGTCAGTGATTCTTTGGGAAAACTTCAAGTACTCTTTACCTTGTGGCGTTAGGGTCCTTGTGAAATGTGCTTCCGCTCCTAGCAGGGCCCATGATCATCCAACGACTGTCTGGTCGTTTGTCTCCCAGCACAGCAAACAAATCCTCGCCGAAGCACGTTGGCGCCCAGTAAGCGGCATCCTTTGCATTCTTACCCACAGAAATCTCCATCTTCTCGGCAAAGCCACGGTCGAAAAGGTACAAAGGACTCTCATCGCTGCTATTGTACATATAGTCGACATACTTCTTCAAAGGCCAATCCACAGCCTCAGCGCGAAAAGCAACATCACCATACTTTCGAAGGAGTGATTGCGTGGTCCACTTGCCGTAAACGGGCCACTGCTTGACTGGGGATGTGAGGATGAACGGTTTGTTTGTCCATTTGGTAGAAAACTCTTCCGTGGTGAGATCACTCAAGCGCGTGATCTGGTTTTGCGGTGGGATGTTGGCCGCATATGGCCTCAAGGGTGTATAAGTGCACTGAAACGGCCGGTAAAGGACATCAGAGAAGAGACCTGTGCAGTCCACTTGGGCTTCTTGGGTCACCGGCATAGACAGATATGTGGATCGCCATGAACCGCGCCATTGAAAATCCGATGGAGGAGATCTGGCATAGAGTTCAGTATCGCGGACGGCATTTATACAAAACAGACATTGCTCCATTGCGTTATATCATACTCTCAACGTATGGTTCATCTTTCTGTGTTCACTCGACATGTGAACATCCTGTGTAGCCTCCTTCCTTAACTCTACACCACCTGAAATACAAACAGAAAGGATGGAAATGATCTGACAGTTGTAGAGGAGATAGAACTTCCAAATCGCAAGAAAGAAAAAGAGTGAAGAGAGAAAGAAAGAAAGAAAGAAAGAAAAAAAATTGTACTGTAACTTACTCGATGAAAAGAGCTCTCCAGAGATCATCTGACCTAGTGAAAGCAAAAAGGGCTTTGCATGTTCCTCCAAGGCGCATCAGTGAGGGCGCATCTAAAAATTCCAGAAACTGAGCGAGCAGCTCGTCAGACAAGGCAGCAAAATGACCACATGAGGCCTTCAGATTGATGTCTGCTGTCAGGGCATTCCCTGAAGGCTTGACGCCCAAGGGATGCGGCGGAATCGCTGCGGGTTCTTCAGCATCGGCTTCTGACTGGAGATCCGCTGCGTCAAGCCGGAGCCTCTTGGTCGGCCTTGCGAGCGTGGAGTCATCGGCAGAATAGCCTTCTACTGGCACGGCTGAAGGGGTCATTGTGTGCCCCAGCACAATGGATCTGACCGAAAGCCGAAAACGGGTGTGCGTCCGTTAGTTGCAAATGCAGCGCCCCGTCTGCAAAGAGGGCTTCAGCAGACTTCCTAGTCAGTGGCAAACCGGCAATAAGCCACCAGGTAAACGGCAAAGAGTCACCGGAGGGAAAAGTCTGTTCGTGGTTTGCCTGCAACACAGCCGTTGGAAACCCACCTTCACTGCTCCACTAGCGCCTCGCTAATTCGCCTGCCCGCCTCTACAAAAACTTTTAACACTGTCCTCCCGTCCTCTCCACCATCCACCAGTCAACCACAACCCAGATATACCCTTACCTCACTAGATATCCCTTGACTCTCATCTTCGAGAGTCCGGTATCTAGATTTTCAGCGCATCTCGAGTCTCGCACAGCGGCGGCATCCAACGGGATCCCTTCCGCTCGTAACCCCACCACGCACGACAAGCTCCCGATCGCAGCGCAGCGCGTGTGATCTTTTCGCCAAATCGCAATCATGGCTGACCAGAAAGGTCTTGAGGAGGTTCCCGAGGGTACGTTTGAGTCCTTGGTCGCCGGTCGCACAAGCGCATTTCGGAGCGCTGCGAACTGCGAACCCCTCGTTTGGTCCGCGCAAAACTGACGATCGCCACGCTTTGCAGGTCAGATCGAGTCCAACTACGATGAGACGACCGACTCCTTCGATTCTATGAACCTGAAGGCTGAGCTCCTCCGTGGTGTCTACGCCTACGGTTTCGAGCGTCCCTCTGCTATCCAGCAGCGCGCTATCATGCCCGTCATCAAGGGTTGGTACATCCCGAAAACGGTGTAATGGACGAAGGACTAATCTGGACCTTGCAGGTCACGATGTCATCGCTCAGGCTCAGTCCGGTACCGGCAAGACCGCTACCTTCTCCATCTCCGTCCTCCAGAAGCTCGATGCCAACCTCAAGGAGTGCCAGGCCCTTATTCTGGCCCCTACCCGTGAGTTGGCTCAGCAGATCCAGAAGGTCGTTGTCGCCATCGGCGACTTCATGAACATCGAGTGCCACGCCTGTATTGGTGGCACCAGCGTTCGTGACGACATGAAGGCCCTCCAGTCTGGTGTTCAGGTCGTTGTCGGTACCCCTGGCCGTGTCCACGACATGATCCAGCGCCGCGTCCTCAAGACCGACTCCATGAAGATGTTCGTCCTCGACGAGGCCGACGAGATGCTTTCTCGCGGTTTCACCGAGCAGATCTACGACATCTTCCAGCTCCTTCCCCAGTCCACCCAGGTCGTCCTTCTTTCCGCCACTATGCCCCAGGACGTCCTTGAGGTTACCACCAAGTTCATGCGCGATCCTGTCCGTATCCTGGTCAAGAAGGCCGAACTCACCCTCGAGGGTATCAAGCAGTTCTACATTGCCGTCGAGAAGGAGGACTGGAAGCTCGACACCTTGTCGGATTTGTACGAGACCGTCACTATCACTCAAGCCGTCATCTTCTGCAACACCCGCAGAAAGGTCGACTGGCTCACCGACAAGCTCACTGCCCGTGACTTCACCGTCTCGGCCATGCACGGTGACATGGACCAGGCTCAGCGTGATGTTATCATGAAGGAGTTCCGTTCCGGCTCTTCCCGTGTCCTGATCGCCACTGACCTTCTGGCCCGTGGTATCGATGTCCAGCAGGTCTCCCTGGTCATCAACTACGATCTCCCCGCCAACCGTGAGAACTACATTCACCGTATCGGTCGTGGTGGTCGTTTCGGCCGTAAGGGTGTTGCTATCAACTTCGTCACCGCCGAAGATGTCCGCATGATGCGCGAGATTGAGCAGTTCTACAGCACCCAGATCGAGGAGATGCCCATGAACGTCGCTGGTAAGTTCAAGTTTTGCTCGACCGCATGCCTATGTATACTGACCATTGTACGCGCAGATCTCATCTAAACGATTCCCCTCACGATTATAGATCACGAGTCTTGGCGACGACTGTTTTGGTGTTTGCGCTCCTCGAGTCATTCGTCGCGGGGCTGGGTGGTCTCTTTCAGGTGCGCTTTGCCTGCGGCCGCACCGTTGGCAGTTCTGCGAGCTGTCGCAAAAAAGCTGAGAGACCTTGGGCACTTTAGTGTTTGCATCTCGGCGTTGAGTGCTTTCTTGTCAAAATGATTTCCACAAAACGGGTGCCTTTTAGAAATGGACGAGTTATCATTGACTTTATGGTTTTCTTGAGAACTCGGCTTTCTTTACATCGGCTCTGCGTTGTATGTAGGGGCACCGCGTTTAGTTTTCTGGGCACGGCTGTGGATGTTTTTCCACGACTAGGCGTGCTTGAGACGACGGTAATGCTTTCCTATTTCCTTAATAGATGGTTCATGCTCTATACTGTACTACTCGTGATGTTGCATGCTCCCAATGGTCTTTTAACCCAAGCTCTGCTTTGCGGTCATCTCTCGTGCTGTGCATTTCCCATCAACCCTCAATTTCAGTTCATTGCACCAGGGCAACGTCATCTTCCTTGGCTCTCGGGCAAGACAGGCTATCAAATCTCGTGCAGACTAACCTACCTCAAGAAATTCATATTTCGTTGTATCGCGTAGGTACTTATTGCAATGGTGTTTGTGAGCTCGTGGGTCGCGACTTCCCTTTCAGCAACCCTGGACAATCCAAGAGCGCCGCGCTTCGCAGCTGCCTGCCCCCTCCAAACATGGAGCTCACAGATTTCCTAGGTATTCCCTCTCTCAACCTAGCCAACGTTGACTTCAACACCAACATCCCACCGTACTCGTTGAAACGGGTACGGCATCATCGCGCCAACGCGACTACTTACGCAACACAAACTACTTAAAGCTCTCATACAAAAGCCGCAGCAACAAGAGTGCTTCTTTCTCAACCACTCGCGACTTACACACAATTTTCGGCTGGCCATTGCGGTTTCGCCTGCTGCATTAACAAGAAGTTCATGTGGCTTCACTTATTGGTCACGATAACAACACGCCTCCTTGCAGCTCGAAGGGCTCGGCTACTCCTCCTACGAATACTTCTGGAATCGATTGTCTTGTGTGGCAAGGTCGTCTGGCTCTGCCTAGATTACCCAGAATTCCGAGTGCCTCTCTACATCAGTTTTCTCTTCTTCAACCATCAAGGCATACCGTTGCTCTTGGCCGCTGAGACGTACACTCTATGGTCTAGGTTCTCCATTGCAGTGTTCTTTGTTGTCATCGGACTTGTCCTCGTAACTCACGATTACTTCGGCATCTACATTGATTGGATGGTCGATGCAGTAACGTCCGGGTGTCTCCTCGGCAGTCTTGTCGCCCTCTTCCTTCTCGGGGCCATCAGCGGCGCTAGTTCCGGTATTTCCTACGCAATCAAAGGGTTTCGTGCAGTAATTCAGGCTAACCGCGTCAGAGAGTAGTCCAAAGACAAATACAGCGAGCGGTGCTGTTCTTCCTCGGGAAAATATCATACATTCGAGGGAGCTGTCGCGAACTTCTAGTCCTACGTTTAACCAGCAAGCTAGGCAGACATCCACAGAGAAACTTTCACAATGGTACAACGGCCCACCAGTCCCTCATCGTTGCTCTGGTCACATCAACTCAAACGCGAACACCTTTCATTGGAACAGCGAGTTGAAGTATCCGAGAAAAATGTTACAAAGCTTGATACGCGAATGCTCGCTCTAGAGACGGGACAACAGACTGGCAGAGAACAACTGAAGGAACAAGAGACTCGTCTTTTAGAACACTCCACACTGATCTCATCCATTGAGAAAGACGATGAACACATGAAACATTGCATCAACCAACTGTCTGCAGACAGGACGAGACGCTTACAGGAGGTGGACAGGAATATCAAGATCTTAACAACTAGAGTCGAAACGCTCGAGACCCAGGAAAGAAAGACGAATGATAGACCTGAGGATGGACATGATCAGCAGCAGGAGATGATTGAAAGAATAGGCGAGCTTGAGACCTCGGTAGAAACTTTGTCAAGAGGTCGCGGCAAGCTCATGAAGAAGAGCGACAACCGTATCGTCGAGACCTTGGAAAAGCGGATGGATGTACTAGAAGCCCGCAGGACCGAGGATCTCCAACAGGTCAAGCATCTGCGAAGCCAAGTGTCAACCTTGCAGGAGTCGAACACAGAATGGCAAACGCGGTACAAGAAACTAGAAGAGAAGATGTCGACCACAAAACCTCAAAACGACCATTCCGAAAGCCGACTTCATGATTTGCAGACTACCCCCCAGAGTGAAGAAGGACGTCACTCGACCCCTCCCTCGCAAAGTCCAGTGCAAAAGGGCAATCAGCGAATACTAAGAAGGTAATGCTTGCCTGTGGAGCTTCCTAATAAAAATCGGCAAACCCTTAAGTGACGAATATTGAGAAAAGAGCAAAGCTGACATAGACCAAACACAACAGCCATGCAGTGCGACGCAAATTTCCCATTCATCGCCACTCACCAACGAAAGCAACAACCCATGGAGCAAGGACGGACCTCCACCTACCGTCGCGTCACTTACCAACACGGCAGGTTCATTCACATACGCGTACAACACGAACCGAAGCAGAGCCTAGAGCCTCTAGAAGTGCGGGCAGACCAGCGATTGTCCGTGACGAGGCCACCATGCAACCAGTGAGACAGGAACCAGCAGTCAAACCATCTTCCAAAGACCTACACAACATGATGCACATGAACCAAGCATACCCTCAGCTAGACAAGACTCCATCCACTGCTCTTGTTTCGCAGTCAATAATTCAGAACCTGCCAAAGCTCGATGTTCCACAGAGAAAGCGTAGAAAGAGGGAAATTGTTCAGCCTTACCCACTATCGCCTTTGATCGAATAAGCTACATCCTGCGAGGGAACTGTACAGTTTTCTTCAATTCTGCTCAAAGCTTGTCTTTGGCGGCGCACCGTGGCTTTACGTCTCCTTGAACTCATATGGGCCTTCCCGGTCCCTCACCTCAACCTCCAGTCCCGCTTCCTTAATCTCTTTACCATCGACGCTCAAGGCCGCTTTCATGACATCACCGGTGCCAACGGATCCGACTCCTTTCGGCGTGCCGGTAAGCACAATATCACCCTTGTCCAGCGTCATGACTTTGCTGATATCTGCCAGAATCCGTGGTATCCGGAACAGCATCAACTCAGTGTTGTCAGATTGTCTGACCTGGTCATTGACAGACATACTCAGGTGCACATTATGCGGATCCGTAATTATGGACTTAGAGATCGGACCGGAGATGGGTAGGAAAGTGTCAAACCCCTTGCCAATGGCCCATGGAAGACCCTTCTTCTTCGCTTCGTCCTGGACGTTACGGGCAGTCATATCGATAGTGAGGAGATACGCTATATTGACGGTAATATTAGCATTTTTGCTTTTTTAGGGCTAGTAAATGGGTCATAGCAGTTACTTTAGGTAGGCAGCAATTCACGGGCTTGTTCACTCACACTCAATGGCATCCAAAGCGCCCTTGTCGTCATTGGGATCGAAATCGCGGAGCTTCTTCCCCATGACCAGGCCCAATTCAACCTCGTAATGCATTGTAACGCCGCGCGGGCGCAGGACGGGACCCTCGCCGGGCAGCAGGAGGGCGCTGGGCGGCTTCAGGAAGAAGAAGGGCTGCTTGGGCCGCTGGTTGTTGAGCTCCTTGATGTGATCGCTGCGCGGGCATGAGTACGGCGCCAATTACGATTCGGGAGACGGAGTCGCATACGCATAGTTACGCCCGATGCACATGACCTGCGCAGACACGCTCGTGGGTCAGCAATTGTCTTCAAAGCGTGGCGCGGCGGCTGGCGACGCGTATGCGCGCGCGTGCTGCTGCTGCTGGGGAAGGGCTTGGTGGCTTCTTTACCTTGCGGCAGTTGTTCCTGATGGCGTTCAAGGTGGCCATGGTGCTGGAGATGGGGCCTGGGAGAGGGTGAAAGGAGGCAGTGAGGGCGGGTGGAGGAGGTGGTTAGAAGAGGAGGTGGTGGAGGCCATGCTCGGATGCGTTGCCGATGAGGGCTGCGGGTGGGAGCTCCGTGGCTCGGGGAGCTTGGACCCGGGCCGAGGGCGCGGTGACCGAGCTGGTCTTTTTAGCGGGGTTGGCTTGACTTCCTCTAACTCTTACTACATATTCCTAACACACCTAACGTTCATCGCCCACGAGCGAGTTTCACTGTTCGCCAAGCGCACCAATTACCTAGACGCTCCTGATGGCTACGTCAGAGATAATCTACATACATACACAACAACCCACATGTATAATTTTGGCACAGCCATCATCTATCGCTGGACTCTAATTAGGCACAACATTCACACATCTAAGAGAAGGAATTGAATATATGAGGACAGAAAGATGCTGCTAACCATAATCTAGATAATCAGTATTTTATCTGTTTGCCAACTAGAGGCTCTCTCCGAGCCTCTTGTCAGTGCGCTCGCTAAACGGTGAAATCCGCGTATAGGTGAGCTAAGTTACACGTATATACAAACTACTGTCGATGATATCACTGTGGCTTGGTGAGATAACACCTGGTGACCTGTTTTTGTTGCTTTTTGTGTAACCTCGGAGGCGGAGATCACTTTCTGCATGTAAGACGGCTAACTATTTAGAGCTATTATTGCTCAGTCTGAGTGGCCTTTCCAAATGCACTGCATCGGGATCTATAGTCTTCCAGTTTTCGGTGTTCAGCTCTTCATACATATCCTTTTCTTCTCAAACCTCGATCTTCTGCTCCTCTTTTTCTGCTCTCTTATCAAATCCTTCTGATCCCTCTTTAATGAGCTCCCTCTTACAGAGTAACGAACCTTCAACGTGTGCATATGGCGGAAGTGGTTGGTCTGATTGCAAGCGTCGCCACTTTGGTCGAGTCAGCAGCCAAGCTGGTAAAACTGATCAACAGATTGACTGACGCGCCGGACGAACTCCTTGCGCTTTCCAACGAGGCAAACGATCTCCGCCTTCTCCTGGCCGAAATCGAAAAGGCAACAGCAGATCAGCCGGAACTGCAACTCAGCCTCGCCGGCAGCCTTCAGAACGCAGACGACAAAATCAAAGCTTTACACTCGTTCTTGCAACAAATCGACATCTCTAAAATCAGAGCCAAAGATCGCTTGAGATGGGTTCGAAATCGAAGCAAGGTTTGCGCGTTGCAATCCGGATTTCGCGAGGCACGACTTCAACTGAGTGCTTTACTCGCTACAAACACTTCGTATAAACCCTAGTTGGTCTGTAAGAAAGGACCATATCTGATATTTCTACAGTTCTAAGGTACATCGGACGGGATTAGTTCTTCAGCAGATTGATCTCACTACTTTGGCGTCAGCTCTTGAGCTGGGAAAGATCACAAATCTCATTCTTTACCAGAATCGTCTACTCGAACAGATACAACAGGGACCGGTGCAGCTACAGAGCCAGGCTGCGGTACCCGTTGCCGGAAATACTCGAAATATACACTCTAAGTCGAGTTATGCTGCTGTATCCGTCCGCAGATCCTCTGGACGCCGTTACCCTCGCGATTGTCAATGTACATGCCACGTTCGGCTGAAAACGCAATCACTGACAACTCGCTTCTTTGGGTCCCTCTTTCTCGGGTACTGTGGCTCCCCATCTTCTACTCAAGTCTGTTCGGAAAAAACATGCAACCGGAAATGCAAGAACCAACCCCTTCAACTAGCTCTCACATACTACTTTCCCAATTGGATGTTTTATAAGGCCATCTTCTTTGCTTTCACTTGGAGCCCGCTCTCGGACCCTTCACTGTTCTTGAGTATACGGAACGTTGTTCCAGGTAACTCCCCTTGGATAGTCGCTGCTAAAACCGGTAATGTCGACAGTTTCAAACTGCTTCTCGAAACAAGACAGGCGAATCTCAATGATGTCAGCTCTTGGGACGGGTTTACCGCACTTTATGTAAGTCATGGTACACTCAAGTAGCGAAGCTGTTATTGGCGCTTTCACTGAGCCACTTGAAACGACAGAATGCAATGACAAGCAATCAATGGGATGCATGCGAATTTCTTATCCAACTCGGAGCCAACACTAATAATAGTGATGAATACGGGGCGTATGATATATCTCCCCCAGTATTCTCATCTCCAGCTAACAGTTCATAACAGAACTCTCGTTGACTGGGGGTGGCTGGAAATCCTCACTCGGGGACTGCAAGACAAAGACAGCATGCGTATCCGGGAGTTACTTAGAACGGACATCACGTTCTTGGATGACCAATGGCAGCTACCCCGTCTTCACAAAATTGTCACTGGGGTCCTTGAGTGCGACCTTTCTCAGGAACTTCCGCACCATATTTCTGAGATAAATGCTACAGATTCTAGGGGCAGAACAGCGTTATGGTGGGCCGCAAGGTCAGGCAACTTCGAAGCAATGCGCCTATTGCTCGAACACGGAGCAGATGCCACTATCATTGGCCGATATCACGGCTATACACCTCTTCAAAATGCAGCTGGGAGCGGTATTAAGCAAACGATTGAGTTGCTTCTGGGGAACATCAGACTCAGAAACGGCCTTAAAAGCGTATCAGAAAAACTCACGATCTTTTTTGGACGTTCCAGATCAGAATGGTCGGACACCGCTTGTATTCGCAGTTCAAAGAAATAACCTCGACTGTGTAGACCTTCTCCTAAGTTTCGGTGCTGATTATACAGTACGAGACAAGAAAGGCAGAACTATACTACACCATGCTGCTGAGAAGGGAGATGCGTCGCTACTGGACAACCTTGCGGCTCATGGCCTCTCAGGAATCGATACCGAGGCTCGAAACAAGCAGGGAGATACCGCTCTTGACTACTACAACAGTTTGGCGGAGGCATTGGAATTCGACCAAGACAAAACCGACGCGTTCTATCGCCTATGGGAAAAGGTCACGTCAACATCGAGCGACGATGCCGAAGCCCCCATCATCGAACTCTCTGACGATACAGACGACACGGACTCAGTAGAAGGCAGCGGCTCAACAATCAACGAAGAGAGCGGCTCCGGGTCAGATGAAGAAGACGAATTCGTGGATGCCCAGAGCTTCTGAACCTGCAAGTTTTGGCTATCGTGTCTCTCATTTCCAGTCAAACCTGTTCACGCGCCATTGGCTTTGCCATTCACATATTGCATTTATCCTTTTCAGCTTTTCGGGCGTTGGTAAGACTTGAAAACGAAATTCCGGTCCAGCGTCGTTTGTTTTGTTGTTTGTGGGTTGTGCTTTTTCCTGTATTTACTCTGTCAAAATTCAGTAGGAACCAGAGGCAAATGGCACAGTCTTGTCCTAGGTACTCCCGATAGCAACAAACATGTTTCTTTTGTCATATAATGTTTCAGCTCTTATATGCGGTTCAATTGAGAATGGGTTTAATTGCGGGTATGATCTTGAATGTGAGACTAGGTGTGGAGCAGGGAATAGGCCGTGTGAGGTGGTCTTATCTTTGTATATTTAAGTGTTTTATTTCCTCGTTAAGGTCAAATAATCTTGATTCTGTCACTCAGTGATAGTGACTGCATTTCTCCTTATATCACGCCTTATTCCACAGTAAAATACGGACTGGCATCATGATTTCTCGACCAACAAAGGCGAATACAGATAGGGAGGTGGCACTGAAAGGTCGTGTGTACCTAAGTTCCCCTTGAAAGATGTGAACGACTACACTGCACGAAAGGTTAGGTGTAACGCACCTGAGTTAACAATCCATGATACAATTCGATGGAGCTTGGATGTCCGTACCTAGAGAACTATCTGATAGTTAAGGAGAATTAGACTAGTCATAATTATATGGGAAAAAAGTACAAATAATGGCAGGCGGCAGAACTTAGAAGAAGTAATGGACTGGCATCCTCTGCCTATCCCAAAACCTATTGACTTGCTCACAGTGTCACCTCCTTGCTGGCCAGCATATCCATGCAGTAAAACCCACCATTGAGGGTTACTACGGTAGAAGAGGCAGCAGGATGAACAAAGGGACGCGGTTGCGCTCACCAGGCGGAACCGAGTCAGTCAAGTACTCCATTCACTGGCCCATGACTCAAGCCGCCGCGATAAGATAGGCGCATCTAGCTCCGCCAACGACGACAGCTGCTGCCTCTCCGCAACACCCTCCTTCACTTCATTCTCCCTCTCTCCACCTCCAAGATGAATCCCGATACCCTCGCTTCGGCAGACGTCACGTCCGCTCTGCAGCAGCTCGAATCCGCAGACCCGTCCGCCAAACCCGCCGGCTACAATGAGCTGCTCACCAAGGTCCTGGAGACCTCCACGCCCGACACCCTCGCCGCCAACCTAATTGCCTTCCTGGAATCGCTGCTGGGCGAGACCCTCGGAATAGTAGCTTCCCGCCCACTGCTCGCATCCTTCGTCTCCCAGTTCCGCCAGATAAAAGACCCCGACGTCAAGATTGAGGCCGGCAAGCGCGCGCTCGAGCTGCTTCACCCCAAGGTCGTCTCCTACGAAGAGCAGGACACGCAAATTAAGGAGATCCTCGCCGACTCGTACGAGGAGCAGGAGGACTTTGTCGCCTCGGCCAAGATCCTCCAGACCATTACGCTCGACAGCTCGCAGCGCGCCATCTCCGCCAACGACAAGGCCAAGGTGTGGACACGCATCGTGCGCTGCTACTTGGAGGAGGACGACCCCACGTCCGCAAGCACATACCTCAACCGCGTCAAGACGGTCTTCCACGACGTGTCGGACAAGGCGACCAAGCTGCAGTTCCAGCTCTCGCAGGCCCGCATCTACGACTCGCAGCGCCAGTTCCTCGACGCCAGCGCCGCCTACCACAGCATCAGCGCCGAGACCATCATCGAAGAAGGTGAACGGCTGCAAGCCCTCTCCGCAGCAATCGTGTGCGCCGTGCTCGCACCCGCAGGGCCCCAGCGCGGTCGCACTCTCGCCCGACTCTACAAGGACGAGCGCGCCTCGCAAGTCGAAGAATACGGCATCCTGGAGAAGATCTTCCTGGACCGGCTGCTGAGCCCGGCCGAAGTCGAAGCTTTCGCCGCGAAGCTGCAACCACACCAGCTGGCCAAGACAGCCGACGGCAGCACCGTCCTCGACAAAGCCGTGCTCGAGCATAACCTGCTGGGCGCGTCGCGGCTGTACACGAACATCGGGATTGCCCAGCTGGCCGACCTGCTCAACATCGACGCCGAGCGCGCCGAAGGGTACGCCGCGCAGATGATCGAGCAGGGCCGTCTGGCCGGCTACATCGACCAGATCGCCATGTACATATACTTTGAGGGCGAGTGCTCGGGCCAGAAGAAGCAGACGGGGCATGTGGAGCGGCTGGTGGGCGGGGAGCTGCGCAAGTGGGACGACAATGTGCGCGGCTTGGCGGAGGAGGTCGAGCGCGTCACAACGATGATCCAGAGCAACCACCCGGAGTTTTACGCGCAGCATATGGTTGTTTGAAGCAGCTGGGTGCGTGGGTGCGCGGCTGGCTAGGGCGAGACGGCGATGACGACGAGGGGAAGCAAAAAGGGATTTCGTTCGGGCTTTTTCTTTTATGTTTGTGGATCATAGCGATTGGCGTTTTTGCAGGCGCGCAGGGCAGGGTTGACGGGAAGAGAAATGAAGCGAGACGCGTAGAGCTGCCGGCGCGTCGTTGAAGAGAGCTACCTACTTACCTATCGACCCATCGAGTATCATGTCTAAAGAGCAGCAGCGGCGGTAGCTTGCCAGCCAGTCAGTCACCAGACAGGCCCGTCCAAATACTACTACTATACTACTACAGTACTTGTTGAGCGTGGAAGACTGGCTCGCTATACTGGTTCAGTGACGCTTTTTACAGACCTCTGGATGGCTTCCTGGGTACATGCGTGCATGTTTTCTCTGTACGCAGCTTGACCTTCAACTCTACCTACCTACCTACCCACTACATACCACCTAAAATTAAAATACCAAGCAGGGTATGCGTACAACTTAAGATAGTCTCACTTCACCCATACCCAGAATTCAGGCTTATAGCTAGCTAGCTGGACAAGGCGTACCCCATAGGGACCGCCTGTGTTATTCTCTGCTTCATTAAACACTAAATATCTCCCCTCCTCTCTTCACAGTGAGGTGAGGGCCAGGTATGAACAGATATGAAACCGATTTGCCATTCTTTACTTTGCCTTTCTTTACTTATTTACGTACTTGCTTATTTTCGATATTAGGGTATGTATGTATGTAACTATATATATATGTATGTATATATGGACCAACTGCCGCGTCCTGTCTTTTCCTTTTCCTTTTTTTTTCCTTCTCTCCGCCTTTCTCTTCCGGACTCTCCCTCTCCGCTCCTTCCTCATCCACTCCTACCCCACCCTCCCAACCACACACCTATGTATGTATGTACTGTACCTCGGCATCGATATACAACCACTCCCACCACCACCACCAAACAGCACATCAGCAACACCAGCAGCAGGAGCAGCAGGAGCCAAGCCAAGCCAAGGCAATTTCTCTTTTTTGCGTTTCCCTGACCATGACCCTGACCCTGTCCCCCCAAGCAAAACGACCAACCACACGCCATCACCATGCTCGCAAGACATACAAACAGTGATGATGGTGATGATGATGATGGAAGTAAGTCGCCCCACCCACGCGTAAATCTCGTCCCTGTTCCTGTTTCGTCCTTTCCTTTGCTTTCCTTTCCATTCCCGTCCCTTCCTGACGCCATCCGGATGCGCCACCCCTCCCATCGTTCGTTCGTTTGGTCATATTTCTTTCCTTTCTCTCTTTCTTTCCTTCCTACTTTGCCATCCCTTGATTCCTGTCGAGGACTGCAGGAGGGGGGAAGGGGGACGTGCTCGCGCCAGCCGGGTAGCGGTCTCGCCCACGTGGGCTGGCTGGCTGACTGGCTGACTGACTGACTGACCTGCGTTAAGAGTGCAGTGCGTGTTGGTTGAGAAGAAAAGAGCATACCGCATGCACACATCCGCAGCAGCGAGCTCCTTTTGTCCAGCCAAGCGGTGCGGGCAAAGCACAGCAGAGCAGAGCAGAGCAGTACACACGCACACACACAAGCACCTACTCCACGCCGACGCCTCACAGCCCCGCCAACACGCCCTGCACCCCCGCCGAGCCCGCATCCTCGCGATTGCGCACAAAGCCGCGCAAGCCCTCGCGCTCGGCGCCGCTCACGCCGCGCAGCCGCTCGCGCAGCGCCTCGGGTCCAATGACGAACAGGTTCGCCACCTCGACCAGCACGTCCATGCCGCCCTTCTCGAAGCCGCCCGCTGCGCCGCCGCCCCCGCCGCGCTTCGAGTCGCTCGCACCATCCGCGCCGGAGCCCGTGCCGCTGCCGCCGACGCCGCTGCCGTCCCCGCCGCTGCCCGCCGTCGGCCAGCCGCGCACCAGCTCGGCGTACTTGGTCGCGTCTTTGCTGACCACGAGACCGCCCGTCAGCGAGACGGTGAAGCGGCGGAAGTGGTCGAGCAGGAGGGCGCGCAGCCCAATTGCCAGCTCGCTCAGGAAGAGGCCCAGTGCCGGCTGCGCGATCGCCGCTTTGGCTTGGATGGCTACGCCGTTCAGGAAGCGGTCTACTGCCAGGCAGGTTGGCGTCTCGGCGCCCAGCGAGACCAGGTCGTCGTCCTTGGGTCGGAAGTCCGTCTTCTTCTGGCCTTGCAGCAGCTTAGTCGTCCACGCCAGCGTCACATCGATCGTCTTCTGCAGAATGTTGGAGATCTTGTTCTCAAGGTTCGTGATCGTGGCGTTGGCGGCCTTTTCGATCTCGCGGCGCGTCGTAAGACTGGGTGATGCCAGCGGCAACAGGACTGTTGAGATAGACATCTGTAGAAGATGCAGGATGCCAATCGACGTACGCAGTGAATACATATATGATGTTTCGGGTGTGGCATTACGGGTGTTTTCTTGCGAAGTGGCAAAGTCGGCGGTTCTAGGGATGTCAGTGACTAATGTGTAGGTATGGGGAATTTTGAAAAACATACGCGTCCAGTGCCGTTTCCAGGTAGACCTCGCCAAGATGGGTGAGTAAGAGCGTGAGCAGCGCCTGTACATCCTTCGGCGTTTCGCTGTTCGCACTCAACTCAAGGCCTCTGCCTACACCTTCTGCAAGCCATTTGAGCATACGCTTCGAGATTGCCAAACTTAATTGACCATCTTCTTCAGTGACTTCGATCTCCTTGTCACTGTCTGCCTCCTTGAGGTCGGCAATCTTCAACATCATATTTCTTTGCGAACTTGGCAAGTCGGACGATCCGAGTCGGTCGATGTAAGCATCTTTTGCCGAAGCGAACAACTCCCTACCTCTCTGACCAAGCGATCCAAGGTAAGACGTCGGAATCTTACGCTTTTTCGACTATAACTTGTGTCAGCATATCTACCGACGAGGTGACGACGGATACCTACGTGATATAGAGTAAACTTGAATAGCAGCGAGGAATACAGCTCTTCCAAGTTCTTCCTTTCACGGTCGATATATGACGAACCAAGTAGGTACGGTACGAAGAGATCATCCAGCTGCTGGTCCAGGGTTGCAGCCACTTGTGACGAGATGGGTTCTGGGTGTTCAGTCAATCCATGTGCTTTCAAGTCATCCACTAATCCTCCAATGTAGCTCCTAGCAGCCTGCAGTGATCGCAGGAAGGCTAGAGACGAAATCGAATTGGCCTTTTCCAGGACCATTTCGAGACGGGCTTGGATCTTTCTCTGTTGTCAGCTTAATCGGGGAGGACGAAGAGGGATGCAATACCGATTGCTGGAAGACTCTTTGCAAGAACCGCACCAAAACCTCATCATAGTAGGGGAAGGCCCGCTTGATAATAAACGATTCTTCCTGAACAACTAGCCTCACCTCGTCCACAAGAGATTGCAGAGAAGGCTCAACGCCGGGGGGTTCCGTATCGGGGTCAGCAAGTCGGTCCCATCTGTACGGAAGGTTAGCAGCCGAGTAAAAACATATGGTTCGGTTTTTGGTAAAGTACGTTTCAGGATCTATCGCGAGCTCTTCAGTCACAAGCTGGCTTCGATCGATAAAGAACTGGTGCTGGTTGACAAATAATCCCATGACACTTGCACCATCATTGAAATCGCGTAAAGCAGCAGCGCATTCCTGTGATAGTCAGCATATATCCAAAGCCTGCCGTTTGATACCAGTGTGATTCGCACCCTCATTCCGTCAAAGTTCTGCCTCCGGTAAAAGTCGTCAAACTGTTTGAGCAAGTCCTTCTCAAGCATCTCCAAGAACTTTTCTATAATCTCTCTCGTGTTGTGCTTCTTCGGACTTGATGGCGCATCGGCGTTGTCGGCACCATTCGTCTGTCTGTTGCCGTTGACCTGAGTCGACCTTTCCGGATCCAGTCGATGGCTAAGCCGGAGCAGTTGCCGAGCAATATGCGCGCAGCGGACCTTGCCGTCTCCACCCCCTAACCGTCTGACGTCTTCCAATGACGACAAGTCCCCGCGCTCACTGACTTCCATCCAGCATTGTATGAGGAATTTGGCATCCTGTGCGCGCTGCCTCTGCCGATCTAGCTCTTCTAGCCGTTCACCTATCCTCACGGCAACATTGCCTCCGGTTTCCCCGTCGACACCGTCGGTGACGGCACCATTGAGCGAGCTGTCAAGCTGGTTGAAAGACTCGACAGCATTGTCAAGTTTGACGCTCAGCGACTGGACCTTTTGGTTGTGTTGCGCTTCGGCGCGGCGCACCGAACCCGACAATTCGTTTTCCTGGAGCTCCAATTCTTCCGACAAACTGCCCAGCCTAGCCAGGGCGGCCTCGAAGTTGCGGATCAAGGGTTTCGGGTCGAAGGCGACCTGGCGAGCGGGGATCTGGGAGCGACGGTTGACAGGGACGGCGGTGTCGGAGAGGGTTTCTATAAAGTCCTTGACGATGAAGTCGTTGGTGGAGAAGGTGTCCAGGGAGAACTGGGGCCCGCGGTAGGACATGCCGCGGGCGCTGCGGGCGGAGACGACCGAGGCCGTGTCGGGCTGGAGGGCAGGCATGGTGGTGCAGTCAGTAGGCGACGGGCATAAGCGACTGGGGCGTAAAGGCGGACGACGGGCGGCGGCGGGCCTCCCTTAGCTCCTCGCGGGCGGCGTGTTCCTGGACGGCGCGGAGATCCTCGTAGGAGCGGAAGGGGAAGTACTGCTGGTAGGGGACGCCGGGCGGCGGGTGGTCGTGCAGGCCCTGCTCGAACTCAAAGGGCGTTACGCAGCGAATGGACTGGTAGCCTGGCGGGGTGTGTCGTGGCGGCGTGATGCGGGATCTAATGGATTCGGCGTCGTCGGCGGCCTGTGCGCAGCTGGAGCTGGAGCTGGAGACAAAGACCAGGACGAGCATGTCCTTGAGGCGGGCCACGAAGCGGACGAGCTTCTGCCGCGGCTGCACGCGCACCTCGCGCAGCTTCTGTCGCAGGCGCAGCACCGTGAGCTTCCTCCTGGTGGGCATGCGAAGAGGAAGAGCGGGAGTAGAGAGTGCAGAGAGCTGAACCCTGTGGTTAACAGGGAAATCAAGCTTCCACTGTCCAAGGGCTCGCCAAAATTGGCACGGGCTCTTTTTTCGTCACGGGCCGGAGCGGAAATAAATGCCAGAGAGGGCCAGTAGAGGGCGACCCGTGGGCCTTGAGCAATAATAAATACTTCCTGCAAGCAATAGCGTGCCAGCACACGGTTGAACCACCACTTGCTATCGTGCTCCCATTACCCACACGCCAGGGGCGCCACATCTGCTCTCGCGCCGAATTGCCCCCATTGCCCACGGCCCTTTCGTCCAGAGCCTCCAGTCGTTCGACTCCCGCGCCAAGCCCTTGCCTATGATCGTCGCGTCGCCCCGAACTTCTTGCGCCTCTGCGCTGACGTCTCCCCCAACAACTCTCCCAGTGTACATACCCGTCGTGCCGCAATGATTTAGCCCGTCCCCTTCTCTACCCTCGTTTTTATTCCCCATTCTCCTCACCATGGTCGGCCTGCGCGAATCCACCGCCCTGCATGCAGGCACTCGTCCTGACGGCCGCCCATTGTCGGCCGGCGAGCGCGAGTCGCTCCTCAAGCCATACCTTCCCTCCGATGATGACTCCGATGAAACCGTGGACCCCGCCCTCTCCCAGAAAGTGCCGCTGAAAAAGACCCGACGTGGCTTTGTGCGCACTCAGCTCCACGTGTTCCTCTACACCATCATCCAATTCGCCTTTTCCGTCTACCTCCGCATACGTACTACCTACCATGCTGTCGCCGACAAGATCTTCGCAATCTTGTATTACCACCACCGCTCGCCCCAACTCATTCGCAAAGACGTCAAGGACTTGGACAGGCTGCCCCAACACTTGAGCATCATCCTTGACTTCAACGACGACGAACAGCGAGGCGCAGGGCTCGAGGGCTTGATCAATGATATCAGCGAGGTGGCTGCCTGGTGTGCCAGCGCTGGTATCCCGGCACTGAGCGTCTACGAGAAGACAGGTACGCACTGCTCCCGCTATTTTGCTTCTGAAGCCATCTGGTACTTACAACTCTGCAAACAGGTATCCTGAAATCGTATATCCCCCAAACCCATCGCAAGATCTCCCGGACTCTCGAGTCCTATTTTGGCACCGTTCGCAAGCCTACGCTTTCCCTGCGCGCACCGCACCTGCCGTCCTTCAGCCCGCCTGTTACGCCGCCCCAAGAACCTGCCGACAGCCGCCCCGGCAGCAGCCAGAGCAACCCGCCGCCGCATCTCACCATTCTCCTCCTCTCCGCCGACGATGGCCGTAGCACGCTGGTGGACCTGACCAAGACGCTGGCCGAAATGGCGCAGAAGGGGAAGGTGGCACCGGCGGACATTAGCGCAGAGCTGGTCGATGCGGAAATTACTGAGAGCGTTATGGGAGAGCCAGATTTGCTGTTGATATTTGGACCGAGAGTGCAGCTGAAGGGCTATCCGCCATGGCAAGTCAGATTGACAGAGATCTTGTGAGTCTCACCTTTCCCCCGTCACTCATTTCTCCTTTCGAAACTCCCTGACTCGGGTGCGATATTGCGCTCTCGGACCATTGCTAATATGCGTTATGATAGCCATTCCCCAGACACGTCAGGTGTGGGTTACCAGGCCTTCCTTCGCGGACTGCACAAGTACGCCAAGGCCCAAATGCGCCTCGGACGGTAAAGAGCGCAATCTTTCGGCCGAACCGAAACATTCAGAATACGGACTTCGCGAGACGCCTGAGCGTCTTTAAATTAGGTGTTTTTGATTGGTGCAACGGGGTTTCCTTTGGCATTGTATCGATTGAAAGATACCCATTCACGCCGTGTCACTTGTGGCTAAACTTTTAAACATACTGTTGTCGCGGCTTTTCCTTGCTGTAGTCTTCTCTTCGTTCAAAAGGGATAGAAAAAGAGTGCATAAAATCATTTTGGACCTACTGTAATTTCGGTTGCTTGTTCGTGGACAGGCTGCAGCGTTGGTTAATAAGGCACCAGGGGGTAATTTCCATTATTACCGCAATAGCATGTACCTGTGTACCCCGCACTTCTCCACTGAGTCTGTTTTCTCTCACTAGCAGTGCGTGTATGCTATGAGCGTTGGCTCTGTTACCTTGGCTAAGACATCTGGAATTGCGTAAGTTGGCATCAATGTTTCCGAAAATAAAGAGCTGGCAAGGCTGAGCTGGAAGCACAATTCATATGCAAACAAAAGAGGTAGTAGGGTAGGGCTGCATCCCGCTTGTAGTAGCCGAAGTTTCTCACTGTTTCGGTCCTTCGCATTTTCAACCCGTCTCGCGGAGAAGCCCGGAACATGGAAGCTGAAGGGTCATATACAAGATTTCAGCAAAGCTTAGTACTGGTGTTGATGCCTTTCGTGCGGCTTCCAAGTGAGACGGAAGCCCTCCGCTCGTGCGGATCTAATCTTATCTCCAGCTTTTAAGCTCGGTTTCATCGGGTCGGAGCGATGGCACGAGGGCTCACATGGGTGCGGCAACAGGGCCGCAACCCTCACCTTTTCGTCTCTACCATCCAAGTGCGCAGAAACCTCAAAAATTCGTAAAATATTGCCAAAGTATGCTTTTTTGATTCCCTTAGTCATGACAGAACTTCCTTCCGATTGAATTTTCACGGCAAGCACGCTTATTTCTAGCTCCACCTAGACCCGCCTCTTTCCCCGCAACCTATGATTCCTAACTTTCGGCTCATCAAAAGCACAGAAAATTAGTTCTTCCTTTTCTTAAGTCAATGTACCATTATGGACCGTCGCCCTGAAAATGAGAATCAAAAAGAAGCTGCGCCTTCTCGCAGTACTGGCAAAGAACCAGAGCCTTCCGTAGCCTCCAGGATTGCCGCCTCAGCATCCGGGCTCGCAAAAGACCTCGTCGGCGGCTCAGGCGCTAACGATGCATCGGCTACCCTTGCTTCAGGTTCCGGTCTGGCTAGCAAAAGTCAGGGAGCCTCAAGTGCAGCTGGTCCATCCACTTGGTCCGAGACGTTACCAGCACGACAGTCCGGGTCTTCGTCAAGTAACCTTCAAAATGGCGGGCTTACCCAGCCTCGGGAGGGCTTCCGAGAAAACCTAAATTATTCTCAGCAGGCTTCAGGGTCCGACCTTGACGCCTTCATCAGCGGTGAAGGAACGGACACTTCTTATCAATTTAACCTCGGTCAAGGTGCGAGTAATTTAACCAATGGCAATATCAACAGCGGAGTGCCATCATGGTCACAGGAATTCCAGCAACCTGCTCATTCTGTATCGACGAACGGGTCTCTGGATCGTTATCCCCTTACGAGCAGGCTTCCGCTAGAACAGTTGGAAAATGCAATGGCTGAAACCGGATTATCGAGAGAGCAACTGGAGGATACGATGTTCCGAAGGCAGCAGGAGAAGATTGCGACTGGAGGCATGAACGGTTCTTGGGGTCATGCCAGCAATACAAACTATGATGACGGTGCCGACGTTAGGAATCTTCTTTCCAGTCCTGACTTTTCGGCAGAGGACCACCCGTCAGAAATCACCATGGAGGATCCAACTCCTAACACTGTCAACGATCTTTTTGGACAAAATTTTACGCCAGAAGAGAAGGAGGCCGTGGACAAGATTAAATCGTCGCTCCCGCCGCCACCTGTACATGGACAAGTGTCTACCGAGAACCCTTTTAATCTTCGCCCTGGGTTTTCATTTACTACCAATCCGCAGCTGGAGAAGGAAATAGCTGAACTCGCAACGACTCTCGGAGCAGACCAGTTTATGGTGAACGATCCTCTACGGCGTCAACATCTACTTGCTGAATGGAACGACGTCCTCAACGGTTACACCGACGAAGTGTGGGGCGACATCCTCCCCGCAGTGAAGGCTGCCAGAACTCAGTTGGAAGATGTGAAAGCGGGAGCAGGGCGGCTTGATAGCAAGGCTGTCGCGCGGTTGAGAATGATTCTCGGCCATGTGGTCGAAAGCACAACAGTGAGCGACTCCGCAACATCCACAGCGTCCGTCGCTCAAACGAATTCTGCAATAGGGCAAAAAGCTGCAGCCGAGCAGCACTCCATGAGCATGCAGATGGAAGATCTGCACCAATTGCATCAGCCTACCCGCATTTACAGCCATGAGCAGATGGCCCGGCACGCATTGCATCAGCCCGCGAGGACGCACGTACATGAAGAGCAGAAGAAGCAACCACCAGCACCCGAAGAAGAAAGGAAATTCGAGCCACCTCCCTTTCACTGTCCGTGGGTCAGCTGTCATGAGGTATGTTCCCACGCTTCGAGAAGGAGATCACCGACCCCACCTAGGGCTCTGCTAATTCCAGCAACTAGCGCTTTCGTAGTGAGACCGAGCTATGGATGCATTCTAGCCAGCATACGGCGCACTACACTTGCCCGCATATCGATTGTGGGGCCAAGTTTGCGGGGTCGGAGGAGTGGGCGGGACACATCAATCTTGCACACCACAACCTGCTCGACACACGGCTTCCCGCCAGCCACGAAGGCGTGAGTGTAGATACATAGAAACCGGCGGCTGTAAGCTAGGTAGATAGGCACGATAGGATGGCTCACGGGAGAGAGATCTGTGGATCGACGGCGCAAAAAGGAGATGTCTTCTGTCTTCGGCACAATAGCCGCACCCTCACGCTCTCTTCACGCAATAGTGGGTCTGTCAACCCCACAGCACGCAGTGATCAATGACCGCGCGCCCAACCACCTGACCTCACGACGGGCTCTCCATGAGGAGGCGGCGCTAGGTGGCTAGGAACTGGCAAAAGCAAAGCGGGTGGCGAGTCAGGGCCTGGACGATGATAATAAGCATGCCAGGCGCAGTTTCCTCCGCGTAGCTCTGAACGTTCGTTCTTTTTTGCCCCTCGACGCCCTGTTCCGCCAAGGCCGCCTACTCGCCCAAGCTTCGGGAGATCCGCGACAGCTTTACCAGGCGCCGCGCCTCCCAACCCTGCTCGAGAAAAAATGTCGAAAGGTGACTCTCGTCCCCCCTGCGGTCAGCGGCCTTACATCACATGCTGACTCGGCGCCCTCGTAGCTACGCTGCCGCAGTCGCCCGACGACTCGCCCTACATCGACCCCGTCGCTGGCTCCTCGTCCGAGGAGGAAGAGCAAGAATACGAGCTCGACGCTGACGAGACGAGCGACGAAGGCCGCCATGGCACAAAGGGCAAGCAGAGCGGGTCTGGCGGGACTGAGGCCGACAATGGCATGGACGCAGGCGCCAACGGTGCATCCGATGGCGCACAAACAGGCATTCTGCCCCGGGATAAACAGCGCAAAACGGCCTTCTACGATCGCGCGTCCGAGAAACAAATGAGCCACTCTGAGGCCAAGCAGTTTTTCCAACGCCATCAGCTCGAAAGCCAAAGCGCCCTGTCACAAGACGGCTACAGCTCAGCCTACCCACCCAAGAGCTTCCCCGCTCACCTGGGCCTGGAATCAGACGCTGTCAGTCGCACGGGGAGCTTGAGGTCGCACCGTAGCGCGCATAATCCTCCAATCAACAGGGGAAACAGTTATCGATCGTCGCTACCCATTGAGGTTGACGCCCCCACCGACAAAGCTGCCAGCATTGCAGGTGGGCCGGCGCAAGGGTTTGATGATCCCGTCTACGCCCATGCTCTCGTAGAAGAGGACCCTTTTCTCCAAGCCGATCAGTCAGCTCGCGCACACAATACCCATCCTGGTCTTCCGCATGAACATAAGCCGCTGCTAGAAATGCAAGGGATACACGGAGCAGGCGCGGGAATCGGGATGGGCAGCGGTGCCGGAGGCTATGCCGCAGATGATGCTAGCGTTACGGCCGAGCTCATCAATATCTATACCGAGATTCAGAAGGTCCTCGACATACGGCACAAGTACATTCGACTGTCTCTTCAAGGCCAGTTCGACAACCCGAGGGATGACCCCGCTTGGAGCATCTACCCACCTCTGCCTGACCCCGCTTGGGACCATGAGCGGTACAACACAAACACAAATGGTCTCAACACCGGCGTCAACACTGGTGTCAATACCGGCGTGAACAGCCTGAATAACAGCATCATCTTGGAGAAACCGTCCCCTCCCAAAATTCCAAAGCCCCCTAGGAAGGCTGGCGTGGACATTGGAGAAGATTTTGACATGGAGGAGCAATTGCCTATGCCGGAGGTTTCAGAGATGACTTTCAAGCTTGATGAGAACAGCGTCTTCCAAGTTTACGAGACTGCGGCGTCAGCAGACCTCGATCAACCGATGGTGCGCATTCCCGACATCCGTGAGTACTACATGGATCTGGATGAGATTATCAGTGTCTCTACCGATGGGCCAATCAAGAGTTTCGCGTTCCGGCGGCTACAGTATCTTGAAGGGAAATTCAATCTGTACTATCTTTTGAACGAGTATCAGGAGATTGCGGACAGCAAAAAAGTGCCCCACAGAGACTTTTACAACGTCCGAAAGGTCGACACTCACGTCCACCATTCTGCTTGTATGAACCAGAAGCATCTGCTGCGTTTCATCAAGAGCAAGATGAAGAAGTGCCCTGACGAGGTCGTTTTGTACAGAGATGGCAAGCATCTGACCTTGAGAGAGGTCTTTGAAAGTATCAATCTGACGGCATACGACCTTAGTATTGATACCCTTGATATGCATGTAAGTATTCAGATATGTTGTTTCCCGAATTGACCAAGCTAACGCTTGCAGGCCCACACCGACAGTTTCCATCGTTTCGACAAATTCAACTTGAAATACAATCCTGTGGGAGAGTCCCGACTTCGTACCATTTTCTTGAAGACCGACAATTTCATCCACGGTCGTTACCTTGCGGAGATCACCAAGGAGGTTATGTCTGATCTTGAATCCAGCAAGTATCAGATGGTGGAATGGCGAATCTCCATCTACGGCCGTGATCTGGATGAATGGGACAAACTGGCTGCTTGGGTCGTCGACAACAAGCTGTTCTCGCCCAACGTGAGATGGCTCATACAGGTGCCACGTCTCTACGACGTTTACAAGGGCACTAGCCTGATGGAGAACTTTGAGCAAATTGTCGTCAACATATTCCAGCCTCTTTTCGAAGTCACCAAGGATCCTTCAAGCCACCCGAAGCTGCATATCTTCCTCCAAAGAGTCATTGGTTTTGACAGCGTCGACGACGAAAGCAAACCGGAGAGACGCCTTTACAGAAAGTTCCCTAAGCCAAGCATGTGGAACACGAAGCAGAACCCACCTTACAGCTATTGGTTGTACTACCTCTTCGCCAACATCTCGTCGCTGAATATCTGGCGGAAGCAGCGTGGATTCAACACATTCCTTCTCCGGCCTCACTGTGGTGAAGCTGGTGATACGGACCACTTAGCAGCGGCCGTACTTTGCTGTCATAGTATCAGTCACGGTCTTTTGCTCAGGAAAGTACCCCTGCTTCAGTATGTGTTCTATCTGGAGCAAATTGGCATCGCTATGTCGCCATTGAGTAACAACGCTCTGTTCTTGGCGTACGAGCGGAACCCCTTCCTGTCGTACTTCAAGCGTGGCCTTAACGTTTCGCTGTCTACGGACGATCCGCTTCAATTTGCTTTTACCAAGGAGCCACTCATTGAAGAATACTCTGTGGCAGCGCAGATATACAAGCTCAGCGCCGTGGACATGTGCGAACTGGCCAAGAACTCTGTTCAACAGAGCGGATTCGAACATATTGTCAAGCAACGTTGGCTTGGTGCCAATTACCACCTGCCTGGAGTATCTGGAAATGACATGGCCAAGGTCAACGTGCCTAATATCCGGGAAGCCTTCCGTCACGAGACGTTACAAGCCGAGCTTTCCATGTAAGTACCTACCATGGTCCAGCAGCAACAACCACTAACAGGCAACACAGGATATCGCGATACACGAGTACAGCTGAAACCGAGCCCGTGACGGCAGACAACCTTGAACCCAGAACGCCACCCGAGCAAACCAATCCGGAAATAGTCGCTGCATCTCCCACTGCTTCCATGCGCACTAATATGTCGGCTGCCAATGTCGACTCTGCCAGGCTCTTCTCTGGTCTTCCGCCGACAGCTGTCCCGCAAAAATCCCCCGCCAATGGAAAGAGTGGCCTTTTCCCTGTGGCCTCGCATGGGGACTTGGCAAGCCAAAACCCGAGCTCAAAGAAGAGGGGGTCGAGCCTGCTTATGGACATCACCCGCAAGACGGGCCGTTCTTCTTCTATGGTTGCGCACTCGCCCTCGGTCGTGCCGATGCCTCAACCAACCATTGCACCCCCTCTCAGTCCGCAACCAAGCACGACCTCGGCGCCATCATCACACGCTCCCAACCCAATGAGCCTAGGAGAACCGAGGCTTTTCCCTGGCGTGGTCAGCAGAAGGCGTCGTAGCAGCGCACAGCCAAGGAGTGCGCGGGAATCGTTTAGCAATTCCGGGGCTGAGGGTACATTGGCAGCGCTCAGGAAGAGCGTGACGTCTGCACCGACAGATGGAGATGCGAGTGTGGTTGAAGACCCGTTGGAAGAGGAGGACAGCGAAGAGCAATGAAGTTTAGAGGATGAAACGCGTCATGGTGAAGGAGCATTTGGAGGCCCATGAGGATTGGAGTCATTTCGCTGTGAGTCAGGTATTTGACTGAGAGTAGGTTGATGACTCATTAGATGAATTGCAGCGCTTCGTTTGTAGCTGAAGGTTGTTGAAAGGATTTCGATCTAGGAAATTGACGCCCGATTCTACTCTTGAGTGAATTAAATGCTCCATGGCGACGTTACCTGCCATGGGACGTGAAATTAAAGCCAAAGATGTGGATAGCTAACTTTTAGCCTCGAGGTGGTCTCTTACTCCAGCCCCCACGGCGTGCCAGGCGTGGCAGGCGTTGTTACCGGTTAACTCCGCATGTGATCCCGGATTCAGCATTGCCGAGCCAGATGACGCCGGGTACTTCGTATCACAACAAGGTTGGGGATTCAGGAATCACCGTCTCCACCTCGCGGAAATACCTCACCTTACGTACTTTGTTTAAAAGAACAGAGCAGTAGGAAAGTTCATATTTTTCCGACATCAGTCATTACTTCATCTCCTCTCAACAACCGTCAGCAAAGATTCCTGAGTTCGGAGCATCCGGATAAGCGCGCTAAGCAGCCTCCAGGTACCTCAACACCATGGGTCTCACCATTCCGTCGCAAGAGGCGCTCAGGAACGCCTTCGGCTCGCCTGCCTCGCTGGCCATGCAGAAGCAACAGCCCGCACAGCCGCCAAGGACCAAATACCAGGCTCGACAAGAGCTGTACGGGACGTGGAGCGCGTCGGACAAAGCGCATCAGCTCAGCGATGCCGCGATCAAGGAGTTCGATAAGGCCAGCCACGCCGCCCAAGCCAAGGCCGGGGCAATCGAGCTCTACTCGCCCAAATACTACGCGGCGTGCACGTTCGGTGGTCTTCTGGCCTGCGTACGCATTGCTCTGCTCAATGAATGATGATTGAAACGCCTGTAGCGGAGAAAAACTGATCAATCTACCTAGGGCCTGACTCACACGGCCGTGACGCCGTTGGACTTGGTCAAATGCCGCCGCCAGGTCGACGCCAAGATGTACAAGGGCAACTTCGAGGCGTGGGGCAAGATCTCGCGCGCTGAAGGGTTCCGCGGCATCTACACTGGCTGGGGCCCGACGTTCTGGGGGTACTCAGTAAGCTGCGTGTGATGATTTGTGTTAAGGTCTTGCTTACTAATCATGTTGTGTTAAGGCTCAAGGTGCAGTAAAGTATGGTGGCTATGAATTTTTCAAGCACTTTTACTCTGATCTAGCTGGAGAGGAGAACGCGTACAAGTACAAGACTTGGCTCTACTTGTCTGCTAGCGCTTCTGCCGAGTTCTTTGCGGATATTGCGCTTTGCCCATTTGAAGCTGTCAAGGTTCGCATGCAGACGACTATTCCACCTTTTGCTAAGACCACTCTGGGTGGAATCAACACTATCACCGGCAAGGAAGGGTTCGCCGGGTGAGTGTTTGTTGCCATTATTTTCTTATGAAAAACTTGCTAATTGAAACGCAGACTTTACAAGGGATTGTACCCGCTATGGGGGCGACAAATCCCCTACACCATGTAAAACCAAGCTCCCTCATTCGGCGCTACGTCTTCTAACAAACAGCACAGGATGAAGTTTGCGTCGTTCGAAACCATCGTCGAGATGATCTACGGCTACCTCCCCGGCACGAAGCAGGACTACGGCAAGGGCGCGCAAACGGCCGTCTCCTTCACCGGCGGCTACATGGCCGGTATCCTGTGCGCCATCGTCTCCCACCCCGCCGACGTCATGGTCTCGAAGCTCAACGCGAACCGCCAGCCCGGCGAGGCGTTTGGCGCTGCCATGGGCCGCATCTACAAGGATATTGGCTTCGGGGGGCTCTGGAATGGGCTCCCGGTGAGGATTGTCATGATCGGTACTTTGACGGGCTTGCAGTGGATGATCTATGGTGAGTTGTGCTGTTTGCAGGGATGCTGGAGTTGTACTAATTTTGCAATCAGACTACTTCAAGATCTTCATGGGTCTGCCGACGACGGGCGGTGCGCCTCCGCCGGCGGAGAAGGCCGCGGTCGCTGATCATTGAGGATGACAATGGTCTTTCTGGTGAGAGTCTGATATGTTGAGTGATTGACGATGGCTATGTAGTGTTCTGCCGTCGTATCGTACTATTGTTTTAGAGCACAAGTCAATGAAATTCCCTTCGTTTCGCAGTAACGTCCTGGACGCATGAGCGAACCTGATCCCTCAGCGAGCGCACCAATCAGATGGGCTCCCTAAAGGTAGTGGATTGGCGGAGATTTACGTGTTTTGATGTCAGCAAGAGGGTCACCCACCACACGAAGACGCGTTCTAATTAGTGCGCTCGTTGAGCGATCAGGTTCGTTCATGCGTCAGGGACGTTAAGCGGCATCCAGTTGGAGCAAGTGTTTTCTTATTTTAACAATCAAATCTAAAGACTTGCTAACCAATTATCCCCAGAGGAAACTTCCACATCAAACATTCTCGAGTGCGCGTTGCAGAACATCTACAACCTGAGACCGGAAAGCCTCTTGGAGGTGCAAGTCCTCTTTCGTGTCTTCCTTGACACCGAAATCTCCCGACAGACATTTCAGCACTAAGGCCTGGAATTTGGGCCCCATTCGCGATTCGAGCCTCCTTTCGGCGACTTTTGTGAGATGCCGTTGCACGGCTGCGGGACTTTCGACGCTGGCGAATTTTCGGCTGTCTTGCTGGAGTGCGGTTTCCCAGAGACCTGGGACTTGTTGGTGAGGATTTCGACGTATGAGATAATCAGTGGGTACGTACCGATCTCTAAAAGCACCACGCCGAGTGCATAGATATCGTGTTCTTTCTTGAACAAATGGATGACTCCATTATGCCACCCTTGACGTTCTGGATGTCTGTAGACATTGCTCGCCATATCTGTGTCTGTACATCCAGAGGAAAAGAAAGGGTCTGGTCGGCTGAACTCGAACCCAAGTATCCAAGGTTCCTCGAACAGTATCGACTTGGAAGAGCGGTGTGATGTGGGTTCCACATCTGCTTTGGGGAAAAACAGTATGTTCTCACTCCTCAGACTCTCATGAACCTAATGCATATGAGTATGAACAACACTCAAAGAATGACTGCAGTTTGTAAGCAGGGCACATACCCACTGCACCATGTGAAGTTGAGCTACGCTTTTCGCCAGGCCAAAAGCCACTTGGAACTTGTCTCTAAGCGAAGGCTTGATCGACTTTGTCCGAAGCATCTCCAGTAAACTAATTGGCTTCATTGCGTTGTTTCCAGGTGCCTCGAAGACGAGAGTAACGCTCTGTTTTTCCGGGACAAATTGCCAGCCCAAGCAGCGCGGAATCCGGAAAGATTGTCCTTTTGGCTGGTGTAAGAACCCGGCCAATGCTTCCACGCGATGTCTCATATGCCCCGTCAAAGCACTAAAGCTTTCGCCCACAGGCCCGCTATTTTCGACGAGGACATGGTTTCCGTTTCGGCATGTACTCGTGAACCGGCTTTCGCGGTCGAAAACGATGTCCTAATGATCTAGGAGCTCGAAGCTGGCTTCTGCATTGCTTGATTCTGCTGCTGCGATGCGGAGGTTCACATCGTCCTGGAAACCGAGTTCTCGGGCATGCGGGCTGCTTTGAAGTCGCTTCAAATGTTGGAGTCCGCCGCCAACAGTGGAGGCCATGAGCAGAAGCTCTAGCTTGTCTCGCAAGCGGGTGTTTAGGTCCACTACTCGCGTTATAATAGACAAGGCGCGTCTTTTGTCGTGGGAGATCCACCGGAGTTTGGTGTACACTGGGATCTGGAGCATGCTGGAGATGTGCTTGGACAGTGGAAGCTGCCGCTCCATGAGCCTGCTTGCGTCGGAAATTGCATCTAGAATGTCATCGAGGGCCAGCCTGATTTGCTCCTGTGCGGTATTGTCGAAATGCTCGAAAAGGGTCTTGCCCTCATGCATCTAAAACATTAGCCAGCAGCACTTGTCATTTCCAGTGTACCATTACTCACAGGTAGGTCCTCAAACAATAAAGCTTTGAAGGCCGAAGCTCGCCATGTCTGGTGTTCAACGGTTTCGAGCAGGCTTTTTGTGTCCTTTGCTAATTAGCGAAAACCGTGTTTAGTTTCAGGAGTAAGTGGCTATACCTCTTCAAAGTCCTTGAGCTCCCTGATTATATTTGATGTTCTCTCGCCCAGGTTTAAGACCTGGTTGATGATGGCCAACGCAATACCTGCTATACTGAGTGGATATATCATTGAGAAGGACAGTGTGAGAGATATCAAGGTTAGGCCCTGAAAGTGGCGGGCAACGACCGTTGTTATATGTCCTTACATCGCAGGCAAACATCATCGACACATACAAGGCGAACCGCAAGGCTGCGTAAGTAACTAAGCCACACGCTATATTTAACTATCTACCAATAGTAACTTAGACAAAAGATCACTGCGTTCGCGAGTGTAACCTTTACAACCAACGGAGCCAGCTGTCTCATTGAGCTCAATAAGGCTATGGTCTAACTCATCAAGTCTCCTCCGTGAAATACGCCCGATATCTCTATGATTTTAGAGATATTTTTCTCACTAAACTCGGAATTCACACTTTAAATTACGCTGTCTAGCTCGTGCACTTCAGTCGTACGATTACATACTAGCGGAGTTGACGTTGCACAATATTTGAACTTGCCGTCATTAATTGTAACAGGCTGTCAGCCTTCCCAAGCAAGGGCTGCACGAACCTGATAACCGTGAGGGCACCCCTGAGAACCCTTCTGCAAACACCCAGAAACACTTTGAAGGACAACACGACTGGAAAGTCCATTTTACCCGAACGAGATTTCTATAATGTCACGGAGTTTGGAGGCAGGTTTTTCTTCCCATTTTAAACACATAGGTAGTTCAGCTGATTTCCTTCTAGTTTCCAGAATCGCAAAGTCGAGGCGTAACATTCATTTCTAGCGTTTCTCGCAGATTTCAGCCAAATCTGAGTCCCTTCAGCCAGTTGCTAACCGCCATCGAGCCGTTAGAACTCCCTGTCTATGATGCCGGCCGCCTTCTCAACTGGGAAAAGGTGGGTGAAGGCGCATCATGCCGAGTATTTAGAAGCGAAGATTCCATCAACCGCGAGGTTGTAGCAGTAAAGCAGGTCAAGCTCCCGAAGGACCTGACTGAAGAGCAGCAAACTCTAAGCCAATTAGAATGTGTGGTCAAAGACCTCGAGATCATGCAGCATACTCCATTGTTGCTCCACGAAAATATCCTCACCATGATGGGCTACGGCTGGGTTCACCAAGAAGGCAGCGTCGTACCCTTTCTAGTCACCGAATTTGCGCAGTTTGGAACCCTTAGGCAGTATCTTTGCTCAGAAAATATCTCCATTCGGGCCTGCTTTGACCTTGTTGGTCAAGTTGCTTGTGGTCTGCGCGAAGTCCACGACTCCACAGTTGTCCACGGCGATTTGAAGCTTGAGAATATTCTTGTCTTCAAGAACGCATCCCCGGAACACGAGAATCACGTAATAGCCAAAATTGTAAGAAAACTAAAACAAAATAAGTCACACCAGCTAACTCTTTTCTTTTCTTTTTCTTTGTAAAAGGCAGACTTTGAACACGCTTGTTTTCCTTCCCTAGATCAGAGCAATTTGCATAGTCAAACCTACCATGGCACAAGAGCGTAAGCAAACTAAGAGTGGGAAATGTCTGGTGCTGAAAATTAAAACAGATATTTAGCGCCAGAACTCCTATCAGGGAATTCTTCAATCGATTTGCGAAAATGCGATATCTGGGCATTCGGTCTACTAGCCTGGGAAATACTTCTCCAAGGATGTCGATACTACCGCCTTCCTCAGTTGGAGCGAGAGATCAAATACAATATCGCGAAGACGACCACCTCTTTTTCCGAAGCGAAGCATATATCCGAACAGATTGACCTCGAAATGACCCCAGATCTCCAACTGGGGCTGAATGCTCTTTCTTCACGGCTGTCAACCTACGCAAGATCGACCCTCACGTGGCACATGTTAGTTAAAGATGACCAACAGAGGAACATCCGCCATATGGATAGGAACGATGGAAAGCTTCCATTCGCTCTAGCAATGAGTCTCTTCACTAAAACACTGGATCCTGATCCACGTCGACGCTCCAGCCATGTGGATGAACTGCCTTTCATATATGGGCGTTGTCCGAATAATTGCCATAAGTAAGCCATGAGCGGTTCACTTTCTATATCCGAAGGAAATTTCTGATCAAGGATTTAGTGGGATTTTGGCGAGGACACGCCCTCCACTTCAAGAAGTTCAAGTGGAAGGCAAATGGACATACGAAGTAAGTCTCCCGGGAAGTGGTCAGTTGTAGCGGGAGAAAGCAACACCTTCCTGACAAATCATAGACTTTCTTACCCCAAAATGCATCAAAACTCCCTTCGCGAGTTCAGCAGCAGATATATGTCGAAACAAAACGTTACGCGCTCGATGGTGAAGGTGAGGTAGCTGCTTCAGCATATCTGAAGCTTGCTCTGATGCATGCGAATTGCTTCGGAACAACGTTCGACATGGAAGCTGCAGAGAAATATACCAAGGACAGCATGAGCTTAGGGTCGACTTCTGCGAAGACATTGCTGAAACTCCTGCGTAGGAGTGGCTCTTGCGAACGAGATGTTTCTGTGGATTTATTGGAGCGACAAAACGTATCTTTGGCGCAAGATCCCACTCCAAATCTCTGTCGTCTGCCCATGGAAACGAACAAGCCGCTTGAGGACCGTCTCGATCAGGCTAAAGATGGCGTTATATCAAGAGCTCAGCTGAAAGAGTTCCGTTGTTTCTCACATTTCTGTGTGGAAGACGGAGAAGATGCTGATGTACTTCCACTCAATTGTCTTCCTTTCTTCGATGGCGACGATGACGAGGTCTCAGAGAGTATCGTGGAAGGTACACTTTCTGAAAAAGAGGATACTGATCTCCGTCTTCCTTTCTGCCCCGTTGGTTCTTCTCTCGGGCTCGCCGTATCAGTGGCCGCACAGACTGCTGTCAAGCTTCGCCTGCAGTCGGAATCAGATCCTTTGGAAAAGCCCCTGCCAGGGCTCACGACAGAAAGTAACCTTGAGGGCCTTTCTTCTTTAGAGCTCGCCATTGCCTATCATCGTACTGTTCAGTTCAACTTTCTTTGGAACAGTGTTATTCAGTCAGGACGAGCGGCTGAGTTGTCAGATGCTTTAGCATCTGGAGGCATCAAACTGTTCCGCCCCATGGCTTTGCTATCTCGTCTGGAGAAGGAGCTTCTGTATGGACACGGTCGAAGGCACGCACAGTACAGCATCGTGCGGGAAGTAATCGCTCAGGTTTTCGAACTTCGGACATTCCTATGCGCCCCAACTCCTGAGAAAACCGAAGAATCTCAGGAATTCAAAGCACCCGGACTGTCATGGTGCTCACAGCTGTGCAATGGCTTGAGTGATGTGATGGCGCTTCATGATCTGGGGCTTGCCAAAGACATTTGGGCAACATGTCACGAACTTGCCGGCATGAATTGCTCCGATATTTTTACCCCGGTTCAACGGAGGCAACTCGTTGATGCTGCTATTGGAGTCGCAGCACCGATAAACATGGACATATGTCGGTCTATCGAGTTTATCGAGTTTGCTACAGAAATAAGTGTTGATCTCACGCCATCAGCGGAATTTTTGGCAACAGTAGCTGCGATGAGGAAATCAAACAGACTACTCGTCGCGCACTTGATATCTCTAGAGAGAAACCCAAACACAACGGACGAAAATGGCCGTAACATCATTTGGCATCTAGTGGACAGTGGGTTTTCGAGAGCCACACCGATCTCTACCCTGTATCTCTCGGGGGTAGATCATGACCGTAAAGACCACGGAGGGGATACTCCGCTTCATATAGCCGCAGCGAGAGGGAATGTACAGGAAATGAGAGATCTTCTCGAAGCAGGAGCAAAGCCATGGAGGCGGAACTCAAGACGCCAGTCAATCCTGCACCTCACCATTCAATCAGGGAACGAAATTGCACTTCAGCTAGCCCTTAGCTGGTTGCACGACTCAACAACTCCGGCAGAGAGCTCATTGGATTGGCAGGATGTTTCAGGGCAAGCCGCCCTAGCGCTTGCTTTATCAACGAAGAACACAAAAGCAATTGAACGTCTCCTTCAAAACGGAGCTTCTGCGAAATTGGAAAGGCCTGGCCATACCGGATTACTTCACGACTTGTTCCGCCAAGGATATGACGATTTCAACTATACAATCGAAACCACACGACTGCTACTACACCATGGAGCCGATCCGTTCTTGGGTGAAGATGAATCGATGCTCTCGCCTTTGCATCTCCTTATGACCCATAACAGACACGAAGACATTCGAGGTGTTTTTCATCTGATTTGGGGGGATCAATTGCAAGATTTACCCCAATTTCACTTACACACTGAGCAGTTGCTCTACTATGCGAGTAGAGTGCATTCTCCAGCAGCAGTGGAAGAGTTAGTCTCTTTACGCGTCTGCAATCTCGAGAGCTTTGATGGAGCTTCGCTATCAATGGCAATATGTACGTGCCTACGTGAAGGCAGCAAGAAGCTAGACAGTGACAATTTTTGGGCCATTCTGACTGCATCAATCGAACCAACTTTAAAGGCGCTTCTCGACGGATATACATCGAAAACCACCACTCTCCGACAGCAAGAAGATGAAGTTGAGAAAAACTTCCAAGAGTCACTCAAATATGCCATTCGGTTGTGCGGTTTCGACCATGCGCGTGCAGTTCGGCCGCTTGGACTTCTCTTGAGTGAAAAGGCTATATTTTCGTACAACTGGGCTTTTCAGGAGGCCATCAATTCCCGCAAATTCAATGCAATGGAGGCCGTCATGAAGCGCTATGCCAATTTTCCTCGGTCTGAACTCCGTTGGCCCATTGGAGGCGCTCTCCTAATCTATGCCATTGACTGTAGAAGCTGGTTTTTGCTAAACACCTTCAGCGTGCTTCCATTCCATATCGGGGAAAGCTCTCATAGCTCGTCCTCGGAGCATGGAACCGCAAGGCCCAATGATTTACCTTCGCTGGAGTTTAGCGAATTGGTCGCTTTCTGTCAGAATTCGCCGTACAAAGACGAAGTTCACAGCGGAAACGATGAAAAGGTTCTGTCAGAGGTGTTCAATAACGTCGCATACCTTGTACATGATCTTAAGAGCACCATCTTTTCTAACCGAACATGGGCCTGGCCAATTTTGGATCGAATAAACGAGGTATGTCGGCAACGGCTAAGAGATAAGTACATAAGGAGCTTCACAGTAGATGACCGTCTGAAATAAATGTGGCGAATATGAGGCGGAGATTTGAGGGATGTCAACTGTCTTTTGTTGTATAACTTCCGTAATTAGCGTCAGGTTATGTCTCAAGAAGCATCCGTCACTGTCATGTGAGATTCAGCACCTAACGAGGTAATGATATTTAGACGGGGTTGAAACAAAATCCAGTTGAGATACTTATAATCTGTGTGCGCTCTCACATCTTCTCACTCATATCCAAGACTCAGGCGTGTAGCTAGGCAAGTAGTGCTCCATACCATGTTGGACGGTGAATATCTATGGAAGGTAAGGGGCACAACGGGCAGCGTCGAATAATTCATTAGCGATCCGTTGACGACTACGCAGAATAATCGGCAAATTGCATCATGTATAGCCTGATAAACAATGGACTGAAGCTTGAGGGCCATGCTACCCACCCTCACGAGGTATTCTCACTCTCTTCAATAATCATCCTCAATGCTATCGTCATAGCTTCCGCCCAGTCCTCGTAGTTGGATGTATGGAACAACGACTCTTTGCGCGCCGGCCGGATCAATTTCCCTTTCAAAGCATCGACCACTTTCATCGCCACCACGGTAAAGTTCATACCGTTACTGATATTATCTTCCAGCTTCTTCAGAGACTCCGGGCTCCAGATGGCCAGCAGAGGCTCGGGGTAGCCGTGCCCGGGTTTCATGAAGCATGTGACGGGCGCTTCATAGCTGTCGTGCAACTGGCGTATGTCTGTCGACTGAATCAGGGGATAATTGCAACTAACTACGAGCCAGCGGCAAGTGCGGTCCAATCTGTGCGCAGCCAGCAGAGGATCCCATTCACGCGGCTTGTTGGGCTTGTTGGAATCGGGCGGGTTTGCATCCGGCAAAGTATCTTGCTGGTTGGTGTAGAGGTATCGGAGCGGGGGTTCCATGAACTGAGCAACCTCTTTTGCTTGGCCTCGGAGGACTGGTAGGCGGAGGATTTCGTGCATGTCTCTCACGGACATGTAAAATTCAAGCGCCTCGGTGCATGCTAGCCGCAGCTGCAACAGTAAGCGTATGTAGAGCGGCTCGCCGTCTAAGAAGGGTTCGAGGTACTGGCCGCCTCCCACGATGAGCACTTTGAGCGGAATGTTTTCCTGGGTCATGTTTGTCGAGTGTTGCGGGTTAGTTGGTTTGTTGTTGTTGTGGTGTTGTGGTGGTTGATTTACTGTCACCAGACCTATTTATTGTTGTTGCCTGTTGGATGCCCCCACGCCGCCTCAGCCACAACCGGCCTCAGTACCGCCGAGCGACCCGGCATCTCGGGAGTCGCAGCGGGCCGCAGAGATCAATGACGACGGAGGGACGACGCCATCTCAGCCTAGACATTTTAGCTTCTCCATGCTCACCCCGATAACTGCCGCAACTCCACAAACATGCAGCTCCACCATACTCATACCGGGCACGCGACCTGTCTCTGCTGCCTCTCTTGCCTCTCGCCCACAGCCTTCGTCCCCTAAAAATGAGGCATGATGAATACGATGAGCGCTCGCCGCTCCTGGAGAATGGACATGCCGAATATGGCCCCGATCACCGCGAGGTACGTGTATAAGAGCAGAGCCTGTGTAGACTCCCGTGAGTCCTAACGGCTTCGTGACAGGAAATCACTCTCTCGAAGGAAGACAACCCGCGCGCATGGCCGAGACGCAAGAAGCTTGCCAATGTCGCCGTCATCGCCGCAATGGCAGGTACGCCATCACCTCTCCTCTGCGCAAACTTAGTTGTACTGACAGCATTGTCAAGTCACCAGCCCACTCGCGAGCTCAATGTTCACTCCAGGCATGGACGAAATCGCCGAGGGACTTCACACGGACCCCGCGGTCGTGGTAGGAGCCACGACGGGCTTTGTGATAGCACTGGGGATCGGCCCATTGGTCCTCGCGCCCTTGTCCGAAACCTTCGGAAGGAGAAGACTGTACCTCACCTGCTTCACTATATTCAGCCTCTTGCAGGTACCTTGTGCCCTGAGTCCGAACATCCAGACGCTTCTGGCTATGCGCACCCTGTCTGGGTTCTTCGGTAGCGTGGGCATTGCGAATGGAGGCGGCACCATTGGCGACATGTTCGAAAAAGAAGAAAGAGCTGGTGTGTTCGGCTGGTATCTCCTAGGACCATTGCTTGGTCCCAGCCTAGGGCCGCTATTGGGAGGTGTGATAGTCCGGCGTCTGGGATGGAGATATATCTTCTGGATCTTGACTGCGATCTGCGGAGTCAACACATTAGGGGGATTTATATTTTTGAAAGAGACGTATGCTCCAGTCCTACTAGACAACAAGAGGAAGGAAAGGATACGCGAAAACCCCCATGACGACACTGAATACTGGATCGAGGGAGAGGACACTCGGCCATTGTGGAAAAGGCTCGCATACTCCCTTTCGCGGCCAGGTCGGATCTTTACGCACCCCATCGTATTCACCATGTCGCTGTATCAAGCAGTCATCTTCAGCACGACGTACAGCCTCTACACAAACTTCCAGGACGTTTACGGAGACAAGTACGGATTCAACACCGAACAGATTGGTCTCTTGTACCTCAGTCCTGGCCTAGGGTATCTGTTCGCGGTGCGGTTGCTCGTTCCGAAGATAGACGTGATATACAAGAAGTTGAAAGCCCGCAACAATGGCGTAGGGAAGCCCGAGTTCAGGCTTCCATTAGCCAACATCGGATCGGTCTTTATACCGGTATCCCTGTTTTGGTAAACTCTGCACCAGTTCAAAGCATACATGTTGGCCAGTGCTAACACCAGCCAGGTTTGCATGGACCGTTCAAGCTCACACGCACTGGGTCGCCTCCACCATTAGCACCTTCTTCTACGGCATTGGCCAGGTCATGATCACCAACCCTGTGCAGAACTACTACATCGACACCTTTGAGCAGTATGCCGCATCCGCCATTGCTGCAGGCGCAGTTTTCCGCTCCGTGGTCGGCGGCATCGTGCCGTTATTCGCGCCAGCACTCTTCAAGGAGGTCGGGTATGGCTGGGGCATCTCGACGTTTGCCTTGATTAGTTGCGCGCTCGCCCCTGCCCCAATCCTCTTTTACTGGTACGGAGAAAAGATTAGAGAGAGCTTTACGGTGCACCTGTAGTAGGTGCATCTCAGGAGTGTTAATAAGTACAAACTGGCGTTTGGAAATGTCTCAACTAGCCTCATGGGGCGGTAAGAGAACAAGTCAGTTTGATAGCAAGCGTCGTGCTCTAAGTCTGACCTAAAATGCTATCATATCTCCATCCACCATTTCAGGAGCTACATTTAGAGCTGCGAGAGGGCTGCAAGTGTGCTGCATAGTTACAACCCCGTCGGTACTCATTCGACTGTGCTTCGCACTTCATTCTAAACAACAGATTCCGTGTACATGTCTCCCGTTGCTGAGTCTAATAATACCCGACATAGCATGAAGGCATTGAAATTTAACCAGCCATCTAAACTTTTCTTACCTGCAAGTCTGCGAGTCAATCACGTAAATCAGTAAGCAAGAATCCACTCAGCCTAGCACGATCTTCTCATCTAACAAAGATTCGCCAATCGCTCATCTCCACGCGCTCAAGCCCCCAGAGGATCATCTCCAACCTGCGCATCATCTCCGAATCCACCGCGAACAAATCATCGCAGCGACAGCGGATCAAGCCCGCCAACCACCTATGATGATGAGTCCAAAAAGACGCGTGAGATAGCCCAGTGCGCGTAACGTCACTTACGATGGTTGAATCACACTGATCGCCAGGACTGCGAAAGCGACGAAAAGACCGGCGCTCGTGGTGGAAAATGAGTGGGGAATGGGTGCCGGGATGTACAATTGGACGAGGAGAAAGATATCTGAACAACGCAGCAGCATATGAGTAAGGTAGGTAGTACAGCAAGGAAATCAGACTGACGTCCGCGCCAAGAAGTTGAGTTGCCAACAGCAGAAAACGCCCTCCCCGCTCCCCGCCCCCTTCTCCTTCGTGCCAGTTCGTCTGCTCTAAGGAAACTGGCTTGCGGAGATCCAGCGAGCATAAATATGGGCATGGTCCAAGATACAACAACCCACTCCCCGCTTCCTTCCGTTCCGGCCCCCCAACGCTGCCTTGCAATAAAGTACAACCATAATCTCTCGTACAATCATTTGTCAAAACGAGCCCGTCTATCTTTCGTAATACCGCTCGCTCCGTCTCCGCTTTCGCGAAGATGTTTTACCGAATCTCACCGATGATGGACGCCGCCTCCTTGTATGTCCTGAGCAGCTTATCGCACTTCTCACGCTCCGACTTGATAGCGTCGTCCTCGTACAACAACTCCTCGAAAAGCTGCTCCTTGTAGAGCTCGCTGACGAGACGGTTTTGGACCACGTCCTTCGAGTGATTGACCAGAAGGTGCATGACGGCCTTGGGAACCTGGTCGGCAATGGTCTCACGGACAATGTTAAAGTAAGACGAGATGAGGCGCCGGATGAGCTCGGTTTCGAGGGCTTCCCGCTCGGTGAGAGCGGGTTCCGTGGGATCTTCAGGCTGTTATATGTTAGTAGATGTTTAATCCATGGTTCAAAAGGTACAACTTACGAATGGAGTATCGTATTCGCTCCTAGGAAGAGCGAGTTCTGGGTTACCCTGGGCGATGTCCATGATGCTGCGATCAGGAACACGGTTGTCGCCACGTCTGAGACTACCAGTGAAGCTAGGCTCAGAGTTCTGAGTCACATGCCTGCTACCAGGTCGACTGTCCATCAATGACGATGGCATTGATGTGTTTGTCGGCAATCCACCTTCCTTCCCGAAGAAGTAGTTAAGGAATGTGTCGCGCGTAGAGCCTGGCGCTTGGAACCTTGGCGGTGACGAAGAGCGGCCCCCGTTCAATTGGCTGGTGATAGCTGGGGCGCCGTTTGCACGGACAGCGGGAGACATGCTCCTGCTGTTCTTGCTGGCGTGGCCGCGAATGGTGAGATTAGCGGCCTTTTCGCCAGGTGCTTCCGTTTGCTCCTCGCTATCATCGGGCGTTTCGGCTCCGTTAACGCCGTTCAATTCCTTCATCCGCTTCTTTTCCCGCTTCTTCTTATCTTCCAGAGCCGCTTGTTGCGCTGCCGCTTGTGCCGCCATTTGCTTCTCCTTCTCCTGCTTGTCGTGAATCACCGATGACATGGCAGCAGCTGCGCCAAGGAAGTTAGGGTGATTAGTGTTAATGTACGCGCGTTGGATGGCGATCAGCGACTCTACGTAGCCGGAGCATGGGCCAAGGCGTTCGCGCAAGAGGTCGGAAACAACTTCAATCAGTTTGCCCTGAAGGCGAGGGTAACGGCTGAGCTCGTTCGAGCCACAAGTGTGGCAGATCTTAATCAGCTCCTCGTAAACAAGTTCGACGCATCGTTGACTTGGGGATTCCAGCAGCTTAATCTGAGGCCTGACGAGCAGATCAAAGGCCATTTCTGGCACGAACAAACTCGGGCGAGGTCCAGTGGAGTTCCGAATAGCCGTTCTGATGTCCTCTGCAGACAGGTTCGTAGTAGGGTCGATGGTCTCCAAGGAATTACCAAAAACAGAGTTGAAAATGTAGTAAATCCTCGCTCCTCCACAAAGCTCCCGAGTCGAGATCTCCGAAGAGGTACCGTCGATGGAAGAAATGAAAGAAGACGCGAAGCGGGTCATCAGCTGAAGGATGAGCGATCCTCTGTGTTCCTTTCCTGTGAAAGCGACATCTCCGTAGCTCGCAAGTTCTTGCTGTGTTTGGCCCATCAAAGTGTTCAAACGGGCCTTGATGTCCGGTAAACGCTCGCGGATGTGCGACATCAGCGTCTGGTTCAGCGTCTTTGCCAAGAATTCGGTTCCGCATCGGTTAGACATGTTCCTATATGCCTGGTGATGCCTGAAGAAATCGCGCTCAGCCTGCAATGCATCCGAGAGGGACTTGGACTCCTGGATATCATATTGAGAGCGGTTGACCACACCGATGAAACCCAACTTCAACGGGTATACGCGCCCTGAGAGGATGTCGAGCGCATTGGTGCCGTGGTCCATCAAGTCAAGCTTGGTGAGCACACCAATCGTCCTCCGACCCATGGGATCGACATGGCGAGCGAGCTTGAGCGCCTCCGAGTTTACAAGATCGACGTTTGCAGGAGAAACGGCGAGAATGATACTGTTGGGCTTCGCCGTGTATTCCGTAATGAGATTCCTCGTCTGCTTCTCAATGTCCGAGGGCTGGTCGCCAATGGGGACCTTAGTAAGACCCGGCAGATCCACCAGAGTCAAGCTCAGGACATGAGGCGAGTAAATCTTCAAGTTAATGGGCTGGCGGTTGATGCCCTTGTTGCTTCCTGCTATCCGCGCAGTCTCGTTCTCAATCTCCTGCCTGACCTCGCGGAAGTCGTGAAACTTGCGCCCCGGAATGTGATGAAACTCGGCCCATTCTTCCTGTCCTGCAACACTGGCGGGGGTATGGGGTACATGGACTTCGTCCGAGCCGGGCTTGTCCTCGCGTTCGCTGGGGACGTTGATGAGTTGAAGGATCAAGGGCCGCCGGGTGACGATGCCGCTTCCGCGAGGCAAGAAATCTTTGCCAACGATGTTTTCCAACACCGAGGACTTTCCGGAGGACTGAGAGCCCACGACTACCTGCGATGGACGTTAGCTTTGGTGATGGCGCGGGTGGCGTCGGCCGTGGGAAGTGAGATGCACAATCTGCGGCAAGTCCAGGGAATCATTTCCGATGGTGTTGAAGACCAGGTCCTGGAGCTTGTTGACAATGTTGAGCAAGTCCTCGCCCAAAGACATGATTATGGTATGCGCCGCCCGGCAGCTGGCCGTCTAGGAAAATAAGTTGGTGGAAGCTATGGCGGATAAACAAGACGAGCGCGGGGGAGACGGCGGTCGCGAAGGCGGTTGCGGATGTTTTTTTCTTTTGCGTGTTGCGCGACAGAAGCACACGGGCAAGAGAGGGCGCTGGGCGACGGCAGACAGGCCAGGCTTCCAAGAGATGGCAGAAAGAGGTGAAGAAGGAGCAGTAAGGTATGGCGCCCTGTGTCCTGTGACGATAGCCCAGTTTTGCTGGCGGGCCCGTTTCGCCGTCGCACGCAGGCTGGCACGGCTGGTTCTGGAAGAGGCGGTCTAACACGCTAGTCCCCTTCTGGAGCGGGGCGTATTGAAAACCGCTTATCAGCTGCTTGGCTGCTCAACCATCCATCGGCCGGAACGGGCACTACATGCGGCTGCCCACACGGGCTGAATGGTCTTGCACCGGCCCAGCAGGTTTCCATGACCGACGGAAATCCCGTTATCGTGGAAGGAGCAAACACTTTCTGTGCTCCTTTTCTCTTAGTCCCTTTCACCGTACTAACCTGTGCTGCTCCCATATAAACCCTCCTCCCCTCGACCATTCCCGCTGCTTCTAACCCCTAAACTCTCTTTCCTTCCTTCAGAGTCTATACCTGCCTTCCCCCTAAGTCTCACCTTTCTCAGCCAGACACATGGCCCCATCCGCTATCGACGTTGTTGAAGAGTTCATTGTCAAGGGAAAACCCGTCGCCCAGCCGCCGCTCGAGGCCTGCTCCGACCCGGTCCCGTTCGGCGGCGATGACAAGTGGTTCTACATCCCAGAAACCAGACGCTTCGACCTGACCCGGGGATCTGAGAGGAGGCTGGTCCTCGACGCCGACGATGGCATCCGCAACCACCGCGGATGTGTGATCGACCCCGAAAAGACGATTCTCGTGGTCATCGACATGCAAAACTACTTCATCCACCCTGTCTTCCGCGACCATGCACCTGGTCTTGCAGCCGTTGATCCCACCATCAGGGTCATCGAGAAGTGCAGGAAGGAGGGTATCCAGGTTGCCTGGCTCAACTGGGGAATCGACGAATACGACCTCCGTGTCATGCCCCCCGCCGTCCAGCGAGGCTTCAGTCGCAACCTCATCCAGGGACGCGGCCATGGATGGCACGTCGGTCTTGGTGCCCAACTGGCCGAAGGTCAAGGCCGATGCTTGTTCAAGGGAACCTGGAACGCCGATCTCTACGAGCCTCTTAAGGCCGTAGTAGCCAAGAACGACCTCTTCTTCGACAAGAACCGCATGAGCGGCATGTGGTCTCCTGACGAGCCTTTGCACAGGTACCTCCGCGAGAGTGAGAAGAAGACTATTTTGTTCGCCGGCGTCAACACGGACCAGTGTCTGCTTGGCACCCTTACGGACTCATACTCTTGGGGCTTCGACTGCATCCTTCTCAGCGACTGCTCTGGAACAATGACCGGACCGGAGGCTCAAGTTATTAGCGACTACAACATCGCCACCAACATGGGGTTTGTTACCGACAGCCAATCCTTCGTGGCTGCCGAGAGCTTTTGAGTGCCCAAGTGGAGCTTCATTTCTGCAAGTTTTCTTTCTTTGACACACGCGTCGGCGCTCGGAACAGGTCAGGTGTGTTAGCGTTTGCCTCGCCGGCTAGCGTTGCGGACGCGAGAGATACCCGGGATGCTCGGTCTTATTCAGTCGAATGCTTTATTACAGCACGGTTAGGTTGCAATGGTTTGCTTTGGGGAATATTTACAGGCGAGCGGTATCAGCAATGAAACATCTTCTCAAACCTTGTCGAACTCCTGAGGCACACCGCGTTTAGAGGACGAGATTGCGCTCAACGCTGGTCGGGCGATAAGGGGAACGCTCTTCTAGACCTCGAGCTAACCCGCGGTTCCACGGTGCAACGACTGGCTTTGGGCTCGGGAAATCGCGGGCGGTAGCGTGCAGCTCACACAACAGCCTTCGCAGTCCTTATCGCACACAATGCGCGAATCAAAGTGCCTTGGAAGACGAGTGCAGTCGCGCAGGTTCGTGCTGGCGATGCGCAGGGCGACTGCGACACAATGACGCAACAAACGCGGGGAAAGCTCCAACCCGCATTTCAACGTCGTACCTGCCTAAACACCACAACCCATCCATTGGTCCGCAATCTCCCTCCCTCCCCCAAAGTACCTTTGTCACCAAAATGCTCTCTACAACCCTCAGGACAAGGATGCCGCTTCATGCGGCCCGTGTGCTTCCTTCGGCCAGACGAGCTTTGACGATCTCGCCAAGGATGTCTCTAGTAAACATCTCCCTGAGCATGCTTCTCCTTCAATTGTTTTTCTTATGCTTGGGAGCTCATGGCTTGCCTACCGAGCAGCAAATCTTACAAGACGACTCCGCCTCGTCGAAGAGTATTCTGTCTGTGCGAGCGGCGTACGTTTCCCCAGGCCACAACATATATGCACATCTGCTGAAACGTAAACAGGTTGAAGAAAGCTGAAATCATCCCGACTGGTAACTGCATTTCAGCTCAACATTAACGAAAACGATTGTGACTGACAAACTGCCGACAGTCATCGACGACTTCTTGCCTCAGCTCACACTGAACGTGACATGGCCGACTCACGAGACAGCAGACTTGGGTAATAAAGTTAAGCCCGAAGACCTGCAAAAGGCTCCCTCCCTGACTCTGGATGATGAGCCAACCTCAGCGACCGCCAACAACAACTGCAAGTCCAACATGACCTACACTGTCGCGTTGACGGATCCAGACGCCCCCTCGCGTGACAACCCCGAGTGGTCCGAGATCTGCCACTGGATCATCACCGGCGTCCCGTTGACTTCGACGAGCACATCCTGCCTCCCAGAAGGCAGTGCCGGCAGTGCTGAGACCGAAACTCAGATCGCTGCCAAGGGGCTCGAAGAGATCATCGAGTACAAGCCTCCTGGACCGCCACCCAAGACCGGGGCGCACCGCTATGTGTTCTTGGCCTTTGCTCCTGCGAACAGCACCAGTCAGCCCTTGGACTTGACCAAGCCCAAGGATCGTCAGCACTGGGGCACTGGCAAGAAGGGCCATGGCGTCAGGCAGTGGGCCGAGCAGAATGGCCTTGTTCCAGTTGGTAAGTCGTCTACGAAAAGATGACATATGGTAGTTCCAATACTGACCGTTGGACAGCTGCCAACTTTATCTATTCGAAGAACAAGGAGCAGTAAACAATGATCTCAGCTGACGTACACGATCCGGTAACCAACGAAATTGAACGACTCTCGATTGCTATGGCAGAGGGAATCGTACATCAGTTGTACTAGTAACTAGCTCTCTAAAAGCAACAAAGAACTGTATAACATAGCTACTACTATCAATTGATCCCTGCTACCTCATGTTGTGCGTATCTTGCTAGAGTTCCGTCATTGATAAACACTGTCAAAGACCACAAAATCCTCTCTTTGGTACCCTAAGATGGCCCTAAACCACGGGTCGTATATATTTGATAAATACCACGGAAGTCCAACAATGAACTGGTAACCTGCGAGTCCAACCCAAGCCTGGCGTCGAAGAAGGTATACAAAATGGCGCCGCTCCTCTTGTGCCACCTCCCTCAGCCCCAAATCCTTCCTAAGTTTCCAACATGCGCTTCCTCGCAATCATCTCCGCGGCAATGGCCTTTGCAGGCACCGTCAACTCATTCGAGTACCCCCCAGGAAACCTCGACATCTCTGGCCTTCCAGAGTGCATGGTACGCACAGATCCATACTCCGATATGTAGTACCTTACCTGTAAGCGACTAGCTAACATATAACGACAGCAAGACTGCATGTACAAATACGAGAGGCACTACAACGTCAGCGCGTCGACAGCCGAGCGGTTCTGCAAGACGGACAAGGCCGAAGTCAGGGCGTTTAAGGACCAGTACCTCTATCCATGCTACGAAAGGTTGTGCAGCAGAGCTCCGCTGTTGATTCGGGGTAAGAAGAGCGTTTTTGGTTTTTTGAGGTTTTTGGTTTGGCGTGTCCGTGTATGATGTATGGATGGCCATGGCTGATCTTGCGTAGAGTGGAAAGCGTGGTTGAGACATAACTGCGGGTCGCCGTGGGATGGGTTCCAGATGCCGGACCAGGCTGCTGCGGCTGCTCAGTGATGATGACGGTTGGTAGCGTTGAATTGTTTTGTGGTTTGAATGTCTCCCCTTTCTGCAGTGAACGTATGCAGTTCTCCATTGTGTTTGCATGCCAAATGCAACACATACGCAAAGAACATTCATGTCATCATCTCAAGCCCTGATCCGCCATCCTCAAGTGTCACTACCATACTACGAAACGTGCTATCCACTCCAGATACTCACACACCACTCCGAACACCTCCTCACCCAAACCTCACCACCCCCACCCATCATCACATCTAACATCTAACTCTGAAATTCGTAATACCTATCAAACCCACTACATACTCACAACCCTTCTACATATATGCGCGCGCTCAGCTAAGAATATAAGAAAAAGTCAGTCGTTACCTACATAAAAACACGAGAAGAAAAAAGCCACAAACACGCAAACAAAACAACGACCGTTCATAAAAGAAAGCACCGCACGCAACGTCAAAGCCAAAGCCGTCATTAGCCATAGCCGCGCCCCCCTTCCCTGCGCTGCTCCCATCTGTCCATCCATCAATCCAATCGTTCAGTCCCAACCAACCAAATGCTGGCAGTGCGCTTGCGCGCGCCCGCCCGCCATCCAACGTCGTAGTTAAATATACAGGAAAGAACGCACTGAACAATGGAAACAACCTTAGCAGCAGCAGCAGCAGCCGCCGCAGCAACTCCCCATCTTTTTGCATCCTCCCGCACACCCTTTTCTCCTTTCACCAACCCTCCGAAATCCGCCCCTCCCTACCCACGTATCCACTTCAATCCAGCCCAGTCCCTCCACTCATTCATTCATTTACTCCTTCAAACCTCCTCATCGCTATCCTCACCCAGCAACTCTCCCTCATCCGGATCCACGACAGCGTAATCGCCGCGCGCAAACGAGCTGCGCGAGGTAAACGTGCGCCCGCGGTAGCCGCCGTAGGCAGCGTCGTCGCCGCCAAAGAAGCGGCCGCTGACGCTGCGCCACAGGCTGCCTACCAGCAGCGGCACAGCCGACAGCACGGCCACCAGTCCCGACAGCGCCGCCACGGGCCATGCGACCCACCGGCTGTCGCTGTCGAATGTCGGCGTCGCGTCGCCCAGCCGGATGCGTCCGAATTTGCCGTCCCAGTTGCGCCAGATCCACCAGCCGATGCCTGCCGCGGCAGCGAAGGGCAGCGTGATGGCAAAGAAGAGCCCCACGCCGCTGATGCCGTGCTTCTTTTGGTATTCTTCTTCTTTGCCGGGGCAGGGGAGTGTGCCCGCTGTCAGATCAAACTCTTTGCCGCCCTCGCAGGTCGTAATGGGAATGCGTCGGTAGCCTGTCACATCCTTGTACTCTATCACGTCGGGGTTCTTGCACACTGCAGCCGGGTCAGGAGGAGAAAGGCCTTCAACCAGGTTACAGGAACCGTCGGTTCCACGCTCGTAGTTGTAGTCACTAGCCATCGAGTTAGCATATCCCGTGATTATCTAATTGGTGGATTAATCGGGCCCTTACCATTCATAGTCTTGCCTGGTGCAAGTGCAGTTCCTTTCAATGGTATGGAACTTCTGGATGCTGCGACCGTTCCAGCATTCCGCGCCTTGCTTCTTCCGGTGATACATGGCCACGTGACCAAAGAGGCAGCCGTCTTCCTGGTGAGGGTGGCTGGGCGACCACAAGTCATAGTCGCCTGCCGTTGGCTTCTCCTCGTCAAGGTCGCAAGTGCGTTCAAACAGCCCCGTGAAGTCAAGATGGACAGTGACTGCTTTCATCGACCCGCCCGTCATTTGGCCCCACAAGAGGAACTTCTTGGAGGTGTCGCTCGGAACTGTAGTGATGGACTTGACGATAATCTCCTTACCAGGGCTGAATTCGTACTCCTTCCATGTGTCACCCTCGTCGAGTGAGTAGTAGATCACAGTAGTCGGATCTCTGTCCTTGACAATGACAATGACGGAGCCCTGGTCGCCGTACTCCCACATGAAAGAGCCCTTCATGACCTCGTGCCAGTTGACACCGCCGTCTCTGGTTATGAACGTGTTGCCTTCCCTGTAACGACCAAGGGAATCGCCAACGTTGCCCACGCCCATCATAAGGCCGACAGCAGATGGAGATGAAAAGGTGTCTCTAGGGTCCGCGCGCTCAGTGAAACCATGAAGATGCAGGGAGCATTTCTCAACATCGTTAACGTCGCACTTGTACGGGTTTCCATCCGAGTCCTTTTTCGGAACTCTGAGGAAATCCCAATCGGCTCCATCGTTGTGAGTAATCATGGACTTCAACTTCTTGGGTGCACCCTTTTCCAGCTCCTTGGTGTTGGATACAATGTTGATGAGAGCAACGCCTTCCAAGCCCTGCATCTTCTCAAAATCAACATAACCAAACCGGTTGCGGTTGACCTCGGCGATGCTAAGGACGTAGTCCGTGCCATTGCTGTTGCTCTTTAGAATGGTACCATATTCCCGGTCTTGCTCGTTGCTCATTGTGACGTGTAGGAAGATGGAATGTGTGGAGCTGTCCAACACGGTGTACGCTTGACGATGTTCAAGGTTGAACTTTGGAGGGAACTCAGCAGCGGCGAAGGTCTTTCCATCAATGCTGGCATCAATCTTGAGCCACTTGCGATCTTCCGTCCTCTTTGCAACGACGATGAACTCGGCCATGGTCGCAAAATTGGCAACATCCTTGAAGTTGACATTCTTGGTCTCGAACCAGTCATTGCTGGAAAGAAGCTGCAGCGGGTTCGTCGTATCCTCGTTCGCAAATTGCTCACAGAACACAAGCTGCTCGCTTCCTACGCGATCCTCCCTCCACACGAACTGGCACTTCTGCACGAAGGGGAGCATGGGGGTCCAGCTTCCACCCATGCCATTCTTTGTGGAGACATAGGCAACAGAGTGACAACTGGGACCGGAGCAGTCTCCTTTACCCGTCCACAGAATCCAGTCCTTTTCGTGCGGATGGAAACCCATGATGGGTAATTCTTCAGTGTTAGGAGGAGACGGAGCCTTAATCTCGCTGAAGCTCTTGTGAAGCCCACGGTTCTTCGAGTAGTAAATCCTGCCTTCGCCAGTGAGGAGGTAAACATAGTCGTTGAAGTATTGGTGAGGATAGATGGTGAGAACGAAATCATCGACAGCATGCGCCCAGGTCTTTCCATGGTCGTGGCTGATATGAGCCGTATGAGAATCATCCAGGACGATGACTGTCTCGTCATCCTCTGACTCGGACGCTGATTCAGTCCTTTCGAGGTAGTACCACTCCAGGAATCTGTCGGCTTTGAAAGTTGTGATTTCCTTCACAATCTTTCCACTTGTCTCTGGCTTTTTCGTCTCTCCGCATGGCCTCTCAACAGGCTCGTCCTTGACCTCACCGCCCTCCTTTTCGCACATATTGCCAGGAATGAGGCGCCAACCGGAGCTTCCTTTGAATTTGTCATCTGGGTTCTTGCATTCTCCCTTGGGTGCTTTCAGATGACTAGAAGGTACGCACTCGCCTTTGTCATCCCTGACAAAGTTGAAGTCGCATTCATAGTCCTCTTTAGTGCATTTGCAAACCTCCCATTTTGGCTCAGGGTCGACAAACTCGTCCTTGATGAAGCACTCGGCGTCGGCCTTGCGCCTACGGAAAGATTGGGTTCTGCCCATGATGCAGCTTGGTTTACCGTCCTTGTCTACACGAGCATGCCAGAGTTCAAAGTCTTTCTCTTCGCACTTCCGTTCGTGAAGTCCCTCGAAATCGAACGAGTAGATAAACCACTCCTTCTTTTGGCCATCACCCTTTGACGCCACCAAGACAAATTTGAGACTTGTTGAATCCGGAATGGTGGTGAGCTCTTCGGCAATGATCTTCTGATCAAGCTCAACCGTTTCCCACTTGCGGCCGTGGTCCAATGAGTACCGGAGCTTGTTGGTTGCTCCTTCATCATAGATGGCCACCAGGATGGAGCCTTTATCGCCGAATTCATACAAGTGTGCTTCGTCCAGACCCTTGATCCACGTAAGGCCCGCATCGTCCGACACCCAAAGGTTTCCGTCGCTATAAGATTTCAGGTGATCGCCGAGGTTACCGATACCCATAACAAGGCCGGGTGCAGGGCTCGAGAAGACTTTGCCGCTGTTTCTTTGTTCCGTGTAAGAGTGAAGATGCAAGTCCTTGCCGTCCTTCGACTTCATCTTCTGGAAGGTCCGCCCATCATCGAAACTGATCTGTGAGACGACTTCGGGGTCCATAAACCAGTCGTCCTCAATCTCTTTCCAGTTCTTGATCGTGTTGACAATGATGACGCCTTGGATGTTGGTGACCTTTTCAAAGTCAACGTAGCCATAGCTATCGCGTTTGGTGTGAGCGATGTTCTTGGTGAAGTAGGTTCCGTTCGAATTGCTCGTGAACAGGTTTCCCATAGGAAGCAGCTTCGAGGACATGACATCGACCTGGATGCTGTAGTTGGTTGACTCCAGGATGGTGTAAGCATCCTCCTCCAGTTTGTGCTTGCCAAACTCGGCCCTGTGCCAGGTGTAGGTGTCATGCGTCACATAGAGTGCCATCTCGTCGGTTCCCTCAGCCTTCGCGGCCGCGACTATGTAGCCCTTTGCGGAAGCCAAATGCGCCATACCAGCCACAGTGCGGCCACTGGACATTGGAGGCTCCCTGAGAGTTTCGCCGAAATCATCCGTTAAGACCAATCGGTAGTCCTTTCTCTTGCTGGAGAATTTGCCCTCGACAACGCAAAGTATACGGTCCTTGTCGACGCTCTCGTCACCGGAGGTAAAGTGGTCGGTGTTCCGAGCCCACATACAGGTCTTCCTCTTGTCGACGAGTGTCTTGACGTGTTCGAAGCCATCGGTCGTGTAGTAGGTCTGCGACAATGGTTAGCAACGGAAATGCAGACCGCAGCCCACCTCACATACCGTCCCAACACAAGTACCCCACATGTCGCAACGGTCATCGCCGTTGATGAGTATCCTGTTCGGGTCGTCTGCATGCCAGCTGATGGGTGAGTAGCGGTTCGGAGACACGCTCATCTTGAACTTCCTCCAAGTCTCGCCATAGTCGTAGGTGATGTAGTGTTGCTCTTTGCCAAAGGCGATGGCAACCTTCTTGTTGAATGGATGGTGGTAGACGGCCTTGACCTGGCCCTTCTTGAGGGCCTCGATCTCCTCCCATTCCTGGCCAGCGTCGGTGGTGCGCCAGACCTTGCCCGACTCTAGTTCGGTGACGATGGCGGTTTCGGTGTCGTCGAAGAAGAAGAGACCAGAGGGAGGCTGGTCGAACTTGCGTTTCTCAATCGTAGGGCCATCGGCCTTCTTGGCTACGGCACCGATGGCCAGCAGCAGCCACACGGCTTTCAAAAGTATCATGATTGCATCGAGGGGGTTGTCGAATCAACAGGATGGAGCTCCGAAGCTTGAGATGACAGCTTAACGCTAACCTCTGGCCGCGCACTCAGCTGCGCCTGCCTGCAGTGGTATTGTCGCGGGCCCGTGCTCGTCGCCGTCTCAGCCGGGCGACAATGACGCGCGCCTGTGTGATTGATCGCCGCCCTCGAAACTCCTCCGATGTCTGCGAAGTGCTTCCTCCAGCAGCCACAGCACGCTTGCGGCCAACTCCTGTCTGCTATACAAGCGTGACAGGGATCCTGACTGCCGTTCGCAAGCGTGACTCGCTTGGCTCAAAACTCCTGCGCTCCTCCCAACGACCACCACTTGTGCCACCCTCGCTCGACCATGCACGAGCATGGCCCGGACCACTGGCTTGCGCGATATGCTACCGCATACCATGCCTGGCGCAAAGTCGACGTCGCAGGCAGGCCCGCCTACACCAGGCCGCTCGGCCTCATCGAGCAGTCCTTTGACGTCGACGGCGCTCATTTTGGCGGCAGAGCAGATGTAAATTCTTCATTTACCGTCGAAATTCGAAGCACCCTGCCGCCAGACCAGTTCCGCGCGCGGCTGGTCCTCGCCTGGGCGAGCTTGCGGCTCCAGCATGTAATGCTTCTGGCCACCGTCATCCGAGATGCTGCGACGGATTCCAGAGAATTCAACGTCCAAATTCCGAAGGACGACACTGAAGTCCTGCAGAATGCAGAAGAGTCGATCACTTTCCTGGGCGATCATCAAAAGGATCTCCCGCTCGACGATTTGTACCGCCACTGCATGAACAGCTCGAGGATCATCGACTCCGAAAAGAGTCTGTCGCGGCTTTTCGTTCTGCCACCAACGCCTCTCTCCCATGATAGATTTCGAGTGAGCTTCTTTATCATTGCTGCCCACGAGATCTGCGATGGAGTAGTAGTCTTGTCGAACTGGGAACCGCATTTTCTGAAGCTTTTTAACACTTCTGAAATGGATTTACGACGTAGCTTGAGCATTGAACGACTGCCAGAACGTCTATGGAAACGTTTACCCCAAGCACAGGAAGATCTTTACCCTTTGGTTCAGGGCAACGTAGCCAGGCGACGCTGGTATTGGGCTATCATGAGAATACTCCGCCACGTCCGCAAACCGCTTCCGCAGGCCTTTGCCAATCCACTTAGACACCCTGAAAGACGAGCGCAGTTCACGCCGTTGCCACCCACCTATTCTGATGTTTTGGATTACTCCCCGGAGCGTAGACCACCAATGAATAGCTTTAGCGTAGGGGCTGTGCTCTCACGTAGCACCACAGATCGTCTGGAGCGTCTGGCAAAAAGCGTGGGTGCAAGCGTGGGTGCTGCATGCTTCACTGTAGTCGGCATGGTTATGATGGAGATAGAGGAGGCTCGTAATCCGTCCATCCCTCTTGACCAACGTCGTCCATTTATAGGATCTTTCCCTATAAATCCTCGTCCATTTTTCTGCTACACTGGCCCAGCAGATTCCTGCATGCTAGCATTCAGCGATGGCATCTGGCTACCTTTCCTCCCCTCAAGTCTGCCTGTGGAAGGCCGGTTCAAATTGCTCGTACGCCAGGCGCACAGACAGTTGCGAATGTATCAAAAGCGGCTGCGGAGTGACAAGCTTCAAGGCAGCTTTGATCCCACCGACCCAGCGCGCATAATCGCATCGAGTTATATCACGGCAATTGAGCGCGCCGACCAGAAGCGCCCACCGCATTTGCGGACAGGCGTCAACCCTCAAGGCGCTTACCCGGCCAACGTCAATTTTGCTTCCGCTACCTGCGGCGTCAGTTCTGTGGGCTTGATCAGGAAATTCTTAGCACCCGGGCATTACAAGCTGGATGATGCTGCTATGGATGAACGGGGGTTTGCCGCAGACTTCAGGATGGAAAATCTCATGACTGGCGTTCGTGCAAGAGATAACGAATTCCTCTGTGGCAGCTGGGGCATGGATGACGGTTTGCACTTCAACGTTTCGTATGATGGCAATGCTATAGATGAGGAGAAGGCGATGCTATGGAAAAGGAAAATGGAGACATTGTTCGAAGCTCCAGTGCAGCCGAAGTTGTAGATGTTGGACGTTTCGCTGTCACCCAGCAGACAAGTTTGGATTTCTCGATTAAAAATGTGATATATACCGAGAAGTATATATAGATAGAACGTTCAGTATATAAATCCGCGGCTAGCGCATCTATTACCATCAGGAAAGATTCACCGCCTAACGAGAAAATGATGCTTATATGGAGTGGAAACAAAACCAAGCTAAGATATAAAGTAAGTGTAGGTTCTAATATCTTCTCACTTATCCAGGGCTTAGGCTTAGATCTAGGCAAGGAATATTCAACAGGGACTGCTTGTATCATTGGGCATTAAAGTATTGAGATAATATCAGATTTTCAAAACAAGAGCGACTAAAATGGTGCTTAAGCCTTGTCTCGTTGGCCAATGAATCCCCCTTGGACTTAGTTGGGGTGACTGGACTTAAAAGCCTTCTGACATACTACGGTCCGTCGGAGGGGTAGATGTTGTTATAATTACACGTTCCTCGAGAGCAACCCATCCCACCACGAGCACAACCTCTATGTCCACCTACGAAGTAACCTGTAGGGAGCATTTTAAAGGTACCGCAAGCATACCTATATGCTCCTATACGTGAGTTCATATTTTAAATCAGGGTGATTTGACATGCCTTCCCTTCTACGAAGTATCACTCACTGTGGGGTTATGGACTGCAGTAAAACCGAAACTGTCATGGTGCTACTACGATTGATAGAAACTGTCAATATACCTAGTTTCCCATTCCAATTTCTTGTGGACGACCGTTGTGTCGCCAGTATAAATCCTCTGCTCGGTCATGATGGACCTACAGCAAACCAAACCCGCCTCAATATGGCATACGACAAGCTCGTGGCGTTGTATGGGTACGATATGTCGATTGCTTAGCTTTTACCGCTGATACAATCCTTTCCCTCTCTTGGCGAACATGCGTCTAGATCCCTCCCCAGGCGAGCAGTTACTAGGCGGGGTTCGGTAACCAGGCTAAATTCTTTGCCTGCCAGAAAATTCGAAAATGCCGCAGTTCGAATGCTGCTGTAACCCAACGCGAATTGCGTGTAGTCCTACGCCTGACGCCAATCCTGTCTAACAAGCCGATTGTCCCACACGCCTTTTGTATTATGCTTGTAATATGCCGACTTCGCGTTCCTCCCTCAAGACTTGAGCATCTTGTTGCGCTTCTCCCGTCTCTTCAGGCGCTCGGCTCGCTTGGCGTGCATTTTGGCGGCCATCTTCTCGTGCCTCTCGCGCTCCTCCTTCTTCGCGCGCCTGTCCTTGATGTTCTGGACGTGTGCCTAGGTCGGGAAAGTCAGAAACGTATCCGACACAGTACTCGGGCTCTGTCGAGCTGTATGCGCACCTGTCTCGCGGCCTCTTTCTCATCCTTCAGCTCCTTTTCCTTGGCCTTGACGGCGGCGAGGGCCTTGCGCTCTTCGGTGCGCTTCTCGTAGGACGTGAGACCGGAACCGGGGCGGAAGGCCTTCTTCGGCTGGTGCCATTGCTTGCCTTAGGGGGAAACGTGTTAGCGGGCGCGGATCGAGGCGATGGCGGCCTGGGCGGCGACTGACCGTTCTTGCGCATGGCCGGAGCCGGCGCTTGAGCAGGGGCGGCGGCAGATTCGGTGGACATGGCTGCGGGCAGGAGTGGCAGGGAGGTGGGAGCGCGTCTGGCCGTTACAAAGAAAAATCCACAGTGATCATATTTTATCAGATCATCAGATAACCCTAACGGCATTAAGGTAAGAGCGCCGGCCCCGAGCCCCGCAGCAGTAGGCGAAGGGACCGCTCTGTGCCCAAATTTTCTGCCCAAGGCTGCCGTGCCTGACTCCGCGCCTGCTTGTGACGCGCACTATCATGGAAAACTCGGGACGGGGCGTTCCTTCTTAGTACCTAACACCTGCCTCCCGCCCGCCATGCTGCCCCGATAACACGCCATTCCTTTGACTATCTTTCTCTTCTCTCTACCCTCTACCCTCTGACAATGGCCTACTCCGAGCGCCCAACAGCCACCATCACCGACCCCAACATCATGGCTGTCCCCGACACTGCCGCTAGGGACGCCCTCGCCGACCAGGGCAAGGAGGCATTGAAGGACATTGTCTTCGGCTCCGTGGCCGGCATCGCTGGAAAGTTCATCGAGTATCCCTTCGACACGGTCAAGGTGCGCCTGCAGTCGCAGCCCGACCACATTCAATTGTACCGCGGACCGCTGGATTGCTTCCAGAAATCATGGGCCAAGGACGGTGTCATGGGCTTGTACAGAGGCATCAGCGCGCCGCTTTTTGGCGCTGCCATTGAGAACAGCAGCTTGTTCTTCAGCGTGAGTCAATCTTCTCCGCCATCTTCCCCGCCATTGCGCGAGGCGCCCAACGGCTAACAGAGACACAGTACCGCCTCTTCCAAGATATGCTGCAGGCCTCTTTCTATCCCGCCAAGCAGCCTCTGCCGTTTAGCGCCCTCCTGTTTTGCGGTGCTGCCTCTGGTTCCTTTACTTCCTGCCTCCTCACCCCCATCGAGCTCATAAAATGCAAGATGCAAGTGCCCATGGAGATGGCAGACGGCAGGGTGACCAGGCCGGGACCTCTTGCTCTCATTGCATCGGTATACCGCCACCAGGGCATCGCAGGCTTCTGGCATGGACAGCTGGGAACGCTGATCCGTGAAACGGGCGGCGGCGTCGCCTGGTTCGGAGGCTACGAAGGCATGGGCATACTCTTCCGCAACATGCACAAGGACAAGCCGGCCAATGAGCCGCTGCCAATCCACCAGCAGATGACGTGCGGTGCCATGGCTGGCATGAGCTACAACTTCTTCTTCTACCCTGCCGATACGATCAAGAGCCGCATGCAGACCGAGGACGTCAGCCTGGGCGGCAAGCGCAGCTTCTGGTCTGTTGGCAAGCTCATATGGCAGCAGCAAGGCCTCAAGGGCATGTACAGGGGCTGCGGTATCACGGTCTGTAGGAGCGCGCCGAGCTCGGCTTTCATCTTCACCATCTACGAGGCGCTGAAGCAGCAGTTCGCGTAGGAGTCGCTCTGCACGCAGTTAGAGTTGTCTTTCTTGCATTTATTGGCGCATTTGGAGTTGGGTAATGGCAGGTGAGGGTTCAAAAATGGGTATATCCGAGAAGGTGTCTGGAATAGGTAGACGGTTGGTAGACAGCGAGTGCGTACAGGTTGACGAGCTAGCAGTAATACGCACATAAAAAAATAGAGCTACCGCATATAAATATTCTAATGGCACAACATTCAGCCATGTGAAGCCTTCAGACTTGTTGCTACCCAAGACCAAGTAACTACATGGATGTTTGTACGCACACTGCATCACGAGACAGCATGGCCGTCCGGACGTAGGGACGCAGACTGCTCCGCAACCTAGTGGCACGAAACAATTCATCAAAGCTCGACAAAAGGCATAAACATCCAGCTCCAACCGTCACACGATACGCGATAATGCGAGCTCGATTTGCAAACCAATCTCCGCGCAGGGGCGTCGCGGACCCACGGCACACTTGACACACTAAACCTAGCCGTGGAGTCGGACTCGGAGTTGACACTTGAGACACACACGTACGCGCGGGCGCGCCACACTCACATGCCAGCAACGCCACACATACAGGCACCAGCCACACGCCGGCGGGCACGGGCAAAAAGTGCCAAAGGAACGTAACCGGTGCGCGGGCTTGAGCCGAGGCTCGCGCTGCTGCTTGCTTGCCGACATCATACCTCGTCTCTACTCTACTCTACTCTACGCCCGCGCCCTGCCTTGCCCTGCCCTGCCTTTGCCTTTCTCTTGTCTACCTATCTATGCGATCACGGGCTGAGGGCTGCTGCTAGTTATTCACTTATTTCCTTGCTTGCTTGCTTACTCGACTGCCTGCCTCTGCTGCCTCTGCTATAGCTACCTACACCCTCGATACCTGCGACGCTACGCAAGCTGTGAGAGCTGCCTAGGGTTGCGCTGCGCGATAACGGAGCTGCCCGGCCCTCGGAGCTCCGCCTCGACGACGTCGCCAGCTCGTGCCTAGGCCGGTCGTCCGCTGGCTACTAGTAGGCTCCAGCTCTTCCGCTTCCGCCCACCGAACCCGGCCTGCGAGGCGCGCGCGCGCGCGCAGACACATCGCGCACCGGCTGTCAGCGAGGAAGACAAAGCAGGAGAGAGAGGTTGAGAAATAAAGAGAGGGACATAGACTAGAGCAGCGGACTGCCCGGCATGGACGCGCTGATGCGGCTCGAGGCAGCGGCGGAGCGCGTGGCGCTCGACCCGCGCTACCATGAGCTGCTCACGCTGGTCAAGGGCGTGCGCAACGGCATCGTGTACGGCACGAAGGTGCGGTTTCCGCACGCGCTGGTGTGAGTACCCGCCTGTCCTGTCCCTCAGACCCTGCATGGCGCATATACGGAGAGTAGGAGAAGGGGGAGAGATACAAGAATAACGGAGGGAGTGAGTGGGTTTGCGGAATGAGAGAGAGGGTGGTGTGCTCGGAGCAACAGCAGCAGCAGAGTCCTTTCACAGATCAGCCACGTTAGTACCTAGGGAACAAGCATCGCTAACAGCGCCTCTTCGCCCGTCCCTAGCATGATCTTCCTCTTCCGCTCCGGCACGCTCCGGCAAAAAGCGTCCCTCGTCTTCAAAGCGACGCGCACACACGCACGCAACCTGGGCCTTTTCTGCCTCGTCTACAAAGCCAGCATGCTAGCGCTACGGCACACGGCACCGCACGGCAAAGAGCGGCACTACGACGCGTTCCTGGCAGGGCTAGCAGGCGGGTACACGGTCTTCGGGCGCGGGATCCAGAGCTCGGTGAACCAGCAAATCGTCATCTACGTGTTTGCGCGCGTGGTGCTCGCGTACGCCAAGCTGCTCGTCCAGCCGCGCGGCGACTTCCACGGCCACGGCCGCGAGCGCGGCGCCCCTGGCGGTGGGGGCGGCGGCGGCTGGGGCGTCGTTTCTGACCCCGTGCTTGCCGCGAAGGTTAAGGAGAATGCGTGGCCCGTGTTTGCGAGCTTGAGTTGGGCGGCCGTCATGTATGTCTTTAGGTGGCATCCGGAGACGGTGCAGCCCAGTCTGCGCAGCAGCATGCATTACATGTGGGTGGCCCTTTTGCTGTTGTCTTTTCGCTTCCTGCGAGTTGGCAGAACACTGGCGACTGACGACGAGAACAGATACGAGCAATCGGACTACTGGGACTCGCTGAAGACGCTGCTATGGCACAATAAATAGAGCCGGGTGGTGGTTATGGGGGTGAGTTAGTGACGGGAAGTTTCTACGCGAGCCAGGACAAGGCTCCGTTTCGTTGGACGAACTGCATTAAAAGGCGCGGGGCGTTTTGGGCTACGAGGAGAGAGACACTGAGTACCCGGACAGGACGTTGCGTTTGGATTGAATTGCTTGGGTTTCGTTATAGTTAGTTATCCGGAGCTTCAGGGCACGCGCGTAGCAGCAGCGCCTGAACCACCTAATTACTATCGCTTATCGTGCTTTGCTTCTGTTGTTTGCCGTGGTTATGCAGGGCGCGCCGTGCCGTGCCGTGCCGTGCCGTGAAGGACTGACCCTGCTTGGTCCTGGTCGTGAACATGTGGCACGCTCAACGCTCGTTTCACATGCTGAGACATATATGTGCATCAGAGGCTAGGTCGCCAGTGAAAGTTCCAAAACATAGACAACGTGCCGTGCCGTGCCGTGAAGGACTGACCCTGCTTGGTCCTGGTCGTGAACATGTGGCACGCTCAACGCTCGTTTCACATGCTGAGACATATATGTGCATCAGAGGCTAGGTCGCCAGTGAAAGTTCCAAAACATAGACAACGCACGCGGAACCGAAACAGGAGCAGAGCAGAGCAGAGCAAAACGAACAGCGTGGCAAGCCCAGGAGGAGGTCTCAGAAACACCTACATACACACTTACCTAAGGTACCTTACTCCTCTGGGCAGCACCATCTTCCTCGTGCAGGAGGAGGAGGCCTGAGAACCGACCGCTACAGCAAGCAACAAGTGGTGGCGCCAGCTGCACGTGCATCTGCATGTACGTATACTCACATGCACGCCCCTCTGCTCCCCTGCCTGCCGCATATCCGTTTACGCACAACAGCGAACGCCAAACGAGTGAGCGAGCGAGCGAGCGTGGCGACTATCGCGTCGACACACCTGCCGCCGACCCCATGGATGGGCAGTGCGTGCACCTGCGTGCTCCAGGCGGGCCGAGGCGCGCATGGCCAGGGCCAGCTACATACATAGGTAGGTATGCAGAGCCAGAGCAGCAGCAGGGTGGGGTGGCCAACGGAGACGCCGCGGGCTGGGGGAAAATGGCGCAGAGACGACGAAGGAGGAGGAGAAGAAAATACGGGTGGCGAGAGGGCGGCATGGGTGTTGCTGCGGCCGGGCGTGCGCGTTATTGCCTGACGGACAGCCGGGTGCTGGCTGCAGCGGGCGAGACCGTCGTCGATGGCGGCGGAGGCGGCGATGTCGGCGCGGATCGTGCCGTGATAATGGAGGGGTAAGGTAAGGTAGGTTCAGGGGCAGGGGTGCCTGCCTACCTATTACTAGGGGCCTGGGGGCGCGGGGACGTGGCGTGGCGGCGCGTGTCGCGGGGGAGGGGGATCTGGAGGGGCTTTCCTCGTCGTGCGGTTCCTGCTTGCGGAGAAGTACGGAGAGGGAAGATGGGGATGAATGGTACCCGTAGCGGTGCACAACGTGTCGGCTACACGCGGCTTAGTTAGGAGACGATTTTGTTGACACTCAAGTCTGCGGTCGCCGTCTGTTTGCGAGACTATTGTTGGTGGTTAGGTAAGTGGCCTGGCTCAGCGATCCTTCGGCTGGGTAGGGAGGCGATGGATGCTTGGTGTGGGGAAGCGGATTGTGGATTGTTGAACGCGCTGGCGTTGCTATGTGTCAGTGTTGGAACTGAGCGCCAGTGTAGTTAGTTCACTGAGTTCGTCCGCAAGAGTCACCGGAGAGTGCGCCTCAAAAGAACTGTTTTCCAAGTGGACTTGCAGCCAGTGAGCACTGGTGTCAGTGGACGCGGCCGCCAATTATGTCATTAGACAAACCATCCGTCTAATTTGACCACGTTGTCGCATGTGGTGTAAACAAAAAGGGATTCCATAGCCAGAATCTTATATTTTGGAACATTTGACACAATCTGAGTGTGGAATCCGCCCAGCTCAAACGTATCGTTAGTTTTAAATCCATCGTCCCTTCGATTGGACCAAACAACTGCAGGTTCCTGTGAAACAGGCAACTTCTTCGTTTACCCAATGGAAACCAGAGGCGCAATCATACTTTCGATTCGCGGCACGGCCCGACCTATCTTCTTTCCGCTGCCACTCGGATGAGTTTGATAAGGAAAGGTTTTGCCTGTACCTTGGTACACTGCATCTATGCCGATTACCGGAGATGGCAATCGATCGTGACAGTTAACGCAATCAAGCTAGAAGATTAAATGGTACACAACAGCCATTGACATCAACAACCTTAAGGGAGCATGCCTTGGTCGAATCCTTCCGACTGCACGTGTCGGCGCAACTGTACGGACTCTAGTTATTTCGGTCTGCATCGGAACTCAGACTGGATCTTGCATACAGCAGGAGAGCAACCAATGAAGCTATACTCCGGTCCCCAGGGTTACCTAAAGATGGCTTCGGAGAATAAGATGTGCTTCAAGACCCTGTAGAATCAGAAAGCCATCCAGCAGTCGATCGCTTAGATCGAAGATCGATCGAATTTTCCCTGAAGCTTCGACGAAAATCCGCACATGGCTAACCCAGGATGCTGGCAGTGAAGGATTTAAGTGCCGCGGGGTCAACAACTATCGAATGGCTAGGGGCGCCGGTTTCTTTAGTAAAGAGAAGCAGCTGCGAGCTGCAATATGCGAGCACACGAGCACACCCGACCGAGTCTACAGTGATTCCCTTAGGGCGCCGTTGCGGTGCAACCAACAACGGCCATGAGGGGCCGGATGTCCCATATCTACATATCCCAAGTACAGGACATGGAAGCTCCTGTATGAAGGGGGTGATGGTGGTGTGATGTCAAGGATGGATGATGTTGGATTGACAGTTGCTTTTGGCGTCAAAACTGGGGATGGAAAAAGGTGCCCCGCAGACGGATCGCCAGTGTGCGTCTTGGCGAAATCAACGTACGGCAAAGCCTCACACACACCCCCACAAAGTCAGAGACTCGGTGAGCAGCAGGTGGTGCGAGGGGCAAAGGCTAGGTCGGACGCGCGGAGCTAGCGGAAGCTTAGCCGACTGGCTTCAGTCGAGGCTGCTTGCGGTGAGGGCAGGTAGGGAAGGAAGCCACAAGTCATCTCACAGCTCGCTCGACGACCCTTGCGCCCTTCATGCTCGCTCGCTATCTGACAGCAGACACGGCAGAGATGGCCAGGTGAATTGTCAATTCTTTTTGCCTTCTCAGCTTCCGTTTGTCTTCCTCCTGCACTTCCTCCAACTCTGGTTCTCGACCCTTCCAGCCCTCGCAGAACAATACCCGCTTGCTGCTGTACGGCCACCTCTACATATAACACGCCCCTGCACCTGCTTCCACCCTGCATATCTGCCTCGTTTCTCGACCTCTGGCTGACGCCGTACGCCTGCAGACTCCAGGTTGCTTATCGACGACCATCCATTGTCAGCCCGCCGCGCATCGTACATCCCTATCGTGTCCCTGCGGAGCAAGTTCGGATCCCCGATTGCCGCGTCACGCTTTCAGGCATCGCATTGCCGCCCAGGGCACAAGCCCACATTCTCTCCAAAGCTTGGAGGTTGAGGATAATCTGGGGGAAACGGATAACAGTGGGTCACGGCCCTCCTGACGGTTATTTTTAATACTTGCACGGCCACTGCTGCTCGGCAACTCTGCGACCTCCTCTGTTCCGCAATCATCCCTTTCTCACCCGTGGCCGCCTGCTCCACCCTCAAAAGGCGGTCGCCGAAGTTGGTCGCTATCACCAATTGCCCCAATTGGCTTTCTGGCCGACAAGTCGCTAAATCCTTGATCGCCGGACGACGCGGCTCCACAATTGTCGACGTCACCGCCTGCCGGACCACACGTCGCTATCAGCTCAAACTCTGGTGTCTGTCGCAAGACTCACAGCGCCGTTTTGGACATACTGCCACAAGACTTGGCCATTTGACGTTCTATCCCCATCGCATCCTTCCGAAGGTCTGTTGGAGCATTGATACCCACTCCTGAACCCCTTTTACCCCGCCGCTTACGTCTTTTGAGCATGACTCTGACACCAATAGACAGCATTATATACCTTGGTTGCGCTCGAACCGCTTCCTACCCGACCAATTCGATTCCACTACTGTCATCTACCCTTCTCTCCTATCCCGCTTCCTACGGCACGCGGCTCCGCATACTCGGAAAGCAAACACACGACCAATCACACTAGGCAACACCGGCTCATAGCTTGGTTGCAATCAGCCTCGAAGTAAACAGAATCCGCATCCCGGTTTTACCCGAATACCTGCGCTTTGGAGCCGACTCAACGCCGAAGCCCGCGAGGGATACTTGTCGAAGTCTAGGTCATGCCCAGCTGGCTCGGCGACAAGGGAATTCCGTAGATGAGGCGTCACCCATTATTCTCCCTCTCGTACACAAGTTTTTGAAACATTAAAAAGCCGGCTACAGCTCGATTAGCAAAAAGTCGCAAACTTGGACTTGCTAGTGAGCATCGACTGAGGATCAGGTCATATCACGATGTCTGCGTCACCACCACAGAAGCGGCGCTTTTTGCCAGAACCTGTCGAGACGACAGTAAAATCATCTAGGAGATTTGCGCCGGATCCAATGGAAATAGCATCAGAGTCAAATGACAACCCCCCAGACAAGGAAGAAATGCCAACCAAGAGCACGCGAAAATTTGCGCCGGAGCCGGTGGAGACTACAACAAAAAGCTCCCGAAAATTTGCGCCTGACCCTGTGGAGACCACGACCAAGAGCTCCCGAAAATTCGCACCAGAACCTGTGGAAACGACCCAAAGATCGAGCCGCAAGTTCAATGTTGAACCCGTTGAGACGACTAAGAGCACGCGACGGTTCGCGCCGGAACCTGTTGAGACGACCGTCACAAGCAGCCGAGACAAGCCTAGCAGACGGTTCGCCCCACAGCCAATTAGCACCACCACGAGAAGTAACCGGAAAGGAAGTGCGGATACAGATGGTGGCGCTGCCAAGACCCGCGCGGACTCGTCTGGCTCCCAGGAATCTCCGCAAATCGACGACGCTACCCCGCGTCCTCGTCGGAAGTTCGCTCCTCAGCTTATCGAAATAGCGGCTCGTTCAAGAAAATCAGGCGATGACGGTCCCTGCATCCGTGAGGGAGACAGGACCGAGACAACGCCTGAGAGTGTGCGAAGCCCTGTCAGGCGGGGACGGCTTCCGCCGCCGGTGCCATTCAATACACCCGCTGTCTCGTTGGAACGAGTCCCTCAGTTGCTCGAGGCGCGTCGGCTTGGTATCCCCCTCAATCTGAAGCGTAGCGAGTCGGTCGGTAGCAACCGATCGCATTCCTTTAGAGTACCAGAACTGGACACCATAGAGTCATCAGAATCGGAAGAGGAAGGGCCACCATCGCTCTCAACATCTCCTTCGATTACTTCTGATTTGTCTGTCTCGTACAAGCATGCCACTCGCAGGAGGGAAAGTGTAGACGAGCGCTTTGCTGGCTTCATGTTGCAGATTGCAGCAGAGGCTGCTGAAAAGCAGATGAGGGAACAAGCCATGGCTGCCTTCCCTAACGATGATCACCATGAGCCGGTGTCCCATTTCATCGATGATGATGGGGAGGCCATTAGCGATGGGTCTGGCGAAATGAATCAGGAGCGGCGGGAATCCTTCACCAAGGTCAACTGGGAATTGTTGGCAATGCAGAAGCACCAAGAAGAAAAGAAACAACAAGAAAAGGAGCTGAAATCGCCTATTGCGGAACCTAACAAGAGCGCCTGGGGTGATCCGTGGGGCCTTTCTTCACCCAAGAGTCCGTGGGAGTCGGAGAAGAACCCACCCGATCCTTGGGGCGATCCGACAGCCACGCTGTTTGGCAACCAGAGAGGACGACCCGAGGATAGGGAGCTGACCCAGATGCATCGCGGTGCGAGACCTCCCATGCTTGGAGGTGATATCCATTTTCCTCGCTGCCGCTCACCGGAACCGGCTCGTTTTGATGTTACACAGGGTTCCGAGGCAATTCGGAACTCTATGTGCTACCTGACGCAGCAAAGCCAGAGCAACGAGCAGGAAGGTGGTCTCTGGAAGGGTTGCAACATATCTCGCAAGACTTCGCACACAAAAGAGCAAAGCAAAAAGCGTAGCAGAGAGCCAGAGCTAAAGCTCACCAAGGCACCATCTCTCTGGTCAAACCCGGGCAGCAGCCCACCTTCGAACGGTGGATTGTGGAGAGGCAGCTGCAAGGACACCGGTCTAAAGGCACCAAATCAACAAACCGGAATGCTCACGCCTCAGATCGAGATTGGTAATCCATTCGACAGTCCACCGCCAACACCAGCATACGCGCCTCCTTCACCTCCGCCTAGCAACCCCGACATATCTACTGTGCACGAAAAACTCACCGCACGGCAGGCCTTGGAGGAAGAATTTTCCGACGGCTTTGTCTCTCAGGTGTTCAACTACCTGTCGTTGGGCTACCCTTCGCTAGCACACAAGTACGATGAAGAGCTCAGCAAGATCAGCCGCATTCCTGTTTCAGAACTGAGGCAGGATGATGAGCTCGCGAAACCCAAAGGCTACGTCAGACTGGGTAGCGACAGAAACATTGATGTCAACGAGGATACAAGCGCACGCTGGCGGGCGCTCCGAGTCTACATCTTTGAGTGGGCCAAACAACAACCGAACATGGTGCCAGCAGACTTTGCTCTTGGTGGTTTCGGTGTTGCGGCCAGGAGGGGAAGTTGGGCCTGGTAAGAACACTGCAATCTGGTTCACTCGAGCACATGGTTTTGATGTTTGGCCAATGTTTTAAGATGGGGAACCAATTTGAGCACTTGATTTAATTGCTTTTTGATTTTCTTTCGTTGACTGGAAGCATAGCGAGTTTGGACACTCCTTACTATTGCATTGGTTCGGCGTTGTTATTTCTTCATTTTTACCCGTTTCTGCTTGCGCTGGGAAAAGTAAGCGTGGCGTCGGGTTTTCTTATTTCAGACAATGTGGCAGAGAAAGAGAGAGATGGATGTAGACATAGGGAAAGAGTGTTGATAGGTAGAAAGGGGATGTTTGTCTATCCATGCGAGATGTTCGATTGTTCTCAACGACAGGAATAGCATGGTTTCTGTTTCGAAACTTGTGTCAAAACCATTCATGCCGCGCTGAGAAGACCTCAAATGCAAAAAGGAGAGCCCCTATTGACGCAATATGGTTGCTCTGTCTCTGCAATTAAATTTATTTCCGAACGCGAAGATCAAACTTAAACAACAATTCAAATACCTCAATAGACTCTGTTCTAGACAAAGAGAAGACCGTTGGTAGCCGAGAGTCAGGAGCCTTAAAGGGTTATCGCGATACCCCGTGTGTCCGTGTGCAGACTCCCCGCTCAACATAATAGACAATAAGTTAGCGAGATAGTGATTATCGATTTGGCATCTTAGATCTATTGACATACTTAACTTCTTCCGGAAACCATTTAAACGCTGCCTACACTTAGTAGATTCCAATTTGAATAGATCATCGATCATGTGGGGAGACGATTAGGCCATAAGTATCCGTCAAAGTAGGTACATCTACGTATGAGGTGTTTGAGTGAGTATGATGCCGAATTAGCTCTTGTACGTCACGCTGCATATCTGAGGTCTTTACCTTGAGTATTTCGCGATGTGCATTAGAAAAATTTGCTCCGAGTATGCTTACTATTACTTTAGTTAACTGGTACTGTATAATAGAGCATGAATGCAGAGCAACATAGCAGATGAGTCTGCTCATAATGGAGTAATTGGGAGCTGAAGTTTGAGGTTGAAGTCTGGGCGCGATTCAATGGAAGGCAAAATGATTGGTACTATGACTCAGGCTCAGGCACGTGCATGACGCCACACCGCCCGTCAACTTCACTGCGGACTCCGACTTTCAACTCCCTGTATCCTTTCCCGTCGCAACAAGCAACCCCAACTAGTAGGCCTTTTGTTCCTGCATTTTGGTTGTCGCATACATCTACTGGGCTCGTAAAGCGATTCAGCATGGTCGAAATGTCCGAAGACAGCGAACTGCAAGCGAAGATTGCTGCCCTATCTGGTGAGCGGCAATGCCATCGACTGACGGCAAATGTTCTAACTCTTGGTTAAAGGCAGGATCAACCTTCATAAGCAAGGAGACAACAATTCCGGAGACCATTTCTATTACGAACCCCAAGCGTATCGTGGTACAACTCTAGCCGTTATCGCCGCCGCATTCCAACATTGTCTTACTTAAGAACCAGGTCGTGGTCGTGGTCGTGGAAGTGCAAACTGGGCACCGTATCGTGGTACCCCATACGGTTCCCCTCGTGGCCGTGGAGGCAGAGTTCACCACCGTTCCCTCGTGCTCAACAACAGCAAGGCCAGCCCCGCGGGGTCCAACTCTGCTCAGGGAAGCACGAGTCCTACGGAAGGCAGCACTGTAGCAGCTGCTCAGGTAACCGACGGATCAGGATGGATTGTCAAGCGTGACAGACATATGCAACTTATCAACCCCGCTATTTACGATCAGGTGGCCTTGCAACGGACCAAGGCCATGGAGCAGAGTGAAGAAGAACGTCGGCAACAGCGGGATATGAAGGAAAAGGCCAAGCTTACCAAGCACTTTCAAGGTGTGCATACGCCGCCTGGTCCAGTTCCCGCCGGTGTTTCGAGCGTCCCCTCCAGCCAACAAGCCTACGAGATGGATATAAATGGCATCCGCTTCCGCGTTGCCGACGGTGGCAGCAAACTCATCAGAGTGTCCGGTGAGTGGAGTACTACTGACCATATGGAATTCGCATATCTAAAGAATCTGTCAGACGACCCCAAAACCGCACGTGTAACTCCGAAACAGACGAAGGTTGGTGGTGTGGTGTTCTTGAGAAGCAAGAACGGCAACCTCTATCGGTCTGGACTTGTCAAGACTAAACAGTACGTGGTGGCGCCATATGTACTGCTCTATAGGCAGGCTAATCGCATGACAGGAAGAAAACTATCAAGATAAATGAACCTTGCCCAAGGTTCTCCACCACCGGTTGGCCATTTCCCTCCCGTTTCAAGGATATCAACGGCGCACCACGCCCGGTCATCCGGTTTGTACACCCAGTATCTCAACTAACAACTAGTACTAGGCACCTGTTCCAGAGGGCCCCAGTGTCGTTACGTCCATGATCCACACAAGGTCGCCATCTGCAAGGATTACTTGCTGAAGGGCAAATGCCCTCTTGGTGCTGCGTGCGATCTCTCTCACGATTCCACTGCGAACCGGGTCCCCGCTTGTCTGCATTTTCTTCGTGGCAATTGCACCAACGACAACTGCCGCTATGCTCACGTTCGAGTCAACCCTTCCGCCTCCGTGTGTCGCGCTTTTGCGGCTTATGGGTATTGCGAGAAGGGTGCTGAGTGTGCTGAGCGTCACGTCTTTGAGTGCCCTGATTATGCTAACCACGCAGTATGCCGCAACAAGAGGTGCCGCCTCCCGCATGTCGACCGGGCTGGACAGATCCGTAAGGCAACGGCAGCCCAGGCTTCCACGGCCGAGGAAGAAGATGGGTCTCCAGACCTGTCGAGCGATGAGGATTACGACGAGATCGACAGCGACGATGTGGATTCCGACGGGCTCGGCGAGGATGTTATTATGCAGGGCTCTGATGATCACGGCCATGAGCTTTCTCAGCAGAAAGACTTTATTGGATTCGGGTAAGTCACAGCTACGACCGAGAGACGACGATGCGATTGAAGCCGCATTCGGCAAGGTCGGGTGTGATTTTTTTTCTTTTGGTTCACGCGGTGCACGAGCGCAAGGTTTCACGGCCTCCGAGTCTGATACCCACCAACAAGGAAGGAGTTTGTAGATTTTATTGAGCGCAAGACAGCATAGCAATGAAAAAGGAGAGAGACTTAGCATGTTTGGACGAAGTGACATTTGACGGGCGAGTGACATCAGACGGTGGCCGTTTCGCAGCCGCGTCGCCCGAGCGCCTCCGCCATAAATAGCACGCACAGGGCGATCATGATGCACTGATGCGGGGGAGAATGAGGCGATCACCCGTCATTTGAGCAATTCTTGGATGGGGAGATCCTCCTTTTTGCCCTCAAACCCCAATTTCAGGCTTCGTACAGCCTTGTAGCTAATCAATAAGCGGCATTAAACGAGGTAATTAGCCAAGACAAAAGACTGGGGGCTGCGATTCAAGGAACCTGGCGCCCGCCCTGCGGCTGAGCCACTCTCTCTGCTGACCACAGCTCCGCGCGCGCCTATTCAACTTCTCGTTGGAGCCGCGCCGCCATTCGATGCATCCATTGTCCTCGCGCAAACGATACAAGTCCAACCTGCGCGCCAGCTGATCGCCGCCTTGTCCGAACCCATACCTCTGCCGCCACCATGACGCTGAAAGACTTGCTCAAGAAGAAGGACAAGATCAAGGCCGAAAGCGATGCGCAGCCGTCGTCGGCGCCTCTCAGCCCTCCCATGCCCGACGTTCCCTCGATCCAGTTCATGCGAACCACAACCACGAGCCAAGAGAGCATCGCGCCGCCCTTCTTCCCCGGCGATCAGAGACCGACCAGCCAACCTGACGAGAACAAGAAGCCGAAACACCTAAGCATATGGCGGCGACCCTCCTACAGAGGCGACACGCTCTCGCCCGACGACAGGCCCAAGAGCGCCAGGAGTGAGAAACGGCTATCAGAGCGCTTACACCTTGGGCAGCGCTCGCGATCGACCTCGAGCACCATCGAATTGCCCCAGGACCTGCCGGACATCCAGGTCAGCGTGGCGCGCAATCCGGAAGACGAAGCGGAATGGGAGAAGAGGGCGACTTTGTTGGCAAGAGGGACGTCGATACGACGACCGGGAATTGGGGCGATTGCGAATAATAGAGATGAACCTGCGAGAAGACCAGTGACTAGCCCGGCCAGTGGTAACACGGGTGGCGACGTACATTTTTCCCATGCGCAATTTTTATATCATAAAGACAGAAGTGCTGATTTTGAGCTGTCACAGGTTGACATACAGGAGGCCATCACCCTCCATGAAGCCGGAGGTACGTCAGTCCACACGGCGCGCGCGCGCCGCGACGAATACCCGCATGTCAATTTTAACGTACTGATTGGCATGTTTAGACCTGGAGAGGTCGACGGAGATGTTTTGCCGGTTGGCAGATCCAAACGGCGCCAATAACGCCCTGTGCCAGGTTCTTTACGGTCTCGCTTTGAGGTCAGTCACGCCAGCATGCTCAGCAAAGGCCATTCTAGATCACTGTTGAATTGCTCACATCAGTATCAGACATGGCTGGGGCTGCACGCCAGATCCAGAACAAGCCATAACATATCTCTCTTATGCTGCCTCAAACAGCGCAGAGGTCGAGTCACTGGCCCTCGCAGCCGGCATGAAGAAGGGAGGCGCCGCAAAGGGCGAGCTCGTCCTGGCCATCTTCGAGCTGGGCAACTGTTTCCGGCAGGGCTGGGGCGTGAAAAAGGATGCCGCAGCTGCGAGGCAATATTACGAGACGGCGGCCAACCTTGGCGATACAGATGCGATGAACGAAGCCGCATGGTGCTATGTGGAAGGCTTTGGCTGCAAGAAGGATAAAGTGAGTCACAGGTCGTCATCATAGGCGCATCTCCAGGCGACGCCTCGCACTCGAAGCAGTTGCGGCTGCGCAAGCCACAGGCCGTCATGATGGGCGAGACTGGGCTGAGCAGCACGCAGCCTCACTCTTTGGGCACCGTTAGAATAGCAGCGCTAACCGCAGCCAAACAAAACAGTTCAAGGCGGCTCAGTTTCTGCGCCTGGCGGAGGAGAAGGGGAACAAGACAATTGGCAACACATGGTAAGCAAGATCCCCCCCCCCCGTTTCTCTGCCGTCGCATCGTCCAATGTGCGCCGTTGGCGGCCGTTCCGGTTTCAACACCCTGAAGAGACCCTCCACCTCGTCGTCAGCTCGCTGCGCCACGCATCCAAAGGCCTCTGCTCGAAGATTCCGCTCCCGCTCCACGCGCCGGTCACGCTATGCGGGCGCCCCTAAGCCGGGAACCGGGAGGTTCACAAAGCTACTGCGAACCACGGGCGCCAGCTCCACTGATACCCGCAACGGCGTCACGCCCCTGCAGACCCTGCCTGAGATTTTTCCCGCGCTTCGCGAGCGAGGCCCGCTGAAGTGTCGTCATTATCTTCACGCTTGCAGCATCAAGAGTGGATCGAATCGCGGCCTCTCCCGAACGCCGAGCGAAACAAGCAGAGGGCGAGGGCAACAAGAAGAGACCACGGCGCGCGCAGCAATCCTAGCGCGTGTCAAGATCTGGCGTCGGCCCCGCATGCATTGGCTGACAGGCTCCTGCCAACCCGCTTTTGCTTGCTCGCTTAGCCATGGGGGACCACCCGGAGAAGAGGCACGGCTCGGCCCCCACCACCAAATCCGCAACCCCTCGCCATCTGCCCCGGCTGCTTGCCCGATCCGGCGCTGGCGTGCATACACGTGGCAGTGCATCTGTGGTGTGCCACTGCAACCACTCTGCATCTGGGTGTGCCATGGTGTTGGTCTGCTGAGATGGCTCTGACCCCCCCGGTCAATCTGCCTGCCCGCGCGTGAGAGAAAGAGAAGGCAAGGGCGAGCATGAGGGAGAGAGAGCGAGAGTGCCCTCACTGCCCCTTGTCGGCTTCCCACCGGACCGGATCGCACGATGACGGACAGACACCACTCGGCGGTGCTCAGTGCATTTACTCCAAACACCGGCAGGGTCGGATTTTCCCTCGCTGGTGGAGACGGGCCCTCTCTGCCTGCCCGTCTTTTTCCGTTCTCGGGCGAGCCTCCAGACCGGACGCGGAGAGAAAGCGCGGATCGGCAACTGACGAAACAAAGAGGAACGAGGGACAAGGGAAAAAAATTCAAGAAAATATCCCGTCCGTTCACGCCCGCCAACAGAACGCAAGCGCCACACGGGTATCTGAACCACTGGTGGCTGCTTGCTGCAGCCAGGCTCCAAAACGGCGCGCGATCGGCCTTTGTTTGACGACGATGGAGTGATGATCTCTTGCTAATTGCGTCTCATGTTTCTCTACTCTTGCAGGATCTGGAAGGACAAGTACAATCCGAAGCCGTAAACCCGCCGAGAGCCGCGTCTCGTCTCGTCTCGTCCCGCCTTTCGCCGCCCCCCCAAAAACACACAGCTACAAAACAAACAACAAACAACGACGACCAATGCAGCATGCTTGGCAAAGAAATAATTAAAGTTGGCGCGCCTGCCTGCCTGCTTACCTGCCTACCTAGTTGGTTTAGCTAGGCCAAACTAGCTAGCTAGCTAGCTAGACTAGACCAGACCAGTAGACTAGCCACCATAGTATCCGTAACCCGTACTACGCGCGCACGCACAGCACCTACCCAGCCCTGGTCGCAGTCGCACGCACTACTGCAAGAGGGCAGAGGTCTGAGGGACGACGAGACTTGCGACGGCCGCCGTAGCTAGCTAGCAGCCAAACCCACCAGTACCACCCACCACCCCCCGCTGCCCGTCTTGCGCGCCGCGCTCGCTGCACTGCGCCTCCGCGCTGACCACCACCACTCCTCTGTCCTCCTCGTCCACTCCACCCACGCACTCGCGCACGCACGCACGCACGCAGCGCACTTGGCCCTTCCGCTCGCAGGCTCACAGTCTCACCCTCTCACTCCCTCGCACTCCCTCTCCCCCGTGCCCCCGTGCCCCCGGTGCCCCGTGCCCGTCCCTCTTTCTCGTCCCGCCCGGCCGCCGCTCCCCGCGGGCCAGCCCGCCGCTGGTGCCTGTCTGGCATGGCTGTCTCTCGGCCGGCGGCGACGGCGCTTCTTCTCCCCCTCTGGCTCTGGCTCTGGCTCAGGCTGGGCTGGTCTAGTCCTCGGCTTCGTATTTCCCTTTTTTTTTTTTTTTTCCTTTTCCCTTTTTCGGTCTTGCTTTGGGGGTTTCTTTTAGTCGTTCTTATTTTGTTTTAGTTGTTGTTTTGGTTGGGGGGTTTTATTTAGCTCATAGGCTATATTGTTGCTGTTGCTGTGGGGTGGGTGGATGGCACGATGGATGGATGGATGGATGGATGGGTCCTGCTACCTAAGCCTGATGGCCCTCCTAACTGACTCCTTCCTCCCGTGTTGGTTGTGCTTGTGTGCCTTGCTTGCTTTCTCTGGCTTGCTCACTGGCTCATTGGGCGGTTGGGTTTAGGTACATAGGCCGTTTTAGGTATGTGCAGGGGGGAAGCAGAAGAAGGCGCAGGCAGGCAAGAATTCAGGAATGCGGCCGTGGCCGACTAGGTGGCTCTTTCCATCTTTCCATCTCTTCCTCTCTCACTCACTCTCTCTCACTTCGTCCCCCCTCTCTCTATCTCTCCGTGTCTACCTTGGTGCTAGTGCTGGTGTCCATACACAGCGCGGCTTTCCGCGCCACGCCCCCTTCTTTTCCTTTCACGCTTGTCGTGTGTGCCTGTGTTTGTCTCGCTCGAGCTTAGTTTGAATGGATTGATTGAGTTGGGTTGGGGGGGTAAGAACTAGGTAGGCACGAGGTGGTGACTGGTGATTGGTGATTGGTGAATGGCGATGCCTCCAACGTACCTACCTGCCTACGCAGGAGCGCGCACTCCAGATCCAGTGGGAGAACCTCACGCGAGTGTTGCGGCAGCAATGAGCAATAGCAATAGCAACAGCAGCAACAATTCCCCCCTCCCCTCTTTCTCTACAACATCACCTCTCTCCCCCTCCCCAGTACAATATGTAATATTATAGTAGTAGTTACGGGAGTTAGTAACTACACTAAACTGCGGATACACACGGCACAATAGTACATACAATAGTAAGCTGGTGATCGCTCTCTCTCTCTCTGGCGCCAGTAGTGGAGTCGCTTCATTCTCCAGTCTGCAGTCTCCAGTCCCCATAGTTAGTTGCGCAGCGCAGGCGTTTAGCCTACATATTGTACAATACCTACCCAGCTAGGCACATAGGCAGCTACGTTTCAAGCCGGTGGTTGGTTGGTTGGTTCGACCGCGTGCTCTCAGCCTCCTCTGCGCTCAAACGCTCGTCCCCGCGGGCTCTCACTCTCAGCCAGTGAGTGCGTGAGTGCCTGCAGGCATGCATACAGGGACGCCCACTCTTCGGCGCTCCCTCGTCGCCACTACTCGCCATGTGCTTGCTTGCTTGCTTGCGGGCGGGCGGGCGAGCTCGCTACTCGCGCGCATACGGCGGGCACTGGGCAGTGAGTGAGTGGGTGGGCCGATCCGGACGATATGCCCCGAAGGACGGAAGCAGCAGCATGGAGCAGCGCAGGACGACGAACGAACGAACGAACGAACGAGTGCGGCTCCCTGCCTCGTTGCGGCTACGCTACGCTACGCTACGCTAGCTAGCTAGCTAGCTAGGGAGCTGCGAGCTGCAGCGTGCAGGCACGCAGGCACGCAGCTTGCAACTGTGGAGAGCGGTGGTGGAGCCCTGACGAGGCTGATGCAAAAAGGGCGTGCACCCCGCGCACGCACGCACGCGCGCCGGGGCGGGGCAGCGAAAGCGTGGCGCGTGTGTGCGCCGCGCCATGAGGCTCGCGCGCGCCGACGTCTCGGGCTTGGCGGGCGCGCGGCTGTGGTCGTGGCCGTGGTTGGATTTGGTGTTTTTGTTGTTGTTGTTGTTGTTGCTGCTTGCTGCTGCGGACGGGCGGGCAGAGGAATCATGCCCGCCTGGCGCTTTGCTGCCCTGACCTGCCACGCCCTGCCCTGCCCTTGGCCGCGCACGCGCACCGCCGTTGGTTGTAAGTAGGAGTGTGTGTTCGGTGCCCGTCCGTGTGTTTCCCCCCTCCTCTGCCCTCTGCTTATCTTTGCGTGTCCGTTCGCTGAGGCTAGAGAGCGCAGAGCAAAGAGCTGCGCTGGGCAGAGCGCAAGAGCACGCCACGCCATGATGCCATCTCCATACTCTTGCGTGCGTGCGTGTGCCAGTGCGTGTTTGGCCTTGGTTCGGTGCCTACGCCGTGGGTAGGCGGGTAGGGCAGTCAAGGTGTAAGGAGTTGAAGACTAGAGAGCCAAGCCACCACCAACATTGAAGGAAGGGAAGGAGGAGGGCCAAGCCTCCCCTCCCCTCCCCGCCCCGCTCTCAACCTTTTCATCCGACTGTCTCTCTACTCCCTCTGTCTCTCTCTCTCTCCACTCCCCACCATCCCTGCCCTGCATGCGCTGCCACATGCCACCTGCCACCTGCCACCTGCCACATGCGTGCCTCAGCCCACCAAGCGCACTCGAGAACGCACTGCCCAGCCCGCTCTCCTTGCCCTCCGCTAGCCTAGCCCTACCAAACCCACTTCCAACCTGCCAGCCTGATTAATGCCGCCCCAGGCGCACCTACCCCCCTTACTCGCCCTACGCTACTGTAATAACGCGCCCCTCCATGCCTATACCACACTCTCTCCTACAAGGTACGTACAGGACAGCTACGCCCGCCCGCCCCTCGCGCACCCTTACGCGATTCGCCCTTCCGCCCGCTTGCCCACCCACCTTTTGCGCACCACCCGTCCCCCGTCCGTCCGTCCACTGTCTCGGTACTTCGTCCCATCCCATCTCACACACTGTGCCTAGGTACACACAAACCTGCTCACCCACAACCCACAACCCACTTGCAAAACGTACCCACTCAAACCCGCACGCACCGCGCCCCTCGCTGCGAACTCGGTAGTTCGTGCCTGCTTGCTTGCTTGCCTCGTGTCTCTGCCCTCCCCCAGCAAGCACGTAAGTACGTGGTAAAGCAGGTAACGAAACAGGCAGAACAGTAAGGGCGCGAGCAAGAGCGAGGCGTGCATGACGTGCGTGCGTCGTCTCACCCACCCTCTCACACCCACACACTTTCTCTCTCTCTCTCTCTCTCTCTCTCTCTCTCTCTCACATATGCCCATGCCCATTAGTTAAGCCAGTTAGCCAAGCACCCCATCAACCAACGCCATCAACAAGATCGGTCGGGAGCCCACCCGAACCACCTACCCTACCCTGCCCTGTCCTAGACACCCTAGACACCCTACCCCAGCCTAGGCTGGAACATGCTAGTGGTTACTACGTACTGGGTGGGTTTGACCGGTCAGGAGGATCCGGATCTGCAGCCGGCGTGCGTCCTGGCGTCCTGGCGTTTTTTGTCGTTCATTCATGCAACTTGCAACGGACAGGCGTGCGTGCGTGCGTATGTGTGTGTGTGTGTGTGTGTGTGTGTGTGTGTGTGTGTGTGTGTGTGTGTGTTTGATACCTACCTACCTACCAACCAACCAACCAAGCTTACTGCCATCGCCATCGTTGTCGTCGCCGTTGTTGCCCTTGCTACATACAGCCACCCCCCCCCATGCCCCTCCCCCATCCCGAACCCTGCCTCAGCTATTGCTATTGCTATTGTACAATATTGTAAGTCCCCATCTTAACGATTGATTCTCCATTCTTCATCATCAAGCGATACCGATACCGACCGATACCCGGCCAAACCCACCCACCCTGCACTCGCCATGAATCGGATCTGAGGTGCTCAGATCCCGCGAGCGAACGCTTCTTCCCCCTCAGTCCCCCCCAGGGTTCTATCCCTCCCTCAATACATTGCTTGCTTGCTTGTCTCAATACTTCCCCTCTCCTCCTCCTCCTCCTCCACACAGTCACAGGTAAGTCAGTCACAGTCAATCACAGTCAATCAATACCCTACCCTACCCTACCCCAGCAGCGACCAAAGGACCAAAGCCGCCGGTCTCGCTCGCTCGCTTCCTTGCCCATCCATCTCGGCATTTGTACAATAACCATTTCGCTTGACGTGCTTGCCTTGCCGCCGGGAGGGGACCCGTGCCGCTCGCTCGCTCGCTAGCCAAGCAACCAAGACAAGCTGGATCGCGCGAGCGTGAGTGATTGTCCCGACTGCTGCTCGCTCCAATGAGGGGTAGCGTAGATACGAACCGAACCCTAGATAGATAGTCAGACTATCATTGCAACATAAATGTCATGGCACGGCACAGCAAAGCACAGCACGTCAAGTCACAGTGATAAACAGTGGCGCAGCTTCTTTGTCTTGTCATTGCTTTCGTCTCTTCGCCTGCTCATGTCCTTTTCCGATGAGGAAAAAAGGACCGAGGGCGCGAGATGGGAAAACAGAAAAAATGAGTGTTCCAATTTTGCAGCTGCAACAAAAGGATGCATGCGCGTGTGTGTTGTGGTGTTCTCCAGCGCTGACACCCCCCTCGTCTCGAGGGCATCGCGATTACATACAGGAGGAAAAAGACAACAAACGGAACAGGGGGTAAAAAATTTCTCATGAAAAAAAAAAAAAAAAAAAAAAAAAAAAAAAAAAAAAATAGCCGCCGCTTGCCTGCGGGGCACGTGGCACTCCGCGCAGCGCGAGCGACCAGTACAAAGATGCAGAAAAGGAAAAAGAGCAGTCAACCCATGACCCAGCCATCATCACCATCGCGATCGTTCTTTCGTGTCACATGTCCCATTCCTACATAACCCGTCGTGATATCTTGCCTCGGAAAAAAGGAAAAATCGGAAAAACATGAAAAGGGAAAATTTGTTGAGACTTGCAGGAAAATGCTGAGGAAATGTCGGATAACCAAGGAAATCAGACACAAGAAAAGTCAAAAAGTCAAGTCGCTCGCCACGCTCTGCTGTAAACACCAAACGATCAAGGGAATATTCGTGTGAAAAATCAAAAGCGAAAGATCAAGACAAAATGAGAAGCATGGCGCTCCATGTCGCGTTTGCCGCGGGGAGCGCCATGGCATGTATGTGCCTCATCATGGCCGGCCATGCGAAGCGACTTCGCTCCGTGAGAGCGTGGCGTGATGATGATGCGATGCGATTCGCTAGAAAGAGAAGCCCTCCGATGCAGACTGGTTGTACAAGCGAGCATCCGAGAGATGCCGGAGCGTCATAGACAATCTTCTGTAGATTCGCCCTCTTCGTCGTGAGCGTCGACGTCGTGTGGGGTCGCTAAGTGGATCTTCACACGTTGACCTCGCTCTTGACGCTGCCGGGACTGCTGACCGACGCGGCAATGCTGCTGCTCTCCTCGACCATCCGCTTGAACTCGCGGACGACCTCGGTCGGGATCTTGTCCCAGAGCAGGCTGCGCGTGTACACGTCGGCGGCCGACTCGCCCTTGTTGTCGTTGCGCATGGCAGCCAACGTCTCGGCGAGATTGCGGCGGTGCGACGGCGTCGAGGGCGCAGAAGAGTCGTCGCTGCCGGCAGTGTACGGACGACGGCCAAAGTCGGTCGACGTCAGGCTGTTGTACTGGGAAGCAGTCATGGAGAAGGCCTGCTCGGCCTCTTGCTCCTTGGTCGGCGCAGTGAGCTGAGCCAGGGCGTCGAAAGCAGAAGCGCCATTGCTGGCAGACATGGAAGCAAACTCGGCGCCAGACAGGGTCGGCTTGGGCCAGAAGGAGCCCGAGGCAGTGGGCTCGAGAGCAGTCTCGACGCGGTTGGCGATGAGGCTCTGAGCCGACTGAGCCGAGGGCGCGACGCCGGCATCCTTGAAGATGCTGTTGAGCACGTCGGCAGAGGCCGCGCGGACGTCCTCGGGCATGCGAGGCAGGCCAGGGGCAGAGCCCGAGTTGCTGGCGACAAAAGCACCGCACAGCAGAAGCATAAGAAGCAGGCCAGAGGCAACGGGCTTGTCCTCGGAATCCTTCTTCCGAGAGACGGCCGAGGTCTCGGCGGGTTGCTGCTGCTGCTGCGGCGTGTTCTCGTCCATGCAGAAGTCGTTGTAGATGTAGCTGTCCCACTCGTTGTTGCCCATGTTGAGGTTGTCCATGTCGTTGGCAAAGTCGGTGAAGGTGGAGCTGGGGACGGCGGCCATGGAAGGGCTGCCACTCTCCAGCTTCTCGGCGAGGACCGAGACCTTCTTGCGAAGCTCACCGGTCTCGAGCGTGTGACTCCGGACCATCTCCTCCTTCTCCCACTGGAGGGTCTCGATGATCTGCTGGGTCTCGAGCTGCTGGCGATGCCACTGCTCCTTCTCGTGCATGTGCGCCTCAGCCTGCAGCCTCATCTGCTGGAGGTCGTCCTCCAGCTGCATGACACGCTCGGTCCACACCTTCTTCTCCTCTTCCAACTCTTCGGTGTGCTTCTTCTTGCGTTGCCGCGAGTCAAGACTGCTATCATGTTAGCAAGGGACTGGGGAAAGTAAGAGTGATAGGACCAAATTGGCAGTGAGGACCAAATGACCAAAAGGATGGGAGGGAGTCGTACGCGGCCTGTCTGTTCCTGAGTAGTCGCTTCTGCTGCTTCAGCTCCTTGATCTCATCCTCGTTGCTGGACTGAGCGATGAGCTGGTCGATGTTGAGGAGACTCCTCTCGGCGGGGATCTCGAAGCGGGCGTTCTTCTTCCTGATGCCATCGCGGCGGGGGAAAGGGGAGTAGCTCCTGGGCGGGGTGTTGGGCCTCATGCGCTTGTTGAGAGGCCTCGACTCCATCTCCTGGGCGGCCATGGCCATCCACTCCTTGTTGGAGTGGGGCGAAGGGGGGTTGCCCGACTGGCTCGAGGGGAAGACGGAAGCAGGCCTGACGTTGACGGGGAGGGAGTAGGCAGAGGGTTCACTGGAGCCGACGGCCAGGTAATTTGACTCGTAACCGTTGTCGAAGAAGGTGGAGTTGGGGGTGCGGACGTCGTTGGAGTCCTCGTCGATGGGCCACGACTGACCGTAGGTAGCAGGAACCTGCTGCTGGGCACCGAGACGCATGTAAGGGTTGTTGTTGCCCTGGAAGAAGGGGTTCGTCGACACGTTGCGGTCGACAAAGGCGGGCGTGGAGAAGTCCGGGTCGAAGAGGTTGGTGGCCTCCGGGGAGAAGATGCCGACCTGCGAGTTGGTGGGGGACATGATGGTCGACGTCTCCAGCAACGAGTCGTTGGTGAAGTCGTCAAAGTAGGTCTGAGGCTTGGAGTCTTGGCTCAAGCTGGAGGCAGGGCGGTGGAAGTCCATGTGGTGATGGGCAAGGGCGGCCATGGGCGGTGGTGGAGGATAGGTACTTGTACTAGAGTACCGGTGTGGGCGCAGATCTGGCGGTGAGGGATGCTCGATTCGGCAATCGCGGGCGCTCGGATGTGGATCGGTAGGAGCGGGTGGAGGCGCGCGGGCGTTTGCTGCGTGGGCGATGCTCGGTCGCCGGATTTTCGCAGCCTTTGGGAATAAGGGAAAGGAGCAGAGGAGAAGAGGGTGGCGAAGGCGAGGGTTGGTCGATGGATGAGCGGCCGGAGGGTGCGCTCTATGTACTGCCGTGAGTGCACAGGTGGGGGGGGGGTGTGGAAGGGTTGTCTGCCATGACCAGGTCTGCTGCACCACGATTCGGCGCCTCATACGGCCTGGGCAGCACCGCATGCACCTGGCGCGCACCCTGTCGCTGGTTGGTGGAGCATGGTCGGACGCTGGGACCATGGGCCCGTCGCCAGGCGCGCCAGACATGGCATGACCAGTGTGACCAAAGTAGTGTCCGGCGGTTCTTTTTTTTTTTTTACCTCTGAGCTTCACACAGGTCTCTTCACCGACAACCGCGAGCGAGCATCCTCCGCACAACGCGCCATCCCCAACCGCCTGCAGATCCGAACAGATCGTGATCATCATGTGCCGCAAGCCTTTCCCCATGTCTCCCGTCCCAACCAAAATATACACAAATAGTATCAAACCCAGAATCCGCGGCCCGTTTCAAACAGGCTTCCTCCCTTCCTCTCAGTCACCGCTCCCGCACTAGACGCTTCCCTCAGCCCAACATCCGGCCTCAGCCGCGTGACCAGTGCGCGCTTCGGAGATTCCAAAGGACTTCTAGGGGCCTTCTGGAAGACTGCAAAGGTTATTTTGGCTTTTTTTTTTGCACGGTGCTACTCGGTAGAGCCGCGAGAGTGCGTCATTCATCGCGAGCACTGTCTCCCATGCGCTCTCACGACAAGGGATTACGCAACCGCGGGTGCAGCAGTCTGGACGCGCCTGCCGCATCCGAGCTGCTTCGGACTTCAGGCTTGCCTTCCTGTTTGTTGCCTGCCGTGTAACCACACCTGCTGATGCGTCTGGCATGGGCTGGGATGTGCCTCCCGCTTCCGCCAGCCAGTCGATCCCGCGCCTTCCCTTTCGTCTCCGCATGGCAAATTGAAGCCCAACCATCGAGGCTGCATGTCACGTGTGTTTGAACTGCCACAGCGCCAAAGAGATTCTGCACCTCCTTTGACCCCGAGCACTGCCTCATTTTTTGCTTTTATCCTGTCGTCATTGCATTGAATCTTTCTCAAGTTTCCTCTCTCTCCTCTCATTCTTCAAGGCGCGCGAGAGGGAGCGGGCTGGTCTCACACGCAGCGCTATCAGACGATTGCTTATGGTCACGCTCCCCTCCGCCCGGCTATTGTAGTCGCTGTGTTCCGCCATTGGCCGGCAACGCCATCACTGGGACATGCCCCTTCAGGGGCTTTTCGGCGAGCACGACAGGCTCAAAGTTATCCCGGGTGCCACTGGCTGGAGAGGAGTTCACAAGATAAGACGGCCATGTTTTCCTTACCGTTTCTGATCTCCATCTCTATGCCCTCCGAGCGTGTTGCGCGTTTCCGTCTACCCGTGTAGGCCACCCGACCCGCCGTTTCCAGGCCAGGAATACGTCCTGCCGCGCGTTCACTCGAGACGAGGAAGCCGATTGCGCCCGTTTACAGCCGTAGAGGCGACAGTTGGATAGTGACACGCCCAGAGCACAAACCCCTCTCACAAATGTACAGTCGCAGTGCCCCAATAAATCCCCATGGACCATACAAGCAGCCTCGCGCTCCTTTCCCAAGCCCAAGAAACCTTCCGAACCCTCCCAAACAGACACCTCGTGGCGCATCGCGGATCAACCGCATCCCCGGGTGTCGTCTGACAGGGATTCCCCCCGCCCTCCCAACTTCGCTCGCAACACCACCAATCCGGCGCCGCGACACCACAGGATACCACAGCACCCCACCATCGCACACGCGCGCGCCCACCGCAGCGCCGCCGCCGCCCTCGTTGCACGGCAGTCTGCTCGTTCATTTGGAATCCGTGGCGCCGCGCTAGCTTGTTGGGGGCATCGCGTTGTACATCCCGTGCGGAGACCAGTACCTCTCTCCCCGCGTCGGTACCCGTAGCGCTGTCTTGATGTTCTAGATATTGCTTTATATAGACACGGGTGGAATAGTAGGAGCTTGTGCGTAGGTGCGTATATGTGTGTGTGCTAGTGTTAGTGCTAGTGTGGGCAGTGTTATGTAGAGTTAAGGGGTCAGGGCGAATACGAAACAATGGAACAATAGGCAGCCAAATTATTGGGGGAAGAAGTCGATATATTGAGAAAGCTGTGTGACTACAAAATATGTACAGTATTTGGTATTGCAGTGACCAGGACAACATTGCAATTGAAACTCCAACATTGACGACGTCGAGGGATACAGCCAAGCCTGATATAAAGTTTGGAGTCTGAAAGAAAACAGTTAGGTTTAGACGAGCGTACATTAACCTTGCAAAAGCAACGACAGGGAAGCCAACAGATCCCACGCAAGATAAATTAACGTACATAAAAGTGAGCTATCATATAGAAAAAGAAGAAAGCATTCCCAAGGGTATATAAAGAAACAACTCTAATGTCGCCTCCTCCCGTCCTAGTTACCAAAACACCAGATTTAGTCTATCCAACAGTTTACACAAAAACTCCATCCCGCAAATGGAATCGACGGCCTTCAACTGGCCCAGCCAAGCGAAATCACTTTTTTCTGCCTTTGGTCGAGGCATTGCGTTCTCCGTCCACCTGCACAACGACACCGCAAAAGTACCTCGCCACTCTAACCAGCCGTCCAACACGCCACAATTCACACCTCCACCATAGATAGAGACCACTCTCACCCCATTCCATCCCAATCCATCCCAACCCAACCTACAATCCCCAGAAAACCCACACTCTCTTCCCCTCCCCTCCCCCTCACCCACATCAGCCCCATCAGACCCCCAACCCCCAAGATCAGCGCGCGCCGTCCCGCCGCCGCACGCACGCACGCACACACGCACACACGCACACACGGAAAAACAAAAAGAAAAAGGAAAGGCGCAGAAAAAGGAGCCCCAAGACCCAAGAGCCCAACCCCAGGCCACCCACCCAGATCGGCGCGCGCGCGCGCCCTGCCGCGCCGTCGCCAGCCTACTGCGGCCTAGCGCGCCAGTCCGCCCCGTCGCGACGGCCCTACGTGCGCCCGAGTCATGCCATGGAATGGCGCGCGCGTGATGCCCGCCCTACCTCGAGTATTCATTGTGCTGCGCCGGGCCGGCGGGCGGGAGACGCGAGCGGGTGGGCGGATGGATGGGTGCGTGCGTGTGTGCGGCGGGTGGCTGGGTGGTTATTGGCGGCGCTTGTGTTGCCTGTCTGTGTCTGGCTGGCTGGCTGGCTGGCTGAGAAGGTTGCTAGCTAGTTAGAGCAAGGGAGGATAGAAGGGGAGGATGGGAGCTAGAAGAGGAATGGGCAGATGCGTACAGGTAGGTAGACTGCGGGTGCGGGGACAGAAGCGAGACAGACGGACAGACGAACGGACAGGCACACGCGTGCGGCACAAGCATTGGGCGGGCAGAAACACCCGGGATCGAAGAGGAAGGGGGCGCCATGAAACCGGCCCGCTAGGTTGGTTGGTAGTAAGGGAAGTGAGCGCGGTGCCACGACCATGGGATTGCGCCGGCGTCGTCATTATCGTTGTCGCGCGTGAGCGCGTGCTTTCTATTGCTGCTGCTTGCTGCTGTCGCTGCCGCTGCTCCTGCTTGCTTGCGCAGCGCTAGCACGTCTCCAGCACCTTGGTCAACAGGCTGCCGAGCGGATTGAGCGCCGGCGCCGGCGCCGAGCCCTGGCCCTCCTTCCCCTCCTCCGCTGTGAAGATGCGCTTGGGGATCTCAAACTCGACGACGGGCGTCTTCTTCAGCTCCTTGTGGAGCTCGGCCTCAATCAGCTGCGCGCGCGAGTGTGGTTAGCAATGTTAACAAAGACAAGTTGGGCCGCGTGAACGAGCGGTGGTAGTGGTGAGCTTACCCCATTGTACGAGTGGTCTAGGAAGTCCTCGAGGTTGTACGAGCGCTTGGTGAACTGCTCCGAGATAATCTTGGCCAGCGTCGCGACGTTGGGGTGGTAGTGCGACTGCAGTGTCTCAATCTCCCAGAGACAGCTCTCAATGGCGTCCGTCTCCATGGGATCTTCCTCGTCCATGTTGAACGGGTCATCCATGCCCTCCTCCTCAATCTTCTCCTTCAGCGCCCTGTCGCGGGTTACCCGGTGTATCATAAAAGTGCAGGCCGGGTGCTTCATGAGCATGTTGTACACCCACGGCACGACCACAACGATGCCGGCCGGCGGGCCGTGCAGTGCTAGTCTTGACAGACGCTTGATGAAGCTCGCCACGAGCGCGGCAGGCAAATGAGTGGAGGACATGAACTCATCCAACAGACGGAAGAATCGCGACCTGTGTTTCGAATGCAACAGGCCGGCGTCAAGAAGAGAGTACAGCTTCTGGTAGAAAGAAGGGTAGTCGAGGTTTTTCTCCCGGATTAGGAAGAAGAGCCCTGACAAAGCCAGCAGAGAGCTCGCACCGCCAACATTGTACGAATCGGTCAGGAAGTCCATCAGCATCTCAACCTTGGAGAACCATGGAGTGACTTTCTGCGTCATGATGCTCAGCACTTCCTTGCGCTGCTCCTTGTTAAGCCCAGATCGCAGCAATGCCAACCAAGCATCCTGCCCCTGTCTTTTATGTGTTGAAACAGAGTATAATGGGTGCTTTGGATGTTCCGGGGCTTGACCATACCAGTCCTCCAGCTCGTCTTTGGATTCGGGTACACCTTCAATCGCCGAGAGCATTGTGAGACTGTTGGCTACGACTATCTCCTGCTCCGCGGGGGAAACAGTGTCTTTCAAGCAAGCACTATTGCCGTCAGTTCAAGCCGTCTATAATTGGGCCGGAACACTTACGCAATGGCTTGGAAACCATAGAACCTGACATCGTCGTACTCTTCGACGAAGTTCTCCACAAACTCCTCCCGCAATCCTTCAGCTTCCGTCGAGGTCAGCAGGGCAGCCACGAGCTTGAAGAACAGGCCCTGTTTCCATGCCTGATCGCTCTGCACTTTCTGGTTTGTGACCTCCTCCTTCACCAGGCGCATGGCCAGGGTCAAGGCAGTGCTCTGCTTGACCGGGTCGTCGCTTTGTAGCAGGCGCAAAAGCACGTCTGCATACTCCTGATATCTCTCCTTCAACCATTGTATGATAATAACCTCCGGCTCCGGTGTGCCCTTGCTCTTGTTCATGCTGCCAGCAGCCCTGAGCCTGCTAAACACCCTGCATAGTGCCACGGTGGCGAGAATCTGGGACTCGGCTGCCTCATCCTCCTTGACAATGGTAATGAGGGCTGCGATATTGTTGTAGTGCCGCCGGGACTCGAGGATCTGGCTCTCCAGCAGCAGAATGCGTGCCTGCTCGTCGTCGCCGCTGTCGGGCTTCGTTTTGCTTTTGGACTTGGACTTTTTCTCGGGCGCGGCCTTTGCCGCCACGCGCTTCCTCTTCTGGCCTGCGAGAGCGTCTGGAGCCATGTAGGGCATCTTGGTGATCTGCTGGCGCAAACCATGGTCGTCGCGACATCAAAAAAGTAGCGGCGCACCTTAGTCAGCCGTGACGCCAAGCTTTGCACCTCGAAGTTGCCGACGAGCTCCTCTCCGCAACGTCAAGCGTCCAAAACTCTCCGCTCCCATCGACAACAATGGCTTCTCGTCTCGCAAGGAGCGCCTTTGGTATGGTCCAAACCGGTGATGCAATTGGTGCCATTGCTGACGGCTTCAAACAGGCGCTGCCCGCCTCCGCCCGACCGTCCCCGTCCGCAGCCTTCCCGCCATCGCGACTCCATTCTCTCCCTCGCGCGCGGCGTCCAATGTCCCCGAGGACCCCAAGAAGAAGGCCCAGTCGATCATCGACTCCCTGCCCGGCAGCAGCCTTGTTTCCAAGGCTGCCATTCTTTCCGCCGGTGCTGGTCTGTCCGCGGCCGCCATCAGCAATGAGCTCTACGTCGTGAACGAGGAGTCCGTTGTCATGTTCTCCCTGCTCACCGTTTTCTGGGCTGTCGGCACCTACGGTGGCCCCATGTACCGCGAGTGGGCCGAGGGCCAGAACAACAAGATCAAGGGCATCTTGAACTCTGCGCGCAAGGAGCACACCGAGGCCGTCCAGCAGCGCATTGAGAACGTCAAGGACCTTGGCGGTGTCATTGACATCACCAAGAACCTTTTCGAGGTTTCCAAGGTACGGATAAGTTGGGGAGGAGACTTATGCGATTTCCGCTGGGCCGATTTCGGCTGACGCCGCTTTAGGAAACCGCCAAGCTCGAGGCCCAGGCCTACGAGATGGAGCAGAAGACTGCTCTTGCCGCCGAGGCCAAGACCGTTCTGGACTCCTGGGTCCGCTACGAGGGCCAGGTCAAGCAGAGGCAGCAGAGGGAGCTGGCTGAGTCCGTCATTGCCAAGATCGAGAAGGAGCTCGAGAACCCCAAGACCCTCAAGCAGATCCTTGACCAGAGCGTTGCTGACGTTGAGAGTAAGTCAGCCGGAAGTATTGGTAACGTTCAAGCGCTAATTGTTTCCCAGGGATCGTCTCCCAGAAGGCGTAAATATCAATTGGAATACCGCATTCCCCCTCCCGCCTGTTACATAGATCCAGTGCTATATAGTCATACCGTACGAACGAAGTGCAGTGTGACAGTATCGCATGTCTCGGCTTTCCGAAAATCCAATTTCCACGGTTAATTGACTTATTGATTGAGCACCTAGCGACGCGCCGAAGATGGTACGTCATTGAGTGTAGCGATTGTGTCCTGCCATCTTAGCGCGTTTGCGCTTGAGTTAAGAGATTTTTCTCGTTGGGCGAAGATTCCTCGAGTCAGGGTGCGTGCATTTGCGAACTCCATGCAAAAAGGTAGTATCGTTCATTTGGCCAATTATGATCAGTTCACTTTGCTTCTAATCTCTACATAGCATACATGGCGATACAAGCACCCGAGATCGCCGGGTGTCTCCTAATCTAACACATTCTTATGTTATCAAGTCATCTCGTATTTATTCCGTGTCTGCTTGAGGCAGCCCGGCACGCGCCTTCCAAGCCCTCCTTCTCTCCTCCGGAGTTCCGCCATTACGATACTGCCACAGCCGACTAAAGTCTTTAACCTTGGGCTTGCGCGGAAGCTTCTCCGCGACTTCCTTGGGCAGTTTCTTTTTGAACTCGAGCAGGCCGTCGACGGGATTGACGGTAGTGTCGGAATCGCGAACGACGGCCGTGTCTTCCTCGTCGGAGCTGCCGTCGAGGATATCGCACAAGCTGGCGACGAAGCCCTCGCGGTTGGGGACCTGGTCGTGCTCGGAGTGCGAGACGTCCGTCTCCATGAATTCGTTGGTCTCGAGGGCGCGGTCGTCGGGGCCCAGCGGGAACATGTAGTTCAGATAGTGCTGGTTGAGCAGGTGGCCCATGCCCTCGCGCTGGAGCAGGCGGCCCATGAAGCGGTTGGCGATGTGGGCGAAGTTGAGGATGCCCCAGTTGGCGACGAAGTCGCTGTCGTTGGCGTAGTGCTCGATGTAGCGGATGACCTTGTGCTTGGAGTGGGAGCGTTGGGCGGCCTCGTCATCCTTTAGGCGCCCGGAGCTGCGGTGCGGGTTGTTGAAGTGGTTGGCTGCGCACCCAAACGTGTACACCTCGAGTTTACGCATGATGTCGCCAGGCATCTCGGCCAGCAGCCAGTCGACAATCAGTCCGCCCTGGATGCCACCCTGGCTGTGGAGGATCAGCATGACTTTCTTGCGCTTCTCGTCCATCAACGCTTCTTTGACGAGCTTGTACGCATCGCGTACGTCTTGCGTCGAGTAGCCAAAGTTGCGCTCTACCATGCACTGGATGAGATCGAAGATCATGCCGTTGGTCGGGTTGTGGATGCCCGTGACCGGCCGTCCAAAGATCTTGGCTAGACGGTCGACGTTGGCTTGGAGCCAGTATCGCCTGGTGGAAGTGTGAGCATCGATTTGTCGGGTGGCTCTAAGCGTGATCTCTTACCCAACAGAGACGCCATTGATGAAGATCCAGTACTCATCGGGGTGCTCTTTGTCGGAAGCAATCTTAGGCTGAGATTGCACCGTTGGGTCGAAGCCGTTGACAATCCACCAGATGGGAATGTTTAGACAGATTGCAGTAACGCAGTAGACAATGAACCACCCCAGGGGTACCGCGAGGCAGAAAGGCAAGGAGAGGACGAAAGCGACCTGGTAGATGACCAGGAAGATCTGCCAACCAATCTGGACAACGTTGTTCCACTCGGGGTAGGTTTCGTCCCCAGGGTTTTTGGAGAAGGGAAAGAAAATGACAGGTAGATAACCGATGACGGCGAAGAAAAGACGAATGTCGCCCCAGACCAGCTGCCAAGGGTTACCGGTCCAGGGCAGAGGCGCAGAGACGTCGTTGGAGCCAATCTGCGAGGGCAAGAACTTGACGTTCGGCCTCTTGTCCCCGCCATTAACAGCAGCAGCAACGGGGGCGGCCTGCGTCTGGCTCGGCTTGTCGGCCATGATTGCGGGATCGAGGGGTTAGAGCAACAGCAATAGGAGACGCTCCAGACGTCATGAGAGCCGCCGTGCCAGCCGCGCGAAACGTGTCCGTATAAATAAGTAGAGTCCAGATGGATCTGCGGCCTGGAGGCTGCAGCAGCACCAACCTCTGACGCAAACTCTCGGGCCTCATGCTGGGTCTCTCCCTCTCCATCGTCGCCCAGCCTCTTGCTCGCACTGCTCACAGTGCTCGCGTCCAGACGCCGCCAACACCTGAGCTTGTCAGCTGGCAGCCGACCCTTGAAACGGGCGTGCCGACCCATGCGCGCCGCGCCCGTGACCGTGAGAGCTGCAAGTGCGCCTTCGCCTCTCGGTGCTTCTGCGAGCGCCTCATGATCGTGCCCGCCCGCCACGCGAATCGTACCACGTTCCGGATAGATCACCTGGAGGCGCGCTTCCCCCCGAACCACCAGCTCGCCTGGACCGGCCCGCGCCTTCGTCAAAGTTCCCTGCCGCCGCCAAAATTGACTTTTTGCGGCAACAACGGTGATGTGGACTTGCGTAAGGCTGAGCGACCGACCGGACTCCGCTTGGGGCGTCCCGCTGTTAGCGGGGTTTCAGGCGCTTGAAATACGAACCTGTCCACTTGGCATTCGTGGAACCGACGACAAGCTTCTGCAGTCTGCACAATCTCACATCAGATTTGGTTTCAGGCGGCAGCTAGTGCAACGGTGCAGTCATGAGAGGAAGTTAGGGAGTCTTGTATCGGTGATGTTTCTTATCTTTTAGGGTACTAGCCCGGCTGATCTTTGGTGTGTGAACAACACCTGAACTCCTCTCCTCTGTTTCGCGGTACAAGTCGATGTATGAAGCTATCCAAGCATCATCCCGTCAAAGCAGTCGTTTTCCTACTTTTACTGTCAAATTTTGTGAGTTGCTAATCAATTGTCTACCGAGGAAACCCCTACCACATCAAACGTTTTCGAGGACACGCTATAGACATTTACAAACTGACACCGGAAAGCCAGCATCTTGGACATTGAAGTCCTCTTTCCTGTCTTTCTTTGCATTTGTCGAGACACTGGTGCTTCTGCCCACAGGTCCGCTGTTTAAATTCGATGAGAACATGGTTTTGTATTTTTGAACCGACTCTCATGGTTGAAAACGATGTCCCAACGATCTACCAGCTCAAAACTGGAGCAGCAATGCGACAATTCACATTCTGGATACCAAGTGCTCGGGCATGTCTGATGTCCAACTGTTTCGAGTAGGATTCTCGTGTCCTTCACTAATTGGTGAAAAGCTTGTATAGTTTCAGAAGTAGGTGGATTTACCTCAACTAAATTTTTGGGCTCTCTAATTATGTTCAATGTTCTCTCGTTCAGATTTAGAACCTGGCCGATGGACAACGCAATGTCTGCTATACCGAGCGACACTTCGGCCTACTGTAGATATGAGTATATCTATAACACTGCGCATATGCACGATACAAACGGACATGACTAAAGCGACCGCGCCTCGGGGCCACTACACACGCACCAATCAGCCGGGGAAAGGTGTTTTGACCTGCCCCACTCATATGCTCCAAGTGTAGTTGTTGGGTTGAATGTCTTTGTGAAGTCGGTTGGCGTTTATGGAGACAGTGCTTGTCGCTGTGACTTTATGGCAGCACTCAATCACTTCAAAAGCATGGAAGACTGATTGACATCCTGGCCTGGAAACATTGACAATGCGCTTCTTCGCGGAAAGGGCAACCGATATTGAACCGCCTTACATCTTTGATGTAATAAAAAACATGAAGGCTGGATACTAAACTGACTGGGGTTGCTTCGATGTACAACGGTCGAAAGAGCAGTCGTTGTAATCATGCCTACATTTCCCGTAAATGGACAAAATCCCCCATTGATTGCTTCTTGCATAGGCCTAGAACTCGTGTTCGTCGCTAAATATGCCACTCACGAGAGTATGTAGGTCGTAACAATAGGTATCTTCCCCTCCGACAGTAGTTGTGCAGCCCATCTGCTTCGAGAGCGGGTGCTTGGAGGACCCGCATCGGCGCGATAGAAAGAGGAAGGAACGACTACGAGTTCAGTCGCCAACCGTTGCCAGAGTGCCTTCCCCATTTGCCGTCCACCAAGTCTTGGCGCAGCCTTTTGTTGTGATTTTCGTCTGCCCAATCGAACGCTCCTTCAACACCACACCTTCACTTCAGTTCAGCATCGTTGCGCCTTTCTTAAAACCGCGAGACTTCAACAAAGTGTTAAAACGATGCCTGGCCGGCGCAACAAGTGGCCAGCCAGGGAAGAGTCCGATCTGGTCCACACGACGAGTAAGTTTCTGTCCTTCGGCTCTCACTCGCACAAAGCCTGACTTGTCAATGTAGAAGAGAATCAGCTGCGCGCCAAATCCTTTCGTGCTTATGCTGCTGAGATGTCTTCCTCCTTTGCTGGCGTCACCGATCTCAACCATGTGAAGTGGATCCCGAAGCCAAAGGCAGGCGAACCGGCACTGACAGCGACTGTGGTCGCAAAGGTCACGCAGACCACGGCTCACCCTGCGCCCGCTCTCAGCGACACGCTGGCTCCGTCTACTGCTAAGGTGACTCCAGCTCGGAATCTGGCTCCCCAAGTGGACCGTAACGCTTTTGACACGTTTCAACTGCCGAAGCTGTCACTGAAGGATCGTGAATATGTCGACACAAACAAGCTCTTGCTCTCAGAGACGGCACCCAAGTCGTTCAATGCAGCCATCCTGTCTGCTGCTATCCAATGCGGATGTTCGATTGATGCAATTAGCGCGTACTTGGAGAGTTACGATCATGTAACCATTCGCACTGAAATCAACGCCCCTGTCGAGGGTCTATGTACGGCTTTGTTCTATGCCATTGAGCGCAATGACACTCAGTGTGTTACATTGTTGCTTCAACATGGTGCCAACCCAAGTATGTCTATTCTCTACTTGTTCCTGAAAACTGGCACTGACAATACTAGATGCGGAACTTTTCCCAGCTATCCCTTCCTTCCAAATGCCTGCTTTGGGGTTTGCCATCATCAACGGAAAGCAATCTCTGAGCAACCCGCTAGATGTCATAAAGACGTTACTTGCGTATGGTGCGGATGCAAAGGCTATTCCTTTTGTCAAACCCTCCACAGCCGGTTGGAAGGCGGCTTGCATCTCAGCAATGAACATCTCCCAGGAGTTCTTTATTCATCGCGCCAAGGTTATTCCGAAAACCAATATGCGTACGAAGCAGCTTGCTAGGGCACATGGAATGACAGAGCTTCTCAACCTTCCATACTTCCTCATCGGCCAGAGCCACGCAACCACACTCATCAAGGATAACGTGGTCTCATACGTAACACTGGAAGGCCGTGAGCCTCTTGTGATGGCTTTCTCGGGACCTTCAGGCCATGGCAAGACGGAGCTGGCACAACAGATGGGAAAGCTTTTATCTGTGGATACGACTGTAGTCGACTGTGCCCAGATGAAGCATGATACTGACCTTTTCGGCGCTCGCAATGGTTACCAGAGGTCAGACGAAGGTTCTCAGCTGAACAACTTCCTCGCCGAGAATGATGGAAAGTGTTCTGTAGTCTTCCTCGATGAATTCGACAAGACCTCAAAGGAGATTCTCCACTCCCTACTGCTTGTGTGCGGCTCAGGTGCATACTATGACCGACGCAACAATACCAGAGTTGACTGCTCCAAGACCTTGTGGATTCTAGCCACCAATCTGGGCGACAAAGAGATCGAAAGGTTCTACAACGAGCATATGAAGAAGAAGCCTGAAGAAGAGAGAGAGACAATATGTCTATAGCGCCGCTACAAGACGAGATCCGTGGGTTGTTCACCAAAAAATTCGGTGCTCCTTTTACAGGACGTATCAACGTCGTGGTACCTTTCCTTCCATTCAACGAGACTGAGTGCGCTATCGTCACCCATAAGTTTCTCCTGGACTTTGTCGATGAAGTCCGTCAAGACATTGAAATCCGCCCGGATGTCAAGCGCTATGTCGGCCATTGCCACTTCGACATTGGTGATGGCACAGACCTCGTTCGTCATATCGCAAAAACATCATATACGCCTGAGCTTGGTGCCCGTTCTCTTCGCCAGGCTGTCAACAACGTCAAGCTTAAATTTATATTGGCTTACCTCAATGATGATGGTGGGAAGCTCATCACTGATGAGACCAACGAAAGTCCGCTTCAGCGCTTCGTTCCTCGTCTGATTACGCACTCAGGTGGCTCGAAGGAGATTGTCGTGGTCCGCAGTGGTCACACACAGCTTGCAGAGCCACTCAAATGCAAGCCTGTTTTGGACAGTGATAGTTCTCAGGGTAGCACTACTGTTTCCATGACTGACTCCGACGACAGTGACGACGATGTCATAATGCCTCTAAGGTTTTGAAGGGGTCCGAGAGCGACAGACATATACTTTTCTTCAATGGGTCAATGAATCATGGCGGCATCCATTGTTGCTATTTGAGAACAGCTGACAGGTTTAACTTCGCGGAGTCCACACAACTATTCCTTGGAGAATTCTCCAAGAACAAACGTGTCGGTCTTGTCGGATTGTATTTCATTCGGCTACACTGCATTTGCCTGGCGATTGTAGATAGTCGTGGAAATACAAACAAGCTCCATGATCATGAATTGTTTCAAGTGCGTTGTCATTTCAAGGCTCCGGATGATTTGCCCACCTTTCTCGACTTGCTTGCCCATCCCCGTGACTTACACCTATTTAGGTGTATGGCTTCCTTTTTAATCTATTACTTTCGTGCTCTCGTACTATGGAAAGACACTCTCGCATTCTTATATATTTCTATCTTCGTGCCATTTTAGATGCTTTCGGACCCTCGTTTATTTTTTAGTTTTATAAATTCATAGAACACTCTCGCAGTTTGTATATCTAGATATCTATATCTTTATAAGAGATTTTATACCCTAGCATATTTTCATTTTTATGGACATCTCGAGACTTCCGAGCGCAGCGTTGTAGCTTATTATAGCTACTGAAGGAGCACTGGGTAAGATAGCAGGCCTTACTTGACATGCATTTGAGGGGTAGGCAAAATATCTGATACCTAGGGTCTCATACAACAATCAAAAACTCTAGCTCAACCCGCCCACTCCCGAGCAAGAGTGTATTTTTTCAGCTGTTGCAGGTATGAACTCAATTGGGCCTTGAGAGAGCGGCAACGGACTCGACACTGACGTAAAATTGGCTTTATACAGCCGGATGCAAGGCAGTGTATAGCAGCCCCGGCATTCAATCAGCGATGTTGTCTTACGTATGGTACAGTGAAAAGGTACATGCTCAAAAAAGTCTCTTTCTCATGCGGACATATGTTTCTCGCCATAGTACGATAACGTTCGGGGACCTGGCGATGGCAACCCAGTTTCAACCGGTCCTCACGCGGAACTTCTTTCTGATTTTTATTTTCCCCCAAATATTGACCTTAGCTGTTGGTGCAGTCTTAGCGTAGCACCAACTTCTGCCTCGTTCCTATGTGTTTCTTCCTTGTTGGCCTTTTATGCCGTCGCCTCCACCTTCACTGCCGTCTCTTTTGCCGCCGTCTTCTTCGCCGTCGCCTTCTTCCCCGTCACCGTCTTTGCCGCCGTCTTTGCCGGAGCGGCCTTCTTCAACACCCTCTTCTTCATCGCCTTTTCCTCCATCTCAACCTCTTCCGGGCTCTTGACCACGAGCTCAGAAATCTTCAGCACCGTGTACTTGTGCTTGCTCTTGGCATGCCTGACATGTCTCCTTCTCCTCTTAGTCTTCTCCATGATGCGCATCGGCTCGCTTTCGACACCCGTGACCACTGCTCTACACACGAAGAGCCTGTCATTCAAGTAACGCAAAATGCCACCAGGTTGCTCCCTGGTGCCCTTGGAGCTCGCAGCCGCCTGCAGCGTAAAGTCACGGCTTCCGAGCACGGTGGCGCGGTTCAGGCGCAGCACGTCGCCGGGGACGACGTCCTTCATGAGGAACGGCAGGCGCAGCGTATCGCCGAGCGTGAGGATGTACGGGCGAGCATGGATGTGCGCGCGGATGTAGTGGGGAGCCTGCGCCTTGAGGAGGGGGAGCAGCTCGCGCACAGAGTCGGACATCGGCGTCGTGCCAGCGGAGGGCGCGTCCGCAGTCGGCGGAGGCAGGGCCGCCGCGTCGGCGGGAGCGGAGCCAGTCCCAGCGAGTTCGGCGGGCGAGGGCTTCCTGGCGTCTTTGGCGGCGGCGGTCGCCTTGCCGGCTCTGACGAGCGGCTCTGGCACGTTGCCGGCTTCGAGCGTGTGCGAGACGGTGGAGAGCGACGAGGCGCGGAAGGCGGGCGTCGTCGTAGTCGCGCGGGTGAAGAGCTGGGGCGCGCCCTTGATGGACCGCCGTATCGCCCGGGACAACATGGTGGTTCAATTGGCCCTCGACGCGGGGGGTGCGTGCAATGGCCGGTTGGGGACTGTGGTCTTTGGGCGCCGCCGGAAGTCTGATGGATCGATCTGCGGCGAGTTGAGAAACCTCCGCTACGTCGGATCATCGTTGGGCCGGCTGGAGTTGGCGACAGGCGCTACGGTTTCGACGACGAAGGGTCATGTCCATAGAAAGTGACGTGTGTACAATGGGCAACAGTTTTTATGGGATGTGATATGTCATGGAGTGCACGTTTTTGGTGATATGTCCACCCTGTGCGTGTTGTTCATTCGGGAAGTCAATGAGCAAAATAACTATATTTATATAACTCAAATGTTTGAAACCACCTTTCATCCATCAGATGCAAAGCATCTATATCTTCGATGGTCTAGTGGTGATGATTTCCGCTTGTCAATGATGATAATCCTCATTAGCAAGCGCGGGAGACCGGGGTTCGATTCCCCGTCGGAGAGTTTTTTTCTTTTGCTTTTTTCTTTTTTCCTTTTGCTTATTTTTTTTTCAGTTTTATTTTACATTTGTCCCTCAGCGTCTGTCACCGTCAAGCGGGATAGGGAAGAAAACGAGCTGTCCCCATAGAGTACACCTTGTCTAGCTAAATGCCTGAGCACTGGATATAAGCAAGAAGGTCTTTAGGCGTACATCTGCCTAAAAATATCTTTACTGAGATTCGTTTTTACTCCGTTGTAGTTTTCCGTCAACACTCAATTGCCACAAGATATGAGCTGGCAATACCGAGCACGTGGTTGACAGCATAAAACCAGTCCGTTGTGGACCCTGCAACTTCATCGGAACCTCCAAGCTTCTCCCAGGAATGCTAGATCAGACTCGGTACTACCTATGCAAGCATCTGTTGAAGACCGATTTCCACTCCGACTGAGTCGATGAAAATGACGTTGGCGGTCTGCCATGCCCGGTTTTATAAGAGATACTGACATGTCTTTCCAGTCCGCTAATCATCCCATCCCGCCTCCTAGATCTAAGATAGGTCACGATACCATAGATCAGGACGACATTAATTAAAGGAACGCTGTAGATGCCCGAAACCCCCTCACGTGCAGCCAACGCATCTAAATCACAACCTACAACTCCCGGATTACCGCGCGACCATCAACCACTCGACTTCATCCCGCCGCAGCTCCTCCCTCGCCACCTCGTTCATCGCCGCATGCACCGCCTTCTTCTCCCACATCTTCAACCGCTCATTTCGCCACACGGCGCAGAAATCTTGATGCGACGGCGCCGCCCCACGTCCCACCAGCAACCTCACCACGTCCAACGCGTCCCCCGCACGCGAGCACGCTGCCAGCAACGGCGTCGCCTCACCATCCTTTCCACTGCCATTCGGCGCCGCTCCTGCCTCCAGCAACTGCAGCGCTGGTCCCACCGCTCCGCACGCTGCCACAAGCGCGCGTGATGCCTCTACGTCCGCCCCGTGCCGCAGTAGCGCGCGCACCACGTCCGGCGCCGCGGTCGGCGCACTCTGCAAGAGCCGCAATGCCAACTGGAGCGAGCGCTCGCGGCGCGCGGTCAAGGCCTCAACATCTGCACCGGCGGCCAGCAACACGTCCACGGTATTCGCCGATCCACTGCTCACGGCTAAATGCAGCGCACGGCGCTGGTCTGCGGTCGGGGCCTCGAGGTTGAGTGTGCCTGCGTTGCTGCTCGCGCCTGCCTCGTCGGTACCTGCTGCGGGACCGAGCAACGCCGTCACGGCCTCGGCGTGCCCGCGGTGCGCGGCGTGGTGCAGTGGCCGCCACATGTCTCTGCCGGCGGAAGGTTCGGCATTGGCGCCCGCGGAGAGGAGCAGGCTGATAAGGGCGGGATGGCCGTACTCGGCGGCGCAGTGCAGTGGGCGGAGGCCTGTTGTATCAGCAGCGTCGACGTAGGCGCGCGCAGAGACGAGGACGGCCGTTACGTCAACATTGTTGTGCTGCGACGCGATGTGGAGGGGTGTGAGCCGCCGTTTCGTGGTGGTGGCGTGGGCGGCAAGTGGACTTGCAGCCACGAGGCTGCGGGCTGCGGCAGCATTTGGATGCTCTCCTCCTTCCTCTTCTCCTTGCTCTCCAACTCTTCTTCCGCCTGCTGCAGCAGCAAGATAGTGCAACGGCGTAGCACCTGCGTCGTCGCGGCTCAATGGGTCAGCGCGCAACGACACCAGCACGGCAACGGCAGCACCTTTGGATACGTGCAGTGGCATCTTCCCTCCCCTTACGCGCGCGTGTACATCAGCGCCGCTGTCGACGAGTGTCTTGACCACGTCAGCGTGCTCATTGGCTGCTGCATAGTGCAGAGCCGTGGGTTCCAGTTTGTTACTGCTCAGCAGTCCCTTGATGCTGTGCTTGTCCTTGGCCTCCAGCTCACAGCGAGTATTGACATTAACGTCCTTCACTAACTTCTGTACTGCCTCCAGGTCGCCTAGGGACGCTGCCATGCATAGCTCCCTGACTGCTACCGATGATGCTGAAGTCGCCCAACTCTTCCGCTGGGACGAGCTGCCCATTGAACCTTGCAATGTTGTCGACATGACATAGCTGGGGCTTCTTTCTGCGGGGCTCTCGCCTGTCCCTCTCGCCTTCTTCGGGCTTGGCATCGACATGATGCGCCGAAAAGCAGCGCGGTATGGTTCTGAGTCGATGAGCTCGTCATCAAATGAAAACGAAGAAACACTATTAGTGTCATTGGAGCTGATGCTGCTGCGAGACCCTCTGGTGCCGATACTCGGACGGCTGCCGCTGCTACACATTGATGCCTGGTCCTGAGCTTCTTGGAGAGCATAGCGGGTGTCCGAGTTTTCGAGGACAGCTTGCCGCTGAATATTGGAGTTTCTATGAGTATCAACAGCAAGCTCGAAGGTATTGTAGATGGAGCCGCTAGGGAACTTACAGCAACATGACATTTAGGAAAAGGGCCAATGCCGTGACCTGGCTGTCGAGTGCGCTTTGGTATTGCAGGAACTGCGATTCATCCCAGAGGTAGCGAAATCTGCCGCCGAACCTGCCGCCTTTGACGTTGGCGACGTAGTTCTCTATCTCACGTACGACGATTGTACATGACGATACAGCACGCGTCAGGTCGTCGACCATGTTGCTTGTCATGTCGTGTTGGTTGCCGCGCAGCCACCTTTCCAACTGCGTCATCGTCGCAGTGATGGTGTTGAGCCGCGCGATTATCAGGTTGACTTTTTGCTCCAAGTTCTGGAATTTGGTTGCCAGTTCGTTGGTCCCGCTAGTAGTCCGCGTTACTATGGTCAAGCATGCTCCTACCATTGAGAGGACCGTCACGGGATCCATGATGGCGAGATCGACGTATCTGTCAATCCAAGCTTTGGTCTTTTTCTGTTTTTCTTCACTTTTTTCCTAGTCTCCGACCTATGGCAGCTTCAGAGCCATCTGCAACATTCAAGGAGCAGCAAGTTCCAATGAGCTCCGATTACCACGACGGCTGGGAGCTGCCAGTATAGACGTCGGCTCAATGTGGCTGAAATACTGTGAATATAGGTTGTCAAAGAGGTTGCGGCAGCGACGGGAGCGACGGGAGCGACGGGAGCGACGGGAGCCCAGCGAAACGACGAACTACAAGCTATCGACAGCGGCACATATAATGTGCTTCTATTTCTAAGCGTCAAAACTCATTCCCTGGGCATGTGGATTTAATTTCTTTCTAAGAACGTCTGATTGGATATTTTTTGGCGTTGGGGCCAAATTTATACCAGAGCGAACAACAAGAGCTGATTTGATGGATATCGGGCGACCTGCTTTTCAGCTTTATTGGTGTGGATTGTGGCAAAGGGTTGCTCACTGACCGGCTAGGGAAATGATAGGCCGGAAAGGTGCAGCCTCTTCTCCATTTAGATATCGGAAGATGAGTTGGAGCGCGGATCATCATTGAGTAGTCACGGGGGCCAAAACTAACCTGCAGGCGGTTTCTATGTACGTCGCACCAATAGGGCAATTTCAAGAGATGTCGCATGGCACCTTCTTGTTTCGGTCTTCTCGCAACCTCTTCTACTTCCTCATAACTACCTCCGCCGAATCCGGAATGGCAACGGTCCATGCGGACACTGCGTCCCCAGACCAAATTCACGATATTTCATCCTCCGTGCTTCAACATCGGCAGTCACCTCGACGTCGAAGCGCATCACCATCATCGCCAGCGTTGCTATAATAGCACGTTTCGCAAAATGCCTGCCAGGGCACATATGTACGCCGCCCCCAAATGGATACCATGACCCTGCCATATTTTCGACAGAGAATTTCGGTGTCTCCCCATGGTCGACGTCAGGGTCGTTGCGATAGACGAGAAATCGATCTGGCCCAGAAGGTGTCGATTGGACGCCGAGTGTCCCATACCTCCTCGTCCATATGGCCTGTCGATGTACACGCTAGCGCCGTACTCTTTTTTGGGATCTTCCAGTCACCCAGCACAAGATCGTCTCGCTCCGAGTAGCGTACTATGTAGAGGTGCACGCGTAGCCGCAGCGTTTCTGCATAGACGGCTTGTAAGACCGGCTGCTGCAACAGTTTGGCCACGTCTAGGTCGCTTAGCTTCGGACCTACACACTGTTCGACCTCGCGGGGGACGCGCGCCAATAGCTCAACATCATCGAACACATCCATCACGGCCCAAAGGCTCGCCAGGACGAGATTAGTGTTAAACCTGCGTCCAAGTGTCAGAAGATTCTCTGTACATTGCACATCAGGTATGTACTCACCCCCATATAGCCCCAAGATCCATGCTTGCGAGCGCATCCTCGTCGTAATTATCGACCCTTCCCAACGTCTGTCGCCTCTCGCGAAAGAACCTGCAGCCCCAGAACGGGTCCTCCTCGCCTTCGTATTTCATCTTAGAGTGCTCTGTCTGCTCTGCAGCGTAGCAGTGCCACTTCTTGATGCATTTCAGGAGCTTGTCGCGAACTGCGTACCCCTTCGGCATAAAAATACGTGGAACTCCCTTTGTGAACCAGACGATCCAATCGTTGTACTCCCAAAAGAGCTGTGGGAATTCGGGGTTCAAATTTAGCATTGCTGGGGAGCACATTGCATCAAGATTGGCCCGTAGGAACTCCTTTGTTAGGAAGTCGACCATGTCCGGTTTTTCGACCCATTCGGCTCCGATTGGAAGATTGTTTAGTCGCTGAGAAAATTTCTTTTGGAAACGGTCAAAGAATGGAGCTAGGCCAACACCCTCGAGAAACTGATGTAGGGCTTTATGCGTCTGAAAGTCAATCCGGTTGTGGGGTGCAACGTTGCTCTCTGGATGTGGCTGAACACCCATTCCAGAATTATCCTCGAGATATCGCATCGCTGCCTCAGCATGCAAGCCAAACATATAACGAAGCACGAAGTAGATGTTGGTGGTCGGTGTTGTGAGTGGTGTTTGCCGCCACAATGACTTAATGTTCTCCGATCCACGGACAAGGATCATTTCTTTGGTTACGAGCTTGATGCAGATGGGGGTTGGGTTTCCGTTGCAATTGGTGCTGTAAGCCATGAGCTATAACCCAGTCTGTATACTGAAAGAACCGAGTCACTTACTATGCCTTAGTGACGAACTCAAAGGGGTCTGAGATGTACGAGAATATGTTTCCAACAAGAGGTATCAAGTACGGAATAGTGGAAGGCTTTTTGTCAGCTGCTTGACTGCGAACGGCTGCAACGAAAAGCAGCCACCTTATGAAGTAACTGATCAGGAAAAGCATAAGAAACAAGACCGAGGCGACGACCAGGGTGTTTCTTGTATCTTTTTCCTGAAAAAACGAGTTCAAGATAGGGGAGTCCATTTTTGGTGCAACAGAAATGATGCCAACTAAAGATGATTATCTCCAACACGGGATCGTTTAAGTATTTGAAATTATTGGTGTTATCTCTACTTTAACTTAAGGCCCTTAATCACCTGTCGGCGATTTCAGTTATCTCACCACTTTTTGCAATTTCTTCTAAGGTGGCAACTCAAGCTGACTGCTTACGCCCAGGGGCCTTTTAGCTGAACCTTAATCTATATATACACCGTATGTATTATGCACTGCTCAGCTTTCATGTTGCTATGTCCACACTAGCAGGGAATGACTGGTGGCCTTAGTGCGGGGTATCTGCAAGAAAGAAAACGCGTCAGGCAATAGGTTTGCTAATCACGCCTCACAGCTGTTCTATTCTGGACCCCACTTTCTTTGTCCTGCAACTCACTCAATCTGGAACCTTTGTTGTTCTCACATGCGTAGTGCCTAGCCTGACTTTCTAAATTCAACATAAACACATGAGAGACATCTATATATAACTGACTGATCAAAGTCCCGGGAGAGAAGTAACCATTTTTAAATGATTCCTCCCTGCCATCTGATGGACTTGTCTACAACATTACCAAGTAAGCGCAACTAGAAATGGACTCTTCCATGTTGCCTCCTTCCCCACCAGGGGCTCTCACAGGTGCAGCGAGACAGAACGCCATAAACCATGCAGGACTGATAAACAAGACTGCATTCGAAGTATGTGCATCAGCTACCTCCTTAGAATAAAAGCTGCTGATATTTGGAGTCGCTCTAGGTGAATGTGGGCTTGTTTACCGGGCTTGCTGTCCTGACAATAGCCGTACGCTTTGTTGTCCGACTGCGCCAACTTCGTCGATTGTTTCTCGATGACTACTTGCTGTTGTGCAGCTCAGCATGCCTCCTCGTAGCGCTTGGTTTGATATACCCTAACACTAGCGCTTTGTTCTTGGGTGAGGCTACCTTAGCGATGCCAGACAAAATAACAGTTGAATCCATGGATGAGGCCAAGGATCTGATCAGTTTGAACAATTACTCTCTGATCTACCTCAGCATAATCTGGATTTCCACGTACTCCGTTAAATTTTCGTTCCTGGCTGTCTTCAAGCCCCTCGTATGGAACAAGCTCTCACGATCCATGATGTGGTATTTTTGGTTCGTTGTCGCATTTACGGCCTGTTCATGGGCTTATTCTGAATGCGCAAGCTTCATTCCGTGCCCCCATTTTGGGGCAGCCGTAAGTATGGGCTTCCCCGATGACCTTCGTATCTGTAGATTATACTGACATCTGAGGATAGTTAAATGCTACAATCGTGATTCCCACAATGTGACCATAACCACGATGGTGACTGCTACAGTCGTCGACGTTATTACGGATATTATGGGTATGGTTTTTTGCAAACTTGTTTGTCCACAACTGATATCTCTTTTGCAGTTGTATCATTTCCAATCATAATCCTCCATAAGGCAAATATGGGCCTCGCACAGAAAGTTGGCCTTGGGATCTTCCTAGCACTCTCTTTGGTAATGGTTCTCGTTGCCATTGTCGAAATGATCGGCAGCATAGTTTCCGGGATAAACAACCTGGATCTTGCCTGGATCATGTTCTGGCAACACATGCACGCTTGCACTGGCATTATTATGGGTTCAGTGTCTGCATTGCGCACCATCTATAGCAGAAGGGAGGGAACTGCAGCCCAGAAATTGGAAAGCCCTCCTGCCAGCGATGATGGTTCCTTAGCAACACCGTCCACTCCAAGGAGGTCATTGATCTGAGGCATTGGAAGCTGGGAACCCTATTCTCGGCGGAAGCTTTCATTATATATCAATACATTCATGTCCTCTAAAAATTTTTTATGTCTTAACATCTTTTTGTCTTTATACAGCTACCTAGCAACTATTGACCATACCGTTGTAGCTTATTATAGCTACGAAACGAGTACCCGATTGGTATATGGAACATTAGCTGACATGTAGTTTAGTTGAGGAGTGAGCAAAATGCTCTGGGCCTTCCAGAGCACATGTTGGTGTGACAAGAGTTGCAATCATGCAGTGATGTACGGCACATCACAATCACATTTCCTCAATCACACGAGTTGTGGGGACTGTGGGCGGCTAATAAATGAAGCCGGAAGGTTCACAGCATAAATAATTGGGGCCGGCAGCCTACGCCGCATATTACACGAGTCTGCGGCGTAGCAATCCGAAGCGGCGTATAATCAGAAAACGCCCCTGGGATCATTCTTAAGCGTTCTCGCCCTCACTTCAGACTTCACAACAACAGTACCATCCTCTCTTTGAACGCTTCAGTATGGAAACCTTTGGCGCTACATTGTATAGTCGCTGCATCACCTCATTGGTGGTAGCAGTTTTCAGTGGTGTTGTCTATGTGCTTGTTAAAGCATATAAAGCCCGTAGCGTCGTCAATCACTTGCGCAAGCAGGGTTTGGTATGATACTATCTGATGGACTCTGCCTTTCAATGCTAATATCTCAAAAGCCCATGACAGAATTCAACTGGATCACTGGCCACATGCTTGCAATAAAGGCCTTCATAGAAAACTTACCACCCGACGCCATCACCAACTACATTATGACAACAATGGCTTTCTCGCTCAAGAAGAACGCATTCTACTTAGATTTTTGGCCACTCAGCGAACCTATTCTCGTTGTCACAAGCCCTTTGCTTGCATCGCAGCTGACGCAAGAATTCAATCCTCCCAAACCAAACAATATCGAGGCGGCTTTCGCCTATCTTTGCGGCGGACCCAACATTTTCACCATGTCAGACGTATCGTGGAAAAGATGGAGATCTATCTTTAGCCCTGGCTTTAGCTCTGCAAATATGTTGGAACAAACTGCCAAAATCGTCGACCAATGCCACATTTTCTGTAGCAAGATACGCCAGTGTGCTCGAGAGGGAGAAATGTTTTATCTGGAGGAGCACACCTTGCGTCTCACACTAGATGTAATTGGTATTATTTCCATGTGGGTATCCTTCCATCGGTGTGTATTAACTCACTATTCTAACATGCCATTCAGGGACACGCACTTCAATTACCAGCATGAAGATTCAGATATGCCTAAAAGCCTTCGGGGATTGATAGAGTGGGTTTCGTTTGGCACCGAAATGAACCCTTTCAACCGCTGGACACCCAAACGGCCATTTATGGCAGCATATTACGGGCACAAAATTGACAGATTTATCAACAATGAGCTCAAAAAACGGTATGCTGAGCGAAAGGCTTCACTGAGCACGAACCAAGGACTGAAACAGCTGCGGCATTCCACGCGTGGCAAATCTGTCGTTGCATTGGCCCTGGATGCTTATTCTGCGGAAGAGAAGAGTGACTCCCTAGATGAAACCTTCCTGTACTATGCCCGCTCTCAGATCAGACTTTTTCTATTCGCCGGACACGACACAACATCAAGCACCATGGTTTACTTGATCCACTTTCTCTACCTCAATTCAGACTGCCTTGCTCGCATACGTGCCGAGCACAACAGTGTGCTAGGACTGGATCCTGTCGATACTGGCAACCGTCTATCGGACAAACCAACACTTCTCAATCAATTGCCCTATACAACCGCCTGCATCAAGGAAACATTACGCCTTTTCCCTCCTGCGTCTTCTATGCGCATAGGCGGACCCAACACTGTCTTGGTTGACGAAGACGGCACCCGATACCCTACCGAAGGCTGTAGTGTGTGGGCACTCCATCTCGCGCTCCAGCGTAACCCGGACTTCTGGCCCTCTGCCGACAAATTTATTCCGGAGCGCTGGCTCGTTGGTCCCGAAGACCCTCTCCATCCTGTCAAAGGAGCGTGGCGTCCTTTCGAATTCGGACCGCGCAACTGCATTGGTCAGGCACTTGCTATAGCAGAGCTGAAGATCATGTTGGCCATGACAGTCCGGGAATTTGATTTCAAGAATGCCTATGACGAATGGGATCGACTGCACCCGAGCAAGCACATCAAGACTGTACTCGGAGACCGAGCATACCAAGTTGAAGGTGGCGGTGGAGGAGCTCATGCCGCCAACAAGTACCCGTGCAGAGTCTATATGGCGCAGAATGGCAAGGCGGGTGAATGAGTATATACACGCCAAATATGCAAGTCAGCCGTAGGCTTAAAATGTCACACAGCAAGGACTTTTTGTGACGCATTACGTCAGTCTTGCCAGTTTTCGCGCCTGCCCGACCCATCTGGCGCCTTCCTTTCACAGCAACGCAACGAATTTCACCCACACCACCCTTCAGACAGCATCGAGAAGAAATCGAGAGCAGTTCTCTTCCCTTCCTCCAGGAAAAATTGAAGCAGACAAAAGAGGAACGTTCCGGTGGGGAACCATGGATCGATTACATCCAGTCATAACTGCAATGCTGCCCAAGTATATAAGAGAACTACCACTGCTCATCGCCCAGTCTCTCTCAATACGTCGTGAGTATCATATTTGCGCCCCGAAAACTTGGCAATATCCTTGTTGCTACAAAGAAATATCGATAACAACCATGGATTTTCTCAGCGACGAACTCGAGCGCATGGCGACCAACATCGCCCAATACACGGGTTCTGAATCCGAAATTCCCCTCGACGATATCGGCGGCCTCCCTGTCCATAAGACAGAGCCAGTGCTTCGCCATGCTCGCCCTGAGAAGTACCCCAAAGGAAGCAGCATGAACGTCAGCTACCTCATGAGGCTTGGTGGCCCTCTCTCCACGGTGGCGCAGATCCAGGTCGCGGCAGGCCTTCAAACTACACCGGCCATCCTCGAAGGCACGAGTGACGAGGGCGAGCCGGCAAGCTTCTGCCGTCTCTCTCAGGAAGCCAAGCGAACAGTAGAAGCCTGGCTGGTGGAAACCGGTATCTCGAACCGCGACCGCCCAGCATTCATCCGCCTTTCTCAATCTGCCAAAGAGCTCTCTCCCAACTCTCCATACCCGACTCTCAGCCTCAATACCACTCTGCCTCAACACCGCCCAAACAACACCACCACTGTGTTCCACCCACTTCAAAACGAGTGGCCGGTGTGGTAATTCTTCTACGGCACGCTGGCCGACGCAGACAAGCTGGTTGGCCTTTTAGGACTTTCCGACGACGAGTATCCTATCCTTGAACGCGCCAGCGTCCAAGGTGGATTCATTCGTACTTGGGGTGGAAAGTACAAGGTTATAGTAGACGGTTCGGAGACGGTGCAGGGGTGGGCGTACTGCGTCAAGACTAAGGAGCACGAGGATATCCTTCGTACGTATGAGACGGCGAGGTATGACGTGGTGAGGTGCAGGATTGCGATTGAGGGGAAGGGCGATGTTTGGGGGTGCGTGTTTCGCTGTGCTGACGAGCGCACTTTGATCGTATAGTTGGGTTGTAGTCTTTCTGGTGACGTAGAGTAATACACAAAGCAGTGTTTTTCAGTTTGGCGCTGGACAATTAGTTTGTACTTTCAAATACATATGTTACTGAAGAGAAAAGATCACGGAAGTATTCAACAAGGAAGTAAAGACGAAAGAATATAAGAGTACCGAAAGTGTGTCATGTCCCATTATATTAATGGCTTATGATTTACCTGAGACACATGTACAGTGTTGCTACCTTCCGCGTGCTGGGCACCTACACAACCTATATGACACTTCACTGATAACGTGTATTTCGATGCCGCTTACCCGCTAACTTTTCACTCTCAATTGAATAATTAGAGATAATCTGCATCCAGGTCATTGCGATACAACGCATCTGCCCGAGCCTGCGCCTCCCAAAACTGCCACGCTCTCGCAATCGACTCATCATTCATCTCCTGGCAATCAACCTGCTCAGTCCAATCCAAGGACACTGGTTCATTACCAATTGAGCTATGGAAATTCGCCGAGCTCTGCTGGATCTTCGCACTTTCCTGCGTGTAGACTGCCCGATAAACCGCGTGTTTGATCGAGAGACCCCACGTTGTGAAGCCGTGGCCCCGCTGCATAACGACAGTGTTCTTCGGAGATGGCCCCAACGGCCCGGGTTGAGTGCCGAACAGTGCCGCCATTGCACCCCCAAGGACCTTGTTGTTGACCAGGAGATTATGTTTGTCGGTCTCATTGTAGACGCTTCGTGGGTCGAAGATGGGCACTTCGTCGCCCAGAAACCCAGCCATATGCCAGATAGGCTGGAGGTGGACCCCGCTGAGGCCTTGTGCTACAACGGCAGGCGAGTGTGAATGTATGACACTTTGGATAGCCGGATACTGGGCGTATATTCGAGAGTGGACGAAGCGCTCTGAGTAAGGAGATTGTGCGCTGGAAGTGCTGCCGGAGACAGGGATTACCTCAGAGATATCGAATTCTGCGATATCAGAGACTCCCTTCATGAGGGCTGGAGGCATGGAGCCTGTCATGAAGAAGTTTTCTGGGTTTCCGGGGTTACGAACGGATATGTGGCCGAAACCGTCGACAAGTCCATGATGTGACAGTACATGGTTTGCTGTGATAAAAATGGAGAACAGCTCAATAAGGGCTTTGTCCGTCATCTTGGATTGTAGATAGGACTTTGTAGAAGGTAGGAAAGTGTGGGAACAACTGGAAAGGAAGACAGCAACAAGTCATCGAATATTCGCATTATGACGTATTGTTGCACAGGGGTCTTGCTTGGCTTGGAATGCTGATAAATCCTTGATGTTCCATGTTCGGGATACATCAAGTTCCAAACTCAAGTACTCATTTCATACTCAGTCGTAGAAGTCGGAGCTCAAAGCTCCTCCTTTCTCCACTCTCCCTTATTGTTCTCCTTTTCGGGTTCAGAAGGCTGCCATTTATTCCATGTTCCAGTAAGTGCTCCTGAAAGAGCCGCCCCAGCCCTGGTAACGCCGTGAATAACTGAAGCGCCGTATCCGCCCATGGCTGCACTCTGAGCTGTGGCTCGAATGCTTCGAGCATAGACCGGACCCAAAGCAGCTTGGAGCTTGCTTGCGAACGAAGCTTCGGTATTGTCAGTGATTTTACATATAAAGTATCCTTTGGATAATTGCCTCACCGGCTCGAGGACCATACCTTGTCCAACCCAGCAGGTTCAGGACACCTCCACTCAGGCCGGCTGGTGTAAAGTAAACCACACCTTCAGTTACCAGGAGAGCAGTCTGGTACGGGTGCTCTCGAATGTACTGCTTGGCATCTTCGGCAAGGTATTCCCACTTAACTGCAACGACAGTGACACGGAGGTCGGAAGTTTTCTGTTGGAAGAATGTCTGAACATCGGGTGGCAGCGAGGCAATGACCTTAGTCTGAAAGAAATCATCTCCTTTGCTGAAGACTGCACTTGCAACATTTTGCGCCTCTTCGGCAATGTTGTTGTCTTGGATGAACTTGTCTGCTTTATTTATGGCGACGCGTGCAGTGTCTTGGACATCGTTGAAGAAGCCAGACAGGAATGCTGGAACTTGAGGATCGGAACGCTCATCCTTCTTCTCACGACCGAACACGGTAGTGGAGATTGCCGCCAAGTAAAGGGCAATGGTAGGCAAGGACTTCATGTTGATGCAGTTGATGGGGAAGATATATGCGGCGGAGAAGAGATGGGCGCGTCTTGCCATGTACCCCGCCATTTGTGCGACCCCGACGCGACAACGGCAGCGATGACCCTGCAGCATCAGCATGGTCATTAGCTTGACTGCTAGCTCGACAAAGATTTGTGGCTACTACCAACGCTTGTTCGCCAAAATACTTCGCAGTCATGTCCGTATTTGTAGCACACTCTGATGCAGGGTTATGGACACGTTCAAACCTACAGTAGATGTTGATTGGATAGAAGTCTCCTAGTAACAATAAAAAACGACCGAGGACTGTATAAGAAGCATATCAGCTCTATTGTATATTCTTATCTTGGCTACATGTAGTGTTTGCCGCACGCAAACAGGTCTCGCACCATCCTCCGAGTAACATATCCACTACGTACGCTAATGTTGTCAACCACACTTCGTAGAGAACCACCAGTGCCCCAAGAGCATATGTAGCCACTAAACTTACCTCAGTCGATGTTTTAAATCTTCATTCGACAAGATGCTAAGCCAAACACCACTAACGCCGTAAACTCCACCGCCGCCGCCGGGCACAACGTTTGCCCGTCCTGATGCGCGAAGGATCGCGGATGAATTATAGCGACTTTAGCTGGCGGCTGGGGCTTGTAGTCGGGGAGAGAGTTCGTCCGACAAGAATTGGGAGCAGGATATGGAGTGATGTTGCGTTTTCGATCGTGTATATAAGAACGATATCTTCATCTGCTTGAGCGACCATCAACGCAACGAAAAAGACAATTGTCACTATCACCTCAAGACACCACACCCAGCAAAGGACAGCACCAATCGACTTACTCACCATGTCTACCCCGACCACGAAATATATCTCCAAGCTGCGCGACCAGCGCGTACTCATTCTTGGAGGGACATCCGGGATCGGGTACGCCGTTGCCGAAGCCAGCATCGAACACGGCGCCTCTGTCATCCTCAGCGGCAGCAACTCCACCAAACTTACAAACGCTCTCGAGCGCCTACGCACAAGTTATCCCTCCGCCTCCGCCAGTGGGTACACATGCGACCTCTCCGACGCGGAAACATTGGAAGGCAACGTTGCGGCTCTCCTGGCCGCAGCCACCGACTCTGGCACCACCAAGCTCAACCACATCATCTTCACCGCCGGGGACGCCATCAACCTCGTGAATGTGCGCGACGCCACTGTCCCGGCTGTTCTACGCATGGCCAACGTGCGCTTCCTCGGGCCGTTGATGATTTCGAAGCTTGCACCGCCATATATGGTTCCCGGCCCCGGGAGCAGTCTTACCTTCACTGCTGGCGTCAACTACAAGCGCCCTGGCCCTCAGTGGGGGATTGCGGCGGCGTGGATCGCAGGCCTTGAGGGCTTGGTGCGCGGTATGACAGTCGATTTGAAGCCCTTGCGGATCAACATGGTGTCACCGGGGGCGATCAAAACAGAGATGTGGGATAGGATGCCGATGCCAGAGGAGCACCGGCAGAAGTTGTTTGAGATGACTGCTGCAGCGACGACGGTGGGAAGGATGGGAAGACCGGAGGATGTGGCGGAGGCGTATATCTATTTGATGAAGGATCAGTTCGCAACGGGAAGTGTCGTTGATTCTGAAGGTGGAAGACTGCTATGCTAGTTTAGTCATCGACTTATAAGCCCAGGCTTCTGTTATAGTTAATATTCTTCTGAAGAAAAGTAGTGTGTTGTTGTTGCAATGCATATTTGTTTCCACAACCATTCTGTTAGTGAGAAAGGTTGAGATCCGGGGACACTGGGAGTTAGAAGTAATGGCCATAAATCCGGCTGCTTTTACTATAAGTTCTTATCATTACGAGATTTTGTCGTATAGACAGCCACTCTTGATTCTGTCTTATACCTGCGCTGTGGTATTCGCTGATGCTGGTACACAAACGTTCTACCGGCCCATGCTGCTGATCATCTCGCGCTGCGTCGCCCTGTCACGGTTGGTTTCACTCAAAGGAGCGATGCCTAAAGTACACAGGTCAGCCTTGTTATGGAGTTGGAGTCCTATGAACATACTTCGCAGATCACCCACGACGTCCTTGGCCTTGCCAAAGTAGACTTCTTGCAGCAGGTTGCGCATCTTCAGTTCCATGTCCTCAACCATCTTGCCAATGTTGGCGACGTGAGAGGTGTCATCGTCAACCGGCATGTCCTGCTCAACCTGCCTGACCATGTTGCCACTCAGATCCATTGTGCCGAGGACCTCAGCGTCCGTGCCCAAGTTCAGGATGACGGTGCTGGTAAGCTTGTAGTGGGCGGTGCGCGCGCGGTCGAGGGCCTCGAAAACGTGTATGCTATCCCAACCACCGGAAGTCTTGTTGTTGGGAGAGACGGCTGCAATGCGTGTTAGTGGAGCCGTTTATGATCGGAGCGCGGGGTACTGGACCGCCCAAGGGGTATACTCACACTTCTTCAGCAGCACGCAGCCCGCAAAGCCGTCCTCCATATCCCAAAGGTAGACACTAGAGATACCGCCCTCGTAGTACCTGTTCGCGCAATGCCGTCAGCGACGCTTTCTTCCTCCTGGTTTCCGGCCAACCCCGCAATGCACCCCGCCAAATCAGACCGACTCACAAGTCTCTGTAGACATCAAACGCCTCGTTGGCGCTAACCTCCATCTTCCGCACACGTTCGCTGGGAACGACGCCCTCGCCGTCCTCAAGTGGCGGCTCAAACTCATTGCTCCACGGACTCCGCCAGCTGTCGCCATCCCGGTTGTAGTCGCAGCACAAGAAGTCGCGCTTCGACTTCGTGCAGCGCTTGACGGAGAGGGGCACATCGACGGACTCGAGCAGGTCTTCAGTCAGCGAGGGCGCGAGCTGGCACAGGCGGTCGACATTCTTGGCGGTGTCCTTAGGGTTAAGGCGGCGGAGGAGGTCGCTGCGCGGGACGTTAGTTTGGATCGTGAGCAGAGTGGGACAGCGAGCCATCTCACAGGGCACTGTCAAAAGGATCGGCGGAAGCCATTGTGGATACTGAGATGTGTGTGAGGGTTGCGGTGGTGGTGCTCTGGATTGTTGTCATGGAACGGTCGCTGTGAGCTGGGGGGCAGTCCCGCTGATCATTTCCCGTCTCGGGTATGTGGAGTAGCTCCAGCTCTGATCGAATGGTGGACATGACACCGATCTTCCACTGCACTTCACGAAAGTCGTTCAGACTTCATTCAGACTCCTTCGCGACAACATGTCCCACAGAGCTGATTCGTGGAATAGTTTATAACGGTGCTATCAGGGTTATTCGTTTGAGAGTTCACCTCACCTATCCTTGTCATATCAGCATTGTTGTTTACGCAGACTGTCTGCGTGTCTCACGCTTATAGGCACATTCCTGACAACACAGCTCAAGGAGCGAAAGGATTTGGCACAAGATGAAGAGCATGGAAAGATCGAGGATATTCGTATTAGCCATTATAACTACGGCATGGTTATACCGCACCAAGACGAATCGCGCAAAGTATAAACATGGTATCAAAACAAACCCCTCTCGGCTTCCCCAATTTCGTTTGACATTTTCTCATATCCTTCCATTGATATCGTCCCCCAAATATCCTCATGTGCCTACAGAGCAAAGGCAGCGATGAAAAGACCAGCAACACCTGCCATAGAAGCACCCATTTGAATGTTTCCGGCAGCACCTTCAGAGGAAGACGCAGCGGCAGCAGAGCCAGATGCAGAGCTAGACGCCGAGCCTGATTCAGATGAAGAGCCTGCACATTGACGTCAGTATCCAAATGAGAAAGCGGCTACCTATGTGACGACTCACCAGTACGAGAAGCAGTAGCCGAGCCAGAAGAACCGCTGCGGCTAGCGCTCGAGGAGCCGGTAGCGGTGGCAGAGGCAGAGGCAACGGAGTTGGCGCCCGCAGCTTGAGTGGTAGGAATCGAGCTGCCGATGGGGAAATAGGACGAGATGCAGGCTTGCTGGCAGTTGCCGTAGGCTTCAGCAGCAGACGGAGAGCCGTCACCCTGGTCGCACTTGGCCGCGCATTCGGTGGTGCGGTTGACCTGAGACTCGTCGGGGTGGGCAGTGCCGACACAATTGGCCTGGCAGTTGACGTCTCCAACGGAGCACTTGGCGAGGCAAGAAGCGGTTGGGGACAGGGAAGTGGTGGTGGAGCTGGCGTCGGTGGCGACGCTGCTAGCACCGAGAGCCGGAGCGGCGGTGAAAAGAGTGGCAAGGAGCAAAGCAGAGAACTTCATGGTGACAGGAAGATTGGGCAGAGCAGGAGCGACAGTGGTACGAGTATGTTGCGGATGGATGAAAAGTTGGGGCGGTGGGCGGGAGACGGGAGAAATATAAAGGGCACGGAATGCATAGAACCTTGGCCTAAAATAAACAGAAAACGAGCTTGTGAAACGGGAAGGGAGTACCGTGACGCCGTGCAATAAGCTCGTGGCAAGGGCAAGAGCAGTCGAGAGCGAATCCCCCAGCATATCACGCGCGGGCCTGCCCCAGACGGCCGAGTCCGTGCATTCGCCTTCATTTCCACTGCTGCAGGGGTCCGACCTAGCGCGTGAGACACAGACGATCCCGGCGCGTCACTTCGCGTCTCCCGACGTTGTGCTAGGTCTTCCAGCAGGCAGCACCACCTGAGCAAAGCAACACCACGCCACTCTCCAGAGCGCCTGTGTCTGCTTGCGCCGTCGTGATGCCTGCCACCCTGCCGACCTGATTCCCACATCGGCTCGCCACCGCACACTACTAGACATACTACTTACTGAAACCAGATCCCGAGGCCGATTCTCCGCGCCATCTGCCATTTTTCCGAAACCGAAGGCCTTCGTGCTAGAGTAGCATGCCGCCTCGGAAACGCATCGTCACCGTTCCAAGCAGCAGCGATGCGGAGGTCCCAATTCCCTGGTCGCCCAGCCCGGAGCGTGAGCCTCAGCCCAAACCCGTGGCAAAGCGCAAGCGAAACACGCGTAAAAATGCGGAGGACAACGACGAGGGCTCTCCTAAGAAGCGTAAGCGCGTCTCGCGCAAAACTCCGGTGGATCAAGACGAGGCTGCAAAGAAACCCAAACGGAACTCTCGCAAACGCCTAGACCCAAACCAAGAAGAGCTGGATTTCTTGGCAGAGGAAAAGAAGAAATCAAAATATCGTATTCACGAGCCCGATCGGGCTGCGGCTTTGGACGACATGTTCTTAACTCAGCTGCCACAGGATGAGTCGCCTCCATGGAAAATACGCGGTCCCGTGTGGCAAAAGCAAAAAAGCCAATCGCGACCTCCTCCGCCTCCCGTCTTCCAAAAACCACCGCCGAAACCCTCAACAAAGCCTTCAAGACCTTATTACGTTGAAAAATCACCGTCTGGGCCGCCTGTGCCTTCAAATCAATCATTTGGTTCCACATCTTTCAGTAAGCCGCCACCCAAGCCTCCAGCGACAACGGCGCATCTCCAGGAAGAACCCAGATCGCCAGCGAAACCTATAAATGGCATAGCTAGGCTGCCTTTTTTATACAGTTCACCAATCAGCCCTTTCAAGGACGAAGCAAACAGCATCGTTTTTAATAGTTCCCCTCCTAGCCCTCAGGTTTCTGTCCGCAGTGGGACCGTATCCCACAACATTATCTTGTCTCCTAAGAATAAGTCAAACGACATTGAAAAAGATGTCTTTGTAGATGAAGCTGTGCCTTCTTCTTTACCAAAGCGACCAAAACCAGTGCAAGATATCCCTGTCGTCGAGATTGACGACGACGACTTTGATGACAGTGTCATGTTTACTCCTCCATGCGCGAAACCAGAACAAACAAAAAATCCCCCGGTGCGGTATGTGTTGTTAATCTTGTGTTACTCTGTCCGCAGAATACTAAAAGGCATGTAGGGGTAATGCTGCGGATAAGCTCGTTCCAAATGGTGTAACGGACCTTATAGACGATTCCTTTGGAGACTTTTTGGAAGATGGCATTGAAGATTTTCTCCCATCGGTAGCTCTAAATCATCCGGCCAATGGTTGGCCAACGGGTGACGCCCCTCCTTTGCGGTAAGTAATGTTTTTAGCCGAATTTACCCAAATCTCTAAGTTGACGATATGAAGGAACACTCCAACCTATGACGTTGAGAAAGAACTAGCAGATCTTCCCTCAGACGCCTTTTCATCATCCATGTCTTCATCATCCCAAAATAGATTGGAGGATGGCGCGGTCGACGACCGTTGTATCTCGCCACAAACTGACGTTGTGCAATCGAGGCCGCAGGCCCTTGCCGCGCCGCTTACCGGGCTTCGGCAAACCACGCTTTTTGGGAATGCAGGTGCACCAATTGCATCGTCTCAGGTTAATAAACGCCACAACTGGCCGCTAGCTAACCGGGAAGAACCCCCGACTCATCACAAACTAGATCTCGAAGCTATGAAAACCTGGGTGTACCCCACAAACCTTGGCATTATACGAGATTATCAGTATAACATTGTCCACCGTGGTCTCTTCCATAACCTCCTTGTTGCTCTCCCCACGGGCCTTGGAAAGACGTTCATTGCCGCTACCATCATGCTCAATTGGTTTCGGTGGACGAAAGATGCACAAATTGTCTTCGTCGCTCCGACAAGGCCTTTAGTAGAGCAGCAGGTTGAGGCCTGCCTTGGCATTGCTGGAATCCCTCGGAGAGAAACGGTAATGCTGACGGGCGAGGTATCACCTGCGATACGAGCAGAAGAATGGGCAAGTAAACGCGTCTTCTTCATGACGCCGCAGACCATAATAAATGATCTCAAGACTGGCTACTGCGATCCGAAGAAGATTGTACTTCTCGTCGTTGACGAAGCCCATAGAGCAACGGGAGCCTATTCTTATGTTGAGGTTGTCAAGTTCATGAGACGTTTTAACAATAGTTTCAGGGTATTAGCTCTCACTGCTACTCCGGGTGCGGACGTTGAGACAGTTCAAAAAGTCATCGACAACATGGAAATCTCCAAAGTCGAAATACGGACAGAAAATTCTCTCGACATACAGCCATTCATCCACAAGAGAAGCATCGAAACCAAGGTTTTCCGCAACAACAAGGATATGCTCATTTGCATGGATCTCTTCACTAGGGCAGTGCAACCTGTTCTGGATAGGCTGAACCAGCAAAATGCATATTGGGCCAGAGATCCCATGAAGCTCAGTAACTACGGCGTCAGTCAGTCCAGGACCAAATGGTTTCAATCTGATGCTGGGCGCAAGGCGTCTCAACCCTTGAAAGGCATGGTCGTGGCACTGTTCGCAGCTCTGCAGGGTCTGTGCCACGGAGTCGATCTGCTCAAGTACCACAGTATACGACCCTTCTACCAGGCGCTCATCGATTACAAGAACAATGCCAGCAAGAAGTACCAACGCGAGATCTCTGACAGCCCACACTTCGAGAAGTTATTGAGTACGTTGCGTGAACGGACTGCAAATCCGGATTACATGGGCCATCCAAAATTGGAATGCCTTCGACAGGTGATCCTCAACCATTTCATGGATGCCGGTGAGACTGGGCCGCCGCGCGAAGGGCACGATTCACATACGAGAATTATGGTTTTTGCGCAGTGGAGAGATAGTGCGGAAGAGATTTGCAGAGTACTAAAGCTGAACGAGCCGATGGTTCGACCGCATGTCTTTGTCGGCCAAGCAGCGACGAAGAAATCAGAAGGTATGGTCCAGAAACGCCAGAAGGAAGTCGTGGAGCAATTTAAGACGGGTGTCTACAACACATTGGTGGCGACATCAATCGGCGAAGAAGGACTCGACATCGGCGAGGTCGATCTCATTGTTTGCTACGATCAAGGAGCATCTCCCATCCGCATGTTGCAACGCATGGGTCGTACGGGGCGAAAGCGTCAGGGCAAAATTGTGCAGTTGCACATGGAAGGAAAAGAACAGACTGACTCCGAGAAATCGTGGGACTCCTACAAGAGGATGCAAGAAAAAATTGCCAGCGGAGACGAGTTCAACTTTCACGACGACCTCGCACGGAGAATTGTGCCAAAGGAGATCCAGCCGGTGGTGGACAAAAGGTTCATTGAGATTCCGATTGAGAACACGCAGTTGGATTCCGTTGAACCAAAAAGGCGAAAGGCTGCCAAGCGGCCGCCGAAAAAGTTCCACATGCCGGATGGAGTCCGCACGGGCTTCACATCAGCATTGCGGATGGGCGATGACGATGATGATGCGGCAGAAGGTCGACCTCGCGCAAGGACGAAAGCGAAGAAAGCGGATCCTGGGAACGAACCGGTACCTATAGTGACACTGGAGGAGGTGACGCTCAGTAAAAAAGAATTGAGCAAACTCGAGCGGCTATATCAAAACATCCTCGACACCGACGATGATAAAGAGATTACAACTCCATTGTTGCATAAACACCCCGAGCGTCAACGGCGAAAGGGCAAGACGAGGTACTTGGCCGGCCACGGTAGGCTCACAAAAGCGTTCATCTGTATGGTTAACCGCATGCACGATGTGGACGAGGCTCGCGTAAACGAGTTTAGAAGCAATGTGCACATGTCCGACATTGAAGACGGCGCATCAGCAGACGACCTGTCTGAAGCCGGCATGGAAGACATTGAAGAGGAAGCAGAGGCATTCTATGAGACGCCAGCACACTCTCGGTTCCGCGTAGACATGGTAGGCGAGGGAGAGGAGAGTAGCCCGCCGCCCACAGACCCGCGGATGCGCATCCGCTCTCAGGGCATCACGCTCGGGACATCGGACACGGAGGGCGAAGACGAGATGGAGGACTACCGGCTCGACTCGGAACTCGCGGACTTCATTGTCGACGACGAGGAGCAGACACGGGCGCCGAGCTCATCACTGCCGTCAATCCAGTACAGCTCGAGGAAACCGTCTCGGCTTTCTAAGGTGCAGCGAGTGGAGTCTGACTCGGACGATGATGATGAGCTGCCAGACATTAGTTCGCTGGTACAACGGAAGAAGAGCCCGGTTGGGCGAGAGACGGTGGTTGTGGATAGCGATGAAGCAGAGACGACACGGCGGCAGCAGAAGAGGCGACGTATGGTAGTTTCAGACAGCGAGAGCGAATGACAAACTCATGATTGGGGAATCTGGACTCTGGCAGGTGGCAGTGACATTTATGCTCTGACCCCTTGTCTCAACAGCACGCATGCGAACAGGGCCCGTGCGCAGATCAACTTACCGCGGAAGTCGAGCAGTGCACCGCTGCGGCCACAACATCTTCAGTTCCTGACCGACCCGCGGGAGATGGTGCAAGAACGGCCCCATCTGCTCCTCCTGCCGCCCGCCGCCTTAGCCTCTCTTCTCCAACCTCTGCCCGAGCCCATCCCGCTCTTCCTCCCTCGCAACAATGGCCGCCGCCGCCGCCGCGAATCATGGACCAGCGCTGCTTGACTCGAGAGGTGAGTTCCAGCCCGGCCAAGCCCTCTCCTCCTCTCATCCGGGCGGGAGGGACGAGGGTTTTCAGCCGGCGCCCATTCCTGCAAAGAAACACGCCCATGCTAACCGCAATGTCTTCGCAGGCCTGTCCGCGCCGTCATGGTCTGAGATACCATACGAATTCCTACGAGCGGAGCTGCACCGCCGGCAGCAGGACGGCGCACGTCCGGCATGCGGGTCGGCTCGTAAGGGGACGTATAACACACCGCTGCACGTCTTCGCGCTGGTATTAATATTGGTGTTGAGCACGCTGGGTAAGTGGGGGAGAGAGGAGCGCGCGGGGCCGCAAGACACCGGTCCATAACAAGGCAGGATAGGCTAACGCGTACGCACAGCATGCTCATTCCCCATCATCGTTCGCCGCTTCCCAAGCCTGCCGGTTCCACACCACTTCTTATTCTTGTCGCGGCATTTCGGCACAGGCGTGCTGATCGCGACGGCCTTTGTGCACCTTCTCCCCACGGCATACACTTCACTGACGGACCCGTGTCTTCCGCCATTTTGGAATGATGGATATCCTGCCATGGCTGGTTTAATCGCCATGTGCTCGGTGTTTGTGGTCGTTGGTATCGAGATGTTCTTTGCGTCGCGCGGCGCCGGACACGTACATGGCGGAGACGAGCTATTTCGCGGCGAGGGCGACGAGCACAAACATCATAGCGGAGCGAATGGGCGGCCGCGCGGGCACGGGCGCAGTGGGAGCTACAATCGGTTCAGAGCGGAGGACGACGATTTTGAGAGCCGGGGCGCGAGCCGCGGGTTGAACAATCTCGACACGCCGGGCTCGTCCGATAATCTGGTTGAGGGCGTATCGCCGCTGGTGGAGGAGACGCCGGGCTCACCACCGCGTGGCAGCAGGCACAACAGGAACACGCAGGACGAAGGCGAGGACAGCGACTCGGACCTCGAGCTGCCCGAGCTCGACACGGCCGACGAGTCCGGGCTGCTGAATGGACAGCGCAACACCAAGTACCAGCACCGGCACCAGCGCAGCAGTACCGACTCGCGGCGCGCACTCGCAGCACTCGACCCCCTCGACTCATCCGGTCACTCGCCCTTGAGCCCGCACCAGCAGCAGCAAAAACAGCTCTTGCAATGCCTGCTCCTCGAAGCCGGAATCCTCTTCCACAGCATCTTTATCGGTATGGCCGTCTCAGTCGCGACGGGGCCGCCCTTTCTCGTCCTCCTCGTCGCCATTTCCTTCCACCAAACGTTCGAAGGCCTAGCACTAGGCTCGCGCATCGCAGCGCTAGCATTTGGCGCGCGCTCGCCGAAGCCGTGGTTTATGGCGCTGGCATACGGGACGACGACGCCGATCGGGCAGGCCATCGGGCTCGGGATCCACAACCTGTACGACCCGGCGAGCGAGACGGGGCTGCTGACGGTGGGCATCATGAACGCGGTCAGCTCGGGCTTGCTGCTGTTTGCGGGCTTGGTGGAGCTGCTGGCCGAAGACTTTTTGAGCGATGCTAGCTACGAGGTTCTTCGAGGGAAGAGGCGGCTGCAGGCGTGCGCGAGCGTGGTCGCGGGCGCGGGTCTGATGGCGCTGGTGGGTGCTTGGGCGTGAGCGCGCTTGTTATTCGTCACTGTCTCTCTCTTGTTACGAAGATATTTCATTGTCTGGCTGCCTTGGGGTGCAGTCTCCCTCTTCTTCTTTCCGAGGGCTGGAAAATAAAGATGGGGCTGGGCGCATAGGGCTGGCGTTATGTTCTTCTTCTTCTTACTTTCCTGCCAGGCTTGCCTGCACTGTTTTTATTACTGCCGCGAGCCTGCTGTTTTGAACTACATACCTACCTACCTACCTACCTAAATGCTTGTATAAGCGCCGCTCCAAGAAGCGGCACCAGCTGGATGCTAGAGGCATTTATTCATGCTGCCTACCTCTACCTACCTACCTACTACCCCCATACTTATATAGTTAGTGCCTAAAGAAAGAATGAACCAACCAACCTTTCCGCAAACTATCCACGATAAAAAATAACAATAACAATAACCTCACCGTATATCAGATATCTAAACACACAATCGCCCTACCCAGGTCCTCACCTGCCCTAACGCCCGCCCAACCACACGCTAGCCCCCCCGTATTCCCACGCCTATATCTATATTTACTTACACACTACCACGCACTACCATCAGCCACGCTAGTCCCCACCCCACTCCCCGTATCCGTATGCATGCACCCCAGGACCCTTGGTCTCCAGAGCACACACATCTGGCACGTGTCCGGGACCCGCAAATATAAAGGCTAGCGCTAGCATCCACCCTGCGCTAGCAGGCTAGAGCCTAGGTGTTGGGTGCTATTTTTTATTTTTTTTATTTCCAGTGGGTCCGTGTGTCCGGACGTGCCTGGCGCTAGCTAGCTAGCTAGCTAGCCGTGGACCCTGAAGAATTTGGTCGACGGAAGGTGAGGCAGTCAAGGCGCTCTGAATTCGAAATAAGCGTGACTATGGATGGTATGTCTACAAGGTCGTGTGAAGTGGACTGAGACAATACATACCTACGGATTGCTTCTTAGCTGGACCTGGGGCCTGGGTTTTGCGAAGGGGTGAAGTGGTGCCTGAAGATATATGTAGGCCATCTCCATTTCTGGGAATGTTGTTCAAGCTCACCCATATTTGCACCCATACTTATACCTGCCCGCATAGCTGCATTCTCATGCCACGGCACGCAGCACAAGTCCAAATTCGCCCAACCAAGCCAATGAAAGGCCGGTTGCTCAATTCGATTCGATTCAACCCCAATTAGCATTACCCCATCCAATCCGTCCATCCATCCGTCCATCCATCCATCCATCCATCCCGCTGTGCCTTGCTCCTTTACAAACGAAACACACCCGCACACGCACACACACGCGCGCGTGCCATGCTATATATGCTATACAGTGTGCAACGACGTATTATACCCACCTCCCGCCCACGTAGGTTTCTGTTATGCATACCACGCAAACAAAACGACACGCCAAGGGAACAAGCCACCCGCATTAGAGTAGTGAAGCCGGGCCAAACACACAAAAACAACGACACGACGAAAGAAGCGACAAGCGACGATAAAAAGCATGCAAGCAAGCAAACAAGCGCGCGCTGCAAAATGCCAATGCGAATACCCACGAAAATGACAGTGATGCCGATGCTGATGCAACCGCTACGTGATGACGAGACCGTCGTGCTGGGGAAGAACCTTTCTCCCAGCCACGACAAAATGCATGCATGATAGATGCTAAGGAAAACCTTATGACAAGAGAAACCGGGGTCGTGCTATTGTATGCACACAGACCCCACCAACCACGTTTTGCGCCGGAACCCTGACCACCCAATCACTCGACCGACCCACCTGGATGAGGCTGCTATGCAAGAGAACTGAAAACAGGAGAGAGAAAAAAAAAAAAAAAAAAAAAAAAGAGAGAGCCCGAATGGGGAGAGTGGACTAAGGAAAAGAGATACCAAGGAAAGGAAGTGAGGAGGTATAGGCAAGGAAAAACAGTATAGAAGGAAAGAAAGAGAGAGAGGTAGGTATGATAGACAAGAAGGAAAACAACAACACAACCACCGTCACTGCTTTTTTTCGGCGAACAACACGCCTGGCTCACTTAGTACGCGCCCGACTTCCTGTGGCCCTTCTGTCCGCGTCCGCTCCGATCCCAACTCGCGCCATACGCCTGCTGCTGCATCTGAGGCGACTGCTGCATCTGACCCATGCCCATCTGCTGCTGTTGAGGCATCTGCATCTGCTGCTGGGGCTGCATCTGCGGGAAGTATCCGCCCTGCTGGCCAAAGCCCATCGGCGTGGTAGCAGTCGGCGTGGGCGTCGTTGCGCCCATCATGGCGTACTGCAGCTGTAGCTGGTTCTGCTGTGCTTGCTGCTGGGCCACCAACAACTGTTGCTGCTGCCAGATCTGCTGCTGTTGCGCCTGCTGGATTTGCATCTGCGCTGCGCGCTGTTGGGCCGCTGCGTGGGCGCGGGCCTGCTCCTGGGCCGCCTGATGCTGGCGAGCGGCAATAGCTTGCTGCAGCAGGGCTGAGCGCGAGCCCGACTTGAGATCAGCCTTCTCCTTCTCACGTGCGGCAATGGCGCCCACCAGGCCCGTCTTGTCGCGTGGTTCGGACTTGGGGTCTTTGGCGTGGTGGTTGGCGTGGTTGTCGGTCATGTTGAGCAAGGGTGTGCCGGTAGCGCGGGCGATTTCCTGCTGCTCGCGGGCGGAGAGGGTGGCTGATTCAGCATTGATAAGCAGGCCGCCCTGGGGCTGAGTGAGCAGCAGGGCCGAGGGGCTGCGGGAGTGGGTGCGGGAGTGCGGGCGGAGCGGGGGCGTGGCTCCGGCGGCGGGGTCGAGCATCATGGCGCTGGGGGTGCGCGAGTGGGATCGATCTACAGGTAGCATGGCGCTCGGGGTACGCGAGTGGGAACGAATTGGCAGCGGGGTCGAGGCATCACGCTGGTGATGGGCAGCAGCCGCAGCAGCACCGGACCAGTCGCCCGAAGTGGTGCGCGAGATGGGCGGCGTGTCGGACTTTCCGCGAAGGTGCTGGCCGTGGCCGAAAACGGGCGTGGCGGCCTGGGCGGCCCGCTGCTGGACCCAGTCCTCCGGGTTCAGGGCCATGGCCGCACCAGGACTGGCGCTTCGCCGTCCGCTCGCGGGCTGCCAAGCAACGCTACGCCGGTTGTCGCTACTGTTGGGTGAGCGTGAGTGCGCACGACCGTGGTCCACCGGGCTGGGACTGGTGCGGCGGGCATCGTCACTCCCCTTGGACTTGGATCGCTCGTGCGAACCCGTCATGGAGCCACTGGTCCCAGGGCGGCCACTCGACTTGGTCAAGTCATACGTCGGCCCAAAATCGATGACTGGCAAATCAATTGATTGCGCTGGCTTATCCTCCTTGTAATTGGCATCCCCGACAACTACTTCCTTGGCCGGCGGAATGTCTCCCACTGTCTTCAGCCGGCCAGTTCGAGGCTTGTCCACCGATATCCTCTCACTTTTCACGCTAGGGCTCTTGGTGCTCGCGTAGTCGGGCGTGCGGCTCCCCGACGACTCGTCGTCGTAGATGCTGCTCGCCATGGTTTGTGCTCGCTCATACTCATCCCGAGCGGCCAGCTGGCTCAAAATCATGTCAGGATCGATTACTTCATTTCGCAAACTGCCAAGACTTGAACCAGATGGGGATGCAGGGGAGGCGGCGTTGTCCGCCGGAGGAGGGGTATTCAACCGACCTGGAACTGGTTTACGCTGAATGGCATGGCCTGGCGACAGTCCGGCGGACAACTGGGTGTGCTCCCCAGCCTCAAGAGACCGCCGATCGGCCGCAGACTCAGCTAGCACGTCGTGGTGCGGAAAGTAGCCAGGCTCTCGGTGCTCCGGCACAGGCGGCCCGGTCGGCGCAAACGTGCCGCTGGTGGCTGAGAGGGGCTCGCCCTGCGCAATGAAGGGCGACGCCGGAATCGTGGGCAGACGCTCGTTGTGCTGAGCCCATTGGTTGTGGCTTTCATCGATGGATCGACGGCTGGAGTGCATCTGGTGTCCTCTGTCGTTGCCCCGCTTGTTGCCAGCCCACGCGGCCGCGCCTCCAGCTGCGGCAGCGTTGGGTGACAGACCCTGGCTGTTCGCCTCGTTCATTTCCTGCAGGGTGGCTTGATCGATCTCCGATTGGGCACGTCGCAAATCCGGGAACTCGCCGGGTTGCGTGCGGGGCCTTTCGCCGGGGGCATGCGAAAATGCTGGAGGGCTAAGCACAGCGCTCGGCAATGGTTTTGCGGCAGCAACACCACCAACCTCAGGCAACTCGTTGCGGTAGTCTCCCTCGTCGGGCGTGGAATAGCCATCACTACCCGCAGTGTCGTAGTTCATGCCGTTCAACGCAAAGCGATGAACAGGTAGCGGTGGAGGGTTCTCGTCGTCATAGTTTTCGTCAATTCTGTTACGACCTAGTCGCGCTGGCATGTTTGCTTCCGACACCGAGCGTTGGTGCTTCATGATACCTCCGTTCGGCATCGTAGCCATACGACGGGGCGAGTTGAAATCTAGTTGAGCGGGCGAGCCATGACGCGTGGTTGGCTGCGAGTGAGTGGAGTCCCCGTCGTTGAACCTAATCGATGTCGTCCGCGAAGGAGGCAGGCTCGTCCGGCTGAAAGTGTTGCGGCGGGTTTTTTGACCTCCATCTTCGCGTACAGTGGCGATGCGCTTAGAAGTGAGGTCCTTCATCTGCTTCCTCCACTGCCTCTCGCTCCAGCCCTGACTGCCGTCCGTGTGGATGAGACTGGCAACGTCCAGAATATCGAGGTAACCGTACCGCCTGTCTCTCGGCATGGCGAACATCAGACTGCGGGAATCCATAGGATCAGCCACCAGGCGCTGCGGTCTGCCGTAGAGCGCAAAAACATCGAACACGGGGAACAAGAAGCGAAGCATCATCTCGAAGCCAGAAACGGCTGGGTGCACCTCCGGCATTACGAAGACAAAACCTTCGGTCGTGGACTCGGGGCTTGAGTGAATGGTGATGCGGCCTTCCACCTTGACCAGAGTTGAAGCGTCGATGAGCGGCTTGGAGTGAGGGTAGACGGCATAAGCCGAGTAGGCGTCTGTGATGGTTGCGATCGGGCGGGTCTTCTTGTTGACCTTCCTGGTCTCGTAGAACCTGATAACGCCCTTGACAATCGGAGTCGAGCGGTCATATGCGCTCTGCTTCTTCATGGCCTTCTGGACCTGCTTGACTTCCTTCTCATCAGGTGGCGTGATGACGCACCAGCAACGTCTCCAAGGCGTGCCGGCGCCGAAGCGCACTCTCGCCCAGTCCTCCCACTTCCACTTCATCTTCTCCATGATGGGGCGGATGTTGTTCAAAGTCTTGCCCTTTCCGGCAATAAGCGAACCTGTGTAGGCTTCCTGGAGCGTGGCGTGCTCGAACATGGCAAGGCGGATGCCAGCGGTCCATTGCGTCAGCGAGTTTAGCGAGTTGAAGTGGAGGAGGTAGCGGTTGCTCGCGGCTGTGGAAACACTCAGGACGTTGTTCAGCGTTTGACCTTCGTTGCCGTTCATGGGCAGAGACTCGATCTTGGAACAGTCAGATTGGCATCCGTTAGTCTAGAGCGCACCGTGGCACGGCTTACCATCTTGATCGAGGCATCTGCCAGATTAATAAAGGTGGGAATGACCTCGCCGTCCTGGCCAGCCTCGTCCAGCTTGTGGGCGTCCCACAGCGAAAGGACGGTTCCCACGAGCTGCGCGAAGCACTCGGTCCATGTCCGATCAACGCTTGGACGACCACCTGCGTCGCGTCGTCAGCTCCAACAGAGAATCGGGGTAGGAGGAAAAAGGCAGACGTACGGACGTCCAAGTCATGGAGCTTGAGGAAATAGCCTTCCTGGTAGAGCTTGTTGGAGTGGCTGTTGAGGAAGATGAAGATGGGCTGCAGCTCGGGCGGCGTGTCGGAAGCGACCTCCATGACGGGAGGATGGTAGGTCTGCACCATGGAAATGGGGCGCGACGAGGGCCGTGAATCGGCCCTGGAGCGCTGCTTGGAGGTTGGAGACGACTTGGGCGGCTGGGCGAGGGGGGCTTGTTGCGGCGGCGGCGGCGGCGGGAGCGCGGGCGTGGTATTAGAGGGAGTCGCGGCCTTGGGGCTGCCGCTGCCCCATTGCGACATGAAGGAGAGCACTGCAAGGGAGCGTCAGTGGGACTCGGCGCGTTTGCATGCGGCGGAAGGCGGGCCTACCCCGCGGGCGAGGCATGCTGAGCTTTGCACGACCTGAGGGGGTTGCTTAGGAGCAGGTGGAATGGGCGACGAGGCGGCGGCGCATGGGACGAGGGTTTTGGTCGGAACGGGAGGCTTGGAGGGGTGGGCTGAGACGGGCGGAATCAGGGCAAGGCAAGACAATGGGGAGACGGGCTTTGGTGTCTTTGATTCTTAAATACGAAGGGCTCGCGCTGACGCATCCGGGATGGAGGCGCGCATTACGTCTCCCGAGCGAGGCCCAATCAGGCCTGGCAACGCGGGCTATTCTGGGCGGGAGATCCAGGCGGCGATCCGACAGGGATGATTGGGGAAGGACGAGGAGAAGGAAGAAAAGACTGTCTGGACGGTGCACCCTGCTGATGCACTACAGCCCTCAGTGTGGTTACGCGGTACGTCCGTAATGCTTTTTTTTCCCTCCATCTTCTTTTGTGTTATTGCCTCCGGCTCTGTACCACTATATCCGCAGCCCGCACAGCCTCCTCGCACTTTCTACCGCCGGCACGTTTGCCCTCCCAAGCCCAAGCCCGTGCTCGCCGCGAATACGGCCCGGTAGCGCTGACTACCTTAGCCAGCCCTGACCACCAAACGCCCCCAACTCTTTCAGCTGCGCCGACGCGACCTCACGTTTTCCCAAGCTGCCCGCTGCCTACCACCACTGCCACTCAAGTCCCCAATGGTCTCCTCCTCCGCCTCCAAGCAGCGCCGCACCCCGCGCCATTCCTCCGTCACTGACGCCCGTCGCGACGGGTCTCTCAGCAAGGAGCCCACTCCCGCCGCTTCCTCAAAATCGCCCGCCGCCGGCAATTCCGAGGATAAAAATGGCGACCAACCGAGCGCCGGTCAGCTCGACTGGACAAAGTTCAAGCGCGGCTTCACCGTTAAGAACTGGTCCGCGCGCGACGAGGCCGCCGCCGCCCCCAAGAACTCCAAGAAGCGCCGGAGGAGCAGCCTCAGCACTGGCCGCGAGCCCCTCCTAGAGGAGAACCCTTTCGATCGCAACCTCGACACCTATTACAAGGTCGAGCCGGTAAAGTGGTGGAATGACACCAAGCGCTACCGCAAGTTCACCAGTGAGTCTTCCTTGATCCTACTACGCGTCCTTGTGCTGATTGACACGCGCCTCGCAGTCGCGAACGAGACGTTCCGCCTAGGTGAAACCGTCTTTGTACAGGGCCATGATCCCGGAGTCGAGCCAGCCAACTGGGTGGCCAAGGTATTGGAGGTGCGCGCCGCGAACGAGCTGAACGTGTTCCTGCGCGTCTACTGGTTCAATAGGCCTGAAGATCTGCCAATGGGGCGACAGCCACACCACGGACATAATGAGGTCATCGCGACCAACACAATGCAGATCATTGACGCGTTGACCGTCAATGGCAAGGCCACGGTGAAGCATTGGAAGGAAACTGACGGCGAGGAAATTCTGGACGAAGATACACTGTTCTGGCGACAGACTTTCGACTGCCCGGCCGGAGGGCCAGTTGGCACGTTATCGGTACGTACCCGCGTTGCTTGGTTCGTAAAGAAAAATAACACCGATGCCTAACCAGCCTCTTCGAGTAGGAAATTCGCACCCACTGCATCGATAACAAGCCCTACAATCCCGACAGCACCCTCGTTTACTGCGTCAACTGCGAAAAGTGGCTGCACGCCGAATGCGTCGCCAATGATGTCCTCGTAAAAACATACGAAGAGCACAATATGGTGGTACCCAGCTCGCTGAAGCGGAACGACGTAGGAAACGACGCCCTGCCCGTCGCAGCCAAGGGAACCGCGACGCCCAAGTCCAAAACGCCCAAGAAGACCAAGGGCAAGAACAGCACGCCAAAGGTCACAGATAATGACGCGGCGGAAGAGGAGGAGCCAGAGCAAGCATTTTCAGCGGAAATCCGGATAGATAAAGGTGAAACGCCAAAGGTCCTGGTCACGGATGCGCGCAATGGCAAGAAAGAGGTCACGGAGAAACCGGTCCATTGCCTTTTCTGCAAGAATGTGGTCGCCTGAGCATTCGACCCGTCCATGCTCTACTTGGTTAGTTTCAGTCCCCTGTGTGTTTTATTGTTTTCTTTGGTTGCTGCATTATATCCTCTTGCACGCTCTCCCTGCTCCCGCGTGGGGGGCGCCTTTCGGATCCGAGGAAGCATTCTCTTGTCCCCATGTTTGGTTAAAAGTATTTTTATTCAAAGGCGTAGTTGGGTGTTTGGTAGCGCATACTGCCACAAATTTTGTTTAGCACGGCAGATGTGTTGAATACAACGCGCTTGAGCGTTGACCTTGTCGTTGGCGCCGACACTGTTATTATCTTTCCTTATTAGCGGTGCTCACGGAGGATCTAAAAGGCGACGACGTGGAGGTTATGATGAGCATGATTCGACGGAAAGGCAGGTATTCAGGCAGGCCATAGCGCTTGTCTACATACCTAGCTGTTGAGGCGGAGAGTGATGCACACAGCGTGCTGCAGCTCTTGGATTAGATTGGAGCTTAGATCTGGAACGATCCGATCAGGGCAAAGAAGTTGGAAAGGGAGAGGTAGGTAGAGGCGAAAGCAGACCAAAAAGAAACAACAGGAAAAGGAGAAGAGAAGCAGGGAAGAGGAAGGATTTCTCAATAACAGTAGTAGTAGTGATATCCGAACTAATGCCAACGTTATATCTTGGTGCATGTTCCAGCCGCATATTATGCATATTGTTATTCATTGCGGGTAGGACGAGGGATGGAGAGGTCGGAGTTTAGGAAGACAGTGAGCGACTGCAGAAGGGAGAGAAGAGAGAGGCTCATCCGGCTTACCTCTTTCGTCTGCCTAACTGCCTCTGCATCTTCACGCAACATGCATATGCACACGCAAATGCACATCTCGACACATGATCATGCTTGTCCATTATCTGCACCCACACCTGCACGACAACAATCACGGCAACTGTAGCGGGCTTCATCCCAGATCTTCATCTCGCTACTACGTCGGGAAGGAAGAGACGTTGTTGCAATCTACATACACCCGCGAATGATATAATTAGTTGCGAATGAAAGTTCTGCGTCTGCACAAGAAGTGATCTGTGGGGAGCGCGAAGAAGGCACCACAACCCCTCGTGAGTAATTTCGCCAACTGCGAGCGCGGCCTTTAGATCTGCCTACGGAGTAATCTGTAGGGAGCGTTGTAGAGGCACTGCAACCATATCTACATGCTCCTAGTAGTTATGAATACAAGCTCTGGGTCTGCATAAGAAATGATCTGTAGGGAGCGTTTTCAGCTACTTACGGGACTATGTACGTATGGTTGCGAGTATCGTCAATACCTAAATCCAGAGTTACTTGACATGCTTTGGCTTCTGCGGAGCACCGCTCACTGTGGGGATATGAATGATAATATCTCTCTTCCTCCGACCGTAATAGGCCTATGAATCATGATTTCTTGCAACGAAAATCGTTGTGTACTGTCAAGATCCAGCTTGGGCACCGTAGGATTGCCATGACCGGTTGGATGTATGTGATATCTGACATCTATAGCTATGCAATATCGTCTCTCTTTTTCTCTCTCATCTTCCTCTCTACATGCTACCATCATCATCCTAGTCGTTATCGTCATCACCCCCAACTCACACCATACACGCACATACCCAAACAACTTCTCTAACAGAACCAAGCGGAATCGAGGGCCGAGCACCACGCATGAACGAGACAGCAAACGACAAGGAAGCGTAATGTAAAATAAAACAAAGCGCTTGGTTTCTCCTTCTTTCCTTTGCTAACGACGATAATAACAACGACATGGAAGCAACAGCAAAAAACAGCAATAATGACCAATTGACTTCGATGCGAGATAACAATACAATGACAGGACAATGACAACAAAGACAACAACAGCATCGACAGTAACAAAACAAGAACAGCGTCCAACTGCCTAACTATCCCACGTCCACCTCGCCGTCTACCCAACCTTCCTCCTACAACGTCGACGGCACGACGACGGCGACGACGACAGATAGAGATGAAAGAAAAAGAAAAAAGATATACAACCAAGCGAGCTAAGCTAGGGCTAGACTAACCAAAGCCTAAGCTACGTAGAGTAACCAATGCAAACGGCCTAACCAACGCACGAACAAGGCAAGCAAACAAACATGATCAAGAAAGAAGCAGCAAACAAGCAGAGCGTCACTGCCATGGCCATCACCATCATCAATTGCAACCACATGGCCGGGCAGCCAGCCAGATCCCACCACCTCTCCAGCAGCGCACCGCCACACCACCCACCACCCCTCCGCCAATGCTCAGGGTCCAGAGTCCGGTCCCTCCCGCTCATCACACCAAGCCCCACCCGCCCGTCACCCGCGCCCGATCTGAGTCGCGCGCCGTGCCGTCGGGCAGCAAGGGCTTGAGCAACGGAACTGGAAAACGCGGGAGCGCCTCGCCCGGAAAACGCGGCGCACAAGCTGGTCGATGCCGCGGGGCGGGGCTGGAAGCGACATGAGCGACGAGGCGAGCTGTCCGCTCAGATAAATTGCGTGCGGAGATTGCATGGGGGGAGGGGCAGCGCGGGGCGCGTTTTCGTGAGCGTGCGTACGCGCGTGCGCCGCGAGATTTGCTCGCTAGTGGCGGCTGCGGGTCGACGATGGTGGCTATGGTGATGGTAGTGGCGCTGGTGGGGGCGGTCGGCGAGGCGATGCGGGGAGATTGCGTTCTATGAACTTGAGTGACGATGCGGTGATTGTGGTAGTGATGATACAGGAGAGGAACACAGATGGCAGGTTGGTTTGGTTTGATTTGGTTTAGGAGGGGTTTCTAGGCCGTCTCGTCGTTCCATTACGATTCGATGTCGCTTCGCGCAAAGGGTATATTTTCCAAAAGAGGGGGGCGATGGTCGGTGGTAATGGTAGAAGTGGTGGCGGCGGAAACAGTAATGGTCAGTCGAAGTTGACTTGCTGAAATTGACGGGACTTTTAGACAGTGGTAGTGATGAGAGTAACACCTCTCCTTGCATATGGACGCGGGTTTTTGAAGGGCGTATTCGGAACGTATGAAACACTTTTTTCAAGACGCTCCCGTGTGAATCGTGGAAGCGTCGATCAGCGAGAGTAGCGAAGTGCGATGCGGTTAGCTTGAAGGCAAACGTGACGAACGAAGGAGAAATAAGAGAAAGGAGAAGAAAGGAGCGCATGGCTACGGCCACCAGCCCATGCGCTTGTAGCTTTCTATGACATCCTGAATCTCGTCCTTGTTGAGAAGGGGATGCTTGAGCCTGTGGCGCAGAATTCGTCAGCCAAAAACCCGGTCCACGAAACACAACAAAAAGATGGTGAAACATACTGAAACCCAGTCTCCTGCTCAAACAGGCTGCCGTCCAGGGCCAGGTCCGTGTCCTTCAGCAGCTCCTTCTCCATGAAGGGACTCAACGGGCTGCTCTTGGAAATGCCGGCCTTCTCCTGCAGCTCAGCCCAGGGGTCCAGCGTCTCGTCATTGACATCGTCCACGACGTGCTCGAGGTTGAGACGCGCAAAGGCGCTGATCAGGGTACCATGGAAACCGGTTGGGATGTTGAATGTCTCGTGTATCAAGTTGGCCATGGTTTCTTGCGCTGTGGTGGTGGCGTTCTTGTCAGCATCCATGGCGGGCTGCGATGGGTGTTCGAATAAGTCTGGGTAGACTTACAGGTGTCGGTCTTGTCGACGACATTGAAGATGGGTGCGTTCGCAGGCTTGGGGTTCTTCTTCGATAACCATTCAGCAGCTGTCCAGAGCGCCCTGCTGCAGTCCTCGATATGCAACGTGTTGACCTTCAGCTCGGCCTTCCACAACCACTTCATCTCTTGTCCCAAGCTCTCGTAGACGCGCGCCATGCACAATGCAGTAGCCAAGAATTTGCTCGTGTAAGGACCGTAGACGTGCGGCAGGCGGATGACGACCAGGTTGAGGCCCTCGATCTTGGCCAGGTCCTCCTCGGCCTGCAGCTTCCACTTTGCGACCTTGAGCCAGGGCTTCAGCTTGTCGGTCTCCTTGCGCGGGACCGGCTCAGGCTTGTAGACCATGCCCGTGCTGCACTCGACGAAACATTTGACCTTGCGCTTGGCGGCTTCGCCGCCGACGGCCAGCGACAGCGCATGCGAGCGCACCTTGTACACCTCATCCTCCTGCGAATAGCGGGTCTCGCCGCCACAGTTGAAGACGTAGTCCCATTGCTTGCCGCTTTCGCGGTCGAAGATGCGTTGCAGCGACTCTGTGCACCCGGAGGCGGCTTCCGTTAGCCTCGATCCTGCAGCGATCCGCCGTTGCCTTTCGTCTTGCTTTTTTTGTTTTTTGCAAAGGTGACGGCGTGGTCCCACAAACAGGGGAGCCGGGCGGCGGGGGATCTACTCACGTTCCCGCGAAGCGTCGGCCTGCATGAACTTCTGCCTCGAGCAGGCGTCTGCAAACTCGGGTGCCAGCCATGCCAGCTCGGGCAGGTGCTTGTCGACGAGGCGCACCTCGGAGGCGAGGTTGTTATCGTGGATGTGCTTCGCCAGGAAGCGGCCAATGTAGCCTGCAGCGCGGTCAGGACGCAATTTTTTCCGGCTTCACGCGTGCTCAATGCGCGTCGACGTACCCAGGCCACCGATTATCAGGACCGCGGGCTTCTCGGCGGAGTCGGCCATGATGGAGGATGAGGGAGGGGTTGTTGAGCAGCTGGGGCGGCGGGGCGTGAAGAGATGGTAAAGTAGGGCAGAGCGGAGAGAGAGGGCGTCGGAGCGCAGCACGGTGCGGTGTGTTGGGCCAGCGGTCGGGGAGGGAGTTGGGTCAGTGTTTGGCAATTGGCAGATGCTAAACTAGACGACGACGGGGGGGTTAATATGACCCGCGCACGTCGTCTGGCAGATCAGCAAATTTCCCAGCGCAGTACTGCTCCGCCCGCGGCCTCTGCCATGGTGGTCGCCGTATCATGCAGCCCGTCATTGATCATGCAGCGAGGCGCGAGAGGCGCCAGGGTTCACGGTGCGTGGGGCAGAGTCAGCTGATGCGCCCGCGGACCATCTGGGCAATAACAATAGAAAAACGACATTATGAGGGCGCTCGTCGATTACTCTCATGCTACCCTACTTAGAGCCGCACCGCATGCAGTGACCCGCCCAGGATCGTCCCGCACCTGCAGCTCGACGAGGCTTGATGCGCAAAACACTCCTGCCCCAAGCCATTACTCGTCCCAATTCCCGGCGGGACGGCTCGTCCGCCACGCCCCGCCTCGGTCCCCAAGTCCCCTTCCCTTCGCCTAAAACTCCCACGTCTCGTCGACCGACTTGATCGCCCAATCAAACTTCTCGCGCAGCGTCTTCGAAAAGAACTTCTCAATCGGCGCGTTGAACTTCTTCGAGAAGACGACCGTGAGCCGCGGATCAATGTAATTCTGCGCGCCGTTGTTAGCCTCCGAGAGTCCTGCCGGAACGGCCCGGAGTCACTTACAATCTTGGAGGTGCCAAGAGCCACTTCCTTGTTCTCCTCCTTGTCCTCCAGCTGGATCTTCATCGTCTCTATGCGCTGCTGGAGCTTGTCCAGCTGCCCTTCGAACTTCTCCACCGTCGGGCCCTTGCCCTCGGCCTCGACCTTGCCCGTCTTGTTCTCCTTCTTGAACTTGCGCTCCATCTCGTCCGCCACCTCCATCCGCTCGTCCAGCTCCTTGGGCTTCATCTCCTTCTCGCCATCGGCCGCCCGCTTCTCGTTGTCCTTTTCAAACTTCTTCTTGATCTTCTCGCGCTGCTCCGCCACCAGCGCCTTCTGATGCTCCTCGACCCACTCTTTGCTAAGATCTTCGGGCAGCTCGAAATACTCGGCTCCCTTCTTCTTCTTGATCTTCGAATCAATATCGAGCATCATCTGCTTGATACGCCATTGCTGGTACCGAAGACCGTTGATCTGCGCCGCGTTAGCTGCAACGGGAATAGAAAAACAATACTCGCTGTGCTGCTCACCTTGTCCTGCATCTTCTCCACTTGCCCGGCGTGACCGGCAGCCACCGTCCGCTTGTGGTTGCAAAGAATGGCAACCTCGCGATTGGCGTCGTTGTACCTCTTCACCTTATCGGCGATATTGCCCTCGGCCTTCATGTCCCTCAACAGCTTCGACATGGTGTACGAGGCGTTGTAGGTACGGAACACCTTGGCGGTTAGACCCTGCATGTAGGTGCTGAGGTATTTGTTGAGGCCAGAGGTCGTCAAGCGATCGAAGATTTCATCTCCGTCTTTCTTCGGCGCCTTCTTGAAAATCTTCAAGTTCTTGAAGACTTGCGGATCGACCTCTACTTCATCATAGAAGCGGATGCTATCCTTGCCGAGAAAGTCGAAAATGACCTTGTTAGGCGGCTTCAATGTGACGTTCTCGAACTTGAGTGAACAACAGCCCACAGTATCGGCCTCGTCTTCTCCCTTCTCATTGCCAGCACGAAGAGCGAACTGATCAATGAGATACACAGCAGTCGCACGTTGCCGATCGGCCATGACCTCGGACTTCAGATCCCTTCGGTAGTCCTTTCGAATGCGATCAATGTGCTTTTTAAGCTCCCTAGCTTTCTCGAATTTCTTGAAATCGCTTTGGCCCTTGACGTCCGAATTCGCTGCTAGCATAACGTACTTGTAGGCTCCGTTGATGTTCTCCTGCCACATCGCAAGCCAAGTTCCTTCATGGTCGTGCTTTATCTCCTTCCACTTGTGGCCAGGTGGAGGAGCGGGAACTTGGGCCTTCTCGCCGATATTGATTGTGATCTGCTCAGGCGTAACCCTCTTCTTGACCTTCCCCGTCTTTGGATGCTCGCCACGACCACGGAAAAGCCCCGGGGGTTCGACGCGAAAGTTGCCAACCTTCTGCTTGCGACCATCCCACATGCAAAACATATAGGGAGCTTCCACCTCGTCCTTAGCCGCTTTGAGAGCTTTCTTCTCGGCCGCGGGGAGCGCCTTCTTAGCCTCGCGTTGAGCGTCATAGTAGTTGAAAATGGGTTTGAAATCGCACTTTTCGAATTTCTCGATCTTGATTTTTTTGCCATCAAGGCCTGTTGCATGGCCCGTCTTGTTGAGCACTTCCTTGAAATCGGTGAAGAAGTTTTTGTTGAAGGTAGGGTTTTCGACGTTGTGCGTTGAGTTCAGCATTGAACCGTAGAAGGTAGCAATCTCCTCGGCATCCTTGTGGAGGTTGACCGGAACGCCATCGTACAACAATTTGACGTTCGAGGGAAGAGGTTCGTATTCAGGAGGGAATACGACACCGTTGTGTTCGAGCGTGTTCCACTTCTTAGTACCGTCACCCTTAGTCGGGTCTTCCCACCATCTGTACTCATCTTCCTCAGCTTCCGCTTCAAGATCTTCCTCGGTTTCCTTTTTGGTAGCCTTTCCTCTGCTGGCGAGTTTCTTCGCCGGAGCAGGAGTCGCTGATTTTGCGGTATTTTTCTTTGCGGGAGGGGCCTTCTTGCTGAGCGGAACGTCGTCATCAGATTCTTCTTTCTTGACACCATTTGCTTTTTTGGCAGCTGCAGCTGGCTTCTTCTTCTTTGCCAACGGAACATCGTCATCCTCACTCTCGCTCTCCGCCTTCTTCGGCTTTCGCTTAGGAGCAGTCTTTTGAGACCCCGCACGTATTGCCTTGGCCTCCTGCTCTGCTGCTTTCTCGATCTTCTTTTTCTCCCCAGCGAGTTTGGCACCAAGGGGGACGTCGGAATCAGAAGACATACCGATGTCTGCTGGCTTTGCTTTTGGGGGTTTTCTAGCCGTCTTTCGCGCCAAAGGAACGTCGCTTAGCTCCGAATCGGAAGCAGAGGCTCCCTTATCAATTGATGTTTTACGCCGCTTGCTCTGTCCAACATGTCAGCGAATGACAGCTGCAGTGGAGGCCAAAAGGTCACGCACCAATGGCTTGTCGTCTTCCTCCGAGCTAGAAGCCTCTTTGTAGCTTTTTCCGTTTGGCAAGCTTCCGCGTGACTTGCGCTTTCCGTTCGCGAGACCATTGGCGGCAGCTCCGTCTGTGTCCATATCTTCGACGGGGCCCATGCGGAGTGAGATGCCGGGCTCGACATCGCCATTTTGGCGGGGTGGCGAAGCTGACTTGTCCATGGCTCGATCCACGCTCTTAGAAATGGTGGGTTGCGAGACAGCTGTGGGTGGTAGGAGCGTTAGTATAGGTAGAGGATGGAAGCGTGAGATGAAACTGGATCGCAGAACGAAGCAAAGGTGGGTGCTAGGGCGCAGAAGGGCGGCTGACAACGGCAAACCAGGCCGAGTCCAGTTCAGCCGAGCCAGTTGAGGCCGGAAGACGTACCTCCGTTGGTCTTGTCAGTCGCAAGAGGCGTGGTGTTGCCTGGGGAAGACATTTTTGGTGGTCGTCGACGTCGAAAACCGCCTCTAGTGAAGTGAAATGCGGGTTGCCGTTCAGCTGCGACAGCGCGTTGGGTGGCGCCGAGTCTTGCGAAGATGCGCGCCAATGGTGTTGGCGAGCGTGAAAGTGGCAGAAACGGGTGGCAGCCGAGGCCGACACGCGTGGCGAGATGTGTTAGATGTTGGATGATGGCGGGACTAAACAATTTGAGAGACGAGGAAGTGGGAAGTATGGAAGAGAGAAAGTCCAAAGTGAACAAAGATACCCTCCTTGGCTTCCTGGTGCACGTGACTGCGGCGCTAGTGAACTTCGCGGCAAAGTGAGGTTGAAGCATCACAGCTCCTCCGTCCGTCACTCCGAAGCACCACAGCCCGTCGTCGAGTTCGCATCGACAGCTTCATCAATCTCCCCTCCGCTCAACTCTCGGCTCCATGATGCTCTCAAGGGCTGCCCGTCCGGCCCTGCGCGCCGGCGCCGCGGCTGTTGCCCGGTACGCAATCCACCACGACCCCTCGGGTAGTCAATTGGCATCCGGATTCTAACATCCAGCGTGCGCTCACCAGGCCTGCCACCGTCAATGTCGCCGCTAGCGCCAACTACGCTACCCTGCGCGAAATCGAGGGCCGTCTCAAGTCGATTCGCAACATCGAGAAGATCACCAAGACCATGAAAATCGTCGCCTCGACCAAGCTCACCCGCGCGCAAAAGGCCATGGAGTCCTCCCGTGTCTACGGTGAGACGTCCAACACCGTCTATGACAAGGCCGAGACCAAGCCCATCGAGGCTGAGGGCAAGAAGACCCTGCTCGTCATCTGCAGCTCCGACAAGGGCCTCTGCGGTGGTATCCACTCCGGCATGTCTAGGTACACCAGGAGGATCCTCGCTCAGCAGCCCAACTGCGAGCTCGTCATCCTTGGCGAGAAGTGCAAGGCCCAGCTGAGCAGGTCCAACGCCAAGCAGATCAAGTTGAGCTTCGCGGGTGTTGGCAAGGACATTCCCACTTTCGCGGATGCCTCGGCCATTAGCGACCAGATCCTCCACATCCCCGAGGAGTACGGCTCTGTCAAGATCATTTACAACAAGTTCCTCAACGCCCAGAGCTACGAGCCCGTCACTGTTGAGGCTTTCTCTGAGGAGGCCATTACCGCTTCCCGTAGGTGCCCGGACTATACAGCTGTTTGAGTAGTACTGACGTTTAATACGTTTAACAGCCAACCTTGCTCAGTTCGAAGTCGCTGACGAGTCCATCGCTAACCTCCGCGAGTACGCCCTGGCCAACTCTCTCTACTGGGCTCTTGCTGAGGGTCACGCTTGCGAGCAGTCCGCTCGCCGCAACGCCATGGACGTAAGTGACATCATTCCCACCGTGCACAGAATATCCGCTCACCCGGAGTCCGCAGAACGCTTCCAAGAACGCCGGCGACATGATCAACAAGTTCCAGATTCTCTTCAACCGTACCCGCCAGGCCGTCATTACGGGCGAATTGGTCGAGATTATTACTGGTGCTGCTGCCTCCGAGCAATAGAGTGTTATTTGACAGCATTTTATTATGTCTTTAATTCCGCATATGCCGGAAGCCTTGTCAAAATGCTCAATATCTCGTATGTAGAATACAGCCCTGATTCCTGATATCCCGCACAAATTTTGTGTATATGAGGTGACTCTTCGTCGTACGTGGGCGTTCCGCGTTAAGCACTTGTCTTCAATGGCAGCGTCCTGACTGGGCTGATTTAATGAAGACCCTTTGCAATGCCCGGTCCGTTGCTGCACTTTTTCTTCGATTGTAGAGTGAGAGGCAGAATGGAATGTCTCCAAATGCAAAGCCTAATGAGCGGGGCATTTTATGGTCATACCAGATTCTTCCGCTTATAATTCGTGCTAACTGTCAGCGTCCGCCCGCTTTTCGCCGCCAACACACGTTTGCGGTTCATTTTGCTGATTTGGTCGATGCTGGTCAAGCAAACATGAAGGGTGGGTAATGGCATCCGGCTTTGTTAAAGAGTGTTTTTGTTGGCCTAGCAACATGATGTTTTCATGAAGTTACTTTCCATATTGTACCTACCTACCCGCTTCACCTTCAACCGATTTCCACTCGGCAACGCCGCAACCACGGCGCGGGCTTCCCATTTTTGCGCACCAGCCACAGGTGTTGGGTATTCTTTGCTTAAATACTGACCATTGGCGAGCACTGCCTTGTCCGTGCGTCCTCCGTCTGTCTGTTTTCGCCGGTTTGCGATAGTGTATTACTTATTGCTCCCCTTGGACAGCATTGTACGAAGCCAAAGGATGCCATCCGTAGACGACACTGCCCAAACAATCGACAGCCTCGCTGTGACTTCGGGATTGTCCTAACCGTGGGGACATTGCGCCTTCCCGTTTCTTTTCGCTGGTAAACGGCAACAGCGATCGCGACAATGCAGGACAACGGCGCCCACCCCACGATTCCTACCAGAGATTTCACCAGCACGCAGTTGGCAAACATGAGTTTGCGCAAGACTCTTAATGATGTCAAGCAAATGTACTTTGGGCACCGCTACAGACAGTGCATTTCCCGCTGCGCGGAACTGCTGGAGTCGGAGCTCCAAGATGTGAGCAACCAAAGTATCTCAATTGCAGTCAGCTAAACTACTGAGTTCGTACAGTTCCACCAGCTCATCATAGCTTACCTGTATTTCTATACCGCTCTCTCTTACGATACGCTTGCTCGTGGCATGCATAGTTCCTCCATGTCACGGATTCCGACCCTTCACGATGCCGAACACTACTTTCAAAAAGCACTACTGGCACTGCCGAATCCTTTGCCTGTGATTACCCCAAATCCAAAAGATTCGGCAGTTGTCGTTCGCATCAACGATCCGCCTAAAAGACAGCGCAGCTCTCATTTGGCGCTAGAACTCTCCGTTGGCAACCACCACCGCTCTCCAGGACTCGTATCTGTCACGAATATCTCCGCCAATCCACTCTCCGCTCTATCAGAGACTCCATCGAAATTACTTATCTTTGAGCCTCGTCCCGACAACAAATGGTCTTTGCTTCCTCCTGTCAACAAGGCAACCAACAGCGAGCTATTCCCTACTTTTGATCTTTTTATTGCGGAACCACCGACCGTACCATGCGTGCCAACTTCGCTTGGCTTTACTGCTGCCAATAAGCTGCAACGCAACGATTCCACTGCAAGTGTGCTGTCGGTTTCAAGCCACCAGATCAGGCGCTACAACGAAGACCTCGCCGCCTTTACTTCCATGCTACAAAACCACATTTCCAGTGTTCAGGCGCTCAAAAACGCTTACTCCCTCCCGAAAACATCACTGAATGCCTCAGACCCATCGGCAACCTCCAATAGGGTAGACACAGACCAAGAGAAAAGGCATGGCGTTAGCCTTCGATCTGACACAGGCAAAAGCGGCAGGTTTTTGAATGATGCAGAGAAGGCGATCAGGATCATGAGAGGGAGAGAGAGGGGATGGGCAAGGGACAAATTCAATGGAAAGAGATACGAGAAGCTACGCGAGGCTGCGCTGGCGGAGCTTTGAGACTGGCGCCTGCCTAGTTGCTTCAACGCATTCTTCGTGTATGACTTACACAAGCGGGTACAGAGAAACTGATTTAGCACTGTGCTGTCTTCAACATTGCCTGCGGTCTTCTTGTTGAACGGATCATAAGAAGATGGCAACAATCAGTTAGACGCTATCGGTTTCATTACCTTCTTTGCTAAATCCGGGGCCTGGGCCACCATTGAGACTTAATTTAGTTTCAACTAAATATTTGTAGGAGCTCTCGACATTTACATGTATAAAATCTGTTATGCAGTACTCCCTATTCTCTAGGATGCATAACTCCTCTGCCTATACATCGTGCGCCAGAACCCGTTGAATGCAAGCTCAGTCACTAGGAGCATAGCTGTTCCCAGAATCACGACCCACTCCTTTCTGTCCAGATTCCCTATCACGGAGGCGGCATTGACGAATTAGGCTCTTCGCCTCGCCGTCTGCAAGCTTAATCCTCGCCAGCGTAGGTTCTTCTCAAACATACCGGTGTCCACACTCCCATTCCTATTCCCATGAACTAGCATCAATTTTTGGACTATAGATTTTTTGAAGCTGAAGCTCAATCTACGGTCAATTTCAAAACGCAATAGTTAGTTACTATTCGTGATAATCATCACTATCTGTCCTTCAAAAGGCGTGACGAATATCACCGACGCCTTAAAAAGCAAAATGAAGGTTGAGTTGGAGGCTTTTGCTGTCGTGGGGTAGGTGTTATCTTTTCACCAGGGGAGAGTATCATCGACAAAGAGCTCCGCGCATAAAACACACTACCTTGTTAGGTTAGCCATACTCCTCTTCATGGTCTAGCATTCGTCTTGAGCGCCTTGACGCTCTGGATGAACAGTTCGTCGTTGTTCCCGCAGATGCCGAAAGCCGAGCTTGATGAACCACTCGTGCCGAAACTTCTCGCGCATCACTGTGCCCACGAATGGGTTCATAATCAATCACTGCCTTGTCCAGTGCAAAAAATGACGGTGAGTATTTGATAGGTGACTCGGTGACCTCTCACGCCTCACGCCTCGATGATGCTGGGAGTTCTGCCAATCGTCACCGCCTAAATTATGATTGGCTAGCAGCCCGCGACCAGTGAGGTCGATGATTATACCTCGAACCTCGTCCCAGACGGCGCCGCTTTCGTCTGTCACGACTCTCCACTCTACCCCCATCCCCACCACCTCGACCTCCCGCAACAGGGCCTGGCATTGTTCACCGCACCGACAATGCCCGTCTCCCTTGCTCGATTGGCCGGTAACACGGCGAGGCGGTTCTGCCTCAACTCCCGCACGCCACGCACCGCGCTCCCCAGGAACCTCGGCCGCGCCCTCTCGACCTCGCGTCCACGTCATTACGCGGACATCGCCACCGAGCAAGGCGCTGGCGGCATTGGCGGCACACGCCTTATGAACGTCGATGCCGACTTCAAGCAACCTCTCAACCCGGACGATGTTCAGCACTTGAACACAGCCCCCGACGATGGCTCGGATCCCCAGAAGCGCAAGATCCGCCATTACACTGTCAACTTCGGTCCCCAGCACCCGGCCGCCCACGGTGTGTTGCGTCTAATTCTGGAGTTGAACGGTGAAGAGATCGTTCGCGCCGACCCCCACGTCGGCCTGCTGCACAGAGGCACGGAGAAGCTTATCGAGTACCGGACATACCTGCAGGCTCTTCCCTACTTCGACCGTCTGGACTACGTTTCCATGATGACCAATGAGCAGTGCTACTCGCTGGCCGTCGAGAAGCTGCTGAACATTGAGATTCCGGAGCGCGCCAAGTGGATTCGGACTTTGTTTGGCGAGATTACTCGTATCCTGAACCATCTCATGTCCGTTCTGTCCCACGCCATGGATGTTGGTGCTTTGACACCTTTCTTGTGGGGTTTCGAGGAGCGTGAGAAGCTCATGGTAAGAACCAAGGCTCTGCCAACTGCGTGACTATCTATTAATAGGCGTTAGGAATTCTATGAGCGTGTCTCTGGTGCTCGTCTCCACGCTGCCTACGTCCGTCCCGGTGGTGTTAGCCAGGATATCCCCATTGGCCTTTTGGATGATATCTATCAGTGGGCCACCCAATTTGGTGACCGCATTGACGAGACGGAAGAACTTCTGACTGACAACCGTATCTGGATTGGTCGTACGAAGGATGTCGGTGTCGTTTCTGCCGAGGACGCCCTCAACTACTCTTTCTCCGGTGTCATGCTTCGCGGTTCCGGTGTGCCCTGGGACATTCGCAAGTCGCAGCCTTATGACGCTTACGGCCAGGTCGAATTCGATGTGCCCGTTGGTCAGAATGGTGACTGCTACGACCGATACCTGTGCCGTATGGAGGAATTCCGCCAGTCGCTGCGCATCATCCACCAGTGCCTGAACAAGATGCCCTCGGGCCCGGTCAAGGTCGAGGACTACAAGATCGCTCCTCCGCCGCGTGCTGCCATGAAGGAGAACATGGAGGCCCTGATCCACCACTTCCTGCTCTACTCGAAGGGTTACACTGTCCCGCCTGGCGAGACTTACAGCGCCATCGAGGCGCCCAAGGGTGAGATGGGTGTTTTCCTTGTTTCGGACGGTTCCGAGCGCCCTTACAGGTGTAAGATCCGCGCGCCGGGTTTTGCGCACTTGGGCTGCTTCGACCAGGTCTCGAGGGGTCACTTGCTGGCCGACGCCGTGGCCATCATTGGTACGATGGATCTTGTGTTCGGTGAGGTCGACAGGTAAAGCGATGCTTGCGGGTCAAGGGAGAAAGAAATACTTGTACATTTGTTTGTAGCGCGAGTACCGAGAGGTATGAATATTTTTTTGAACGGTCGGTCTTGGTCCAGCGTGCGTAAAGTGTGTTGGTGGTAGCATGGAAAGACTTTGTACAGTGGGGCGAATGGGCAAGCTGCCGCTGGTCCATTGCTGCCCCCAGCATCTATACTATGGCAGTCGAAATAACATTCCGCTCCGCAGAAACGGGTTACGTGGTTGCTCTGTAGTAGCGAGATTTGAAAGTGAATTAAACTTCCTACCTATATTTGTACATGTAGCTGCGGGTAGATTTTGATCTTGTACATGCGCACATCCCACTATAAGAGTAAATTGCGCCTCGGAGGATGCAGACCCAGTGGAGAGGAACGGTTAAGAGGCAGCTAATGGTGATTTGGGGGAGGGGGTGGGCCGGCGCTCCCCTAGCCTTACCCCACTCGGCGGCATTTGACCCGCGGGCGTGGAGGCGGAGAGCGCGTGGGTGCCTGGCTGCCTGTCTCCGGCCTCCGAGCCATGATCCGGGACTGCGCCGCATCATCTACCTACCTATGATCAACCCATTCACTCCTCAGCCCACGCTGCTCCGCTGCCGCTCCTTACTCTTCGCTGCGCTACACATGCTGCGCTGATTGTCGCGATTCCCGCCCTCGCCCTTTAGTTGAAGCTGCGCCTAGCCCCCGGCCTACTGCTTGCTACCGCCACTACTGTAACTTGCCTCGGCCAGTGCCGGCCCCTCGCTGTCCAGCATGAGTTTCCTGAGCAGGTTCAAGTCGAATTCCGTCTGTCCTTGTCCGCACCCTTGCGCCTGCGTCCGCGCCCGCTGACGCCTTTCGTCCCTGCAGACTCCGGCCAGTCCCACGACTGCCGCACCCGCGAAGAAGGACCCCAATGCGCCCCAGCCCACGCCGCTCGAGCGCCTGCTCGCCGCAGACACGGGCCCCATCCGCCCTGATGGCAGCGACAAGTTCTTCGGTTTTGAGAATGTAAGCTCCCGTCTCCCACGTGCGACGCGCCGCCCCGCTGACCTGACGCCCCCCGCCAGTTTGGAAGCACATGGTACGCCCCCACCCTCCTCAATGCTAGTACAACCACCCAAGCTCACGTCGCCTCCCGCCCAGCTACTGTAACTCGATAATACAATGCCTCTACTATTCGGTTCCCTTCCGGGACCAGGTCATCAATTTTCCGGCCCGGTCGCCGCAAGACGTTCTTTTAAACCGCACCGCCAACGGTCTTCCGCGCATAAACACCGCCATGGCGGTGTCAGCCGCCAACGGCACCGGCCAGCCTTTTTCTCCGGCCAGAGGAAATATGACGTCTCCCGGCGCAACTGCATCACCGAAGAAACCGGCTGTGGCGTCAGGCCCTACCGGCATGACAGGCATGAGGCCGGAAGAGAATAAGGACTCGCCAGAGTATAAAAAGAAACAGGCTATGGCCGCTGGCCCCGTGTTGAGCATGGATTATGAGAATGCCGAGAGTTACGGTATGTCGGAGTCGCTGTTCACGTCGCTCAAAGACATCTTCGAGGCCATCATCTCGCACCGGTCACGGGTAGGCGTGGTGAGCCCGCAAAAGTTCCTGGAGACGTTGAGGCGCGAGAACGAAATGTTCCGGACGGCCATGCATCAGGATGCACACGAGTTCTTGAACCTCCTATTAAACGAGGTCGTGGAAAATGTCGAGCAGTTCTCGAAGCAACAGGCTCAGCTGGAGTCGGATAAGGGCGCTGGAGAGGCAGACTCAGCACTCGCCCTTGGCATAAACTCGGTTACCAATTCGAGCTTGGCGAAGAGTGCCCAAGGCTCCGTGAACAATACTGGATGGGTACATTCGTTGTTTGAGGGAACGCTTACTTCAGAAACCAGGTGCTTAACGTGTGAGAACATTTCTCAAAGAGATGAGGTGTTTCTCGACCTTTCGGTGGATTTGGAGCAGCACTCATCAGTAACATCGTGTTTGAAGAAGTTTTCTGAGGAAGAAATGCTTTGCGAGCGCAACAAGTTCCACTGCGATAACTGCGGAGGATTGCAAGAGGCGGAAAAGCGCATGAAGATCAAGCGGCTACCTCGGATATTGGGCATCCACCTAAAGAGATTCAAGTATACGGAAGACCTACAACGGTTACAAAAGCTCTTTCACAGAGTCGTCTATCCCTATTACCTTCGGCTCTTCAATACGACCGACGATGCCGAGGACCCGGACCGGTTATACGAGCTCTACGCCGTCGTCGTCCATATAGGTGGCGGCCCCTATCATGGCCATTACGTCTCCATCATCAAGACGCAGGACCGTGGCTGGTTGCTGTTTGACGACGAGATGGTCGAGCCGGTTGACAAGAGCTACGTGCGCAACTTTTTCGGCGGCGACAACGTGCTAGCTTGTGCATACGTGCTTTTCTACCAAGAGACTACCGAGGAGGCTATGCGTAAGGAGCAGGAATCGGAAGGACTGGACGCGAGCGCCGCTGCGGCCCAAGCCGCTAGCGAGACGGTAGGCGTCAGGGCCGACGACGTATTTTCGAATGGATATGCGCCCTTCAGCCCCGTCACGCCTGTGCCTGAAGAAAGGGTACCGGAAATTTTTAACCTTGACCAAGTGGCGACGGCACCACCAACGGCGTCCCCTCAAACACCGCAGCAGGCATGGGCTCCTGAATCTGCTCCGCCAGCGGTGGGTACACCAAAAACGCAGAGCAAGTGGACTGGGTTGCGGCGTAACAGTCGAGCGCCAGACCCGGAGAAACAGGCTGAGAAAGACCGCAAGGCGGCAGAAAAAGAACAGGAGAAACAGGCGGAGAAAGACCGCAAGGCGGCAGAAAAGGAACAGGAGAAACAGGCTAAGGCGACGCGTCGCGCAACCTCCAAGAAGAATGATGACGATTTAAAGGCTGCTATCGCGGCGAGCAAAGCCTCCGCCAAGGAGGAAAACACGAACCGCCTGCGAGGCGGAACTGTTGGCAGCAAGGCTAGTAGAGACAGTCGCACCGATGACGAGGCTGCCGCCACTCCAACCGCTGCCGGTTACAACCACAACCATTTCAACAACAACTACAGTAACAGCGCACCTGCCCCTCCCGGTACAGCCAGCACCACGAGCACGAAAGCTCCAAGTTGGACCGCCACAATGCCGCCACCCCCAGCTCCGCCTTCAGCACCCGCGTCGACGCCCTCATTCCCGGCTGCCCCCTCACCGGCCATGCCCATCGCCGGGGCTCCTGCGCGTGAGAATGGCCACACCACGAGCAAGAGCTTGGGTAGCAGCGGGGGAAGCAGCACAACGGGCGGCGGGAGCGGTTTCAGCCGCTTCCGGCACGGCAGCATCAGCATGCGGGGGAAGCGGTTCTTGACCGGAGGTGGGAATAACAGTGGGGCTAAAGACGGCGGAGGCGTGGCGGAGGAGTCGGAGGCGGAGGCGGGCGTAAATGGTGTTAATTCGGGGCTGATGTCGCCGACTATGGCGTCACCGCGTACTCCGACGATGGAGAGTAGTGTGGGGAGTTTGGCGAGCTTGGGGAGTGGTGGAGGAACACCGAAGAAGAAGGAGTCGAGGTTCTCGTTGGGGAGGAAGAAGAGCAGCATGTTGTGGGGAGGGGATAAATAAGGGAAGGTAATCTAAGGGGAGGGAGGCGGTGAGTTTGGGTAGGGATTCACGCATGCATGGATAGACGGATGGAGATGAAAGAGCGTAGGTGTGTGTACCCACGACTGGATACAAGAGGGTGAGTGAGAACAGGTGAGGCGAGGCGAAGCGAGACAGGGCAGGGCGCGGTAGGCAGAGCAGGCGGCACAGCTCCTCGCCTCGCTCGTTCGCTCGCGTATCTGGCCTGCCCCTGCCTGCCCCTGCTGCCCTTACCCACAGCCGCGGCGGCGGGTCGATCGTGTCACGCGGGGCGCAGCACATGCGTTTCCTTTCTTTTTTCTTCTTTTTTTTTCTGCTTCTTTTTTTCCTTTTTTGTCTGTCTTCCTCTACTTTTTTCCTTTCTCTTGCTTCTTGTTTCTGATTCTCCTTTCACTTCGTGGCTGTTGTCGGTAGGTCTCATCTTGTCGATTCTGGGGAGGGAAATACCCATCGTCGTTGTTGTCGTTGTTGGTGTGGTAGTCATTGCCCTTGATCTCGGATTGATGGTTGTTAGTGCGTGGTTGTCTGTGTGACTGGGTGCGTTACTCCATGTTCACCTGGTTGTCTGTCTACCCGTTCGTCCGTTTTTTCTGTCTGCCTGCCTACTTGTTTGTCTACTTGTCCGTCTGGCTGTGCACCAAGTCGCCCGTTCATCTGTCTGCTTGCATGTCTGCATACCTGCATATCCGTTCATATGTTTACTGTCCGTCTGACTGTCCGTCGTTATTTATTATCATTTGCGCGAGTGCTACGGCTTCTCATTCGTGCAATTCAGGGGGTGATTTTCTTGTGTTTGGGTGAGAAAGGGAAATAACATAGAGGATATGCGAGAATGATGGATGAATGAGAGAAGAAGCGGATGGATGGAGGAGTGGGTGGAAGGAAGGGAAAGAGAAGTTGATGAGGGGTGGCCGAGGGAAAAGGGTGGATATCGAGGAAAGAGAAAGCGCGTGCACTGCAGCACAGCACACCGCACAGCACAACACAGCACAGCATCGCGCTACAATGGTGTGCTGGCAGGCCGGGCTCGCCGCGCGCCGTTGTACATAGTTGAGCGCGCGTAAAGAAAAAAAGGGAAATAACGAGCGGGGCGGGAATCAATCAATCAATCAAGCCCCGCAAGCGAGGTTACCGTCAACGCGGGTCAATGTCATAGCTTCGTACTATTGCCGCTCGCTCGTGCGCAATTCGCAGGTGCCTATTATCTGCTATGATGATGATGATGATGACGACTATGCCGCTGCTGCCGCGCTGGGCGCGGATGTTGTGGGCTCCTGGCTTGCTAAGAGTGGAGAGACATGGCTGTCCATCATCTATACGTCCGTCGTCAAGGGTTGTTGTTGTGGTTGCGCAACCAACTAGTCAGCCACCCCGCCCAAAGCAGCCAGGGTATTTTTTTCCCTCCATGTCTATGCACGCATGCATGCCGGATGCTGCGAGACCCTTGCTTTCCTCCCCTCCCCCTCCCCCTCCTTCCCAGCCTGGGTGATTGCGTCAACGGCCGTCAGCCGAAGAGCAGCTCGTAGAAGATGACGCTGGCGTTGATGACGATCAGAGGTACTAGGGACTATTGTTAGCCGGGCGAGGTCAAGTAAGAAGCCGGGGGGTGGGCGGGTGGCAGGGCGATAGCGCGGCTGGCCGCAGAGCGCAATGCCGATCGGGCCCATCGTCATCATGGGCGCGCGCGTGCGTGTTTCTATCCTTGGATGCGGTCCGTTCCGCGCGGAGATGAGAGGTGGGTACGTGTGTATTTTGTGGGGGAGGGGGAGGGATGGTGGTGTAGACTCACTCCTCATGAGCGTGCGCACCGAGTTGATCAGGTTTATTAGCCTGGCCTTGACGCTGGTGGTGTCCTGGATGCCGCCGAAGCCGGGCTCGGCGGCGTTACCCCAGCCGACTAGAGAGTCAGTGCGTGAAGAGGAGGAGGATGACAGCAGCTTACTACGGGCGAGGAATCGGTCTTCGGAGAGGATGGCGATGGCGTTGACGAGCAAGATGGAGACTGGGGAGCGGCGTTAGCTTGGGGTTGGATAGAACGGAGGGTGTCGGGGGCGCACTGTAGACGAGGCCGCCGAGGCCGAAGAACAGCATGGTGGCGGGCGGAGATTGGGAGACTGATGAATCGAGGGAAGCTGGCAAGATGTGTATAGGTATGTAGGGCTGGGGCTTTTGCCAAGATTGCCCCGTCCCTGGAGATCGGCGCGCATGGATCGCCGCTGGTGCAAAAGAGAGACGAAGCAAGCACCACCACTACTCTCACCTTTGCACCCAACAATGCAGAGCTGTTTCCGGACACGCCCTTGTGCGCTACGTCATGGCCCGCCCATGCCCACAACTACCACTACTAGAAGACTTCTCTCCTCGCGCCAACCTCCCAAGCCCGACTGTCCTGCTCCCCACCTCTCGTCTGCCTTTGCACTACCCGTCGCGCCACCTCGTCGAGTTCTAGACCTGCTAGTGCGCCAGGCCCGCCACTTCATCCCACCCTGCCTGCACCAAGCCATTTCCATGCGCGCCGTCAGCCCTGCCCTACCTGCCCTGTCGCCGCCGGCCGTCTGATCCTGTCCGTCCAGAAACAGACTGCGGTGCTGCTGGCAGGAACATGCCCAAGCCTGCGCCAACTCTCGACCTCTCTGCTACCGAGTCCCGTCGCTCTCCCTCCAGCGATGTCCCGGATCAAGACCCCGGCGGCTACTTCGACCTGCCCGCCGACAAAGACGACCCGGGCTCGCCCACCGATTCCGCTCCCAGCGATGTCCTGTCCGCCATCGACCCTCCGACGCCCACGTCTACCGCCATGGCCCTGGCCGCCTTGCAGTACCTGCCCGTGCCCGTCCTGGTCCTCTCCTCGCTGAAGACGGTCGTCCTGGCCAACGAGGCCATGGGTCGCCTCCTCGACATTGCGCGCGAATCCGACGCCGATACCGTCCAGACGGTGACCGACATGCTGCGCGGTCAGTCCATGTCCGAGCTCGGCATCACTATGCTGCAAGATGGAACTCCGATTTGGGTGGCCTGGGAGGTAAGAGAGCCCGATGGCACCGTGCGCACCACCTAGCTTCGACATACTGACTCGTTCGCCAGGATTTTTTGGACTCCGTTTGGGAACTGAACACGAGCGAGGGCGGCAGTGATCCCGTCGACTTTGATCCCGACGCGACGCCGACCGGCGAGCCAGTGCCAAATTCAAAATCTGCGCCCTCGGGGCAAAGGTTGTTCAGGTTGAGCAGGTCCAACCTCGCTCGAACGACGGTTCGCGATGTCTCTATCGAAGTCCTCCTCGCTCCTTACAAGCATGCTGCCTCGTTGTCACCAAAGGACCCGCGGTGCCAGCTGGATAAGGACAGGATACAAGCCACCATGATCGTGTCGGTGTGGGCCATTGATGATGTACAGTACTTTACCCTTACCTTCACCAGCTCCCGGCCGAACGGAGGAACGAAGCGGCCAATGCCTTCCAGTCGAATCGTTGTGCGCACCCCTACTGGATTGAAGAAGTCTCCAGGCTCTGGCTCCAGCTCGTCTTCTTCGGGGAAGCGCTCCTTGCGTCATTCTCCAATCGCAAAACCAGCCCAGTTTCCTCCTGACGGCCCGCCAATCCGCTCTTCAGGCGCAAGAGTTCCGTCGCTCTTTCAAAAGGTCACGCAGATGAAGGAGGCCATTTTGACAACCATCACCATGCCAGCCTACGCCATGTGGAAAGACGAGAGTTTCGGCATGCCGAACAAGGCTCTTCTCAATTTTTTGCCGGACAATGGCGAAGGATCAGCGCAGGGTCAGGGTCAGGGTCAGGGTGACTTTCTTAACCAGTTCCGCTGCTTCACCGAGGATTTCAAGCGCCAGCTCACGTTAGATGAATTCCCGATTGTCCAAATTTGTCGAAACCAAGCCAGCGTTGGCGGGAAACGGATAGGAATGTACAATCCGGCCAATGGGCAGCGTGTCATTTTCGAAGTCGTTGGCGAACCCATCCTAGACGACGTCACTGGAGAATTCCTTGGTGGCATTGTCATCTTCAAAGACGTGACTGAGTATACCAAGCGCATTGCCGCCCAGATTCAGGAGAACGAGCGCCAGTTCGAGTACATCACCAATTTCATACCCATTATGGTCTGGACTACCGGGCCTGATGGGCGGCACGACTGGTTCTCCCAGCGATGGTATGATTACACGGGCCTCACGGTCGAACAGTCTTTTGGAGAGGGCTGGATGCTGCCTTTTCACAAGGAAGACATGCCTGAGACGGAAAAACGGTGGAGGCGATCACTCGAGACCGGGGTAAGTCTGCCTCTCGACCCTTGCAGCAATGGAGCTAATCGATAACAGGAGGAATACAATACCGAATATCGCTGCCAACGTCATGATGGTGCATGGAGGTGGATGTTGGGCCGTGCCGTTCCGTTCCGCGATGATGACGGTAAAATTGTGAAATGGTTCGGCACTTGTACCGACATACACGATCTTGTGGAAACCCGGCAGGCTGCGAGGCAAACTCGTGAACAACTGTCGCGTGTCATTGAACATGCACATGTCACTCTTTGGGTGACGGATCCCGAAGGAACATTGACGTTGTTGGAAGGGAGCTTGTTGAGCGAAGATCCGAACATCAACAAATCCGCAGTTGGACAGAGCCTATACGAGGTTTTCGGACAGCACAAGGGCAAGAAGGACATTCCGGCGCTCAAAGAGAAGGTGGAGCGTATCATGACCCGAAAGGGTACTGACGAGAATCTTGAGATGTACATTGATGGAAACAACCGTTGGTACAGGACGCGATTGGTGCCTCTCATGGCCACTTCACGCAAGGCTGGTATCGAATCGGAGACTTACGTTGACGGTGTCATTGGCGTAAGCATGGATATTACAGGTACGTTCAGTGTGGATTTGTCGCGAAGCTGCATCTAACCAGGTGTGCAGAAATCCGTCAGGCCGAAATCGATCTCCACAACCAAGAGAAGGAGAACGCGAAGCTCATAGCGAACGCCTTGGCCGCCAAGGAGGCAAGCAAGATGAAGAGCCAGTTTTTGGCCAACATGTCTCATGAGATTCGCACTCCGATTGCGGGCGTCATCGGCATGAGCGATCTCTTACTCGACACGGACCTCGATCAGGAGCAACAAGACTGCGCGGAGAACATCCAGCGTTCGGCGAACGGCCTTCTCACTGTCATCAACGACATTCTGGACCTCTCCAAGGTCGAATCGGGACGCCTGGATGTCGAAGAAGTCCAATTCAGCCTCTCCGTAGTCCTCCGGGATGTGAGTAAGATGATGGCTTTTGCTGCATTAAGAAAGAATATCGCCTATGAAAGCCATTTCGAAAAGGACATTGAGAAGGATTTGAAGGTCATGGGTGATCCCGGCCGCCTACGCCAAATCTTGACGAATCTGCTCACGAATTCGATCAAGTTCACGAGTGAGGGTCGAGTCAGCCTATCGGCGTCGATAATTAAGCAGGATGATGACACAGTTCATGTTCGCTTTGTTGTCGAAGACACGGGCATCGGGATCGAGGACGAAGTACGGCAAAAGCTGTTTAAGCCTTTCAGCCAAGCAGACTCCTCTACAGCTCGTCGCTTTGGCGGCACAGGGTTAGGGTTGGCAATCAGCAAGAACCTTGTCGAACTCATGCATGGGGAGATCGACCTCGAGTCAAAGCTGGGGCATGGCACCAAGGCTTGTTTCCGGATACCATTTAGCAGGGCACAATACCGGGGCCCAGGCTCTCCGCTGATGGATATTAGTTCAATCCCCGATCGGCTACAGTCCGACATGTCTGTGTCATGCGGAAGCTCAGAGGAGCTCGGCACGCCGCCGCTTACGCCGAGTTTCCCTCCAAATGGCAAGACGGGAGCCCGTCATGTCAGGGGCTCTTCGGCCACCCCGAGCAACATCACCATCAACCACTCCCTTCCGGACTCGTTGATGACTCTCTCTGAAACAGAGAGACAGAAAGTGCACGTCTTGGTCGTCGAGGATAACCAAGTCAACCAGCAGATCGCGCTCAAAACGATCAAGAAGCAGGGTTTCTCGGTAAACGCGGTCTGGAACGGCAAAGAGGCTTTGGATTACTTGCTTGAAAGCGATGGCGAAAGTCACCCCCACCCGGACATCATCCTTATGGATGTGCAAATGCCAATTATGGACGGGTACAAAGCCACGCACACAATCAGGTCCGAAGAGCCTTTTAGGAACAGGCCAGAGATACGCGACATTCCCATTGTCGCCATGACGGCGTCGGCGATTCAAGGAGACAAGGAAAAATGCCAGGAAGCTGGAATGGATGACTACCTCTCTAAGCCTGTTCGAGGCAATTTATTGGAAAAAATGCTCGTAAAGTGGGCAATTGAGAGGAAGCGGAAGCAGCAAAAAATGGCCGAGGGCAAGGAAGACAAAAATTGGAAGGCCGGCGAGCGACGGTCATCTGCAGTCTCGGCCGATGGTGCCAGCACCATCAAAGCCGGGTCTGTCGGCCGCAATAGTCCCAAGCCCGAGGGACATACGTCGCCATCGTCATCGCCGCAAGCAAAGCGGTCACGGCCGCCCGCCTCACGCAATACGTCTTTTGGCAAAGACGACGACAAAGCGCAGCGACCTCGCGTACTCGACCGCCTATCGTACCAAGACGAGATATCGGTGGATAAGTCGACGGAGTCCGCCGACGAGCGAGTGTCACGGCGCGTGCGCGACGAGGAGAGAGCCGCCAACCTCCGCGACCACAAGTTGATGTTTAGCTCGGGCGACAGAGCGGCGCGGCGTGGCTCAAGCGACAACGCCGAAGCCGACGACCGTAAGGGCGCGCCCAGTCACTCGCTCACGGAGGCGAACATAGGCCGCCTCGCCGAGGAACAGCACACGAAACAGCCACGCGCTACGCATGAGAAGAGCGATAGCATGGCGGCGCGGAAGGCGAGCGGTGCGAGCGATGATGAGAGCCGGGTTCCGGAGTCGATGCTGGAGCTGCGTTCACAGTCGCAGTCTGTAGACGAAAGCGAAAAAATAAATTAAGGTTGATGGTTATGGCCAGAGAAAGGACGCCGGACCTCAACCGCCGGCGGCGACAACGATATTGACGACGACGACTACGACCGACGACCTCATACGATGACACTTCTTGTGGTTCCGTTCCTCTTCTCATCATCTTCATAATCACCTTGGTCTTCATTCCTGTCATCCTCGTTTGCGGCATTATCTGCACCACCTAAAGCTGCGTCCTTCCGTTTTTCCACCTCTTTCAACTTGTACAGTAATAACAGTTTCCGGCAACCTCGATCGTCGCCATTGTTCTTCTATTTTCTCTTTCTATTACGCTTTTCCCTTTTCTTTTTGAAGTACATCCGCATATAAAACGTCCCAGTGGGCTTTCTTTTCTTTCTTTTCTTTTCTTTTCTTTTCCAATTGTGCTTGTTTTGGGTCAGCGGCATCATCACAATGGCTGGCGGGGGCTGGCGTGCATTGTTTCTTGCTTCGTATACCGATCGATGCCTTGTTTATTGAATTTTTTGCCTCTCCTATTTCGTCATCGTTTTTCCACTGCTATTGTAAATGTAGTTCCATTTCGTTTCTCTTTTCGTTTTTTTCTCGGCTTTTGTTTACTCCTCTATTGGGTTTCTCTTTTTGCTGCATGCATACGCGGCTGTTTGCAACATTCATGGCAGCCATATTTAATGACAACGGATAAGCGGGCGGAAGGGACGGACGGTTGGCGGTACGGGTGGCGCTCTGAAAAAATCTTCCCTTGTCTAGGGTTCGGTTTGGCTTGGTTCGTCCTGTCAGTTTTGGCTGGCATACTTGCGCGTGCGCGCGCTGTTTCTCTGTATGTGTCTCCCTTTTCGTATCTATTTTGAGAAGATAGTTTTCTATCTCTTGTCTGTCTCTGTCTTTGTCTCTGTCATCTTTTTCTTTCATATTTTTCTCTGCTTATTTTGCCCTCTGTGCGATTTGAGAGAGCGACTTGTCTGCTCCTAGTGACATCTTGTCGCTGCTGTTGTCTGGGGGCTTTCTCTAACCCTCAGTTTACGTGGGAGTGTATGCGTGTTTCCGTACTATCGGTATGTACGTCGTCATGGTACCTAGCCATGAGAAGAACAAGAAACGTCGATATCAGTCAAAGGTAAAGAGTGGGTATCCAACGAGGACGGTAATAGGTGCGAAGACTGCACTCTCTGAGGGCGAGGTTGCAAGTCTCTGAGCGTGATACGGGATAATGAGTGTTGACTATTGAAGTGTGAAGAGGACTATTGTTATACTAAAGTGAGTAAGCAGATTTAACTAGGTCGAAGATGACTTCACCGAACCAAAGAAGAAGAAAATGCGAGGCAAGAAAAAAAAAAAAAAAAGGCAGTAGAGTCGAGACGTTGGCGTGACAAGTTGAGCAGGTCAGCTTACTTTTTATATGCGGACAAGGGGGTGCGAGCGTGAACATCCGCACGCAGCTAATTATAGGCAAGGCCCGACAATGGCCTGATTGACATGTGAATATGCAAAGACGGACGTAAGGCGTCCTCCCCACGTGCATCATGCTTGGGGCGCTGCTCTTGTGCTCGGTTGGGGGGAGCGCCGGAGCGGATTGTGTGCGGAAAGATCTGCATGGGAGGAGGGTGGGTGTGTTCGCGGTGGGGATGGATGGGTGGGGTTGCGCGTGTGTGATGTGCGTGTATGTGTATGTGTGTATGAGTGAATGAAGCAGTGGGGGGTTGGACATCGAGTCTGGGTAGGGCTGACACGACTCTTATGTGCACGGATATATGGATCCTGGTATCGGGCAGTGTTGCCAGTTCACAGGGACTGGTTACAACGAGGACGAGAATGATGCTGCAAGTGGTGGAACACGGTGATTACAACTGCCTGTTTGGTGAGGCGGGGCAGACGAGGCAAAGGTCGTGCAACTATGTATGTATGTAGGTAGTTAATGCAAAACCCGAAAGGCAAAAAAAGCAATACTCATATGTGAATTAATAAGGTAAAAGCAAACAGACAATGCAAGTACGCAAATAAGCACACATCCCAGCCAATCTAATCCAGCCAGCAAACTTCACTCCACCAACTCATCAACTACAGCCTCAGCCTTCCTCACCTGTCGTCCATCAGCACCGACGACGCGCCTGACGAACGTCCCCTTGAACGTGGCCGGTCGTCCCGTGCGATCGTGCGTGCGGATTGCTTCCAGAATTTGGTGGCAGCAGCAGCAGCGGTAGCGGCGGCTGAGGCGGTGTTTTTGCTAGGAAAATGGCTTTCGGCATTGTTGGTGTTGGTATTGGCATTGGTGATGCGCCGAGGAATAAGTAGCCCCAGAAGGATGGCGAGGAAGAGCGGCAGTCCTTTTAGTGGTGGTTGTCTCGATGGTGGTCGACTCGACGGTGGTGGTTGTCTCAACGGTAGTCGTCTCGATAGTGGTAATCTCGACGGCGGTTGTCGTTTCAGTGGTTGTTGTCTTGGTGGTAGTCGCTTTTGTAGGCTTGGTGACGGCTTCGCTCGCCTTGTTTACGGCTGTGCTGCTGCTGCTGCTGCTGCTGCGGCGGCGGCGGCGGCACCAGGTCTCTGGTAGGGACGATTGGTTATGGATATGGATGTGGTTTGGTTCTGGGTGGAGGAGGGGGCATTGCTGTCGTTCGCCGAGGCGGCAACGATGGCAAGAGTAGTGGGGGTCGCTGGAGGAGACATTATTATTATGATAGAAGTGTGGAAGTAGATGGAAAAGCCGACAGTAGTGATAGTGAAGAGAATCGGTGCGAAGATCAGAGTGTTGGATCAGTCTGCGGGTAAAAGTAAGCAGAAGTGGTCAGAAACGATGCGTGTCCGTAGATGTGTTAGTTTTCAATCACTTCCTACTACAGTTAGCCTCTTACTGAAGTTAACCTTACTTTCACTGCAGCAGCTTAACTGAGTAACGGATTGGCGTGCATTGGCTTCATATGAAAGAACAGCAAAGACAACTCGTAGTGGTTTTCCAAAATTTTGAGCTTCTACTGAGCTAGTGACAAGCTGATAAAGTAAAAGTCAACAAGCCAAGTCTAGCTGCTGATGGGACCACAAGACCAGCCTGCTCCATCCTCGTGGGGAATCTTTCCGAGTGGAGCTCGCTGGGGGGTTCTCTTCCGTGATTCCCTACCTAAAAACTCCAATCTATCATCATACTCCGTCCCCATACTCCATCTTCTTCGCTCATTTGCAAGAAGACCGCTTCCGGGCACTTCTCAGTGGTGATCTTACAGAAAAACTAAAAAAGCTAAGACAGGCCGTGTTCTCTTGGCCGAAGCAGGCTCATGAAAACTTCCAGCGGTTACCGCAGACCGTGCATTCGCAAAACGTCGTCATCGGTTCATCAGCAGAGCGCGTCTGGGCCTGGCTGTAGCTGACCTTCTTCTGGCCGCACTTGCCGCAGGTGAAGGTCGACGAGATACTCTTCTCGGCTTGCGCCACCATGGCCTTGTTGATGTTCTCGCGCTGCAGACGCTCCTCCTCGGCGCGCTTTTCAGCCGACATCAGCTCTTCGTGCGTCATAGTCACAAACTTGGCCGGCGCAATCTCTCCGGACAGGACGCGGCGGCGCAGTCCGGGATTCGACTTGTTCTTCAGGTTTTGATACAACATGCGAATGCGCGTCTTGTAACCTTCGGAGGTCTCGGGTTGGTACTTGTTGTAGGCGGCCAGCTCAACGTCGCGGGCAACGCCGAGCACCGTCTTTGGCACTATACGGACGCGGTGATTAGTCACAAAAAGAGGGCATTGTGCAGGTTGAATAATGACGTACTTTCTTCGGACATGTGCGCCAAGCCATCGTACATGAGCTTCAGGCAATTGTCGCGCGTCGCGCTGCCGGTGACCTTGTAGTCAACACCGTCCGTGTTGACATTGCGTTTCTCCGGGGGAACATTGTGCTTGGGCGGGGCCTTGGCGGCTGGAGCGGGCGAGGGCGCGGGCGACGCGGTGCTGTTGGTGCTCTTGGGAGTCGCGGAGCCGGCGCCTGCCTTCTTGACGTCGCTGCGCCACTTGGACACCAGCTCACTGGCCTTTCTTGCAACGGCAGGGTCTTTGTGCGTCTTCAGACGGTTGACGGTGATGCCGATCTTGGTGGAGCGCAAGAGGTCTTCGGTGGCTTGCACGCCGCCGCGCAGGTCGTCGAGAAGCTTGATGAGGGACGAGGCGGGCTCGCCCGCGGACGAGGCCTTGGTGAGGTTGCGGCCGTAGGTCTCGACTTCCTTGGCGTCCATAGGCATGGTGGGTGGTGAGCGGGCAGTCGTCAAAGCGGGTTGAATGGTGTGGTTTTCGGAATGCGAATGCGGCCGCGATTGAGACCGCGGGGAAACGCGTTGGCGAAACGCCGACGTTTCTGGAAAGCACCTTGACCTCACCACCACCATCGCAACGTGCATCTCCGCCATCATGGCTGACAACGCGCCGCAGCCCGACGCGCCCGCCGGTCCCGCCAATGACTCGACCACCCGTGGCATGCCCTACTACGAGAAGCTGCGCCGCGACTTGCGCGAAGCTCTACAGAAGAAACGCGCCATCGACAACGCCTTGGTAGGCCCGCCGCCGCCGCCGCCGCCGCCATAGCTCCGCCAGCACTGACATTGCGCCCGCAGAACAACATCGAGGACCTTGTCTTCAAGACCGAAGAGCGCTACCTCGAGGAAACGAGCGGCGCCGGGAACATTGTCAAGGGCTTCGAAAACTACATCAAAGGCTCGAGCATCGCCGGAGCGGGCGTGGGAGGCGCTGGCACAGGCGCGCGCAGAAAGACAGCGATCAGTGACGTCGATCGGATCTTCAGCCGGAGCTCTCAAGGTCTTTTTTCTGTGCGTGTTTTACACGACCCTGGATCTACCACCAGTCCCTGTCAATCGCAAGGTCGATGAAGAACAGCCATGTTGCTAACGCCGTCGTCCCCCAGGATTCACCTGGCCCTGGATCTGCCCAGCTCACTCCATCAAATGCTCCAACCCCGACGTCCTTCCCCAGCGCTCGTGAAAGCAACCACCCCACGCCCGGCAGCACCGCAAGCAAGGCTACCAGCAGTAAAAAGAGGGCGGCGAATAAGGACGAGGAGGATACCGATGGCAAACCGGCGACCAAGAGAGGCAAGATCACGTATGGCAGGGATTAGATGTGAAACTTCGACTGGCGGTTAAATTCTGGCGTTACTGAGTGCGGCGTTCGGGCGAGAAATGGTGTGTATATTCATTGAGGCGATACCCCGAGGCAGATCATGGGATTACTATACCACTGTCAAGAATTCATGTATGGATCTAGAGCGCAAGATTTTTTCGCCCCTGCCTAGAAAAAAGCATTGCCACTTTTTTTTTTTTTTCCATGTTTCTACTGGGATTCCTTTGTGGTTCTGCGGCCCGGCATCCCAGGTCGCGCCTGGTGGAAACGGATTGGAAACAACATGCAGATGGATGATGGTAGCCTTGCGGCAGCGGCCTCGCGGCCTCCGGACGCAATGTCTGAAAGGAGGAAGTGGTCACATCCCCTTGCTTCATCCAGCCATCACCAGGATTCGCATGGAGGCCCTCGTATCCGAATCTCTGAAGGTTGACGGCGTAGTCGTAAGTCGTTTGAGACGCATCGCGTCCAAGGCGAGGCAGGTAAGCCGAGGGCAGTGCAGAAGGCAGTGCAGGAGGGCTGAAGCAAAGGAAAGGGGGGGCTCGTGAGGGCGTACACGCAAGCGTTCAAGCGCGCATTATCGCCACGGCCAGGCGATGATGTCTGGAAATGACACAAAGGGAAAAAGGAGGGCGGGAATTTGATTCCACTCACAGCCATTCACGAAAGGAGGGCGATGATGTAGACCAAGATGCTGGAGCTTGCACACCGGGACCACCGGCCGCCCTGCTCTCCGCTGGGAGGGCTCGCATCGGGCTCGCCTCATCTCGCGTGTGAAGGCGGACCCTGAGGGGCGCCGATCGTTGCCGGCGCGTCGACGGCGTCGACAGGAGTCGCGGAGAGGGTTCGTCGGGATCGAGCTCCCTTCCCGCTCCCTTGGTACAGCGAGCCTGGCGACCCGCCTTTCATGTCGGCGGTACCTGACGATCTTCCCTCGTGGCGCTTCTGACATGTGCGAAGCCGGCGCTGTAGATCTGGGGGTCCTGTTGGGCAGGGCAGCCGAGCAAAGGCCGCTGCGAATTTCGCTCACAGAAGGAAAAAAAAAAAAGATGGGTGTGGGCGATGCAAGCGGCCGGGAGGGGAGGAGGGCACGAGGCCACAACCTTGCGCTGCTGCCGAGATGGAGCACCAGTGCCACCCCACGCGCACCCGCACGCACGTGACGCGCGCTGCCAACAGGCGTCATCCCAGCACTGCATCTGAAGAGGCAAAGATGGACCAAAGACGAAAGCTTGATGTCGGCAAAAAGCGGCTCCTGGTCTTTCGCTCCCGTCCCTTCTCCAGACTACGACTTTCGATCTCCATATCCGGCGTGTCGGATCCTCCTCGACTCGTGTGGCTAAAGGCTTCCATGCGTGCCAGGCCTCTCCAGCTTCGCTCGCAGAAGAGAGACAGAGAGAGCGGGAGAGAAGCGAGAGATAGAGAGAAATGCGCTAGAGCCACCACAATAGAAACGCAACAATGGCAGTCGTCAAAGTCCACGTGCGATCGGTCGGGCCGATGAGAGATGGGGAAGACTGCTGCAACTTCACCATGATTCTTTCGCGTCGCAAAGCCGACGAGGCCCGTCGTCGCATGCAGGGCTCTCACTAGCCCACGGGCAAGGCGTGCGCCTGGGCTGCTTCACCGTTCCCCTCGTCTCAACTGCCGGCACTGAGACGAACATTGCGCGTCCTTTTCCCCAATGCCCATTGGCCCCAAAGCCCGGGCGGTGGCTTCCATTGCTCCGCCAACTGAGGTACTAGGTACTCACGAGAGAATATCCACATCTCACCATGTATCATCTCACCCGACCACGCACCGAACGCGACGAGGCATCGCCGAAGCTGCAGCCGATAGTCGCCGAGCCCTTGCTTGCTGTTTGCCGGTGAGTGGTGAGTCGTGACCTGTCATCCACAACATGCTAGAGTAGCACGAGTAGCTTGCCAGCGCGCCAGAGCGGAACCAGCGAAACAGAAAAAATTTCCCTAGTAGAGAGGAGCCACCAAAAGCAGGCCCGATACCGCGCAGCCCCCTCCATTCCGGCTTCCCCGTTTGTCCTAATCCACCTATACTGGCGCTATATACGCCGTACCGGCGGGTTCGCTTGCCCTGTTCTTTTGCGCCGCAGTGCTGCAGAGGCAACGCTTGACCGCGCACTCGCGGGAGTCGTGAGACAGTACGTAAAACAGGCGTCCGTTGTCGAGTCGTGATTGTGTGGCAGCAGCAGTACCTAGGTAAGTGATGTGAAGGCAGCAGTAGCAGCAGCAGCCTTTACCTCTCAAGCCAACTCGCTGCCTGCCTGCTTGCTTGCTTGCTGGGTGGGTGGGTAAGTGAACCGCGCAGCCGGCCTCCATCCCCCCACTCTCAACCCACCCTTCACCACCATCCAGCATCACGATGCATGTGTCCCGGCCCATAGGTGCCCTTGGCAGATGCCCAAAGCGGTGCCGCCGACGGTTGTTGTCCGCCCGCAACTAAGGCTGCCCCGTGATCTTAAGTCAAGCCAGCACGCCCGCCCGCGCGACGCCTTCCCATTGGGCCTTGGGCGTGGCGCCCCGAGCGCGGGCAGCATATGGAGCATGGAGCAGCCAGGCAACGCACTGCGCGCGCGGGGGTGGGAGCCTTTTGCCGCTGGGCGCCCTCTCTTGCCTCTGCTTGCTTGGCTTGACTTGTTTTGACTTGCGTTGGCTGGCTTGCTTGCTTGCTTGCTTGCACGCACGCACGCACGCACGCACGCACACACGCACCCCCCAAGCGCACGCGCGAACAAGCTCTGGGCTGGCGGCCGCCACGCTCTGCGCTGCTCCACACCTCCCGTAATCCACTTCCCGGCTCTCATCAGTGCTGCCGCGCTGGCGCCGTCGCTGCGCCAACGCCAACGCCAAAACCACGGCTCGTCTTGGCCGAGCTTGATTGCTTTGCTGCTGGCGGGTTGGCTGGCTGGCGCCCCACTTTGCAAGTCTGTGTGTCTGCGTCTGTGTCTGTGAGTGAGTGAGTGAGGCGCTCGATGATGACGATGACGATGATGACAATGCTTCTTGCTGCTGCTGCTGCTTCCCACATGCTGACGATGCTGCTGCTGAGGTGCTGCCACCCGCTGTTGCGCTGTGCTGCATCTGCCTGCCACTGCCAGCCAGCAGCAGTGGCAGCGGCAGCAACAACAGCAGTAGCGCCAGGGCCCCTCCCTGCGTTCCCCCCCTCGTACATGCAGCATCAGCATCAGCTCCAGCTTCAGCTTCAGCAGCAACAGCCCGTCGCCATCCGAAAAAGGAGCACCGAAACAAAAATTTAAAAATAAAAATAAACCAAAATTCAGTGGAAAATGAGATTGATTCGAAGGGCCAACCTCTTGCCCGCCGAAATAAAGGCGCCGATCAGGGTCCTGCGTGGGCGCCAAGGCCGCACGCAAGCCGTTTCCCCCCCTGCTCGCAGTGCCCGCTGCCCGCCGTAAGCTAAACCATAAGGTGCAAAGTAGCTAACTACCCTGTTGTCCTGGTTCTTGGGGCGTGTCAGCCGCCGTGCCCGCCGCCGCCGCCGCCGCCGCCGCCGACGCCATCATCTCGTTTTCCTTTCCATCCCGTCGACTCGGTCGACTTCCCATTCATTCCTACCTGCCGCTTCTGTCGCACGCACTCAAGCTGCGTTCCCCATCCATCCCCTTGCTTGCATGTCGCATCACCATCCCACGCTCTCACACGGCCCGTGCACCCGCATTGCGCTGCATCGCACCGCATCGCATTACGTCCACCACCTATGCAGCTACCTATCAAACCAACCGGGCTTGAATGGTAGTTGCCGGCCTAGTACCTCTACCTAGTACCTACTCTTACGCTACAACGAGCCAGAGCCGACAAAACGGCGGGCAAGCCAATGCAAGCGGCCATGGCGCCCGACACCGCGCCGCACAGCGCGCGCAACAGCGGCACGCAGACGACGGCTCGAGACGCTGGCTTGCTGCTGCTGCCACTGCGCTCTGCGGCCTGCGACCCTATCTGCGACGCGCGACGCGCAACCTGCCTCCGCCCAGCCCCATGCCCTATGACATCTTTGCTGCAGGGCAGGCCAGGCGCGTGCGTGCTTTGTGTGCGTGCGTTGCGGGTGTGTGTCGCAGACGGGGCTCGGCTATCTGCGCGGGCGTGCGCGGTGCGCGGTGTGCGTGTGTGAGGCCTTGTACGAGTAGGTACAATGCGGTAGGGTAGTGGGGATGTAGTGAGATAGATTAACTAAGCGAGTGCTTGTGAGGTGGGGTACGAGACTGGAGATAGATTGATTGATTGAACCGAGTGCGTGCGTGCGTGCGTGCGTGGGAAAGGTTAGAGATCGATACGAGCGGGTAGCTAGAGTAGTTACGTACTCCTCCAATGGTAGCAAGGCAAGAGGTAGAGTGCTTTGTTGCAGGTTGGGAAGAAAGGAAGGTGCGAGTGCTCGGTCTGCTGTAGGTAGAGCAAAGAGGTAGGGCGGGTCCGCAAGGGAGTGCCCTGCTGCTGTTGAGCAGAACCGACCAGCTGTGTACATGGCTGCGTAAGCGAGGTGTTGTCGGTGGTTGTTGGGGGGTACATGCCTAAGCAACGTACCTCGCCCATTGCACTGCACTGCCTGCCTGCATGCCTGCCTTGCACCCCGGACCCAGCCTTTCCTTCCATCCTAGCTTTCTTCCTTCCCTTCCTTCCTTCCTTTCTTCCTTCCTTCCATCATCCCACGCGGGCTGCCCTCCCAACCCCCCCGGCTAGACTCTCAACACCACC